CCCTACTGCCATTTCCTTAAAGACTAATTATCATTATTTCCCAACAACCGTTTTACGCAGGGACTTGACGACTGGGCAATGGAGTACCCAAAAAATTGAGAAAACAGAACCTAATCATTAAACATAGACTTTATATATATATATATATACAAGATTCTATAGATAAAATTTTGTCATCATCTACACGACAGTATGATTTCTATCATTCCCTACTATATACTAGATATGAGGTGACATCTTATACAGCAAAGGACATTTATTAAATGGTAGGTGAAAAAGAGGGGGAAGAAGGGAGAGGGGAGGAAGAATGGGATATTTATATAGACTAGACGAGTGAAACGAGTCTAGTCTCTCTCTGTAATCTATAGACTATCTCTCTACACTATAGACTATCTCTCTACACTATAGACTATCTCTCTACTCTATAGACTATCTCTCTACACTATAGACTATCTCTCTACACTATAGACTACTCTCTACTCTTTCTTCAAGTAGACTCATTTCACTCTCTAATCTTTTTTTTTGCACTAATTTGACTCAAACTTAATAGTACTCTAAGTATCACTACCAACAACCCTACCTCTACAACACAAAGTAGTTTGTTTTAACACTATCGAGTAGAGAGAGCTTATTACATACTGACTAGCTGCCCAGTATCTCGCGCTACTGGACAGTGGATAATCGCCATAGTAGCTTGTTACACTCTCTCGCTCTACTTGATAGTGGATCGCCATAGCAGCTTGTTACACTCTCTCGCTCTACTTGATAGTGGATCGCCATAGTAGCTTGTTACACTCTCTCGCTCTGCTTGATAGTGTTATTGTTAACAACTATTTTAGAGGAAAAGTAAACATGCATGCATTTACAATCAATCTAGATGCATTTACAATTAATTTTTTTTATTATTAATTAAGATGACGCGCGCTGTTTATTATCGTAGCTCATGACGACGCATTGCCGCAGGAAAGATAAGGCAACGAATAGAACGAGCTAGTGGAGTAGCACTGACCAACACTATCGAGCAGAGCGAGATAGTGTTGTAGCAAGCTATCAACCTGCAAAGTGAGCCAATTCTATTGAGTAGAGTGAGATAGTGTTGTAACATGCTAGTCAGTTTGCTTGCTCTGCTTCCCCCCACTCCCAAAAAAACTCGCGCGTTGGCACGGCGCATTTAAACGGCTCGTCTGATTCGCGGCTCGTTTGAACACTATCGGGTGAAGCGAGGTACACTTTGCAGGTTAATAGCTTGTTACAACACTTTGTAGCTTAGTAGCTTGTTACAACACTTTGTAGCTTAGTAGCTTGTTACAACACTTTGTAGCCTAGTAGCTTGTTACAACACTTTGTAGCCTAGTAGCTTGTTACAACACTTTGTAGCTTAGTAGCTTGCTACAACACTACCGGGTGAAGCGAGGTACAATCGCGCGTTCGCACGGCGCATTTAAACGGCTCGTCTGATGCGCGGCTCGTTTGAACACTATCGAGTGAAGCGAGATACACTTTGCAGGTTAATAGCTTGTTACAACACTTTGTAGCTTAGTAGCTTGTTACAACACTTTGTAGCTTAGTAGCTTGTTACAACACTTTGTAGCCTAGTAGCTTGTTACAACACTTTGTAGCTTAGTAGCTTGCTACAACACTACCGGGTGAAGCGAGGTACAATCGCGCGTTCGCACGGCGCATTTAAACGGCTCGTCTGATGCGCGGCTCGTTTGAACACTATCGAGTGAAGCGAGATACACTTTGCAGGTTAATAGCTTGTTACAACACTTTGAAGCTTAGTAGCTTGTTACAACACTTTGTAGCTTAGTAGCTTGCTACAACACTATCTCGCTTCGCTCGATAGTGGGCTGCTCGATAGTGGGCTGCTCGATAGTGGGCTGCTCGATAGTGGGCTGCTCGATAGTGGGCTGCTCGATAGTGGGCTGCTCGATAGTGGGCTGCTCGATAGTGTGTCGTGCAAGAAAATCTTTTTTCTTTTGATTTAACGATAAATTTTTCTCATCATCTTCTTTATAGGTGCTAGTAATCATAGAGTTTAGTACAAAGGGTGTTAGAAGGAGGGCTAGAACGAGGTTAGAGTGGCAAGTAGAGTCATTTTTATTTGGTCTAGAATGTTTTTGCCAAGGTTATCATTGCTGTACTTGTTGTTGGGGTTCCTAGTTGTTGCCATTATCATATTCAATGTTACAATACTATCTACACCTGATGAATCTAGTATTACATATAATAAGAGCAAAGGTGCGACTTACCATACAGGGGGCACATCGAAAATGAATGCACAGATAGATAAAATCGATAGTCCCGAATATGTAGCAGCCGTTATGAAAGAGTTGCAAGAGACAAAGTTTGAAGAGATCTTGGGGGATTTGAAAAAACAAATCTCAAAAGAACAAAGACCAAAAATAATTCAACAATTAAAGACTGAATTGAGGCAAAAATATTCAGAGATTATTAAACAAACTTTGAAAGATGAGATAAAGGAGGAAAATACTGTTGATTTTTATAAGCAAGATGCATTTTCTTTCCAACTATATCAAAACTTGATATCGCAATTTCAACATGATCACGGCAATCAAATCAAACCTATGGCATTGCTCACTTTATTGAAAGATCACTTTGACAATGATTTTGTTATCCCATCCGATTTCAAAGAAGAGGTTGAAAAAATCTTTGTCAAGTACTTTGACAAGAAATCATTTTTTCAATATTTATTAAAAACCATCTTGTTGGAAAATAAACCTCAATGTGATCCACTAACCGCACAAGAAAAGGGTAAAAAATTGAATCCAACTTACCAATGGGATGCAAGGGTTATTTCTGAAAAGGATTTGCTTGCATCCAACTTGAAACTTTCACCCGAAAAATTGAAATGTTTGCAAAAGTCCCATGATAAAGTGGTTGAGAAATTGAAATCATTACCTGATCCACCAAACCAGTTTATTAGTGGTTATGGTATCGTCATAAATGGTGGCGGAGGAATGATTGTTAGCGCATTGACCGCAATTACTAATTTAAGAGACCGCGGCTCTACTTTACCAGTTGAATTAATTTTGGATACTCCAGAGGAATTTGATAAGCAAATCTGCCAAGACTTGTTGCCAAATAAGCTCAACGGCAAGTGTGTTGTTGTTTCCGATGTAATTGGCAAAGAGGTGTTTGACTTGATTCCAGAAAAGTTTTCTCGAAAAATCCTTGGAATTTTGGTCTCTTCATTTGATCACACTATTGCCCTAGATGCAGATAATTTCCCAATTCAGAATGTCGATGGTTTGTTGTACACTGAACCTTATCTTTCAACAAAAATGATCTTGTGGCCAGATTTATGGGTTAAATTAACAAGTCCACTTTTCTACAAAATAGCTCGCATTGAAAAGGGTGAAGTTGTTGGTAGATTTGGAATTTCAAATGAGGCCAAGTTCCATGAATACATACAGAAGGACCGAGAATCGGAAATCCACTTTCATGATTTCAGCAATTTGCCAAGTCCCATCTCAGTTGAAACAGGACAGATGGTTTTTTCTAAAAGGGAACACTTGAAATCATTATTGCTCGCATTGTACTATAATATCAATCTCAAAGGATGGTACCAAGATTTGATTTATCAAGGTGCATATGGAGAGGGTGACAGAGAAACAATAGCGCCAGCATTGCATGTAATGAATGAAAGATACCACTTGATGAATCAAAAGATTCATCTTATGGGTTATACTGCTGAAAATGATAAATTTTCCGAAACAACCTTGGGACAAACTGATCCAAGAGACAATCCCCAATTTTATGCAGATTGGCAAAAGTTTCTTTCTAAAAAGAATATTGATACTCGACTAAATCCATTCCAATCCGGTGGTTTCACAAATGACTTGATTGATCAGTTCAAAGAGTACAAGAAGAAGATAATCGAGGACAAAAAGATAGAAGAAGAAGATACTACTCACAGAGTTGTTGAGTACAAATTACCTAAGATATTATTTCTTCATTGTAACCACCCTAAAATTGACCCAATTAAGAATTCTCAAGAGGGAGAGTTTGGTGTCTATTCAAGAAGAAATATGGGACCTGTAGACAAGGTTAAGCCCATACTAGACAAAGATTGGGAATTGAAATTCCATTCTATTGCCAAGTGGGTTGCTTGTGAGGCTATTACAAGCACAGACTATTGGAGCAATGCCAAAGTAGATCAAAAAACAGTATGTCAAAAGTTAAGCAAATACATTGATTTCTTAAAACGTGATACATTTGGCGTTGAAGCCGAGTTTAAAGGATTTGGCTCAACCGGTTTATCTCAAGGTGTCATACCTGGAGATACGACAGAACAATTAGCAAATGACAAGATCAATGCTCTAGCGCAACAGCAAGCTAAAGAACAAGCAGAGGCGGAAGCAAAAGCTCTAGCCGAGATGGACCCTGATGGAAAAGCAAAGTTACAGGCGGCAAAAGACAATAAAGGAACAGGAAAAGAAAAAGATTCTGAGCAAATGGCAAAGGATAAGGGGAAGGGAGTGGCTCAGCAAAAAAGAACAAAAGGACAATAAGGCAAAAGCTCAAAAGGGTGCCAAATTGTCTGATAAAGAAATAGAAATAATGCATGCTTTACAGTAATATTTATTGTTATTATTGTTATTATTATTATTATTATTATTATTATTATTATTATTATTATTATTATTATTATTATTAGTGGTAATCCCAGTTATAGTTAGATAAAGTAAATCTCAATACACAAACCTTGTGGAAACGCCGCAAGAGGTTATTAGGGACTTTGAAGTTCATCTTCACTTCCACTTTCTGTTTCGGTAGCAGTCCTATCTTCATAGCTCTCACAATCACTTTCATCTTCTTCAGTTCCTTCAATGTTCTCCACGCTGATATTGTACCCTTGTTTATGCAAAAACTCACCCATCTCTTCAATTTTATCGGATGGTAAGCTAGTAAAGACAGCAGAATGAGCTGCATCAAACAAGTTGACAAAGTATTTCTTCAATACATAAACAACATCCTCAGCATTCAATCCGTTTAGTTTCTTAAAGTACAGCTCAACGTACTGTGGGCCACGTCTTTTGAACACATTATCACCAATTTTGAAGCTTGCAGCTTCATAGTTTGATTCTTGACTATTTGCAATTTCATTAACGATGGAGGATACTGCACTTTCTAATGATAAAGCATCAACCTCCAACTCTCCAGAAGAGTATTGATAAACAAGTTCTTTTGCTCTGAGCCAAGCTTGCTTTGGATCTGACCCTCTATAAATTGAAAAACTCAAATATCCGGTTTCAATATTTTTCTTGATATTGGCTCCATAAGCTAGCCCTGTTCCTCTAATTGCTCTCCAAAATGGCCCTTCTACAGCACAAAGAAATTCAATTGCTAATGAAATTCGAGCAATATCATCATCAAGATAATCTGTTGGAATTTTTGTGCTGGTTACTAAATGAGTGGATTCTGTTGCCGGTATGTTTATAAGAAATGCTTCATAACCACACTGGGACCCCAAACTGGATCTAAATTGGAATGATCTAGGAAGTTGACTAAAAGCTTCAACCTGGAAAGAATCAGGATCGTAATGAGAAACAAACTTTTTCCAACTACTAACTGGATTCTCCAAATCTTTGGTATTACCTAAAACTAAAACTTTGATATTGTCCAATTGAAACAAGGTGTTTTTAATTTCTTCCAAGTCACTTGCAATCTTGTCAAAGCCACCTTCGTTTATTTCTGTCAACAAGTCTTTAAAAAATTGTTCAGTGTTTATTGAGTCCTGTGCTTTTCTTAAAGACCTATCAGTAAACAAGTTACGATACTGCGAAGAATACATCATCGATTCACCATTCCTCTTTTTGTCAGGTATAGAGTTTATTATCTTTTCTATAATAACTCTTATCCTAGGTTCCTCAAACTTGACAAAATGACTGATTTTGTAAAGCCATTCAATAGCTTTTTCATAGTTGCGAGTTTCAAATTTAACACTCATGTTAATCAACTCCAAGAACTGATCATCGTAACCATTATCTAATTCGAATTCAATCAAGTCTCGATTAAGATCGGCTACAACCATTTCGTAAGGGAAGTATTTGCCGTTTGGTAACTCAATTGACATGGAAAAAATCTCTTCAATAATCGACATGTATTTTAGTAGTTCAGGTCTGAGTCTTGCTGAGGACATGACAAGTTGGATCGTAACAAATTCGGATTTGAAGCTCTCAAAGTGGATAAACATCGGGAAGTCTATAGGTGTATCGTTGTATAGTATTTGATTGAAAGCATCTGATTCAATATATTGATTAGTACTTAAATCCACAACACCTTTAGTAAGCCCTGCTTTATAAGATTTGGTTTTGATAAAGGCAATCTTTGATGGATCTGGTTTTTTGATCTTGGTTATCAACTCCTCGGGTATAGGCTCGTCGTTAAGCCTTTGTGCCGTGTCTAGACTCTCAGCAAACAATTTTAATCCATGCTCACCATATTTCTCTTTAATCTGTTTGTTCATCAATTTATTGTCTTTCTTGTGCAATGCGTTCAATTTAGCAGACGGTCTACCCAAAATAGTAACTGAATGGTTCTCTACAAAATACTCATTGATTAAATCGCTCCATTGCTGATTTGTCCAGGTCAATAGCGTGGAAAACTCATCCAAGTTTTGTGACCATTTTTGTAACTCAGACCCATCTGGCTTACCATAAATAAAATCCAGAATAGCAATAGTTGAAAAGATACCGGGACTCTTTTCAGTTTGAGAAATAAATTTAAGTCTTTGTTGGTTGATTATTTGTCTCATGTAAAGCACATTAACGTTTTCTGGCACAATTTGCGATTTCAATAATTCCTTCATTTTCAATTCCAATTCTTGCAATTTGTCTGTTGGCACTCCATTACAAGTAAAGTTTAGTGCTGTTCTGTAATAATCATCTGTAGTATAATCTATCTCCGTTGCGTATGGATTTTCTACTTCAACAAGATGCTTGTTGAATAATGAAATAGGGCTATCGGTGAAATAAGCTCCCACCATATCCACAGCTGTGTTCACCAAGACGTCATCCCCCTTTGGACCAATCCATGACATGAGCAATTCGCCAGTTGACTCGTTATTATCTGGAAATTCAACAACTTTGCTAATACTCTCCAGTAATGGTTCATCATGTTTAGAGTCAACAAATGGTCTTTTGTTGGGAACTTTAGGTAGCAAAGGAATTTCATTATCAAATTCCAACATGATTTCCAATAGCTCATCTTGATCAATAGACCCGGTTATCACTACACATAAATTGTCTGGTCTGTACATCAGTTTATGAAACTGTCGAATCTGTTTATTTGTCAAATGGCGGAGTTCTGACATCAATCCGCCTGTTTCTGAAGAGTACCCTGAATTTGGAGCGTACAACGCCTCCTGCATACTTTTAAACAAAATGAACCACGATTGGCTTTCAATTCCCTGCATCTCACTAAACACAACTCCTTTTTCTTTGCCCTTCCCATCAATATGGTAGACTTCAGTTAGACATGCCTCATTTGTCAAAGTAGGGTTAAATAGATGGTCTAAATATATAGGCAACAATGTTTTAAATCCATCCCACCCAGCTGTAGTCAAAGTATACACTGTTTGATCAACTCCCGTCCATGCATTTGTTTGTGAGTAAAGCCTATTTCCAAGACCATCCAATAATCCTTTGAACGGGAATTTTTTGGAGCCCATAAACACCAAATGCTCTAAAGTATGCGGACACCCAGAGTTGTTCTCAATTTCCGTGGCTACCGCGAAATAACCGTTTACCATAGGAGATGGTTGGTTTATATAGACTAATTGCAAACCTGTTCTTTGAGATTTCCATTTTGTAATATAAGTCGGTGCATATTCAACCTCAAACGAAATCTGCTTAACAAAAGAGGAACTTAACCTAGTCATAGGCTGCAAAAAACGATTTACTAAAAAAACAGGGGCTCTAACCAATTTATATGCTACTAAAAGACCGTCTTTTTGTTCAATCTTCTTCCACTTGAAACCCATCGTCTAACTATACTTACAATTGGCTTGGAAAAAAACTGACGAGATGAGGTTGCGCGTTACATTTGGTAGCAACAAGAGCTACCGGATGCAAAAAAGAAAACGCCAATTGACCAAATGGGGAAAGAAGAGGCACTATTAAGCGGCACTCTTAAGCAACACTATCTTTCCCCACTATCGAGCAGAGCGAGATAGTGGAGCGCTATTGACTAGCAACACTATCAAGCGACATTATCGAGAGACACCATTGAGCAGAGAGAAATAGTGGACCACACTAGCTATACATGATAGTGTCGGTCAGTGCACACCAGCTACACGTGATAGTGTCAGTCAGTAGACACTGGCTACACACAATATTGTCGATAGCGTCGGTGTAGTCAGTGCTGCTCCACTATCTCGCTTCGCTCGATAGTGTCGATAGTGTCGATAGTGTCGATAGTGTCGATAGTATGTATTATGGGGTAACTATATCATTATTTAATTTCCAGTTCTGCCTCCTTAAACATTTTAAACATTTCGCCTACATCCTCTTTCATTTTCCTGGTCAATTCAACTAAATCTTCGTCGATGCGATTGTACATTATACAGTTGGCAAACATGAGCATTATATCTCTTTCCAATTCTATAATCAGCAGATACACTGGAGGATCGCTTTTGGATTTTAGTGCCTTTGAGATACTCTTTAAATTTTTCGGCTGGTAAATCAACTCGTAATAGTTTGGCGCATCTTTGGCATTGACCGCTTGTAGAAATGGTGAAGAAAATCTGTGTTCTTGTATCGAGTTAAGTAAGTTTACAGCAATGTTTTGGAACCGTTTATGGTGTTGAGTAGGTGCCGGAGAATTCGAATGAGGCCTTTTTCTTGTTTCTTGAGCAACGGCGCCTTTGGTTTCCTCGGGCTTTACCACCACTTGTTTTTCTTCTATAGGGTTCTTTTCCTCTATAGATTCCTCTTTCACTACCAGTCCCTCTTTTTCTTCTTCCTCTATAGATTTCTCTCTCTCCTCTTCCTCTATAGGTTTCTCTTCCTCTATAGGTTTCTCTTCCTCTATAGGTTTCTCTTCCTCTATAGGTTTCTCTTCCTCTATAGATTTCTCTTCCTCTATAGATTTCTCTTCCTCTATAGGCTTCTTTTCCTCTATAGGTTTCTCTTCCTCTATAGGTTTCTCTTCCTCTATCGGTTTCTCTTCCTCTATAGGCTTCTCTTCCTCTACAGATTTCTCTTTCTCTTCTTCCTCTGTAAGTTTTTCTTTCACCTTTTCTGCCACAACCGTTTTTTCCTGGGCCATTTCCAGCACTGTTGTTTCTTCTCGACTCTGCTTCTCTTCTAGGTTCTCCGTTTCAGTTTGATCTATCACTGACATTTCCTTGTCTTTGCGGATCTCTTGTGTGTTTCCTTCTCCTTCTCCTTCCCCTTCCCCTTCTTCTTCTTTCCGCGGTATTTCCTTAGCTAAGGCCCTTGCGGGTTCTTTTTCCTCGGTCCTCACAATCTGTTCTTCACGGTCCGTTCCCAGTTTCTTTGGAGTTCCAAGTTCCTCAACTTCAGGACTATCCACTCTCCTTGTATCTTTCACTTTGCTCTCCATCTCCACTTCTGATGAAGAAGGTTGAATTTTAGTTGGAGCTTCTTTATTTCCCTCAATGTTTGGTGCAGAGCTTTCCACACTCTTCTCACTATCAGGCTCTTGTATGATATTTGTAGCAGCTTGATCCACCACCTTTGTCTCTACAACATCTTTCTTTGCTTGTTTCTCCAATTCAAACAAGTGCTTCGCGCTATTCAACAAGTACTTTGAATACCGAAGTGTCGACGTGGCCACTATCGTCTTCAAATAATGGTCATACTTATCGCTTATATCAACAATCACCAGCTCGTTCGTAACGGCAACAAACTTACAGTATAGCGTTCGATTGATAATAAACGAAAGTAGTTTTATATCTATCTGCGGGAAATTGATGTCGTCATTGGGGAATCTTTGAGTATATTCAAAAGTTGTATTGTTCAAATCGGTAATGAATTGATGAACAGGTATTAAAGCCTTGTTATCGGGATAATCTCCCTTGTACTCACAAATGCTCTTGTTTATAACGGCCCCAACTAGTATAATCAGTAAATCCGGGTTGATTTTCACTTGTTCAGACATGGAGGCTGCGTACTTGCTACTTTCATCAACCCCATTAAAGATATAAGATAAATTTTTCAAAAACAAAATACCTACAATATATTTTTCAATGAAAACCAGTAACTAATGAATAGACAATTGGGAGAGATAACCAAAAGTCTGAAAAACTTTAACCTTCTATGGGCCAAACAAGGAGTTTGTATAAACTCCCTTTTGCATGATCTAGAGAGGCTCGGGAGAGAGAAAGCATTGAAAGTTAACAATATGGAAATTTTTATCTTGAATTCCTCTTGATTTATATATATATACAATAAATAATTAGCAATAAAAACCAAGAGGTAAAGTGTTGGCACCATCCTTACTTCTGACCTTGTTGCATCAATAACGCGCTAAATAGTTGTTGATGTTAGTAAATTCGTTTAAAAAAAAGGTAGTATTCTACAAGAGTACGAAATGTGATTTGGATACATACTTTTGCTCCTGGAACCTTTGTCCAACTCTTTCACTATGTTTTAAAAACTTTTCTGAACATTTAGCAATACAGCTGGTTTCCCTTGAAGTCAAGTTGCTTGAAGTAAAGTCGTTGACGCAATCATCAAAACATCTGGATACAAGATTTGAATACAAATTCATGAAATCCTTCATTTGTTTCTGCTCAACGATTTGTTGAAACTCTTGCTGTTCCTTGACATTTAACTGATCCATTTTTATCTTCTTTAACCTTTATTTCTCAAAGTCTATAGAGCCTTGCAGTACAAACAAGATGGCAAAAAACGACACACTTTCAAAAGCTTTCCCCATATGGTAAAACTTTACTGAAAATTTTTTGTCCCTTTTTTGAAGCAAGGGCATCGCGAACGAGAAACCGCTGAAAGAGATGAAATTTGTACCAGTTATTAGCAATGAACCAGGGAGCATCGTACATTGCTAGTGCTACCTAAATAACTGGCAACTATGGTCGCCTTTAGCTCTTTTACCTACGTCTCTATTTATTCCACTATTAGCGTCGCCGTCAACCCTACTGGTATTCTAAGAAAAGGTATAAGGTCTCTACTTGTATTCTAGGCCTTACATAATCCCGGTGCTCTAAGAAAAGGTATAAGGTCTCTACTTGTATTCTAGGCCTTACATAATCCCGGTGCTCTAGGAAAAGGTATAAGGTCTCTAACGTTATCGTGGCCAGATAAATACATAACAAAACGTTCCCATCCCATCCCGAACCCCCCGTGTGGAATAGTCCCGTTCTGACGCAAACTGGTATACCATTCCATCTCCTCTATATTCATATTATGATCTTGCATAGAAGCAATCAAAGTATTGTAATCGTGCTCCCTTAACGACCCGCCAGCTAATTCCCCAAACTCGGGCAATAACAAATCAAAACATGCAACAGTCTGCTGCTTGGCGTTGTCGCAAGTTAAAGATTTCAACATGTAAAATGGTTTAACAGATTGTGGATAATCAGTAACAAATACAGGACCGTCTTTGGCCAAGTACCGCTCGTGTTCCAACAGCAAAGAATCACCAAATACCAATCCAGCACCAGCGTGTGTAGCCTGGTTCAACTTGTCAATTGCTTCCAGGTAGGATATTCTAGGCCATTGTGTCTCCTGGAGTACCGTTGACCATCTAGATTGTACAGCCTCTGAGTCAAAATATACCCCATTTAAATACTCCTCCTTAGACTCAACCAACTTTTTGGTGACATATCTAATCATCTCTTCAGTCAAGCATAAAAGTTGTTCTAAATTATCTACATAGGACACTTCAGCTTCAAGCATCCAAAACTCGCACAAATGTCTCGTTGTATTTGAGTTCTCAGCCCTGAAACAAGGAGTCAATGTCCACACTCTATTGAGCGCCAGAGCTAGAGCCTCAATATGTAACTGGGTTGATACTGTCAAATATGTACTTTTATTGAAAAACTTTTCCCCCTGTGCAATCTTAAAAGTCTCGCCAGCCCCTTCACAGTCAGAGCTGGTAATTATTGGTGGTGTTACCTTGGTAAAGTGCCGTTTGTTGAAAAAATCCATCATTTGTGTCTCCATAAAAGATCTTAGCCTGTTAAATGACGCAATTGTTGATGCACGATGCTTCAACCCCGGTATTGTTCGCAAAAACAGCATTGAAGTCGCCTTTTTTTGCAATGGGTAGTCTTCGGGTACGTCGCCTATAATCTTGTAAAAATGGCCCTGTTTATCGGGATTAAATCGAACTTCTTTATCTTGCCCCTTACCATTGCTCTTGACCCAATCTCCCTTGATCATAACACTTTGTCCAACTTGGAATTTCGGCTGGTTCTTAGTTTGGAGTACCACCTTAATTGTATCGGATGTTGTACCATCTGTTAGATCTAGAAATCCAACATTTTTCGACTTACGAATGCTCTTAATAAACCCCCGTGTTTCCAATATCGACTCATCTGCCGGGCATTCCAATTGTTCTTTAACCGTAAGATTTAGAGCTTTCGTTCTATATATAGAGTGACTAAACAGTCTCAATAAACAACTAAAACTGTTCGGTTGGCTGGCACAAAATGGCAGTCTAACAAATCTCATCACTAACAATGACCCCAGTTTTCATTGAAATTTTTCACAAACTGTTTGTTTGTTTGTTTGTTTTTATTTTTCATTTTTCGCAGCTATTTTGAGATGAGATGAGATGAGATGAGATGAGCTACAGGAAGTTATTCATTCCTAGCGTGAATCGAACAATAAAGTTGAAGGCTCTGGTTGTTTGAAAAGTTAAAGTCTTTAGTGCAATAAAGTTGAAGGCTCTGGTTGTTTGAAAAGTTAAAGTCTTTCGTGCAATAAAGTTGTTTATTAACTAGTACTTGAGCTTAAAAATGCACACACATCATTCACATAGTGGTGACTATATATCGCACGCAAAAGATCATCTAGAATCGATGATTGCCAAATATATTGAGATGGGGTTCAAAAGTGTTTGTTTAACCGAACATATGCCTAGATTATCAAACAATTTCTTATACCCAGAAGAGTTGGATAAATCATATACAATTGAAAACTTGCAAAAAGATTTCTTGAGTTATATTGATCACGCAGAGCGTGTTCAAAAATTGCATCACAGTTCGTTGCCCATACTACTTGGCTTTGAAATCGAAGGAATCAATGAGGAGCATATAAAGCACTCATTGCAGTTGATTAAACATCCAAAGATTCAAATGTCAGTTGGCTCCGTGCATTTTGTACACGAGATTCCAATTGATTTTTCAAGTGATTTATGGATGCAAGCCAAATCAAAAAGTGGAAAAGGATTGACCAGATCTTTGTACAAGGATTATTTTGATTTACAGTCCAGAGTATTGGATTTAGAACCCAATGTAGTAGGTCACTTTGACTTGATACGGCTTTGTCAACCAGCTGATGACTTCGATGAAACAACAAATAAATTAACAATAGAAGTTGACATTGAAAAAGATTGGCCAGAAGTTTGGCAAGTAATATCCAATAACATCATGAAAATAGTAAAGTATGGTGGATTGTTTGAACTCAACTCATCTGCAATTAGAAAGGGCTGGAAAAGTCCATATCCACAATGGGATATTGCAAAACGTATTGTAGACCTCAATGGTAAATTTTGCTTATCTGATGATGCGCATGCATGCTCCCAGATCGGGTTCGGCTACGACAAGGTTCTACAGTACGCGAAAGACCTTGGATTAACGAAATTGTATCATCTTGAAGCTTGCGATGGAGCTATAAAATGCGTTCCAGAAACCATAGAAACTATAGAAAAGACAACGTTTTGGAAACAGTTTTCATAGAAAAGAAAAAAAAAAAAGAGGAGTGGGGGTATTATTAACTCTTCTAATAAGATCTACCAAACATACAGTATGTTGATGCTGGCTTATCACATCTGACACATTTCTGATTCTCCTTTAGCTTAGGTTGTTCAAATGGAATACATAAGGACTTGGCACCCATGGATGGTGCTTTTTCGTCAACATCGACGTCTTCACCGTCGTCGTTCTTTGCGGAGGCATCTTTAATGTCATCTTCACAATCTGGTTCACCACACCATGGTGACAAAATGACATTTCCCTTATTCAAGGTTGGAACAAAATCCTTCCATTCGTCAACAGTAACACGGTGGTTGTCATATTCTTTTCTAGCCTTAGACAACAAGTCCGCTTGAATTTCGTCTAGTATTTGAGGGATTTTCGTTTCTAAATCTTCTAATTTAACGGTGTACTTCTTTCCGTCATTTCTTCTTACTGCAACTACTTCCTTTGATTCTAAATCCTTGGGGCCAAATTCTAAACGAAGAGGAACACCTTTCAATTCCCAGTCGGCGAATTTCCAACCGGGATTGTATGAATCCCTAAAGTCTCCAGTAGCTCTAATACCTGCTTTTTTCAATCTACTCTCGATATCCTCTGCTCCCTTGTTGATGTTCTTTCTCTGCTCGTCTGTCGTTTTTGCAGTTATACCAACTGGAATAACAACAGCTTGGATATGAGCAACACGTGGTGGCAATACCAATCCTTTATTATCAGAGTGAGTCATCACCATCACACCTATAACACGGGTTGATAAACCCCACGAGTTTTGGTGTGCGTAAATTCGCTCCTTATCTGCACCCTCGGGGTTCTCAACTGACATGTTGAACATTTTGGAGAAATTTTGACCCAAATGATGTGAGGTACCACCCTGGATACCCCTACCAGTAGCTGGAATAAAACCTTCTACAGTTGTTGTGTAGTCACCTCCGGCAAACTTTTCATTTTCTGTTTTCTTACCCTTGACAATAGGCACAGCCAATAATTCTTCGTAAATCTCTGCGTAATAGTCTAGGATTTGTAAAACTTCTTCTTCGGCTGCTTGTTTTGTCAAGTGAGCTGTGTGGCCCTCCTGCCACAAAAATTCTCTTGTTCTCAAAAATGGTTGAGGGTGTTTGAATTCCCAACGAACAACTGAGTTCCATTGATTCAACTTGATTGGTAAATCACGATGAGAACGGATCCATTTTGCATAGTATGGGTACATCACTGTTTCAGATGTTGGTCTAATAGCAATATGTTCTTCCAATTCGGAGCTTCCTGCTCGTGTGACCCATGCAACTTCAGGAGCAAAGCCTTCAATGTGGTCCTTCTCCTTCTCCAAGACTCTTTGCGAAACAAACATTGGAAAGTATGCATTTTGAACACCCAAGGATTTTATTTTTGCATTGAAGTAATCCTGAATCGTTTCCCAAATGGCATAGGAGGTGGGTCTGAGAATGTAACATCCAGAGACATTGTAGTAATCCAACATCTCACTTTTTAACACTACTTGAACATACCAGCTTGAAAAATCCTTTTCCTTGTCCACGGTAATACCTATTAATTTGGCATCTTCAATCTGAGCATCAGCTTTTTGAGCCGTTGACGCGGATTTCTTTTTGGTAGCTGGTGCTGATGCCGAGGCCGATACTGGTGGTGGTGGTGGAAGATCAGCATCGAAATCAGTATTGATTACTTCAATTCCGGTGGAATTCAAAAACTCAACGACAGACTTTGCAGGAATACACACGCTAGCCGTTTCCGTAGATAATTTCAAGTTTTTTTCTTCATCTTCAGCAGCTTTAACGATATTCACATCTAAGAGTATTTTGATTTTCCCCGCCAAGTCTTTATTCAAGTTGGCAATAGATACTTCCTTGGGAGACGTTTTGAAAAACTCATTAACAAGCGCCTCATTGGCTAATCTCGGTTCCTTGACATTTGCCGCTTTCGCAATAACAGGACTTGGTGTCAAGGTGCTTTGTAAGGCAAACACTAGTATAGGAATAGGGGTAGCGCTCTTAGCTGTCTTGGGTTTAAACACCAATGTCTTGGTTGGTAAAGCACTTTCATCTTGAGCTGATGTAGCCAACGATAGTTCCGCCAACGATTGCGCCAATGCCATACTGTCTCGTCCTTCTTTCCTACCTTCTAAACCTCTTCAATCTAAGAGAAAATTCCAATGGAGAGAAGGGGGGGGGGAAGAAGGTGTGGAGGGAGGAGGGAGGGGGAAATTAAAAAACTTTTTCCTGAAAAATTTCAAAATCGATTATTTATCACGTGACTACAATTCGAGATGGTATCACGTGACTACAAAGAAAGTCAGAAACAAAAAAAAAAATTGAAAAATGAAAAACTTCAATTGAAGTAATGATGAGATTGAAAAAAGTTTAGTTACTGCTTTTAAGTATATATTCACGAGTAGAAAGGAAAAGCCAATTGGGTTTGCACGATTCTTGAGGGTAATTTTGTTGAGTAAAAATGACTACTTTATACGTTAACGAAAAAACGGGGGTTGATAGCTCCGAAGTTAAAGGAACTGAGCAGGAGCCATTTGCAACTGCAGCTTATGCATTGTATACTAGTGCCAACGACGATAGCGTCAAAATATTGGTTTACAAAGAGTCTGACGAGGAAAAGAAGTCCGACGTTGAATTGGCGTCTCTGAAGGACAAGCCCGAGGTTGAATATGTTGAAATCTCGGCGTCTGCTTTAAAGAAAGCCAAGAAAGGTGCAGATGGTTTGAAAAAGAAAGCCGAGAAACAAGCTGCTGCTGCTGCTAAGTTGAAAGAAGAGAGTCTAAACTTGCCAAAAGTAGCAGAATTAGACTTGAGCTCCATTGAGGAGGATAAGTCCTTACCAAAAGCGAAAAAAATCAAATTGGCCAGCTTACAAGAAAACATTGGTATTCGGGTTTTGGTTCGCGGTTGGGTTCACCGTTTGAGAGTTCAAAAGGGATTAGCGTTTATCACTTTGAGAGACGGAACCGGGTTTTTGCAATGTGTTCTCACTGGAGATTTGGCCAAGGCCAAACAGACACAAGAGTTGACCATTGAATCCACGGTTGCTATAAAGGGGGTTATTTCCAAACTACCCGAAGGTAAAACTGCCCCAGGTGGAGTTGAGTTAAAGGCCGATTTTTACGAAATCTTGGGACTTGCACCAGGAGGCGAGGATGCTTTTACCAACAAAATTCAAGAGAATGCTGATCCTTCGTTGTTGTTAGACCAACGTCACTTAACCTTGAGAGGCGAAAGCATTTCCGCCGTAATGAAAGTTAGAGCTTCTTTCTTGGCGGCAATAAGAAGAGTTTACAAAGAAGAAGGACTTTTGGAAGTCACTCCTCCATGTATGGTGCAAACACAAGTTGAAGGTGGATCAACTTTATTCAAAATGGATTACTATGGAGAAGAAGCGTTCTTAACTCAATCGTCTCAATTGTATTTGGAGACCTGTTTGCCAGCTCTTGGTGATGTTTATTGTGTTCAGGAATCATTCAGAGCTGAGAAATCGCACACTCGAAGACATTTGAGCGAGTACACTCATATTGAAGCAGAACTTGCTTTCCTCACGTTTGATGAGTTATTAGAACATATAGAGACTTTGATTGTTAAAAGTGTTCAGTATGTGTTGGAAGATCCTGTAGCTGGAAAATTAATCGAGCAATTGAACCCAGGTTTCAAGGCACCACAGTTACCGTTCAAGAGAATGGAATACATAGAAGCTTTGCAATGGTTGAACGATAGAAACATTTTGAACGACGAAGGTAAGCCATTTAGTTTTGGTGATGATATTGCAGAAGCTCAAGAAAGGAAAATGGTTGATACCATTAACCAGCCAATTTTGTTAACTAGATTCCCCGTGGAAATCAAATCTTTCTATATGCAAAAATGCAAAGACGATCCAAGAGTCACTGAGTCGGTTGATGTTCTAATGCCCAATGTTGGTGAAATCACTGGTGGTAGTATGAGATCCTACAATTACGATGACTTGGTGGCAGGATTTAAGAGAGAAAATATCGATCCTGCGCCATACTATTGGTTCTTGGACCAACGTCGTTACGGTACCTGTGAGCACGGTGGATACGGTCTTGGTACTGAGAGAATTTTAGCATGGCTCTGCGATAGATTTACAGTGAGAGATTGTTCATTGTACCCTAGATTCACCGGTAGATGCAAACCATAAAAAAAAAAAAAAACTCTGAACAAGCTGAATCTATCAAGAATCAATAATGTTGAAAATTTTGAATACAAGAGATAACCTCTGCCTATAGAAAAAGAAGAGAGTATCAGATATAGCTGTAAAAACTCAAAAGTCAGTCAAGTTAAGCACAATTAGTAGCCACTACATTCCATCTCCCCATCTCTAAACACCCCATTCCCTCTTTTCTTTCCCTCCTTCCTTTCCTTCTTTCCTTTCCCTCTTTTCTTTCCCTTTTTCACATTATCAGCATTAAAATTGCCAAATGTTTTACAATGTGACTCATGCATCTTTTTGGGTAGCGACTGAAAAAAAAAAGCTCATTAGCCTTTCCATTTCAATAAGTGAATCTAGAGGTAATAAAACAATAGTGATATAGAGATATAGCAATGTCTGCACAGGATCAGCCAAGTGAAAGTAAACTTTGGGGTGGTAGGTTCACTGGGCCCACTGATCCCTTGATGGATCTTTACAATGCGAGCTTGCCCTATGATAAGATAATGTATGAGGCGGATTTGACTGGTACTAAAGTATATACTCAAGGATTGAATAAATTGAAATTGATTTCTGATGAGGAATTGGTCAAGATCCATGAGGGACTAGAAATTATCAGGCAGGAATGGGCTGAGAATAAGTTTGTTGAAAAGCCAGGGGACGAGGATATACATACGGCAAATGAAAGAAGATTAGGTGAGATTATTGGCAAGCATATTGCCGGGAAAGTCCATACTGGTAGATCGAGAAACGACCAAGTTGCAACAGATATGAGAATCTTTGTACGTGAGTCGTTGAAGAATTTGAGTCTCAAATTGAAGGCATTTATTGAAACAATTTTGAAGAGAGCTGAAAGTGAAATATCAGTATTGATGCCAGGATATACCCATTTGCAAAGAGCACAACCGATTAGATGGTCTCACTGGTTGAGTTCATATGCAACCTACTTTACTGAAGATTATAATAGATTGCAACAAGTTATAGAAAGAGTTAATAAGTCGCCATTGGGGGCCGGGGCCTTGGCGGGTCATCCATACGGTATTGATCGTGAATTTTTGGCAAAAGGCTTGAATTTTGACGGCGTTATAGGTAACTCGCTAACAGCTGTGAGTGATCGTGACTTTGTAGTTGAGACATTATTTTGGGGTACTTTACTCATGAATCATATTTCGAGATTTGCAGAAGACTTGATTATCTATTCCACAGCAGAATTCGGTTTTGTTAAGTTGGCAGATGCATACTCTACCGGTAGTTCGTTGATGCCGCAAAAGAAAAATCCTGATTCATTGGAGTTGTTGAGAGGTAAAAGTGGAAGAGTGTTTGGTGGACTAGCGGGTTTCTTGATGTCGACAAAATCTATTCCTTCTACTTATAACAAGGATATGCAAGAAGACAAAGAGCCATTATTTGATGCTTTGACCACTGTTGAGCATTCAATTTTGATAGCTACCGGAGTAATAAGTACCTTGACAATTAACAAAGAGAAGATGGAGGCTGCTTTGACCATGGATATGTTGGCTACCGATTTAGCTGACTATCTAGTTAGAAAAGGTGTACCATTTAGAGAAACACACCACATTTCCGGTGAATGCGTTAGAAAAGCTGAGGACGAAAAATTGAGTGGCATTGACCAACTTAGCTTTGAACAATTCAAAGAAATTGATGATAGATTTGAAAAAGACGTTATGGATAGTTTTGATTTTGAGGTAAGTGTTGAAAGAAGAAGCGCCATTGGCGGTACTGCAAAGAGTGCTGTTTTGAAACAATTGGAAAATTTAAAGGCCCAGATTAAGTAGCCTTTGTAGATTACCAGAAACAAAATTTGCAATATTGAATATTGAAAATACTGAGCTCATGTATTTTTATCTCCAATCTTTCTCAAAATTTGCAGGTATGTACAAATTTTTTTTTTTTTTTTTTTTTTTTTAAACTTGCTTGATAATGGGCTTTTGTTTGCACGGCATAATAGACAAATTTTAAATTGAACAGATGGAAGAAGATAATAGAAACAACAGCGGTTTTTTGGTTATTAAAAAATTGTTCAACGATTTGCTGTCCCGAATGTCCTTAACCTTTGTGTTATAGATTATTGGGTGCAAAAAAAAAAATAAAAGTTGAAAATTTTTTTTTTTTTTTGTTTATTACCTAGCTTTACTCATTTTACCTCTTCTTTTTTAGAATAGGGTAAAGAGATGTTATTGTAACCACTCGGCCTCTTTTGTGTTTGGAGCCAAACCCATTTGTTGTCACCCGATCAACTCAGATTCAAAGAAAAAGAAAGAAAAAAAATAATAAATAAAATCGTATTACAAACTATTTGCGTATAATTACATGCCAAAATATTAAATGCCAACAAAAACTAATAGAATCAACTCTATATTCATTTCTTTTCTCCAATAATAAAAGTTATAAAATGTTTTATCTCCGAGAATAAGTGGAATTACACCTTGATAACCAGACCATGCTCTTTTTCCTTCTCTTCATCCAATTACGCAGAGGGGAGGGGGACACACCGTGGGCTTTACTCACAATAATGTTAAACTAATTTGATCTTTAGTTTGCTCAATGCTCTTGTCAATAATTTATCTTTAAGCCTTCCTCTGGTAAATGCCAGCCCAATCTGAATATCCTTTTCATCCTTCTCTCCCTCAACATCATCATCATCATCTTCACCACCAACATAGTTGTAGCATGAATTATACTTATCTAATAGCATTTCGGAAGATTTTGGCAAACTTGAATTGCTGGATGAACTCAGATTTCTAAAGTATATATCAGTGTCAACTGGTTTCTCTTTTAGAAACTTATACCAATCCATTTCCTTTTGCCATAATTCCTTTCTGCCCTTTTTAAACTCTTCTGTAATCCTGTCCAAATCAATGATTGGTGTAAGTGGTACTAATTCTTTTGGAGGATTCCTAATAACATTTATCTGTTTCCGAGCCTGCTGCCTATTTAGAACTTGTTGCTCAGGAGGCTTTGGAGAACTGGAACAGGAACTAGTACTGATTTGCATAGAGGGCATCAACGATAGTACCGATATTTCACTATCGTGAGGTCTCAAGTCTATGGAGTGAGACCTTCTGTGGTGAGTTCCGTACTGATAGTTTGGACTGGAGATTACGTTTTGCAGCAGCAGTTGTTGTTTCTGTAATTGTTGCTTCTGTTTCTGCCACGATTCATTCCTCATTCTGCACATTCTTGGAACAGGAGTGTATGCCACCTATAATTCGTTTACAGAATGTTCAAAAGGTTGGAAAAGTCCATCATATTTATACAGATTGGAAAAGTCCATCATATTTATACAGATTGGAAAAGTCCATCATATTTGTACAGGTTGGAAACTCATTTGTCAATGCACATACTAATAGCATGATAATTATTGGTTTATGATGCAATTAATCTAGACTCATTTAATAAATGTATTCACACAAAATATCTTCGTGGTAAAAGGTATTGCAATATCTGACATTTCTCCGTTTATAATACTCTTTTCTTTCCTTCTTTTCAATTGTTTAGATTCACCAATATCATGACGTATACTTCAATCTAAAGATCACTCTGGTTCTAGAATTCCAGTTTTCTGCCAATGAGGGTTATAGTTTAGTTCCAACACTTGCCTCAACAGAGGCAAAAGGAAACATACAAAACACACACACACACACACACACACCTTGTTAACTCCATTGGCAAATAACACTTTGTAACCTTCTCTAATTCCGAGCGACAAGCCTTTGACACACAGATTCTAACACATTATAGCTTATCCTTGCATAAGACCTTCAATCGTTGAAGTATATGCTATTAGCACTTTTCATAGCAATAAAATCGAAAACCAAGACAATCACCTCTACTAAATCAGGAAGAAATGGTGAACTATGGAAACCACTATTACTGATCCCAGCTTTTTGTTCCATCACAACAATTTGTCTCTCTATTGTATAGTCTCTTGACAATGTTATAGCAACAGCTTCTCTGATTGCCCTTAACTCCATCGGAAATAATACTTTGTAACTTGTCTCTGATTTTGACATACAGATTTTGACATATTATAACTTATCCTTGCATGAAAACCTTGAAAGCACTCCTATTCAAGACTCTTTTTACAAATCTTTTTTCCCTTTATATTCATACACTTGTTTAAAACATTAATACATCGTTAGATTTGGTTTGCGGCCCGCGGTGAAAAACCGAAAACCAAAACCGCTTGAGGGAGGCAAAAAATAAAAAAATAAGGGGGTTTAAAGGCAACGTTTTATCGTTCGTGATGATTTTTTTGGAAAAACAAGTTGGTGATAATATGATATACGCAACGCTAAAATATGAGGCGTAGCCATGACAGAATATGAGGCATCTACATATAGCAAAAGAGTACTTTACCAATGATTTCAAGGCAATTGATCAATGATTTCAAGGCAATTGACCAATGATTTCAAGGCAATTGACTAATGATTTCAAGGCAATTGACTAATGATTTCAAGGCATTTGACCAAGTTTCTCTATCAACAGAAATCGCTCTATTTTGATAGAAATAACTCTTTAATGTTGAGAGTAATTGCCACTTGATTATTCTTAGTAGAGCAGCTTGTAGCAAAAATGTAAAAACAACAACAGTTTATTGCTCAAGATCATTTCGAGATCATTTTATTTGTCAGTTTTGAATAAAAATTATATATGATCTTGTATAAAAAATTAGAGGAAAGTAATAAGTATTTCGAAAATCCCTTACCGAGAAGTATTATTTGAGAAATTGGGTATAGAGCCGCTACATACCCGCGGACCCATACCTGTGGACCCATACCCGCAGACCTCATATAAGGCTTTCAAAGCTTATTTTTTTTTTACCACTTATTATTTACAACCTATATATTACTGCTTATTAATTTACCACTTAAATATTACGGCTGAATATTTACTACTTAATTTTACTTATTGCCGAATTTTACTGCTGAATATTTATCTTACTCTGCTCGATAGGGTTGTAGCAAGTTAGTCTTTACTAGTGTCTTTTACTAGTGTCACACTTTGCTAAATTTTTACTTACTACTGCATTTTACTTACTACTGTATTTCTTTGCTATTGAATTTTTATATACCACTAAATTGTATTTACTACTTGTTTGATCTCTAATTTCTCTCTACTCTCACTCTTTATATTCTTTCTCTACCCTCTCTATGCTTTCGCTTTATGTTCTCTCTCTAATTCTCTACATTCTCTATATGTTTTTCTAATTTCTCTATGTATTCTCTCTATATGTTTTCGCTTTATATTCTTGCTAATATTCCTGCTTAATATTTTCTCTTTATTCTCAGATTTTTCTCATAATATATGCAACCACTCTAATACACTTCTCTGCATATTCATGTTGGTCCACTATCGAGCAGAGCGAGATAGTATTGTAACAAGATAGTCTCGCTCTGCTCGACACTATGTCGCTCTGCTCGATAGTGTTGTAGCAAGCTACAAAGTGTAAGTGGCAGCTAGTCAGTGTGTAAACTATATTAATTATATAGTGATAATATTTGATTGGCGACACTAGCTCGCTTCGCTCCCTAGTGGAGCAGTATGTAGAGTGGTGCGTGATTGCGTACCACTATCTCGCTCTGCTCTATAATGTCAGCCATATCACGTGATGCAATGTACCTTTAAAATCAAATTTGGTTGTAAAAATTTGGTTGTAAAAAATTGGTTGTAAAAAATTGGTTGTAAAGAATTGGTTGTAAAAAATTGGTTGTCAAAGGTGTTGTCAAACTCTAGCTTCTTCCTAAGTTCTTGCTAGTCTCTGAGCTCCAGCAACACTTAGTAGCTTAACAGGCTAGTAGCTTAGTAGGCTAGTAGGCTAGTAGGCTAGTAGCTTAGTAGCTTAATAGGTTGTTACGACACTATCTCACTCTGCTCGATAGTGTCGGTTAGTGGCATTTTTTTTTGTTGCAAAAAAAACGCTGCTTATACATAGTACACACTAATCAGTCACATACTAATCAGTCACATACTAATCAGTCACACACCAAATCAGTGACACATACACATATCTCACTCCCCCACTTGTCTCTAGAGCTTCTAATAGGCTAATATGGGAGAGACACAACTTTAGGGAGGTTTGTATACAAAATTTAACCTCCTTTTCTTTTATTTAATTTATTTCCATTCTTTCTTTGTTTTTTGTTGCAAAACTTTTTAGTTGAAACCATACACATCAATAACCACTCCAATATTTATACCACCGTTGGTGATGACACATACAAGAGAGCATACGGATCAGAAGGCTGGGGGGGCTGGCTCCGTATGCCGCACAAGTTCCTTTTTACATGATATTTCTAGGAAATTGAGTAAAGAGCCTCCCTCACCTCAAACTATGCATTTCAATGAGTTTGCATGCACTTTTGACAAGGTGTTTGAATTTCTAAATTACAAGAATATAAACGTTCAATGTGACTCGCTGCTTGATTTCATTACTCCTGGTTTGTATTATTATAGCAAAAGTGGCTCAAACAAGCTGGTTTTGCCTATTTTGAGCAAAATATGTTGGTGCTATATTCATCACCACCAGCTCGACATTAATATCCTTCTAAACAAGCTTCCAGAGTTTAACTTTGAGTGCCACTCCAAGCTACAGTATTCAGAAGCATGGTATCTTAATGTGGCGCCAATCAATTGCAACGAAAAGGAGGATATGCCAATCAATTGCAACGAAAAGGAAGAACTTGCATTCAATTCCAAGGGAAAAGACACCGTTACATTCAATTCCCAGGGAAAAGACACCATTACATTATATTCAAACTTTTTGGGACAAATACAGTCCTTTTTCACCACTTACCAAAAAATCATTTCAAGTGATTGTGACATTCTTGCAAAATGCGTCGATTTGATCAAGCTAACTCCTGATGAAATCGACAAGACGTGGCTAAGTAGAGTTCTTTGTGCAGATTTCTTAAACACTTGTGCAAATAATCGAGAGCTGCATCCTGCTTATTCTTATATCAAAGCACTCATCAAAGTCAATCGCACAATATCGTTGGCAGATTCCCTCAAGTTTATATTACAGGTACTTGACCAAGGTTCAATTGAGCACGTATCAACAGCAATAATAACCAAACTAGAGCTTGCAACAACAAAGATTCTCAAGTCTTCAAAAACAAACGTTTATAGCACTTTTAACAATTTGCATTCGAGAATCTCAATTCTTACTGCACTCAGTTATCTCAATTACCTACTAAGCGATACCATAATTGAACACTACATGGACAAGATGCCTACCTCAATTTTTACAAATTTCAAATCATTCAAGTTGCCACCTTTGGCCAAACCGCAGGAGTATACAACGAACACAAACAATACCGACGCTTATGCTTATGTTGCAAATTATGAAAAATTATTCATCTTGCAGTATAGAGTTTTGCAACTAATTGAGCAATACGTTGAAAATGAGGTCAAATACATGGAGATGAAAAACAATTCGAGTATAAAGATTTACAAAAAGTCACGAGCAGTATTATATGAGACTTTATTTGCCAGCTTAATATCGAGTCTCATCTCGGCAGAACAATTGGATAATGATAATAATGACAATAATGGTGGTGGTGGTGGTTTTGGTCTTGTAAAATCGCGCCACGCTTACTTCATTTATACCATTTTCGCTAAAGTATTCAGTTTACAACGAGAAGAGAGAGCAAATCTCTGGGTCTTTCTAATCAACAGTGCCAACGATATCTGCTATGGGGATTTGAGATACATTCCATTATTTATAAATTTGTTTCATAACCAAATAAATAAGGACCCCAGAATCATGGATGACAATTTAGTCCGCAGTGGGCTTCAGTTTTTCATTGACACTTTTAAACCAAATCATGAATGGTCCAAGATGTTTACTGAGGATATATCCAATCAAACTCTCAATGCTACTCTGTTTAGGCACATTTATGATAGCTATACGAGTTAAATGTTAATGAATCTAATTGCTAGTAATAGCTGGAAAAAAAAAAAAAAAAGAAAAAGAAAAAGAAAAAGAAAAAGAAAAAGAAAAAGAAAAAGAAAAAGATGCTACCAATACTCATCTCATTATTTTTCACTTTAGATATCATAAACAGCTCTTCTTCTATTTCTTCTTCTTCTTCTTCTTCTTTTTGGTTACCATTGCTTAAATATCCTGGTAATGGTTCTTAAATCCACTTCAGCAGGAAATGTTTCAATATATCAAGTTTCGGGATCTAATGTCTCCCGATCTTTACCAGATTGGATTGCAAAGAAACGTAAGAAGGCACTTAAACAGGATATAGACTACTCCAATCGTATTGAATTAATACAAGATTTTGAGTTTAGCGAAGCATCGAATAAGATAAAAGTATCACCAGATGGACAATACTGTATGGCTACTGGGACGTATAAACCTCAGATCCATGTTTACGACTTTGCCAACTTGTCACTAAAGTTTGAGCGTCATACGGACTGCGAGAATGTTGATTTCGTTATATTAAGTCAAGATTGGACCAAGTCTGTGCATTTACAAGTAGACAGAAGTATCGAGTTTCAAGGAAAAGGTGGGTTTTACTATAAAACGAGAATTCCCCGTTTTGGAAGAAGTTTGTGTTACAATGAGGTAAGCTGCGATTTGCTAGTAGGAGCACTGGGGAACGATTTGTATCGCTTGAACTTAGAGCAAGGAAGATTTTTGAATCCGTTTCGATTAGACACTGAGTTGGGTGTCAACTCAGTGACTATAAACAAAGTACATGGGCTAATATCTGCCGGTTTGGAGGATGGGGCTGTGGAATTTTGGGATCCAAGGTCAAAATCAAGAGCTGGGAAACTATGGATTGATGAGCAATTAAACGAGCTGGGTATACAGGTATCATCAGTCAGTTTTCGCCAAGATGGGCTTAATTTTGCTTGTGGTACATCAAGTGGAAAAACTTTACTATATGATCTCAGGGCGAACCAACCTTTGTTAGTCAAGGATCAAGGGTACGACTATGACATTAGGAATATTATTTGGCTAGAAAATACTTTAAATCCAAACGCTATTTTGACTAGCGATAAGCGTATTGCAAAAATATGGGATCGAAATACGGGAAAGCCGTTTGCATCGATGGAGCCAAGCGTGGATATCAATGATGTATGCCACGTTTCAAATTCGGGTATGTTTTTTATGGCCAATGAGGGAATGCCAATGCATACATACTATATACCGAACTTGGGTCCGGCGCCAGCTTGGTGTTCCTTTTTGGATAACGTAACTGAAGAGTTGGAAGAAAAGCCATCGAATACAATATATTCAAACTATAAGTTTATCACAAGAGACGATGTCAAGAAACTAAGCTTGAGCCATTTGATTGGATCGAAAGTGTTGCGGTCATACATGCATGGTTTTTTCATTGATACCGAGTTGTATGAAAAAGTTAATCTCATTGCCAATCCTAATTCTTTGCGTGACCAACGAGAACGTGACATTAAAAGAAAGATTGAAAAGGAGAGAGAATCTAGAATTAGGAGTACTGGTGCTGTTACAAACACCAAGATCAAGGTCAATAAAGAATTGGCTTCTCGACTCCAAGACAAGGTTGGAGGAGATATGGCTGAAAGCGTTATTAACGATGATAGATTTAAGGAAATGTTTGAGAATCCCGAATTCCAAGTTAATGAAGAATCTCATGAGTATAAACAATTGAATCCTGTTAAATCCGCTGAAAAAGATGTTACTAGATCGAGAGGATTAACAGCGGCAGAGGAATCAGATGAAGAGAAATTTAATAATACCAACGGCAATACGTATCATGGCTCTCAAGATGAAGAAGAAGAAGAAGAAGAAGATGATGATGACAGTGACAGTGATGAAGAGGAGAGCGAGGATGAGCAAATTGTCAAGGCAAATAAAGCGAAAGTAGATAAACAGCTCGCCAAGTTGCGTCAAAAGAAAGAAGAAGAGAAGAGGTTTCAAAATGAGATGAAAGCGTTGGCCAAGGAAACACCAAAACAATCCTTACAGGCTAAAGAGTCGTTTGCTTCGCAAGTGAAGAAGCTACAACACAAAGTAGTGAAACCGAGAGATGATTCTAGGTTACAGAGACATGCTCGAGGTGAAGCTGAGCTTACGTTTATCCCCAAAAAGAAGGAAAAGAAGTTTAAACCAAGCACAAACTACAACGACAATGTTGACGGGTCAGGTGGTGATAAAGGCCGGTCGAAACAACGATTCAGTGGCCGTAGAATTGCTTCAAAGAATCAATTCCGCGGTATGTAGTGTACGTAAAGAATAAGAAAACAAATGTAACTGTTCTTTAGAACACTAACTCTTGAGGTTATCATCTTGAGGTTATCATCTTGAGGTTATCATCTTGAGGTTATCATCTTTTGTTATTTGGTCGATATTCGTCAGCCTTCCTCATCGCGGGGCCGTTGAAAAAAAAAAACAAAACCTACGCATAAGAGTAAGAAGGAATTCTTGTACATTTTGATGATGATGATGATGATAGTTATTACCCCTTAGCACTAGGCAGATGTCTCTTAATAATTTTCTTAGACAGCAAAAGAAAGAAGCCGGTGTTATTGAAACAAATCCTCAACTTCGCCCCAGGTATGTACAAAAAGTGACATCGATACCACAAGCTGAGAAATGGCGGAGTATAGTTGTAGGAGAAATATCATCGAAGTTGACGCAAATCAACGATGCTACTTTGAATGATGTGCGGATTCGGGAGTTGAATGATGAGTTGAACAAGTTGTTCAAGGATAAGCGAAGTTGGGAGTATCACATAAGGGAGCTTGGCGGTAACGATTATATCCATACAGGTAGAGATATGATCAATACTGGAGTCGATGTTGCAGGATGGAGATATTTTGGTAGAGCAAAAGAATTACCAGATGTTAAGGAAATGATTGAACTGAAAAAGAAGCAAGAGAAGCAAAAAGGAGGAAGGAAAGGATTTGTGTCTAAGGAAACAGCACTAAGTATACGGAAGAAAAAACTCGATGATTTTTACTACGGCAAGGAAGATGATAAAGAGCTTGTTGAGTTTGAGCAAATACGAAGTAAAGAAATGGCAACTCAAACTGAAGCATCTTCTAGCCAAACTGAAATTGAGGTAGAAGACGCCAACCAAACACAAGTCAAATTAGAAGAGTTACCAACGAATGAACAAGTTTCTAAATGGTTAGTTGACAAAAAGAGGAAACAGCTTATGAGTAGATTAGGATTATAAAGCAATTTCTTTGACAAAACAAAAAAAAAACTACACACACTATCAAGCAGCACTGACTAGCCTTCTACTATTATCTGCTGGTCTCCTCCTTGTCTCAGTCAATGATCTCCAGGATACTATCGACTATAATCACCCCATTTATTCGGTACATTTCATCGGTGTCATTAATCTTTTCTGGATCAACGCTTTTACATAAACTTTTCACCACATAAGTTTTAAACCCACTTTTGGCACAGTCAATAGCAGAGTGCATGACGCAATAATCGTAAGCCAACCCAACAAAAACAGCTTCATCTATTTTATTAGTTTCCAAAACCAGTTTCATCTCGGTATGATGTAAACCCCACGAGTCCTGAAAACATGAATAGTATTCCCGGTCTTGCAAATAACCCTTTTTAATAACTACTGCCTTGCTTATGGCGCCATTTTGCACCTTTTCCAATTTATTTGCAAACGATGGTGCAAAACAAGCACCATGGGTTCCTTGTATGCAATGGTCGGGCCATACAACTTGTGTTTTAGTTTCTCCTGTTTCAGGATTTTGAAACTCGAGCTCAGTGAAAGGTGAGACTGCATGTTGAGACGCAAAAGATGTATGGTTTGCAGGATGCCAATCTTGTGAAGCAACAACCAAGTCCCATTTCTTCAATTCCAGTTCACAAAGTAGCTCATTTATAGCCGGAACAATGGTCCTCCCATCTTGTATTGCTAATGAACCATTGGGAGGAAGAAAATCCTCTTGCAAATCAATTACCACCAATGCTCTTTTGGTCATTGTTCAAACTAGCCTTTGGTACCTTGTTTAATCTTTCAAGAATTCAAGATTCCCTTTTGGGAAAATTAATGAAAAAAAAAAATGAAAAAATAAAATTAACCCATCACCATAATTTTGTTAGTTAAAACTTTTCACTATAAGAAAGATAATTGAGCAGTTTTTAGTTAGATGCACTGTTATGCAAGAAGGGATGGAGTAAAGTATTTTACTTTAGTCGCTAACTTTGTTAACTTTGTTAACTTTGTTTTGAACCAATAGTATGGTGATTGGAAACTAAAGTTTGGTTTAGAATTGTTGGTATGGAATTTGAGACTTTGTTGGTTAGGTTGAAAATTTTGAATGTAAAGTTGTGTTATTGGTGGTTGTCGCGGTAGTGACGGTTGATTTTCGGATACAGCATCCTGACGTTATTTCGTTATTTAGGTGCTAAATGTGTTTATTAAGGTGTTATTGGGCACAAGGCGCCGGAAATACGTGGATTATGAATTGTGGGTTGTGGAATGTGAGTTGTGGAATGTGAGTTGTGGAATGTGAGTTGTGGAATGTGCATTGTGAAGTGAATTGTGAATTGTGAGTTGTGCATTGTGAAGTGAATTGTGGACTAAGGACTAAGGATTGAGGGCTTAGAGACTATTTGAGCCATTGGTTAGACGTGTCATCCATTAGCCAGTATGCGTGGGAACCTGCTGACTGGAAACTGTGACTTTTTTTTGCATATTCACGGGTGTTGCTTTTGTTCTGTTACTTAAAATCCATGGACTACGCTGTTATTTCAATATCAATTGGTGGTTAGAAGAGGAAATAGTCTATATGCAAAGTGGTTGAATGATATTAGAGTACTAAAACGAAAAATCATCAAAATATCCCAGCGACTCGGTTAAATGTGAAGGAAAGAATAGGAGAGAAAGGAAAATAGGGAGAGGGTGGGAAAGAAGAGAGAGGGGAGAAGAAGAAAAAGTGAGACAAGGGAGAAAAGGGGAGGGTTTAAATCCATTTGCTCTCACGGTATACGGTATATTGTGGTTGAATAAAGCTGGTTTTATTAACCACCACTCCTTTACCAATTTGTTTTTAGGGGAGAACTGTGGTATGTTAAAATTTGTGATATAAATATCGGACGAAATGTCCTTTCTGTAGAGGTTGATGTTATTGTTCCTTACAACATAAACAATCAATTCAAATTTTAATAAAAAGATGCCAGGAAACAACAACAACAACAAACAAAACCCAGTCGCTCAAGGAAGCTATGATAAGAAGGTTGATGTTTTAGGAAAGAGAGCTGTTGATGCTGAAGTACAACAACAAAAGGCTAGCAACCAAAATGCCAACAATTCTGGTAAGAAATAAGCTTGGTTTTTTCTCTTCTTATTGGTTTGGTGCCGAAGCTAAGATGATTAGAGCTATTTCGATCAACTTTTGATAATCTATATATTATTTCAATAGACTGTATAAATTGTTTCAGTGTGAATACTATATGTTACTTTTGAAAGTTTTGAAAACTCGTAGCAGAAGAAACCTCAAACTTACTAGCTCGTCTATAGTTGTCATCTTTTTCATCTAAACTGAGCCTCTAATTTAACTCTTGTATATATACCTACTTATTCACCCATGCGTTGCCACAAATACACGTTCTTTGGAAAACCATTGTCCACAAACCGATAGTTGTTGGTTCGTAAACCAATAAATCACTAACCAATGAAATGGATCCACATCTGGTACACCTTCTGACTTTTTCGTCAAAAATATCTATTTTCCTTAAGGCATCTATTTCTACTTTTTTCTCAACATTACCACCACTCTTGTAAGGACCCAAACCCAACCATTGTGTATTGTAGAAAAATAGCTCAGAAAGTTTTATTTCCTTTGTCACATTTATAGTATATCTATCAACAATCAATTTTGCAACGTGCTTAACTTCAGAAACATCTCCCAAGATCAATTTTTGCTCCACTTTCAAGGAGTACCCTTTTTCCTTATCGGAGAATCTCAATGTTTCCTTGGATATCAAAGCATCGCATTCACGTAGATAGTTTTCAAACAAGTTTAATGTAATCGGGGCATTGTTGACAATGGTAAAATATCTATTCAACGAGTCTTTCATTGGTGTCAAAAGTTTGTTACTTTCTGCCAAATCCTTGTGTAACTTTTTCAATATCTCATGTGTTTTACCCATTGATGTGATGGCATACATGAGAAATAGTCGCGGGAGTTTACTCAATATAACAGGTATCACTACTGAATTTGATGTATCAAGCTTGTTGCTCTCGTTTTGAAAAGATAATCGTAGTAGTTCTTGGTTGAAATAAGTCATGAGGTCGATTAACCATTTAATATTACCAATTAGAGACAAGATACATTCTGCACGAGTTATTGAATCTTGCATTGTGTCTTCACTTGGTTTCTTTCTCGATATTTGTCGATAAATACTTGATAAGGAAAACATTATGGCAAAATTGATGCTCCTCAAATTCAATACTATCCATGCAATATTCCTCATTGTTGAGTAACCTTGAGCTTCTCCAATGGTTAACTGCAAAGAGAGCAATTTTTGCAAAGGGGGATTGGATAGTAGCTTATCAACAGATTCTTTACCAAAAGCATCAAGTTGGAAATTCATGGACTTGTGGGATTCACTAATGATAGACTCAACAAATTTTTGAATTATTAGATTAACATTCTTAACGGGCGTCTGCTCTAAAAGTAGGCGTCTCAATCTGTCAATCTCAGATTGTATCAAGATGACCAAGTCGTTGGAGCAGATGCTTGTATAGCATGCATAAGCATGTATAAAGGCAAAAGCAACAGTCGTAGCAAAAAGCTCCTTTGGTTGAAAACTCAAATTGCGTACTTTTTCGATAGGCTTTAATATTAGATTGGTGTTGTCACCGTACATTTCAGTATAAACAAGCAAGGTCATATTCGGTGATACTGCCATAATCAACAGATTTGTATGATCTATTGCTGGAAACGTGTATCCGATATCAAACATTGTGGATATAGTAGCAGGCGGAAACTCCCTTTCTGTGTTTAGAATTTTCAATGTCTTATTGTCAATGACATCAATGTGGCCGCTCTGATACATTACAAGAGTGTACAAATCGGATGGCCCATTCACTATAGATTGGATTTGGCCCGGTCGCGTTAGTTTATCCATAAACTCAATCGACTTTGCTTGAACTTTCTCTTCTTCTGTCACTGCTGCGCTTTCTGTTGTTTTCCTTAAGCGGATAAACGCGTCCGATAATAGATCCCCCATATTGACCAATTGATACCTAAATATTGTAGATCCGTAGCTTATTAATATACTCAACTTGGACTCCTTATCTGCATTAGCAGACACAATGTCAATTGAAGTCAACTCGTTTCTGTGTTCATTTGTAAATTCTGGAATTGGTTTCATTTGATGAATCTTTTGCAATTTCAAAGTAGGCAATTTTTGATTTTCCTTTGGGGTATGATAGTGGGGGTCAGTCTTTTGACTCTTTGCCGATTCAATTAGAAATCCCCAATCAATAGTTATTGAATATGTAATTATATCATCCGATAGCGAGTCCCATATAGTTACAATTATCTCCTTATCGTTTGTGAACCCAATTGATGCCTTGTCTATGAGTAACGGGTCCAGACTTAAGGTCAAGAATGTTTTATGATACTCCACTTTGTGTTCTCCTTGGTAATACAACATAAACACTCCGTTTTTTCTCAATGCAACACAAGCTTGTTTTGTGGGTATAGGGTGTGATATTCCGTGGGGGGCATATTGGCTCATTCCGTAGTTGTACAAATAAGATTCTTCCAAATTGACCAACGAGGCTGGTTTATTCAATATTTGAGATTTCTCTATATTTAGCCATTTGAACGAAACAATCAATGCTCCGGGATTGATAGGAGAGTTGATATCCTGGTTTATTATATCGCGATAAATCATTTCCATATGGTTATAAGATGTCAACTCGTAACTGGGAGAAGAGTCCTTTGTCTCCAACAAACGAACTCCCGCTAATAAGATATAAAAGTTCCCATAAACGTCAGATACAGCAAGATTCGTATTCAACATGCTCCATGATACAAGCGATATCTCGGGTAGAAAGCTATTGGCAAGCTTTACGTTTATCGGCTGTGGCTCTGCTAATGACCAGTTTTCACCATCCTTATTTTCAAGATATGTCAAAAGTAAATTGTATTCAAATGTCTTTACTGGAGGAACATAAACAATAAAGCCATTCTTTGACCACGAAATTAAGCACAGAGGATTAACATCCTGAATGTACCGATTGGTATTTTCCATATTATATAGCTAACAACGTACCAAAACCCCTAACCTTGACCTAGTTGAAAGACCTTACAAACATATATTCGTTTTATAAAAAGTCTTCTTTTATAACTTGGTTCAGTTTTTTTTTTCACCATAATAAAAAAAAAAACAAACCATCCATACTACAAACTACAAACTACAAACTGCAAACTACAAGCTACAACGTCTTGAAGAGCTATAAAGGAAACTTTTACAAACATTTGAGTCTTGTTTTAGATCTCTAGTTGGGTTTATTCTCCTGGAACTGGGTAATTGTTGGTCCATTCAGCAACTCTTTTACCTAAATCCTTAACCTTTGAGCTATTATCAGCCAACTTTTTGAAAGATGCAAGTAACTCTTTAGGGACTTTACCTTCTTCTTGTTTCTTTAGCTCGATAGATATAGCCACGGCTTCGTCGATGAGATCGGCTACTTTTGTGAATTCTTCGAATCCAAACCCTCTTGTTGTCATTGCCGGAGTACCAACTCTCAATCCCGAAGGGAAAAGAGCGCTTGTATCACCAGGGATGGTGTTTTTGTTGGCAGCAATATTGGCTCTTTCCAAAACGGCTTCAACACGAGCACCGTCGATATTTTTTGATCTCAAGTCAACCAAGATCAAATGCGTATCGGTGCCTCCAGATACTAATTTGAACCCCTTGTTTACCAAGGCATCAGCAAAATGTTTCGCATTGGCAACAACTTCTTCTTGATACTTCTTGTACTCTGGTTCGGCACACTGTTTCAAAGCAACGGCTAAAGCAGAAATAGTGTGATTATGAGGACCACCTTGATGACCAGGGAAAACTGAAAAATTGATTCTTCTCTCTAAATCGTATGGGATCTGCTTTCCCTTTTTGGTCACTTTTCTAATACCCTTTTTAAAGAAAATCATTGATCCTCTTGGACCTCTTAATGACTTGTGCGTAGTAGTTGTAACAATATCTGAAAAGGGAAATGGTGAAGCAGTCACACCAGCTGAAACCAATCCTGAAATATGAGCCATATCAGACAATACATAAGCACCCACTTTATCTGCAATTTGCCTCATTCTCTGGTAGTCAATAACTCTTGAGTATGCCGAAGCACCAGCAACAATCACCTTGGGTCTAAACAATTGAGCATTTTTCTCCAACGTGTCATAGTCAATCACACCTGTTTCCTCGTTTAATCTGTAAGGCATGGTTTGGAAGTATTTAGAAACAAACGAAATCTTTGTTGTATTTGTTTGATATCCGTGTGACAAGTGACCTCCATGAGGCAAGTCCAAACCCATGATTCGATCACCAACTTCCAAAATGGCAGAATACGCATACAAGTTGGCAGGAGCTCCAGACAATGGCTGTACATTAACACCCCATTCATCCGGGTTCAACCCAAATGCTTCCAATGCCCTCTTTTGGCATAAGGATTCAGCCTTATCAATAATCTCGTTACCTCCATAGTACCTTTCCCCGGGGTATCCTTCGGAATACTTGTTTTGCATTTCAGAACCTAACAATTCCATAACCGCTTTCGATGTGAAATTCTCAGAAGGGATCAAGGTAATAGAATTCTTCTGCCTAACTCTCTCCTGGTTCAAAATATCTGCCATTTCAGGATCAACTTCTTGAACAGATTTGGAAACTAAGGCCTGAGCAGAGGGTGAAACAGCATACTTCCTGATGGACTGTAACTTTGTAGATTGGGCCCTAAAGGCACGCACGGTGGATGAAAGCATACTTGGCAGGAAATGAAAAGGCAAGGAGGAGGAAACAAAGGCTCTGCTAAAGAAAGAGAGGTGGGGCTAGTATGGCGTGGTATCGAATAAAAAAATTCCTTTGGGTGAAATTTTTCATCCCCGTGTCACGTGATTCGACACACATTCACTATCGAGCAGAGGGAGGAAGTGGTGTAATCAAGCTCGTGTGTTTCACTATCGAGCAGAGCGAGATAGTGGGGTAATCGAACTCGTATTTTTCACTATCGAGCAGAGCGAGATAGTGGTGCGATTGAACTCGTGTGTTTCACTATCGAGCAGAGCGAGATAGTGGTGTAATCGAACTCGTGTGTCGATAGTGTCGGTGGCAGCTAGTGTCGGTGGCAGTCAGTGCTGCTCCACTATCTCGCTCTGCTCGATAGTGTCGATAGTGTTGGTGGCAGCTACTGATGCTCCACTATCTCGCTTCGCTCGATAGTGTCGATAGTGTCAATAGTGTCGACAGTGTCGGTGGCAGTCAGTGCTGCTCCACTATCTCGCTTCGCTCGATAGTGTCGCTCGATAGTGTTAATAGTGTCGATCGAGAAGGTAAGTTTATGTATAATGCCACAGTTTGTATTGTTGCCACAGGAATGGATCAGCTCGAACCATGGGTCTTGCATAATCGCCGATATACTCAATCTCTGTTTCGAGTTGATTGCCAAAATTTGACTTATTGGCATTTCCATCAGTTGAGTTTCCGAGTAACTTTTGAATTTCTGATTGTTATGTCGAGCCAGCTCCCATGGGAATTCGTCCTTGAGAAAGAAATACAAGATGATTCCAATGGACCAAATATCCGTTGCTTTGCCATCATATTTCAAGCTTGCAAATGTCTCTGGCGCAGCATACTTTTCTGAGCCAACCAATCCAATCGATTGTCCCTGTTTCAAAGTTACTTCCTCTGCAGTAGCGAAATCTATAATTTTCAAATGCCGAAAGTCCAAGTCAAACACCAAATTCTCCAACTTCAAATCCCGGTGACATATATTTAAAGAGTGGAGATACTGCACTCCCTGGCATAATTGTTTCCAGATACACAACAATTCATCAACACTATGAGATGCAGTGGTTTTTAGCAATTTTGACAAATGTTCAGTTCCTGCCTCCATATACAATTTCACCTTAGACCCCAACTTCAGCTTTTGGTATTTGTAAACCGTAATGATATTTCTATGGCAGAGATTCAGTAACATAGCATGTTCATGGAGCACTCGTTTTCGAAACTCGTCTTTACTTTCAAAAGTCTCCTTGGTATGGTACACTTTCACCGCGTAGGGCACTTTGTGCCTATCCATATACAACTCAACATACCCACTTATCCCTTTACCTAGTGTGCAAACCTTCTTATCAAATCTTGAGAATCTGGGTACCGGTGCCAAAGGTGATACCGCCGTTGCTGTTGTAGATAACATATCTTTACTGAAAGAAAAAAAAAACAAGTGGTGAAAAACTGGATTGTCGGAAAGTGTCATTGGATACATGTATATATTTAGATAGGTATACCTATAAGTGCTCTCTATTGAACATTCTAGCTCCCCACTGGTGAACTTGATCGATGAAGATTGACACTATCGAGCGAAGCGAGATAGTGGAGCAGTACTGACTACACCAATACTATCGACACTATCGACACCGAAGCAGTTTCAACTACGACTCAAAATTTATATAAAACTGTAACTGTAACTGTAACTGTAACAACAACAACAACAACAACAACACCTTAATAGAAGAAGCAACCCTATAACAAATCCCTCAAGTCTTGGTCTTGCTCTCCCGTAATCAGCATCATTCTCTTGAACTTAATGAATAAGAATTCGGCCCTCACTAGTAAGGATTGCAAATCCGAATGTCTTCCCAGCAAGTCGTTGAAATACTTGAGAACCTCTTCCATCTTTGTTAATTGCTTCAACCCACTTTCATTGGCGCTGATGATAGCAAGAGCAAAGAACAATTGTGGTTGGCTCTCGGAGCACCAAAACACTTCCCAGAGATTACACGTTTGTTCCCAATCAAACTCTCTCTTAAACCACACCAATAGCATTCTAAACATGAAAAATAAGTCACTTTCACATTTATCTAGATGCTTCTTGATCTCCGGTAACAACAAGGCCACCAATTTTGTTAGTTGGAGTAGTTGTTTCTTCATACCGTCCATCAGCTCTTCAAAATTCTTGTCCATAATTTTCATAAATCCAGTGAATGCCCAAAAACTCATCTCCTCGCTTTCTAGCGTAACGTATAATGGGGATAATAAATCAGTCATTCCTTGCACGTAACCAAGATCGGTATTGTACTCATTATATGTTAGTAAAATGTCCATCAATAGACGCAAATGATGGTTTTTTATCACCACTTCTTCATTATCGTCGTCTGGCTCGTATTGCTTGAAAATCTCCAAATCTCGATCTGTTCTCATTATATCTTTCTCAATGCGAAACTTTTGATCCCGCCAGTAATTCGTGCTTCTTTTTTCGTCGTCATTGACCCATTTGAGTTTCAACTCGTGATATCTGGTGATGTATGACTGTTTCAACACCTCTCTATCTTCGCTCGACGAGTCCCACGGGTATACTCCAAGTAAAAAAAGCCATGCTTCGGGTCTAGCATCGGGCTCCAACCCACCATGACGAATACGTTCCATCACTTCTTGTGAAGTAATAATAAGCATTCCATTTGAGTCAAAAAACGTATTCCACTCTACAAGACTAACCTTGTCTCTTCTCGTTGCCTTCAGCACCTCCTCCAATGTCAATTCGTCACCGAGCTCCTTATTCAATCTCTCATATTGCAATAAATGAGGACTTGATTTCTCGGCATCGCGTTTGACTTGTTGCGCCCATTTGGCCAACTGAAGATTAAAGTCGTCTCCAAGTCTAACGATTTCAGGTTGTTTGATTATTTGCTTAATAGGCGTTGGGGCATTATCTTCAATCAAGTCCATAACATTATTTTTACCCTTGGCTGCAAATGTTGCAACAGTTTCCAAAACTCGCCATTTAGCCGTTGCAATCAACTTGCTAAAGTCAAAAACACTTGAACCATTTCCCTCTCCTTCTTCTTCCTCCTCCTCCTTTTCTCCTTCTTTGAGCTCATTATTTTTCAATTTGAAAGGGGCAAAGTTTCGCAAATCATCAGATCCTGGGTTTATCAAGTATACCGAAGGTTCTGTGCTTTTTCGAACATTCACCAACTTTTTCAAAGCTTCCAAAAAATCAATGGCGCCCCAGTACATATTTCCGTCTTGAAATGGGTTAAAGTCCTTGTTGTGGAGTTTTTGATTGTTTATGGTAGACGGAGACTCGTCGTCGTGGAAGAAAATAATGGGTAGTTTCACCCCGTCTTGGGTGTTGATTATAATGCTGCCATAGTAATAGCCTGGACTTGGTTTTCTAAATTGAATGCTATAGATAAAACCGAGCGTTGTGGTAAATGCATATGAGCTTAGAATAAATGAAGTTTTGGACACAATCCTACTGCGAGGTTTCAAATCGAGAAAGTCGGTATCAACCTTATTGTAAATTTGCCTTTCATCTTGACTCAATACAGACTCGGGGGTAAATGACAATTTGATATCCAAATTTGTCGAATTCCGTTCTTTTGAAAGTGATAAATACCCCACAACATTATTCTCCTTTGACGGCGTTGGATGAAGATATACCTTGGACTTGACAAAGATTAAACTCACTTCGTCCATCCCCAAGCTTCGTTTAGACATTATAAGCAACTAATAAGCAGCTGTACACCTATCAACCTTGCTCTATCTGGGTAAAACTAAAAGAAACCCCCTTATATATAGAATCCTTTTGCTCATTTCCTTATCAAGTACTTTTCACTGAGTGGAAAAAAAGGTGCCCCTTTAATGAAAGAGCTTTGACCATACTGCTCCACTAGCGAGCAACACTATCGAGCGACACTATCGAGCGAAGCGAGATAGTGGAGCACTCTAGCTGCTACAGAATCGAGCGACACTATCGAGCAGAGCGAGATAGTGGAGCACACTATCGAGCAGAGCGAGATAGTGGAGCACTCTAGCTGCCACTGACACTGTAGACGTATTATGGCTGTATTACTGTATTACTGTATTACTGTATTACTGTATTACTGTATTACTGTATTGATACTGTATGTCATCGCCTTATTACTGGGTTTTTCTTGTATTATTGTATTACTATAGCTGCATTACTGTGCTATAGCTGTACTACTGTGTCTTTGTTGTATATATACTGACCATTGCTGTATTATGGCTACATAATCACTGTATTATCGCTGTATAACTGTATTACTGTGTTCTAGCTGTACAACTGTAATACTGTGCTATAGCTTTATTACTGTGCTATAGCTGTATATATACTGACCATTGCTGTATCATCACTCTATTATCGCTAGATAATCACTATATTCTAGCTGTATTATATGTTATAGCTGCATTATTGTGCTATAGGTGTACTACTGTGTCTTTGTTGTATATATACTGACCATTGCTGTATTATCACTGTATTTATACTGCCCATACAACTTTATACTGGATAATCAGTGTAATATCTCTGTAATATCGCTGTATTGTAGCTGTATGATCACTGTATCATAGCTGTGTAACTGTGTTACTGTATTATAGCTGTGTAGCTGTGTTACTGTGTTCTAGCTGTACAACTGTATTACTGTATTATAGCTGTATTACTGTGCTATAGCTGTATTCCAGTGTTATCTCTGTATTACTGTATTATCGCTGTATTTCTATTGACCATCACTGTATTGACCATCACTGTATTTAAAATTGCTGTATTGAGTGAAGGAGAGTAGTAAAGTAGAATCTAATAAAGATTGAAGTCGAGTAGAGGATAGGAGACCAGTAGATAATAGTAGAGCAGGAGACCTGTGGATAAGAAGACCAGTAGATAATAGTAGAAGCTAGTTAGTGCTGCTCGATAGCGTCGCTCTGCTCCATAGTGTCAATCACTGACCATTACTGTATAGCTATTTTTCTATTGAGCGAAATAGTGTTGCAACAAGCTACAAAGTGTACGTGGCAGCTAGTCAGTGTTGCTCCACTATCGAGCAACACTATCGAGCAACATTATCGAGCAACACCATCGAGCAACATTATCGAGCAGAGCGAGATAGTGTTGTAACATGCTAGTCAGTGTCACTCCACTATAGAGCAAAGCGAGATAGTGTCGGTGGCAGCTAGTCTGTAACAAGCTACTTGGTGTTGCTCCACTATCTCGCTCTGCTCGATAACTATATGCATTATTAACAGTTGCCAACAATTGCCGTTGCTGTATTGACCATTACTGTATTATCGCTGTATTACTGTATTACTACTGTATTTCTATTGACCATCACTGTATCATCACTGTATCATCACTGTATTATCCTTGCCTTATTACTGTATTATTACTGTTACTTTTCTATTACTATTACATTACAAGTACAAACTACCGGCCGAGACTATATCGCGGCTAATCAACTCCAACAGTTTCTCCATCTTCTCCTGTAACTCCGTATTGCCAATAGACTTTGCAGCTGCAACAACTTGTCTCACGAGCTCCTCTAATCTTTTAAATGTCCGGATCAACAGACCTTCGTAAACATCAGTCATTTTGCATATTTGGGCAAATGTAGCCCCCTTACACCAAGCAAAAACAACCTCCATCAACTCTGGTCTAAATGATTCCACATACTCCTTTTCACTCACGTCTATCTTACATTCTCTAGAGATCTTGGCAATCTTCGATGCCATTTCTTGCATAGCTTTCAAGGGTTGTGCTAGCTCAGGTTTAAGTCGCGGACTTTCTTTGGCTTTTTCTTGAAACACAAAACATGACAAGAGCGAAGCGGCTTGTTCACTGGACAAGTCGTTGAAATTTCCGTTAAATATGAGCTCCGTTAGGAGAAGCTCATCTCCAGTGCTTATCTCGCATGCAACTCGTCCTTTCAACTCTATTATATCATTTTGGGTGGTAAATCCAAGTCTTCGTAGTACTCGCTTTCTGTGTCTAAGATCATCCAACTGTATCACGGCTTCGGCCTCCAGTATCTTTTCTTTTAAAGCCTTGATTTTGTTTTCAATTTCCACCTTGTGGGAGTATTTACCGTATAGGTCCTCAAGTCTGGCAGTGTCATGAAGAGGGTTACTCGACAATTTGGATTCCATAACATCAATCTTACGCAATAGTGTTTTGAAATCATCATCATCAATCTTCATACTAGTAACAGGGTCCATAAGCGGAATACCATCTTTCAATCTTTTTGGTAAATCCTTCATGGTCTTGACAAGAGTCTTTTTCGCTTGTGAGCTTCTATAATCATCAGGCACTTTCAACCTAACACTACTTATCTTCTCAATGGATTCAAGGGTAATTGGGATATACTCAGCTCTTGCCTTTTCTCCAGAGGCCGCTGGTCTAATGCCAGAAGGTAATACTGGGTTGAATGGTTTAATTAGGTTTACTGGTGAATCCACAAACATTGTATAAACAAACACATTGACAACATAAGACTCGTGTGCTGTAAACTCTTTTTGTTGAAATCTGCCCGGATTCCTCTTGGCAAAGTTTGTAACCATCCCCCAACCGTAATCTTGATCACCAATTTTTATTTTAACAACTCTCCCATCTTGAATGAATGGAAGTATGTGGCCCGGATGTGTTATAACCTTTCTCAAATCTGCATTATATTTGTTCAACTGCTGTTGTAAATCGTAGTACTCCTTCACAGTCGCTTCATCATCAATATGCACGTCGGCTTCACTTTTCAACTCAACCAATTTTTGCTCCATCTCGGGGACACTTGCAGCATTTTGAAATTGATAAAATGAACTCTCCAACATAAACTCGGGAGATATGCCTTCGACTCTCATCAAGTTGAGAATCATATTGTACCCCAAATGAAATGCAGAATCCAACCTGTCTGCCTGACCTTTAACCATTCCTTTTGCAACTTGCGGCTCCATTTTTTCGTCAATCATCATAATGACAATACCACGATCATCCAACCCTCTTCTTCCTGCACGACCAGACATTTGAATGTACTCACCACCTGAAACCCATCTAAACCCAATACCGTCCCACTTACGGACAGAGGTGAAAACAACAGTTTTTGCAGGCATGTTAAGACCAATCGAAAAGGTCTCTGTTGCAAATAAAACTTTCAAAAATCCTTCTTGAAAAAGAATCTCAATAATTTCCTTCAAGATGGGTAATAATCCAGAATGATGAATACCAATACCTCTTTTCAATAATGGTAATATGTTCTTTATCTGTGGTAGCTCTTTGTCATTCTCTGGTAATATACTTATGGCATTTTCATAAATCTTGGTTAACGCAGATCTTTCCTCATCGGTATTGAAATCCAATTTGGACATTTTCAATGCTAAAGATTCACAATCTCTCTTGGAGAAAGAAAAAACAATTACCGGGTTGTATTTCTTTTGGTATATCATTTTCACAATTTTGTAAATATCGGACTTTCCGTCCTTGTTTCCACCTTTGAAACTCTGTCCCTTCTTACCTCTTCCCTTGATCTCTCCTGGATCATCTCCTTGGTTGTCACCTATCGTAGTCATTGCTTTTTGGAAATTCTCTTCTCTAAATGTCCCCTTTTCATCAACAACCAAATGTATACCATCTCCTCCCGCGGGGAATAAGTAGTGTTGTAATGGAGTTGGTCGGAAATCAGTATAAACGACATGGCACGGCTGGTTATGAATCTTGACTATCCATTCAGCAAATTCCATCGCATTGGGTATAGTTGCTGATAAAAACACATAATGAACCTTATCCGGTAACAAAATAATAGTCTCTTCCCAAACTACACCTCTTGATTTATCTCTCATATAATGTACTTCATCGAATATCACCCAGGCAACTTCTCTCATAACCTCGGAACCTCTATAAAGCATACTTCTTAAAATCTCCGTAGTCATCACGAGACACCCTGCATCTGGATTTATAGTAACATCTCCAGTCATCAAACCAACATCGCCAAAATCAGCTTGCAATTCACGATATTTTTGGTTAGATAGAGCCTTGATCGGAGAGGTATATATCACTCTTTGCTTGTTTTTTAGCGATTGTGCAATGGCATACTCGGCAACAACAGTTTTACCAGCTGATGTATGTGCCGAGACAAGCACACTTTCGTCACGATCGATACACGAGATCGCAGTGTCCTGGAAAGGATCCAACACAAAGGGGTAGGTTCTTACTTCCTTTTCACGCTTGTGCTCGCTTATTGGCGTATAAGGATACCCTGAAGGAATAGCAACTTGATGTCTCACTTGATGTTTAATCTTTAATTTGGAGGATTCTTGAGGTAAACTTTGTTGCAAGCCTCCCGAGGCATCTATCTCCCGCAGTGCCTCTATCTCTAAGGAGTCAAACACAACTGGCTTGACCTGCGGCTGTTGTTTCTTAGCCTTCTTTGCCTCACCACCAGCACCAGCCTTCTTCTCTTTCTCTTCCGCTTCTTCTTCTACAAGAGATCTCTTCTTATCGTTCTTACTTACCGGTACAGCATCAGAAGGTTCTGTCAAAACCTCTTCTTCTATCTTTGGAGGCACATTCTGAGGCGCCTCATCGAACACATCGAATAGCTCATCCATAATTCAATATCTTCTTATCCAGTTCTAGATTCTTTAATTACAAAGTCTCTACATTTTATTTTATTTTATTTTTTTTTATTGCGATGAGATGAGATGAGATGAGAAGAGAAACAAAAAAGGTTTATAAATTTTTCATCATTTACATTTCGTTACGTTTAATCATTACATTCCACCTTCATTCAAGGTCTTAATTGTTCGCCATTTCTCCTTATCGTACTCTCCGATTACTTGACTCGGTAAGGAACTTATCCGGGTACTCGATTCACCGCTCTCTTCAGCATTGAAACTTGGCTGATAATACTCTGGCTGATAGTAATCTAACTCATCATTGATTAGATGATGATGATGATGATGATGATGGTTTGTTGTAGTCATTTTTTGAAGGTGGTTGTCACGGTTGTAATCATAGTTCATTGTGTGCGTGTCCCAAAGATCAATTGGTTCGATGCGATTTAATGAGTAAACAGAGTGGTATATAGTGTGTTGAGGAGAAGGGGACAGGGACTTGAAATTGCCGAGAGTGGCATCGGATGACTGTAGATTGGGTATATTTGTTGCTACAGCGAAATTCGGCACGCTGAGACTATGTTTATGGATTCCTAAAAGGCTTTTTAGTCTCTTTGGTGAAGACGGTTTTGATATGCTGCTGGATTTAAAAGAAAATGAGTTTGATATTATGGAATTGGAATGGTTGTGGCTGTGGCTGTGGCTGTGGTTGTGGTTGCTGTGACTGAAGTGGGTTGTGCTTGATCGAAATATCCTCCTGGGACTCGATTTGGACTCTTTCAAGAACCTTCTAAGTGGCGATTCTTCCTTCTTTATAGATTCTTGTTGGGAAGATTGCGGTGGTGTCTGCGGCTCAAGTTGTAACCGATTTATTTCTTGGTTGTTGTCGTTTTGACTGGGTAAAGTACTAACTATTGAATCATCACTTGGTTTGCGAAAAGTGTGCAATGATGGCGGTACTCCATCGTTTTGCATACTGTAGGAAGGGTGCAATGATGGCGGTACTCCATCGTTTTGCATACTGTAGGAAGGGTGCAATGATGGCGGTACTCCATCGTTTTGCATACTGTAGGAAGGGTGCAATGATGGCAATACTCCATCGTTTTGGACACTATAGGAAGGTTGCAATGACGGCGGTACTCCATCGTTTTGCATACTGTAGGAAGGTTGCAATGACGGCGGTACTCCATCGTTTCGATTACTGTAGGAAGGGTGAATTATGGACAACTCGCTCAAATCGTCAATGTTATCAATTGGTGGTTCCTTCATTGGTAGAAGATCTTCGGTTATATCCTTTGCGTGGCTCATCAAGAGATTTGAATCACTTACCAACCGGTGCATGCCTGGGGTAACAACGTATCCCGATACTTGCTTTACCTTGTTGTATTCTTCCAAGTCCCATTGACTCTGCAGCCTTAGCTGGTATCCTGTAATTTGCTCCAACCCAGACATTGTCTTGTCTTCGTAGCATTCTTGTAGAGTGTTTTTGTAGCATTCTTGTAGAGTAGTGTTTTTGTAGCATTCTTGCAGAGTATTGTTTTTGTAGTTACTCTTTAGCACTGGCGGTAGTAATGATTCATCTATATTTGAAAGAAACTGTTTCTCTTCGTTAATCAGTTTCCATCTTTGCTTTCTTAGCTTTTGCTTGTTGTGACTCTTGTCGCATAATTCATCTAAATGCTCGTCCAAATTCATTATTGAGGCATCGTGAGATTTCTTGCTCATATTGCTTTGATGAGATTGAGATTGAGGAATGGTGTTTGTTGAGTATGTGTACGGAAGTTTCGTTATATTGTCATCGTTGAACCAATTGTTCTCCATCGAGTATAATGTGGCATCGGATGCTTTTTTCAAAATTACATTATTGTCATCAATCTGGTCTTGACTGTTTTTGCTGTCGGGTTGTTTTTGCGCTAGCACTAGCACTAGCATCATACACGATGCGGTTATAAAGATTACATTGACAATGAATAAAATTATAACAAGGGTGTATCGGTGGTGGATCACGAATAGAATTCCACATATTACATTCAACAAGGAAACAGCCAATTGGAAAACTATGGTGACAAGGTTTATGTATAACAAGATTGGTATATGTGATATAGCCAAAACAAAAGCGCTAATGGAAAATAATAGATGGTATAGCTCCAGGTGACTTTGCACTATAGTGAAAACCCCCAGTACGGTTGCTAGAATAAAGGATATGGTGACAATCGTTAGTTGAATACATCGTATAAACATTCTTCCTGATTGTATGTGCATAAATGCTAACTTATGTTTAGAATTATTTTGTGCTCGTTGTTGAGTAGTGAGCAAGAATTGAAAGATATGGTATAAACATGTGATGTTGGGTAGATCTATTGACTCTCAACCCCCTCTGTCAAGAATGGTTTTTTTGTATCGTAAAATGCTTTTTGCACTTTACAGACCAATTAGATGGATGGTATACGTTGGAAAAAAAAAAAAAAAGTAAAAAAATACTAAGCAACTCTAAAGTTACTTTACAAACCACTTTCAAAACCTTCCTTGTAAAGATACTGGATCTTTGCTTTATAGTCAGAAAGCAAACAAAAACAACATTTTGCATAGGATTTTTATCACCAGGTCTTATTATTTATTTTGCAATTTTAAAAAACCTTTTGATGTTTTTATTTTCGATTGTTCCATTTACGGGAATTTACACAAAAACTTAAGCGAACTTGCGTTTTGTGTCACCAACCGTTTTATTTACATCAACTCCTACACTAGCGAGCGAAGCGAGTGGAGGAGTAGATGTAGAGACTAGCGAGCGAAGCGAGCTAGTAGATCAGTAGAAGTAGACACTAGTGAGCGAAGCGAGTGGAGCAGTAGAAGTAGACACTAGTGAGTGAAGCGAGCTAGTGGATCAGTAGATGTAGACACTAGTGAGCTAGTGTATCAGCAGAAGTAGAGACTAGTGTTTCAGTAGAGACTAGTGTATCAGTAAAGACTAGTGTTTCAGTAGAGACTAGTGTATCAATAAAACTAGAGACTAGTGTATCAATAAAACTAGAGACTAGTGTATCAATAAAACTAGAGACTAGTGTATCAATAAAACTAGAGACTAGTGTATCAATAAAACTAGAGACTAGTGTATCAGCACTGACCATTGAGGGCAACGGAGGTCATAGTTGCCCATGCTTTAGTTGGTTTCTTTTATACGTGGTTTAAACATACAAATGTGGATAAAGACAAAAACAAGCTTGGTTACTATCTCGCTCTGCTCTATAGTTGGAAAAATGATGCAAAAAATTGTACTACAAGAAAAGAGTGACTTTTCTTCTTCCAGATACAGTAAACTCAACCTACAATAAAGGTAAGAAGTAAATTTGGACTCAATATAAGTCTATTTATTTGTTATACATACTTCTAGACTGTCATTTCCTAATATCATATATATATATATATCTTATTGATAAAACAAGAGGTTTTCTTTTCTCACTATCGAGCAGACACACCGGCTTTTTCCAACACTATCTCGCTCTGCTCGATAGTGTTGTTGTTCAGTACTCGCTCTGCTCGATAGTGTTGTAACAAGCTTCAAAACTTGTAGTCACCAGCAATCCATCCATTGACCATTTCCAAAGAGTTAACAGGTTGGTCATAAGGAACCATATGTCCACCATCAAACACTCTCAAAAATGTAAAGTTTTCGTAATTTTTAACATCACCGGCATGTTTACCGTTAACTTCCCATTTTCTCACAGGAGCATTGCTAAACTTCTTTGAACCTGACCATTGCAATTTATTAGTCCAAGCTTCGTTTCCTAACCAGTTACAAATGAAATCTTTGTCACCAGCATAAATGAGAACAGGTACACCTTTTTCTAACAAGTCAATCACATTCTTATGGTATGGTTTCATCCAGTCTCCACCCGACAACATGAAATCTCTATTGACATCAAAGTTGCATGACTCAAAGCTTGAAACTTCTGCACCCAAAGCTTTCATCACTTCAGGTTTGTTCATAAAACTATCAATGTATTCCAAATCAGTATAGCACAAGTTTCCGCCTTCACACATGGTTCTAATATCATACACATTTCTTCCTGTTTTCTGGTATGGACCAATTTCGGCATTGTTACAGTAGATGGTAGCTGGGACACAGGACCAAATAGATTCGGATTTGTAACACGATTCGATTAATGAAAGGCATCTTGGAATAGCATCACTCATTGATTTACATTCCTCTTCGTCCAATACACTTGAGTATCCACCTTGACCGCACGCCATTGGCTCATAATGTTCATATTGAACTAATGGATCAGTTAAACCATTACCAATCAAAACTGATGTCAAGTTAAATGAACGGTCAGGATGACTCAATATTTCACTGGCAAAAACAGGAATGTAATGTCCAGCATACGATTCACCAGCAATGTGAAAGTCCAACTTGGCGTATTCTGGAAATTGTCTAAAGAATAATTCCAAAAATGCATAAACATCCTTACCTGCCGCAACTGTATTTGAGACTGATTTGGATGAGTATGAGTAACCAACATTAACTGGCTGGTCCAAGAAGATAACGGTGGCATTGCTGTTCCAACTGTATGGATTATATACCGGTTTCAAACTTTTGTCGATAGCAGAAGGACCCAATTCGAAAAACAACCCGGTAGCAGAAGAGCATCCTGGACCCCCATTCAACCATAAAATGACAGGGTCATTCTTTGGATCATTTCTACTTTCAAAAGCCCAAAAAAAGAAATGTTTATCTTCGTCGTCGACATCCAAGTAGCCCGAGTACTGTTTAACCGCATCAACACCAAGAGATTCGGGAGTTGCCTTAATTCTCAACCCATGGTTTGGCACGGCTTTTCGATCTTGAACATAAAAATCGAAATTTTGCTTAACAACTTGGCTCAACTTTTTACCAGGCATTGTTAATCTCATATTGCGAAATTGCTTTGAATTGAATACAAAATCTTTCCAAATTTGTTTAGTTTCCAGAGTCAACGTATCCAAAGGTTCGTTGAACACTTGCGATACCTTGGTGAAAAACTCATTTGTTCTCTCCTCATTAAATAAATAGCCTGACAATTTGGAAGCAAACTTATCATACTCGAAATCTAACTTGAGCGGCTGCTGGGGGAAATTCAAAAAGGGGGTTTCAATTACCAAGGCATCGACCAAACCTAAAGAGGCAAATGCCAAGGTCGTTAATGTGGTTGCTGAAAACTTCATATCCTCGTTGTACCAAATAGAAGAAGAAGCTCCTGAGGAAGAAGAAGAAGAAGAAGAAGAAGAAGAAGAAGAAGAAGAAGAAGATATGGATGGTGTTCCATTTTCCTGGGGCAAGGGGGAAAGAGTTTTTGAAAGATAAGCCAGCAGGAGAGAATGTCGTGCTCGCGACATTTAGTTAACCTTGTTAATTGGGTGCATCCCGACACTATCAAGCAGAGCGAGAGATAGTGTTATAGGTAGTGACCAAAAGGAGAGAGTGTCACATCTCCACGACATTTATTGACGTCAATTGTGAGACTTTGCGTTGAAGCTACCATATGTAAAAGCAAGCATGAAAAAATAGTGTTGAATCCACGACATATAATTATTGGTATGCAACAATACTACTAACACTATCGAGCAGAGCGAGATAGGGTGGTTCACTACTAGCTTTTAACAACACTATCGAGCAGTACTGACCAGCACTATCAAGCAGAGCGAAATAGTGTAGTCAGTCCTAGCTTTTTACAACACTATCGACACTTTGTAGCTGCCCACTATCAAGCAGAGCGAGAAAGTGGAGCGACACTTTATAGCTTAGTGGCTAAGTAACTTGTTACACACTTAGTAGCTGCCCACTATCGAGCAGAGCGAGATAGTGGATATCCCGGTTGTAAAGGTTTTTGTATATGCTAAAAATAATATTAAAAAAAGTGCCGTTCTTTTGTTTTCGGAATAAAATATTATCCTTTATGGAAGAGAGCGGAAAGTGTACCCCAAATAGGTAAGTCCAATCTCGGTTTTAGTCTCGTTATCGGAAAAAGCTTTTAATAAAATTTTCACTTTTCACCAATCAAGGTTGAATCTTTATGAGTGAATCCATTGATTCGATCCTTTATGAGTAAATCCATTGATTCAGTCCTTTATGAATAAATCCGTTGATTCTTTATGAGTAATCTCTTGTTCTACGGGTTTAATTCCTTTTAAATAAATCTCTCCCTTGATATTGATTCTTTGATTTTGAAATTTCTTATGGAAAACAATCTTTATTCATCTTTGCTTTATACTAGGTGTGGCATCTAAAACCTCAATCTCTCAATCTCATCATCTCTTTCACTTGAACCATTGTGATTTAGAAACTGTGGATTTCAAGAACATTGGGTTATTTATAAATTAGTTTATCTTTAAACAAAGTGTTGTTGATCTACAAATTTGTCTAGTCTCTTTCTTCTTGCCTCCTTTTGCTATCAAACTATGTCGTCAACTCACCCCGTGACGTTTTCCAAAACATTCAAAACCAAATCAGGTAAAGATATCACAATAGGTTTAGGTACAGGAACCAAATGGAAAAAGTCCCATTCAGATTTTGAAATAAATAAAGAGTTGGTTGATCAGCTATTATTGTCGTTGGATTTGGGATTCAGGCACATCGACACTGCAGAGGTGTACAATACTCAGCGCGAAGTAGGCGAAGCTTTGAGAAGGACCAGTATTCCAAGAGAGGATTTATGGATCACAACCAAATATAATGGTGGCTGGGGCAAGATCAAAGGTAGTGATTCACCAGAAAAGTCAATCGACAAGGCATTGAAAGAGCTCGGCGTTGACTACATAGACTTGTACTTGATACACTCGCCATTTTTCACAAAAGATGTTTCTAATGGATTTTCATTAGAAGATGTTTGGAAAGTTCTTATTGAAGCTAAAAAGCAAGGCAAGGTTCGAGAAATTGGAATTTCAAATGCCGCTAAACCTCATTTGGAAAGATTACATGCGATATCGCCAAGTTCCGAGTATTTCCCAGTAGTCAACCAAATTGAGTTTCACCCTTTTTTACAAAATCAATCAAGAAACATTGTTCAGTATTGTCAAGAACATGGCATTTTAGTAGAAGCGTTTTCTCCATTGGCACCATTGGCAAGAGTTGAAAATAACGCATTAGGCGATTTGTTGAAGAAGCTTTCTCAAACTCATTTGAAAACCGATGCTCAAATATTGTTGAGGTATACTTTACAAAAGGGAATTTTACCAATTACTACATCCTCAAAGGAAAGTAGAATTAGGGAATCTTTGGATTTGTTTGATTTCGAGTTGAGTAGAAGCGAAGTAGAGGAAATTGACAAAATTGGTCAAGAAAATCCATATAGAGCTTTTTTTCATGAACAGTTTAAAGATTTGTGATACTATCGCTACACTATCGCTACACTATCGAGCGAAGCGAGATAGTGCAGTAAATGGCTGTTTATAAATGCTACACTATCGCTGCACTATCGAGCGAAGCGAGATAGTGTAGTAAAAGGCTGTTAAAAATGCTGTTAAAAAAGGCTGCTATCAAAGGCTGCTACATGGACACTATCGAGCGACACTATCTAGATGGACTATGTGCTCCATAGTGGTGTATCTAGATGGGCTATGTGCTCCATAGTGGACTATCTAGATGGACTATGTGCTCCATAGTGGTGTATCTAGATGGACTATGTACACCACTATCTCGCTTCGCTCGATAGTGGACTATCTAGATGGACTATGTACACCACTATCTCGCTTCGCTCGATAGTGAACTGCTTCGCTCGATAGTGGATGGTGGGTAGTGGACTTTTTTTGCAACTTTTAATGGCTGCAAATGCAACACAACACAAAACTGGACCAACAGAGTAAACGACCTTAGTGATGATCAATGACAACATACAATATAGATACAGACTACCGAGTAGAGCGAGGTAGTCAAGAGAGAGTAGAGGACAGAGAAGAGAGTAGAGGGCAGAGAAGAGAGTAGAGGGCAGAGAAGAGAGTAGAGGGCAGAGAAGAGAGTAGAGGACAGCGAAGAGAGTAGAGGGCAGAGAAGAGAGTAGATAGAATACATAGTGGAGTATCTAGATGGACTATGTGCTCCACTATCTCGCTTCGCTCGATAGTGGTGTATCTAGATGGACTATGTGCTCCACTATCTCGCTTCGCTCGATAGTGGGCCTACCACTGGACCATTTTTAAAGTTATGCTCAACGTTACAGAGTGAAAATTTTTTTATAAATAAAAATAAAGTTACAATACAAGATGACTTTGAGTTTTGTCCTTGATCACAGAGAAGGAAGGAAGGAAAGATAGGAGAGGGGCTAAGAAACTGTAAAAAGAATGAGGTAATGCTAAATAACACATGTGTTGATTTCTAGTAAACTCGTCTTTATTCTCTCTTTTCTATCCATCGTCATCAGCGATTTATCAGTTATGGATGAAACAACTCCTCTTTTTGGTGATGTACCCCCCGTGTATGCCGACGATGCTCAGTTGAGTAAGAGAACAAAAGCATTGTTATACTCTGTAACAACATTCGTCGCCATTGCATCACTCTACCTCTTTGTTATTTTCCTTCCCGGTTATTACATACCACAAGCAGAGAAGTTGAAAGAAATAACCCGTATTACTGAACTCGGTGCCTCGTTGATACCAGTACCTCACAAAGGGGAAATCGAAAGGCTTATTATGGTTGGTGATATACATGGTCATTATACCGAGTTTGAAGAGTTACTCAACAAAGTTGAATACAATGCTGAAAAGGGGGATCATCTCTTAGTCTTGGGAGATTTTATTACTAAAGGTCCCGATTCTCTTAAAGTATTGGACTATTTGATAGATCATGATGTTGATTGCATAATGGGTAACCACGAGTTTTACGTTTTGCAATTCTATGCTACATTCCATCGATTAGACCAACCAACATTCTACTACAATTTCAGCGATTCCCAACCTCAATTCCAGCTCAAGAAAAACATTCAGAATGACCCCGAGTTTAGATTGGCGAGAAGGCTACAACCAGCACATGTGAGGTATATAAATAATTGTTCAATTATTAAAAAACTTGGCCACGTACCGTTGAAGGGAAACAAGTTGGCACCGGGAGTCGCAGTCCATGCAGGCTTAAGATGGGACCTATCGCTAGCTGATCAAAATCCAATAGATAATATAGAAATGAGAGCATTGATGGCGCCTTATTATAATGTAACTACTCCAGATCCAGATTTCCCCAATTCAGAAAAATGGCACAGGGTGTATAATGAACAACAAGGGAAGCCATTTGCTAATTTTGTTGTATATTACGGCCATGCTGCTAGTCAGGGCTTGAAACTACGCAAGTATACAAAGGGTTTAGATTCTGCATGCGACAAGGGTGGGAAATTGAGTGCTATGGTTATATCTAGAAGGAAAACAAGGGACAATGATGAGTATGAATTGATGCAAGAGATTGTTCAAGTCAATTGTTGATGATAAATAAATGTTTTCTTGATAAATATTCTTTAAATGTAAAAGCTTAGAGTTTATTGTGTTTGTGCATATGCTGGGCTTATGCTGTTTCATCAACAACTTCCACCTTTGGTTGAATGTTTTTGTAATTTTGTCCAAATCTCATTGTATTATAGCTTTCCTCAAGTTTCTCTTTCCAATACTCGAATCCAGGAACTGACTCAGTGCTATTCAATACTTGCAAGATTTGCAATTTTAACTTCCATATTTCATTGTTTCTAATGTCAGATTCAATCAACTCATTAACAACAATATTTGGTAAATGATTAAAAAGATATGTTCGACCATAATCCAATTTGGACATTGCTAATAATAAAGTATACAATTTATCTTTTGGTAATAATTGCAACTTTTCATAACTCAATTTTGGCTCTAGGGATTGCCAAATGTGAAAACAATTGATTGAATTTAAAAGTATTGGAAAGTATCTATCATCGAACAAAGGTAAATGAATCAACACATCACTGAAGATCGATGGATTTAATCCGTATATTACATTTGGGTTTGATCGGCTTAATAATTTAATGTCAACTTGATCTTTTTCAAATAGTTTTATCAAATTATGAGTCTTGAATAATTCAAACTTGTCTAATGCGGGGGTGTAGTTGGAGTATGACATTTTAGCAATGAGATCAACCATTTCCAACTTGACAATCTCTTCCAATTCCAATTCGTCGTCGTCACTCTTGAATATTGTTAATAAATCATTCAAGGCTGGACTGATTTTCAAATCTGAGTCAATCAACCTTGTATAAAACTGTACCAAGAGAATCAAAAACAAAGCATCATCTTTGACTAGCAATATCTCCAGTTTTGTAAAAAGATACAAGCTTTCATTAATTTGCGACATCTTTGGTAAAAGGATAATAAACAAATTCAAAAAACGAGCTAGTAGAATTGCATCTTTCAGTTTCCTAATTGCAAAAAACAACTCATTCGACCCATCAAGTAGATTCATCTCCTCTTTTTCCAATTTTTTTGCCAAAAGTTCAATCTGATTTAGCACAGCAATATTGGTAGTACCAGGATCAAAATATAATTCCATCAAACCAGTGACAACCTGGTTTTGGTGTAAAAAATTTTGAGTCTCTGGTTGATGTAGATTCAATATGATGATTTTTAAACATAATATGCAGACTATACTAGATGACTGGTAAAGGTTTTCCAAGATGAAATCCTTAGGGTAATAATTCAAAATCTCTTGAAATGTTAAAAACGATAAGATTTTCTCTAGTAAACCAAGTAATACTTGATAAGGGTCGATTCTAGCACATTCTTTATCTAATAAGATTTGACTTATAACCGGGATAAGTCTAGGTGATTGCACTTCAATTGTTGTTTTATCAATGATAAGAGTATAACTATCAACCGCCTTATCATTTATCTGTGTTTTCGACTCATAACTCGATATCAAGTCCAAAATGACACTCTCAGATAGGCTATCACTTGTGCTAGCACCACTCATTATTCCAACCTTACCTTAACCTTCCTTAGCCTTCCTTAGCCTTCCTTAACCTTCCTTAGCCTTACCTTACCGTAACCTTACCTTAACCTCACCTTAACCTCACCTTAGCCTCACCTTAGCCTTACCTTAGCCTTACCTTAGCTTACCTTATACTTACCTCAACCTTACCTCAACCTTACACTGATATTAACCTTCCTTAACCTTACCTTAACCTAATCTTAACCTTACCTCAACCTGATGGACAAAGGTATATCGATATGCTTGAAAATTGTGAAAATAAAAAAAATTGCCGTTTAAGGAAATGTGTCGTGAGCTTTATATGACAAACGAAAATTGACATTGAAATTGAGGAAAGGAGTTATACCGAAGCCAATAGGAATTATACTATCGACACTATCGAGCGAAGCGAGATGGTGGAGTAGTGCTGACCGAGTGAAGCGAGATAGTGCTGACGGAGTGAAGCGAGATGGTGCTGATCGAGTGAAGCGAGATGGTGCTGACCGACACTATCGAGTGAAGCGAGTCAATGCTGACTATTCCGATACTATTGGTGGATTATAAGTAAGTAGTTATATTGCAGAGGAGCCAGATAAATCACCAAGAGATTTAGTAACTAGATTTGAGTCAGAAATATTGTGATTGATTTGTTTTCGTTGAATCGTCTCCTCTGTTTTCGTTGATACTTTTAGAACGTGCAACTCGAGTATGCTATGACCACGTGGTGTTGGTACCATAAACTCACAGCTTTCTATTCTGAAAGCCAAGAGTTGTAAACTAGGTACGCTACAGTGTTTCTGTGCTAGATTACTTTTTTAGACAAAAAAGGGATGAGCTATTAATCGATTACTAGAGGTTAATTATCAACACGTGTCTCACCTGCCGCCACTATCGACCAGACGACACTATCGGGCTGACGACACTATCGAGCTGACGACACTATCGAGCTGACGACACTATCGAGCTGACGACACTATCGAGCGGAGCGAGATAGTGGAGCAACACTCTGTAGACACTACACACGGGTTTGCTGCTCCACTATCGAGCGGAGCGACTAGCGACACAATCTCGCTCCGCTCGATAGTTGAGCAACACTTTGTATTTTAGAAGCTTGTTGCAACACTGAATGACAGCAGCCAAATGTGAGTGTATCTGGACTAAATAGCAGCCTAATCTTAAACCAAGTCACCAATGTTAAGGTACTTTGCCAATGTTTAAAATAGTTAAAAGATGCGTTTTGTACTGAAATATGCAGTATGTGATAAATATGCAGTATGTTATAAATATGCAGTATGTGATAATGTTCTAATATAGTAGCAAAAAGTAATTAATGCATCTCTCTATTGGGGGAATATGCGGCGCTATTAATTACCAAATCAAGCATTCCAATAATTACCTACACTATAGAGCGACACCATCGAGCGACACCATCGAGCGACACCATCGAGCAAAGCGAGATGGTGGAGCAGCACTGACTGACAGCACTGACTGACACTTTTGAGCAGCACTGACTGACACTATCGATAAGCCATACCACGATAAGCCATACTATCGGCACTAATAATTCACCCAGCCGTACTACTTCATTTCTATCAATCTGCTCCACTATCTCGCTTTGCTCGATAGTGTTGCTCGATAGTATTGCTCAATAGTGTTGCTCAATAGTGTCGCTCGATAGTGTCGCTGTACACAAGGTAAAATATTTTTTTTCAATTTCTCGTTTTGTAACTTTTGACAGAAACACGTTGCGATATTACACTCCTTACCTACTAGCACTAGCCACATCCTATACTTACGTAGTTGCATCTACACTTTGCACCCCTTCACCTCCTTCACCTCCTTCACCTCCTTCACCTCCTTCACCTCCTTCACCTCTTGCACCAAAATCACTTTCACCTTTTGCACCAAAATCATCACCTCAAGCCATTTTTCAACTCATTACCTGTTTAATTTCATGTTTCGAAAATTTTCATGCACCAATACAACTATTCTGCACCACTAATGCAGTGCACTCTATAGCCTCTAAGCAGATGGTTGGCCAAGAAATACGTTGATTTAGACCTCAATTTTACCTCATCTCTTCATTACAATGGGGTGGGGGGGGTAGGTGGTTTCACACGGGGTTGATTTGGGCAAAAGCCACCAGTATAAATTGGCATCAAATTTTTCAACATTTTTTCATTCACAGATTCCTTCTTCTTTTTACCACGTCCTTTTGTAAATCAAAAAAGAACTCTCCATCGAGTGGAAAGCCGTCATACTCAGTGTAAAGTTTCGAAACCTGGACTTTTAGTTTTGTGATTGCCTTGATACTTTTAAAGACCAAGCAATCATTTCTGACATCAACTATTTAGAAAAAATTCAGTCATCTAATTTAGTTGATAGTAAATCCAAGCAAGATGAATCGTCAATTAGTCAAAGCTATGAAATTCAAAGCAGTGAAAAACAACTGAAAAACAAAAAACACCAAGATGAGCTTGGGTATGATCTTGATCTTGGTCTCGATCTCGATCTCGAGCTTGAGCTGGAGTCGCCTTACAAGTTATCCATTCAAGATGTTGCCAGCTTGTATGACGCTGATATCGTTCACGGCCTTACTGAGGATCAAGCTGCTACTAGATTAGGTGAATATGGACCAAATAATTTAGGTAAGGAAATATCCATTTCGATTACCAAGATATTAGCTCATCAGATATTCAATGCAATGATCTTGGTCCTTATCATATCTATGATTATTGCTCTAGCAATTAAGGATTGGATAAGCGGAGGTGTAATTGGGTTTGTTATTGGTATCAATATCTTTGCTGGATTCATCCAAGAGTTCAAAGCTGAAAAGACAATGGGATCCTTGCGAAGTTTAAGCTCGCCCGATGCAAGAGTGAAAAGATGTAATTCTGAACAAAATATCGATGCAGAAAAAGTTGTACCCGGTGATATAGTTTTCATCAAAGTTGGTGATACAGTCCCCGCTGATTTGAGATTAATCGAAACTGTCAATTTGGAAAGTGATGAGTCTATGCTAACCGGGGAATCTATACCAGTCGCCAAAGCTTGTGACGAAATATGTGTTGATAATGAACAGCAAATTCCAATAGGAGACCGTTTAAATATGGTGTTCAGCTCTTCAATAGTTGTAAAAGGCAGAGGCGTGGGGATTGCTGTTGCCACTGGTCTCAACAGTGAAATTGGAAAAATTGCTGATTCGTTGAAAAACAGTGATGGGAAATTGATCGTCACGGTGAAGGAGCCACTGTTGAAAAATTACACTTATGCTATAGCCAAATCCACTGGGAACATAATTTGCAACATTTTGGGAACAAATGTAGGCACACCATTACAAAGAAGATTAGCTTGGTTAGTTATCTTGTTATTTTGGATAGCTGTGTTGTTTGCAATTGTCGTTATGGCGTCACAAAAGATGAACGTGAATAGAAACGTTGCAATTTATGCCATTTGCGTTGCACTATCAATGATTCCATCTTCTTTGGTTGTGGTTTTGACTATTACAATGGCCATTGGTGCTCAAGTAATGTTTACCAAGAAAGTCATCGTTAGGAAACTAGGCAGTTTGGAAACCCTTGGTGGTATCAATGACATTTGCTCAGATAAAACAGGTACACTTACCTTGGGTAAGATGATTACTAAAAAAGTATGGATTCCAAATTTGGGGACATTAGTTGTTGAAAACTCTTCCAATGAGCCTTTTAATCATAATATTGGAAGTATCAAATACAGCAAGATGTCACCCGTGGGTATAGAGAATGATGGCGACATTTTGGAAGAGGAAGTTCCCGAAAATTCAGTATTGTTGAAAAAATGGTTGACAACCGCTACATTGGCCAATATTGCCAATGTAACCGAGGTTAATGGTGAATGGGAGGCTCGTGGCGACCCTACTGAAATTGCAATAAATGTTTTTACCAGAAGATTAAAATTTGAACGTGATTGTTTGATAAGCAGTTTGCAGTTGAATTTCATTGCTGAGTTTCCATTTGATTCGTTAATTAAAAGAATGTCAACTATTTATGAAAATCCAGAGTCCAATACTACAACGATTTATTGTAAAGGAGCAGTAGAGAGATTGTTTGATATTTGCAGTTTTTGGTATGAAGAGAATGATAAGATATCTCCATTATCTAATTCTGCCAAACAAATTATCGAGTCCAACATGAAAGCCTTATCTGCACAAGGCTTAAGAGTATTGGCATTTGCACAACGCGATATTAATACCGCTGAAGTATCCGACTTGACTAGTCGTGACTCAGTTGAAACCGGATTAACGTTTCTTGGATTAGTTGGTATATACGACCCACCGAGACCAGAGTCACGCTCCTCGGTCATGAAATGTCATCATGCAGGTATAAATGTCCACATGTTGACTGGTGATCACCCTGGAACAGCTCGCGCCATTGCACAAGAAGTTGGAATCTTACCAGCCAATTCATCCGACTATAGTCAAGAAGTCATCGACTTGATGGTGATGACAGCTAACCAATTTGATGGTTTAACAGTGGAAGAGATTGATCAATTGCCAGTATTACCCCTTGTTATAGCCCGTTGTGCTCCCCAAACGAAAGTGCGCATGATTGAAGCACTTCACAGAAGAAATAGATTTGTGGCGATGACAGGTGACGGAGTGAACGACTCGCCTTCTTTACTGAAGGCTGACGTTGGAATAGCAATGGGATTAAATGGTTCAGATGTGGCTAAAGACGCAGCGGACATTGTTTTAACCGATGATAATTTTGCATCAATTTTAAATGCAATAGAAGAAGGTCGACGCATGTCATCTAATATTCAAAAATTTGTGCTACAATTGCTAGCAGAGAATGTCGCTCAAGCCATATATTTAATGGTTGGATTAGTATTCATTGATAATGATGGATTCTCTGTGTTTCCATTATCGCCAGTTGAAGTTTTATGGATTATTGTAGTCACTTCATGTTTCCCAGCAATGGGTTTAGGTCAAGAAAAAGCCCAACAGGATATATTAGATCAACCGCCAAACAAAAGTATATTCACATGGGAAGTAATGATTGATATGTTTTCCTATGGAATATGGATGGCTGCATGTTGTCTTGCGTGTTTTGTTGTCATTGTTTATGGTAAAGGTGATGGTTATTTAGGTTCGAATTGTAATTCGGAGTCTGGTAATCAGGGATGTTTGCTAGTTTTCCAAGGTAGATCAGGTGCATTTGCTGCATTTACATGGTGTGCTCTACTATTAGCATGGGAGTGTATCAATCTAAGGCGCTCATTTTTCAAAATGAATATCAGTAATAATGGAATGAGTTGGTATGCAATATTATTTCGCGATTTGTGGGGAAACCAGTTTTTATTTTGGTCAATTATATTTGGATTTTGTTCTGTGTTCCCAGTGGTTTACATTCCTGTTATCAATGACAAGGTTTTTCTACATGGTCCAATTGGCTACGAATGGGGGGTTGCAGGTGCATTTACAGTGGCGTTTTTAATTGGCTCGGAAGCTTGGAAATGGTGCAAGCGAGTATACTTGAGGAGAAATTTACCAAAGAACTTTGAGTATGAATTAGAAAAGAAAGATCCATTTCAGAAATACAAATTTAAAACGTCAAAGAGTGCCATTGAAGTTTAGCTAATTAATTTCCCTCCCAATCAAAAAAGGTGCCGACACTTTTGAGCAGAGCTGCCACAGATACTACTTCTGGTGCAGCTTCAGCTATCTTGTTAGTCTATTCATGAATATTGTTGCTTTTTGTCTACACCAAATAGTTTAATTATTTATTTATTTTTTTATTTTCCTTTATATATAGATTACTTTGATTATTTAATTTCGGTTTGCAATTTCAATAAAAGCCTAATTTTTACAACCCCCTTTTTTTTTTTTCTTTGGAATACCTCCCAAGTAACAAGCATTTTCCTATCAATTTTCCTATAGGGTGTGTGAGAGGGGTGGATAACCCCAGATAAGCCAAAATGCTTGTTTTATTATCTTTTGTTTGGCCCCCGCCCAGTCTCTCTCTCTCTCTAGTCTATTGTAGATGGTTAAGAAACCATCCGCGTTGTTTTTTTTTTTGGGTGAGGCTAGTGCAGCCGCGCCCCACTCTTTTTCAATTTTGCAACAACCCCACTTTTCCTTTTTTTTTTTTTTATTTTTAGAATCCAACGGTTTCTTTAGTCAAGGTAGAAACCAGGATCATGCATATTATGTTCCATGCCCCTCAGGGAATCTAATAACGCATTTCCCAACCAATCCTAGCTCCTTCTTACCTCCCCTCCCCCGCACATATAGGCATGCATTGAAAGGGGGAAGGAGGAGGGAAAGGACTGAGGGCTTAATTTTTAGCTTATCAGTGCAGACTCTTACATTTTTCTGCAGCATTGTTTTGTGTTACTGAGCCACATATCTCTTTAAAGATAAGAGGTAAAATATACTCAAAAAATACGCCGAGCTTGAAAAGTGATGTGAGGACGAAATTTTCTACACACGGGTTTGATTATAAAAACCATGTGTAGAGCTGTTGCAAATCTTGTCTGCTATGAAAAGAACCATTCAACTTAATTCATTTTCACCCAAACTTTGCAAAGAGTTGAGTTAAAAAACACACTTTTTAAAAAAAAAAACAAAAAGAACGAAATGTCTAAAACTGTCACTTTTGAACAATTTTTAACCAAGGATCCACTTGACAATTATGGAGATATAGAGCTCTACAAGAGCAAGTACCTCCCTTTGATTAAGAAATATAACCAAAGATTAGAAGAAAATATTCTCGATGAGTATAAGATTGACTTGCCAAAACCAAGGGATGAGTTGATTGCAGAGCAATTTGATGCTGTTGATTATTTATACAAGGCTAAATTGTTAACTGAAAGAGAATTTGAAATTACTGATTCCTCTGCTACAAAAATTGTTTCTGAAATTGCCAATGGTAATTGGACTTGTGCTGAAGTTTTCACTGCTTTTGCTAAGCGTGCTACTATTGCTCATCAATTTACCAATTGTGCTCATGAGCTTTTCACTAAAGAAGGTTTGGAAAGAGCAAAGGAATTGGATGAGTACTACAAGGCTAATGGTAAGACTGTTGGCCCACTTCACGGGTTACCAATATCTCTCAAGGAGTTTATTTCTTTGAAAGGAAAAGTTACTCATGGTGGATACGCTGCTTTTGTTGAGAACATTGCTGAAGATGATTCAGTTACTGCCAAGATTTTGAAAGATGCGGGTGCTGTATATTATATCAGAACAACCCAGCCATTAACCTTGATGCAGTTGGATTCAGAGAATAATTATAGTGGATTCACCAAAAATCCATTCAACTTGTTGTTATCCAGCGGTGGCTCGTCATCAGGTGAAGGTGCAGTTGTTTCATTTGGTGGGTCCACCCTTGGTGTAGGATCAGATATTGGTGGCTCAATTAGATCGCCTGCAGGTTTCTCTGGCTGTCATGGTTTTAGACCAACAACGAGAAGAATCTCTAACTTTGGTAATGTTGCAAATTACACAGGACAAGAATCCGTTTCTCCAGTCACTGGTCCATTGGGAAGATCAGTTTCTGATATTGAGCTTTTTATGAAGACTTATATTAATGAAGGAAAACCATGGAATTACGACACTTGGTCAATTCCAATGTTATGGAGAGATGTGCCTAAACCAAAAGCAGATCAATTGACCATTGGTGTAGTTAGAGATGATGGATTTGTGAGACCATCTCCACCAATCAGACGTGGAATAGATGTAGTTGTTTCCAAATTGGAAGCTGCTGGTGTTAAAGTTGTTCCATTTGTACAAAAGAATGCCAAGTTGGCTTATGAAACAGTTCACAAGATGTATACTTGTGATGGAAATGATGAGAGTCGTTCTTTAATTGCAAAGAGTGGTGAGCCCATTCCAAAATTGACAAAATGGAGTTTGAACTATGGTGATGGTGCTAGAGTTTATACTGCTGCTGAGAACAGACATTTGAATACTATAAGAGACGATTTAAGAGAGGAGTACAATAAGTTCTTTATGGACAACAAGGTTGATTTCATCTTATCTCCACTTTACAATAACGTTGCCCCACACTCAGGAGAAGTGTACAACTGGTCATACACCTCGATCTTTAATATCTTGGACTTGCCAACATTGGCTTTCCAAACTGGATTGAGACAAGACCCAGAGTTGGATGTATGGACAGAAGAAGACAAGAAGCACGTGTATAGATCAGATTTGGAACAATTAGAAAATGAAAACTACAAGCCAGATGAGTTCAAGGGTGCACCAATTGCTTTGCAATTGAGTGGAAGAAGATACTTTGATGAAGAGGTTCTTGCTTCTGCTAGACTTATCATTGATGACATTTTGAAGGTTGATCTTTTCAAGCACTAGAGAGAAAAAAATCAGAATGAAAGATTATAGGAAGTTATGTTGAATGAAAAAAAGGTTGTACCTATGAAATGGACTTGCATTTTTGTAATATTTGCCGACACTATCGAGCAGACGACACTATCGAGCGAAGCGAGATAGTGTCACTAGTGTCTGTCAATGTAGCTCCACTATCTCGCTCTGCTCTATAATGTCGTCTGCTCGATGGTGTCACAAGTGTCTGTCAATGTAGCTCCACTATCTCTCTCTACCGAACTATCGAGCAGATGACACTATCGAGCAGAGCGATATAGTGGTGCAACACTTTGTAGCTTGTTACGACGCTAGTGACACTATCAAGCGAAGCGAGATAATGGAGCAACACTTTATAGACACTATCTCGCTTCGCTCGATAGTGTCATCTGCTCGATAGTGTCGTCTACTCGATAGTGGAGCGGGGGAGCTTTTAAATTTGATCAGCAAATTTACGCGCTAACTATATAAACGGTAAAATCCAAGCAATAATTAAAAAACAAATCCGTCAATCTAAAACAAAATTATGCTTAAACACTTTTTTACGAGATGCTGATAAACACAGATTAAAGATATAGATTTTGTAACCAAGAGGAATAGACTTTATACAAGTTCTTGTCCATTGTGCAGATACTAATTTTTCAGGTAATGTAAGTAAAGTGTTCAAAACAATAGCTTCAGCTATTCATAGATAAGATAATGTATTATTCTACCATTCTGGGACCCAGCCACATTTATTCAACCCTCTCCTCTTTTTCTTCCCCCACCCCTTCCCTTCCCTTCTGGCCCCTCTCGTCCCGCTTTTGTGCCCCCCTCGCGCACTGTACTTCTTACCCAATCACACCCCCCCCCCCCCAAAAAAAAAAAAAAAAAAAAAAGAAAAAGTGGGGATGCCTTTTCGAGAAATGTTTTTCTTTCTATACATATTTTTTTCTTATTTAGATTAAGCGCTTCATTCGTCTGAGTTATGCGAGATAAGCAATTTTTAGTACGCGCTATCGGGAAACCATACGCGGTTATGATTCTCCTGCCTAATTGAGAGCCTCGTATGAAATTTAATTCCGGATTTAAACAATAAAAGATAAACCCCAGTTTCTATATAAATAGACCCATCAAAAACCTAAATATGAGACATAAGCTATATGTAATCAGGTCTAGTTTTTACCTTTCCTTCCCTTCTTACTTTGTTGATTTTTCTTCTTTTTCTTTCCCTGTTTTTTCTTCAACATAACTAACTCCCCTTGAGATATCATGGCTACTGCACAATCGGAAGAACTCTATAAATCTTTCTTAACCAAAGACGATTTTTTTGGATATGAAGATCCAGAGAAATATGCCAAATATATCCCCAAATTAGAAGCATACAGACAAAGATTGGCCGATGCCATTCCCAAGGAATTGGCTACAACTTTACCAAAACCAAGGGATGAGTTGATTGCAGAGCAATTTGATGCTGTTGATTACTTGTACAAGGCTAAATTGTTATCACCAAAAGAGTTTGAAATTACCGATACTCCTGCTGCTACTTTATTACAGAATATTGCTTCTGGAAAATGGACTTCTGTCGAGGTGTTTAAGGCATTTGCTAAGCGTGCTATTTTGGCTCATCAGTTTACCAATTGTGCAATGGAGTTCTTTGTTGACGAAGGATTGAAAAGAGCTGAGGAATTGGACGCATACTATAAAGAGCATGGCAAAACTATGGGTCCCTTACATGGAATGCCCATATCGGTGAAAGAACATGTTGCATATAAGGGAAAACCTTTACATGCATGTTATGTTGGATTAATCGATAATATTGCCACTGAAGACTCTGTTGGTCTCCAAATTATGAAAAAAATGGGTGCTGTATTCTATGTTCGAACTTCCCAACCCCAAACACTTATGCAATTAGATTCAGGTAATAACTTTACTGGGTTGACCAAAAATCCATTCAACTTGTTGTTATCCAGTGGTGGCTCGTCTTCGGGAGAGGGTGCACTTGTTGCATTTGGTGGAAGTGTTATTGGTCTTGGTTCCGATATTGGTGGCTCGATTAGAGCCCCCGCTGCATATTCTGGGTGTCATGGTTTCAGACCAACAACTAGAAGAATTTCGTTAATGGGAGGTGCATCTGCTCTTGGTGGGCAAGAATCTGTACCTGCTGTAGCTGGACCATTTGCTAGAACTGTTGATGATATTGATCTTTGGATGAAACATTATATTAACGACGGTAAGCCATGGGACTATGATACCTGGTCAATTCCCATGCCTTGGAGGGAAGTTACAAAGCCAAACGCCAAAGATATCACCATTGCAGTGATTAGAGATGACGGATTGGTGAGACCATCTCCACCAATCAGACGTGGATTAAATGAAGTTGTCTCCAAATTGAAGGCTGCTGGAGTAAACGTTATTGAATTTACTCCACCCAATACAAAATTGGCGTATGAAACTATCAACAATATGTATACATGTGATGGTAACTATAAGCAGCGTGAAATGTTGGCTGAAAGTGGGGAACCATTGACCAAATTGACTAAATGGAATTTGAATTTCGGTCAAGGCTCAAAACATTACACTGTTTATGAAAATAGATCGTTGAACGTTATTAGAGATGAGTTGAGAACTGAGTATAACGACTATATGGTTAAGAATAAAGTTGACTTTATCTTATCGCCTGCTTACAACAACGTTGCACCACATTCAGAAGAGGTGTACAACTGGTCATACACGGCATTGTTTAACATCTTGGACTTGCCAACATTGGCTTTCCAAACAGGGTTGAGACAAGACCCAGAGTTGGATGTATGGACAGAAGAAGACAAGAAGCACGTGTATAGATCAGATTTGGAACAATTAGAAAATGAAAACTACAAGCCAGATGAGTTCAAGGGTGCACCAATTGCTTTGCAATTGAGTGCAAGAAGATACTTTGATGAAGAAGTTATAGGTGCTGGTAAATTGATTGTTGACGATATTTTGAAAGTCGACTTGCTTAAACAGTAATTTTGCTATAATAGAAAGACCCCCGATCGAGCAAAGCGAGATGGTGGAGCAACACTAGCTGCCGCTGACACTAGCTGCCGCTGACACTAGCTGTCGCTGACACTAGCTGCCGCTGCCACTAGCTGCCGCTGCCACTATCGGGGAATAAAAGAGATTGTGTTAGTCATAGTATAAAAGTTTATACACTATATAAAAAGAAGAAAGAAAAATACAAAAAGGAAAAACAAGGCTCCTACCCCTCTCTTTAATGGAAAGCGCAAAAACCCTGTTTTGAGAGTAAGCCGCTACGTTATCTCTAAAGCGCATTTTTTCAAGATCTAAGCGATTAATTCAATCAAGTAGTAGAATCAAACATTTTCAATCATTCTCTATATTGTTCTGCCCCCACCCTGCGATATCTATCACAACAGAGTCATGCCAATTGACCCACACTCCGAGGCATTGTTTCAATCCTTACTTGTAAATGATGATTTAACAGGATACGAAGATGCAGAAAAGTTTCAAAAATGGATCCCAGAAATAGAAGCATATAGGCAGAGATTAGCAGATTCCATACCTCAACAATTAGCCATTGAGCTTCCCAAACCTATTGATACTTTGATCGAAGAAGGGTTTGACTCAATTGAGTACTTGTACGATGCAAAACTACTTTCGTGTCACGAATTTGAAATCACCGATTCTTCAGGTCCAGTTGTATACAACAAAATAGCATCTGGTGAGTGGACTTCTGTCGAGGTGTTTAAGGCATTTGCTAAGCGTGCTGTTTTGGCTCATCAATTCACCAACTGTGCTGTAGAATTGTTTCTCGATGAAGGATTGAAAAGAGCAAAAGAGTTGGATGAGTACTACAATGCTAATGGCAAAACCATTGGGCCCTTACACGGTATACCTATTTCCTTAAAAGAACATGTTGCATTAAAAGGGAGGATTGGTCATATTGGATGTGTTTCATTATTAGACAACATTATGGAGAAAGATTCCGTTACCGCCAAAATTTTATATGACCTTGGTGCCGTATTTTACATTCGTACAAATGAGCCACAAGCTTTATTACATTTGGATTCTGGTAATAACATCACTGGCTTTACAAAATGCCCGTATAATTTGTTATTATCCAGTGGCGGCTCGTCTTCGGGAGAGGGTGCACTTGTTGCATTTGGTGGAAGTGTTATGGGTGTTGGCTCTGATATTGGTGGTTCGATAAGATCACCTGCTGCATTCTCTGGATGTCATGGTTTCCGACCAACTTCAAGAAGAATCAGCGGAAGGGGTGTTGTTGGAGGAGAAAGCGGACAAGAAAGTGTTGTTGGAGTTCTCGGTCCTTTAGCAAGAACAATTGAAGATATAAATCTCTTTATGAAGGCGTATATCAATAGTGGAGAACCATGGCAGTTGGATCCCTGGAGTTTACCGATGAAATGGAGAGATGTTGAAACTCCCAAGGTCTCCAATTTGAAAATCGCAGTAGTTAGAGACGATGGTGTAGTGCGAGTTTCACCACCAATACGGCGTGGTTTGAATGAGGTTGTTGCCAAATTGCAAAAAGCTGGTGCCAAGATTATTGAATTCACACCACCAAAGGCCCAATTAGCCTATGATACCGCAATGACGTTATATAATGCCGATGGTAACAAAGAATTGCGAGAATTATTCTCAGCTTCAGGGGAGCCTTTACCAAGACTCACCAAGTGGTATCTCAACGCAGGAAAGGGTACCAAGGAACACACGGCCTATGAGAACCGTGAATTAAACGCAACAAGAGATAGGCTTAGAGAAGAATACTCCGATTTCATGGTTGAACATAAAATCGATTTCATATTAGGTCCAGCTTATAATAACGTGGCACCAAAAACGGAACAGGTGTACAACGAGTCATATACCATTCTTTACAATTTATTGGATTTCCCAAGTTTAGTTTTCCAAACAGGGTTGAGACAAGACCCAAAGTTGGATGTATGGACAGAAGAAGATAAAAAACACAAGTATCGAAGTGGAATGGAAGAATTAGAAGATCGTAGCTATAATCCGGAAACATTTAAAAACGCTCCTATTGCCTTGCAATTGAGTGGAAGGCGGTATTTTGACGAAGAGGTTGTGGCTGGTGGGAAAGCAATTGTCGATCTCCTCAAGATTCATTCTACATAGCCCATATAAAGAAAAAGAAACTAATTAAAAAAAAAAATATCCATTTTAGATGTATTACCGGAATTATTATCTGCCGCTTGGTGTACAACTTAATTTTACATCTCGGATTTTAGTGTAGAGACAAGGGCGATATAATTTTCAATTATGTATTCGTCATAATGAAAGTATTAGTAATTATAGATATTTACATCTTGGAATTGTGCACTTACTAAAAAGCTTACTTTTAGTGGCTTCAAGCTCTCTGAATTACCCTTTTACCGACACTCACCTCTTACATAGCTTCCACCGACACCCACCTCTTATATACATAGCTGCCACCGACACTCACCTCTTACATGCATAGCAGCCACTGACGCTATCTCGCCCTGCTCGATAGTGTCATAATTAAGTTTGCCTATTCTTTTTTTCTAAAAAACTATATATAGTGGATATGTCAAAATAGGACACATTTCCATTCATTGCTACCGATTCAAATTCCCTGAAGAATAAGCCAGAAAATGGAATGTAGTTTCTTGTTCATACCATACCCTCTCTGTCCCAGGGGGAAAAAAAAAAAAAGCAAACCAGAGGTTTCAAAATGGACTTCCATTTGCGCACGGACCTCCGTCGTCACCAATGCATCAATCTACATAGCCTTAAAATAGCTCTGCAAGTTACACGCACATATGTTTACAAAGCAGCTAGTGGTATGCTCCAAGATTGCATATTTTCTCGTATACTTTATCCGCACATGCAATCTCAGCAAACTAGTAGTCAAGAAGCATTGAAATGGATCTTTTTTTTTTTTGCGGAACCTCATTTTGGTTATACCGTGCATAAGTGACATCATTGTTCCTCAGGCGATAGAAATGCCTCCCCTCTCTCTGATAGCTCGCACGTAGTGCGCCCTTACAGTGACGTACAAAACAAAGAATAATTATTCGGCAGTATGAACTACTAGAGAGGGGGTTTTTTTTTGTTTTTTTTTGATTGATTGCTCTCGTAATGTAATCCTTTGAGATTGTTTCTTCTAGACCAAAATGCTTTAGTTAAAGAGCATTTCTAGAAGAGCAGAGGCGCTTGAAATGCACTGTGTTGTAAATCGTTTTTTTACTTGGATACATGTTTTCTTCAACAATGTGATGGAATTGAGGAGGGTAGAGTGTGCTAGAGTGTGCTAGAGAATATATAAGCATTACCTTATCCTGGTAGACAATCCATCTGGACTTGTTACTTTTTCTTACTCTTACTACTCTTACTACTACTACTACTACTACTACTACTACTACTACTACTACTACTACTACTACTACATGTTACTCGTAACGATGAATTTGCATCATTTTATGAGCCTCTTGCAGGACGACATGTACTTGAATGAATCGCTACTTAGTGAAAAAGAATTTGTAATTACGTCGTTGCCTCCTCTCTACTTGGTGTCGAAGATATCAAAGGGGAAATATACTTCATCTGAAGTGACGGCTGCATTTATTAAGAAATATCTAATAATTCATAATATAGTGGCTCTTAGTCAACAATTAGAACGACATATGACAGAAGCTTTAGCTATGGCTAGGTTTTTAGATTGCTACTATGCAGACACTGGGAATAAAGTTATTGGACCATTGCATGGTCTTCCCATAAGTGAAACTCAGTTGGATACAGTTAAACAGTTGCTTGATTTTGAAGGGGATATTTTGGGCAATGTTAAATTGAATTTGTTCCAGTATGATTTGGAAAGCAATGTAGAGGGTGCTGTCTCTCCAAGACTGAAACATGCATCAATATACCCTACTATATCTTTGCAAGCTAGATGCTGAAAAACACTATCGAGCAACACTATCGAGCGACACTATAGAGCGAAGCGAGATAGTGGAGCAGCACTGTCTACACAGACACGGGTTTGATTGCATACCGTGTGTGTAATGAGGACGTTGCTTTTTTTGAAGGTTACAAGGTTATTGAAGGTTACAAGGTTATTGAGAAAAACAAGGTTATTGAAGATTACTAGGTTATTGAGAATTACAAGGTTATTCTTTTTTCAGTTCTTATAGATTTAATTGATATTAAGCTTTTATTCATTTCAATTCTGAGTTCAAGATTGACTTTTGCTTGTATTGTATCTCTAAAGTTGAGATGAATCAAATGTTGTTTGGACAATAATTTTATCAATTTTGGTGCAAATAAATAGGACAGTAAGGAAATTGACATTAATATTGGTCGCAGCTAGTGTGCTCGACTAGAAATCCACCTTGTCATTCTGATAAAGAATCCCAATTGGTCCCCAGAGAATGATATACTGTTGGCTTATGGCCTCCAGAGAGAGAAAGAGAGCAGTCCATAGTGTGTGTGTAGATAATGCTATCTCGATTTGATCAATAGTGTAGAGGTGGAGTTGTCGGTAGTAATATTTAGAGTACTATTGAGTTTGTGCCAAATTGGTGCAAAAAAGACTAGTCCATAGAGAAAGAGTAGATAGAGAAAGAGTAGCAAGAGAAAGAGTAGATAAAGACTAATCGAAAAAGAGAGAGCAGTCGATAGAGTGTAGATAGAGAGAGAGACTAGTTACCAAGGAAAAAGAGATGACAAGAGATAGCCACGAAGGAAAAAAGAGATTGCTACTAATTAATTTACAGAAAGCTTAGTGATATAGTAGTATAAACTATGTTGCCTACTCACTATCAAGGAACGGGATAGTGAGTCTCAGTGTTGAGAGGTAGGCGACTACTCACTATCGAGGAACGGGATAGTGAGTCTCAGTGTTGAGAGGTAGGCGACTACTCACTATCGAGGAACGGGATAGTGAGTCTCAGTGTTGAGAGGTAGGCGACCACTCACTATCGAGGAACGGGACAGTGAGTCTCAGTGTTGAGAGGTAGGCGACCACTCACTATCTCGTTCCTCGATAGTGAGTGTATCTACGCTACCAACAGGTTGTGATTCCATCGCACAAAAGAAAAACGAGACAGTAATTTCTATTACACGATTTTTCATAAAATGTATTACAACCTCATCGCTAAGGGCGCGCTCCATTATGGACTTTGACAAAGACGAGCTTGACTACCAGTCACACGACGACTCAGATGAGTTTGATGAGGATAAATTGACAAACGAAGAGTACGACTTATTATACAAGCAACTTGCACATTTAAAGTTAAAGTTAAAATCATACAATGACGAAATTTCAGAATGGGATCTTAAGGAGTCGTTATATTTCAATTACTTTGAAGTTGATCCGTCAATTGCCGAATTGAAATCCAAGTTTAAACCAAGTATGTATTAACACCCCCCCCTCCCCCTCCTCTCTTTCAACTGGGTACCACCCTTCTCACACATCCTTCTTCTTTATCCATTCAGCTTGCGCAATATGGCCAAAGAAAAACCTCTCGAAGTTTAATCTTTTTTCCTTGCTCGTTTTTTTCAATAGAGAAAAAAACCTATTGGGGGAAGTGGATATTGGAATCATTGTTTTCTTTAATTGCTAAAGAAGGTTTGTGGTTTATAAAGGGGAAATGTCGAAGCTAGCACAATTGGCAAAACTACGAGCTCAGCAGCGAGAAAGAGAGTTGAATAATGGGAAAAGCCAGGACATATTACCAGCTGAATCTCAGGCGAAATCGTCTCTGCAAGAATACATCGCCATAGGCATTGAGAAACCGATATCGAGTTCGAGTCGTCCTTCAACATTAGTCCAAAAGTCCAGATCTGGTCATTTCACCCAGCCTAATAAACTGCATACATCTATATTGGACCAATTTACTAGCGGTGCTAGCGGTACAAGCAGCACGTCGCTGGTAAATCGATCATTGCACTCGATACCACACTCGATACCACCGCGTTTGAGACATAAGAAGGAGCTGACCCAAGAGGAGAAAAAAGCTGTTGTTGTTGCTGCTGCTGCTGTTGCTGCTGCTGCTAAGCCAGCAACCGGGTACCAAATTGCATTTGATATTCAGTTGGACAGCTCAAAGTTGGCAAGTGCTCCAAGAATGGACATATCCGTTTTTTGGGTTTCCAACCCTTTCCCTTGCACGACAACCGAAAATGAGCAGAAAAGGAGAAGATTGTATGATTCCGTATTCCAGCCTATTACTAACTTTAGCATACCTATAGAGAAGATAGTCACGTCAAAGCAAAACTTTGTAGGAAAACCGTCACCAGATGATGAGGTGTTGAATGCGCAAAAGCAAGCATTTGACGCAATGAGCACATTGCAAATCAGCGATCAAGCAGCCGCAAAAAGTAAGCCAGCACCACCTAGACCGAAAGAGACAAAACCGTTCAAAAGTGTTGATATTGATAAAGAAATAGCTACGAACCCAAGCTACTGTAAACCACATAAATCGTTTATTGTCATTGGACATGTAGATGCTGGCAAGTCTACTCTCATGGGGAGATTACTCTTTGATTTCGGTATCGTTGATGCCAAAACGGTGAATAAATTGGTACGGGAAAGTGAAAGAATAGGAAAAGGTTCATTTGCATTAGCATGGATTATGGATCAAACACAAGAGGAAAGAAGCCATGGGGTCACAGTCGATATCTGTGCAACCGATTTTGAGATTGAATCTACTAAATTCACAGCAATAGATGCTCCAGGCCATAAGGATTTTGTGCCGCAAATGATCAGTGGTGTATCTAATGCCGACTTTGCTCTTTTGGTTATTGATTCAATCACCGGTGAATTTGAAGCTGGTTTTGCATTGGATGGCCAAACTAAAGAGCATACGATTTTGGCCAAGAATTTGGGAATCGAGAAGATATGCGTTGTTGTTAACAAAATGGATAAAGAAGATTGGAATGAACATAGGTTTGAAGCAATCAAGAGTCAAATGTTGGAATATTTAACTGGTTCAGATGTCGACTTCAAACCTGACCAAATTGATTTTATACCAATCTCGGGGTTGACTGGTAACAATGTGGTAAAACGAGATGCATCAGTAGATTCGTTTAAATGGTATGATGGTCAAACTTTGGCCCATTACCTCGAAAATGTATCTATTAACAGCGATGTTTCCAGAAAACAGGTAACAACTGAACCATTTTACCTTTCTGTGCATGACGTATACAAGGATAAAGGAGAATTGAAAGTGATTGGAAAAATCACAAGCGGCTACGTTGAAGCAGGAGAAACGATTATTACCTACCCAAGTGAGGAGACATTGCAAGTACAATCAATCAAAATTGCTAAAAATGACGTGGACTTTGCCATCAAAGGTCAGTTAGTCACGTTACTTTTCAAAACAAGTCATTTATCAAACGAATCAATAGATCAAATTAAAATAGGAGACGTGATAACCAAAATCGGTTCATCAATCAAGACGGTCAAGAAATTCATAGCGTCGCTACATTTGTTCAACATGGATAAACCATTACTTGTTGGTTCGCCATTTGTTTTATTTAGAAACAGTAGTCAAGTACCAGCTAGGATAACCAAGATTATCGAAATCACAAATTCTACAAAAAAGAAAAAGAAGATCTTACACTTGACTTCAAAGCAAACTGCTCGTGTGGAAATTGAAGTTGATAGCGGCGAATCATTACCGTTGACGACCTATGAAGAGAATGCCAAGTTGGGTAAGATTGTAATTAGAAGAGAAGGCAAAACAATTGGAGCAGGAACTGTTGTTTCAACTGATACAGTTTTATAATATTTTTTTTTTTTTTATTTTCATATAAATTTCAAGAAATCTATAATCACCAAAAGGCACCCTAGTATTATACAAATAGATACCAAATAATTCGTTCCTCTTTTATTTTTCCTAGTTGCTTGATTTAAGTTCTTGTTACCAGCAGCAACTTCCATTTCGACTTGAGAGTGAGAGTCCATTAAATTGTTGATTTGGTTACCTTGTTCCTGTAATTTGAAACTTAATTCATTTTGAATGTTTATGATGTCCATTATGGATTGTTGAATCTTGTCGACTTGCTTCAATTGCGAAGATTTCAAATTTAGTAATTCCTTATTCTCAACTTCTAATTCCTGTAACTGTTGCTGTGTCATTGTATCATTCACAGCTGCTACTCCTTCTCCTTCTCCTTCTTCTTTTTCATCAAGTTCCACTTTTTGTTGAATTTGATCCAAGTTGGTAAACACATCAGACTTGTTCAAACTCTCATCCATCATAATATCTTCATCCTCATCTATATTTTGAAAATTCAACAAGTTCAACTGCTTTTCACGCAGTATGCGCTTTCTTTGCATTAGTTCGAATTTCTTATTTACATGATTTAAATTTTCCATTAGGAAACGTAAAATCTGCATTCTATGTTTTGCTAACGTTGTGAAATATATATGTTGCTCGTCGTCAATGTTGGAAAAGGGAAACCATCTGTTTTTGGGTAGATGTTGTTCAACCATATTTTGACGTTTTGTCTCATACTCCTCCAACATTGAGAGTTTTTTGAAACATTGTTGTACTTTGAAACTGAAATCCTCATCTATCTTGTCCTTGGTCCTTAAACTCGACGTTGAATCCGTTATAGCCAAATAGTCTGATTTAATTTTGACTGTAAATTGATTGAGATTCGCTAGCACTTGGTAAAATTCAAGACATTCCTTAAGAAACGTGTCTTTTATTAGGTACAAAGGTTTTTCCTCTTCCTTTTTTAAACTCTTGGGCCTGAACTTTACTTCTGATTCAACTATATCTACACATTTTTGGAATTGCGGTGTTAGATCAGGCATGGTATTTATAGAGACACTCTACTATATTCTCTAGAAATCGATGGTATCTTCCTTTCAGCGTCTTCTTTTTAGTGCTTTCTTCCTGATATATATTCAATCTTTTGATTCACTACAGTTTTTTTTTCGTACCGCGAATTTTCAAAAGCAATAGCCAGGGCTGGGCCGGAGCCACGGCCCACGTCAATGGCCCAATTCATCTACCTACGGGCGAGAGCCAGAACGGCCAAATAAAACACGAAATTGATACTACATACTACTCCACTAGGGAGCTAAAGCCTGGGCCGTTGGTTCGAGGTTGATACTACATACTACTCCACTAGGGAGCTAAAGCCTGGGCCGTTGGTTCGAGGTTGATACTACATACTGCACCACTAGGGAGCAAAGCGAGCTAAAGCCTGGGCCGTTGGTTCGAGGTTGATACTACATACTGCACCACTAGCTCGCTTCGCTCGCTAGTGTCGCACTCTCAAGCAGAGAGGTAATCGATACACTTTGTAAACTCAACGGCATCTTCATGTCCACCAGAAAATTTCACTTTCACGGTTTCGGTCTCGTATACAATATTCCATCTTCCAGGAAACTGTTCACCATTTGGATTTGACGTGATTTTGTTATACTCCTTCTTTTCTGCAGGAGATAATCTTACGTACCTTGCGTACTCTGGAGCTCCTGGTTTAATTATATTATCGGCCTAGACTCAATAGTTAGTATTTGACTTTATCTTTTCTTTTTCTTTTTCCTTTTTTTATTTTTTATTATTTATTATTTTTTTCACATACTGCAATCATTGTGCCTGGGGCGATTAAGTTCAAAGTCTCCATTTCTCTCAAGTCTGGTACGTAGAGATCTTTCCAATGATCAATGAATACAAAATCAACAGACTTGTATTCACCATGTTGTTTCAATCTTTCTTGAAAAGCAACTAAATTAAAAGCAGCTTTACCAACTATAATCTCAATTTTCTTTGATAATCCTGCAAGATTAATCACATCAGTAGCAATTTTAGCAAATTCGGGATTTTCTTCAAAACTGAAATACTTTGCTTCAGGGTCCTCAATTAGTTCATTTGCGAAAAGAACAGCCGAATAGCCTAAATATCCACCTAATTCTATAAATCTCTTAGGTTTCTGTGCCCTAATATGATTGATTATCAAATTTCCCTTTTCCCTACCAATATCCATAAATCTTTCAGGATATTCATCAATTACCTTAATCACCTCTAAAGGTTTACCTTTAATTGCATCTTTTTTCTCTTGAGGTAAGTTTAAGATATAATCGTGAAACTTTTGCTCTTTAGACTCTTGAGACATCTCTCAAATGTTAATAAACCGTTTTGTATTCTCAACAAACTATTTGAATTCAGTTAACAAACAATCATTGAGTTTTTATGTAGGGGAGGGGGGGGGGGGGGGGGTATCTCCCTTTTAACAATTTTTTTTTTCNCGAAGACTCCGGGTTCGAGTCCCGGGTAGGGTTTTTTCATTTTTTTTTTCCTTCAAGATCCCGAAGTAGCCTTGATCGGACCGAGTTGGAACGAGAAAAACTGTTGGATATGGTGGGGATACGGTGCAATTCTGGGCCCAGACAGCGGCTATTGAAGGCAATCAAAATTTCGTTTTCGGCTTTTATCTCAAAAGCTCATCGCACTCAGCCAAACACAATTTTTTTAGGTCAAGATGGATCGATATCTTACAAAGTAAACCAAGGTATTTCAGCAAGATACAGTTTATTTACTACTTTTTTGTAGATATCACTGAAGAGATATATTTTTTTTAACCTTTTTTGAGCGACTTTTCTTTAATCTATTGGTTTTGTAGAAATTCTTGCAGAATTAGTCAATGACGGTATAGGGACGTCTAAGTTATTGACTGTAAAGAGAAGGTGTGTTAGTAGCTACTTTAAGGGGAGAGCAGTGAATACCCATTTTTTCAGTAAAATTGATCGTAGTAACGAAAAAAAGGGTAAACAAAAAGGAAGAGTCTGGGGAAAGGACGAGTCTGTGAAAAGGAAGAGTCTGTGAAGGAAGAGCTGGTGAAAGGACGAGCTGGTGAAAAGAAGAGCTGGTAAAAGGAAGAGCTGGTGAAAGGAAGAGCTGGTGAAAGCAAGACCTGGTGAAAGGAAGAGCTGGTGAAAAGAAGAGCTGGTGAAAGAGGAGTTTGCAAAAAGAGCAAGGACTTGTTATTCCTGATAAATAAGAGAGATGAACTTCTCCCCAGCAGAACCAAGCTCATGTACTAGCTCCAGTGGTAGTTCCACTAATGCTAATTTGCTAGCCAAGTTTAAAGAGCTCAAATGCAAAAGATTAGAAACAGTAAAGCTCAACAAACTAGATGTGGCTCAGGAAAACAGGCGGCAAAAGATTTCACCACAAAGTAAACAACAGTCGCTGCCACAACAGTCGCTGCAACGACAGCAGCATGCTCTGGATGATATAGAAAGAGCTATGGAATATACTATAGAGGAGTGTGAAAAATGGCATGAAAAGCAGCAAAAAAAGGCACATCATGCAATCCAGAATCAAACAAAATTGGCCGAAGCATCATATTACAAGGAAATCAGTAATATGGTCATTGATAAAGAAACTTACAAGGCGCAAAGGGAGAGGCTCATGAAAGTAGAGGGGAATATGGATAGAAATGATGAAGAAACAACTATTATTACTACTATCGCCGTGCCATCTGAAGCAACGAAACAGGAAGTTAGTCAAATAATGAAGGAGTCACGAGATAGAAAATATATCAAAAAGAAGAGAAGGAGACAAGATGAGCTTTTGAATGTCGATGGTTTTATCAATGAAAAGAATAAACAATTTAACATGAAATTAAATCGACAGTTTCAGTCCCGTGACAACACTATCGAGCAAAGCGAGGACACTATCGAGCAAAGCGAGATAGTGGAGCACTGAGGACACCATCGAGCAAAGCGAGATAGTGAAGCAATGAGGACACCATCGAGAGAAGCGAGATAGTGAAGCACTGAGGACACCATCGAGAGAAGCGAGATAGTGAAGCACTGAGGACACCATCGAGCAAAACAAGATAGTGAAGCAATGAGGATACCATCTCGCTTTGCTCGATAGTGGAGCGCTGATGACACCATCTCGCTTTGCTCGATAGTGAAGCAATGAGGATACTATCTCGCTTTGCTCGACAGTGAAGCAATGAGGATACCATCTGGCTTTACTCGATAGTGAACCATGAGGACACCATCTCGCTATGCTCGATAGTGGAGCGCTGATGACACCATCTCGCTTTGCTCGATAGTGGAGCGCTGATGACACCATCTCGCTTTGCTCGATAGTGGAGGGCTGATGACACCATCTCGCTTTGCTCGATAGTGGAGGGCTGATGACACCATCTCGCTTTGCTCGATAGTGTCATCGATGGTGTCATCGATGGTGTCGCCGTGTATAACTATATCCAACAATAAACTTCTCTGCAATTTTTTCAAAGCTCTTGGTGAAAAAAAAACAAAAAAAAAAATTGGTGAAATATTCAATACTAGACTAGAAGTTAACTAGTTCAGCATCCAGCATAGGTTCAACAAGACAGCCATTTACAATACATTTGCTATATTGCATTTTAGAATTCTAGCTTTTTTTATCATTACATTTTAGTCTCTCTCTTGCTCCTGGCTGATTTAAGGGCCATTGGAAAAGCTCATTGAATTCGAATAATGTCGATGGAAGAAGAGCCCGAAATTGATAATAGACTTAAAGACCAATCGCGGTCGGAAGAAGAAGGAGAAGGAGAAGACTTACAAAACTCTTCAGTTGCTGACTCGTCTGAGGAAGACGAAGACGAAGAGGAGGACGAAGAGGCAATTCAGAAAGTTCGTGAAGGTTTTATTGTCGATGATGAAGAAGACGCCGTTGAATCTAGAAGACGGAAGAAGCATAAGAAGAGGAGAAGAGAAAGAGAAAAAACCGAACAAGACGATGCATTGGATGAGGATGATCTTGAGTTGCTTTTGGAAAATTCAGGTGCAAAACTTACACGTCCACAAGGTGGTAAGTTTAAGCGTTTGAAACGAAAGCAAGCGGAAGAAGCCGACGATGGTGGTGGTGAAGAAGGAGAGGATGAAGCCTCGTCAAAAAGGAAGAAGAAAGAAGCTGAACGTGAAAGGCGACTTGAAAGAGGATTGCAGAATATTTTCTCCGAGGATGAGGACGAAGATGAACTTAGTGGAAACGACGAAGAGGAAGGTGATTTAAGAAGCGATGATGATGATGACGAAGGTCTACAGAGAGCTACTCGACCTCTGGTGTTGGGAGAGTTTGAGGATTTTATTGAGCTGGAGGAGGATTCTGATGAAGACGCCGAGACCAGAGCCGAAAGGAAAAGAGAAAGGCAAAAACTAAAGCGAAGAGGAAGAAAATTAGACACTTCAAAATTGACCGATGTCGATAGAAAGAGTTTACAAGAGTTATTTGAAGTTTTTGGAACTGGAGATGAATATGACTGGGCACTAGCAGCACAAGAGGAGGCTATGGACGAGGAAGGCAGCAGAGAAGATCCAACTACTTTGGAAGCTGTATTTGAAAACTCAGAGTTGAAAGAAAGAATGTTGACCGAGGAAGATAACTTGATAAGGATTATTGATGTTCCAGAAAGATACCAAAAATACCGCAGTGCATTAACTTATATCGACTTGGACGACGATGAGCTTAGTTGTGAGAAAGAATGGATAGCTGATATTTTGTACAATGAAAAACATGGTGTTTTTAGTGAATTTGAAAAGGAGTTTAAGAATGCTGTTGGTGAAATAGTTGAGCTTGTTGCGAGACATTCCTTTGAAGTTCCATTCATCTGGGCCAATCGTCGAGATGCCGCCTTGTTTTCTGAGGAGATTATAAAGAACGGAGAACCAAAACAACAAGTTGTTAAACTTTTGTTTGAGGAAGATTTGTGGAGAATTGTGCAATTGGACTTGGAGTACCATTCTCTTTACGAGAAAAGATTGAATGTTGAAAAGATGGTCGACACGATGAAAATCGAAGATGACTTAACGAAAGATATCAAATCTTTGAACACTATGGTGGCAATTCAAGATATACACGATTACATTCAATTCACTTATACCAAGGAAATTAGAGAATCTAACGGTAGTGGCGAAGTTGAAAGAGAAGGAGAAAGAGAAGGAGAAAGAGAAGGAGAAAAAGAAAGAGAAGGAGAAGGGGAAGGAGAAGGAGAAGGAGAAGGAGAAGGAGAAGGAGAAGGAGAAGGAGGAGAAAGGGTTAATGGCACGCTGCATGATGCAAAGAATAGAAAACACTCCAAATACGCTTTGTTTGAGCGTATAAGATCGAATATACTATATGATGCAGTTAAGGCTTATGGTATTAATGCTAAACAATTTGGTGAAAATGTCCAAGTTCAAAGTCTAAGTGACTTTACTAGTGATATAAGACAACACGCTACAGATGATTCTCATGAGACCCCAGACGATATTATAGACCGTTTGGTTGATGACGACGATGTGATCTTCAAAGATGAAAAAACCGCTAGAGATGCTGTGCGTCGTACTTTTGCAGAAGAAATTTTTCATAACCCAAAGATTCGACAAGAGGTACGAGCCACTTACAAGTCTTATGCACTGGTAAGTGTTGCGTTGACTGATAAAGGTAGGACCGCCATTGATAACTATAGTCCATATGCGGATATCAAATATGCAATCAACAGATCTCCTGCAGACTTGGTGAAAAACCCTGATGTCTTCCTAAGAATGCTTGAAGCTGAAGAGAAAGGGTTAGCAGTTATTAAAGTGGAGACGGAAGGTTTTGATAATTGGTTTGAGTTCATTTTCAAGTGTTTAAAATCAGATGGATTATCTGAGGTGTCTGAGTTGTGGAACAAGGAAAGAGAAGTTGTTTTACGCATGGCTTTTCAAAAGCTATGCAGTATGGTTGCATTGAATACTAAAGAAGATTTACGTCGAGAATGTCAAAGACTAGTTGCAAGAGAAGTTAGGAAATCGTTCCTGGACAAGTTAGATCAAGCTCCGTTCACTCCTTATGGGTATGACTTGGGTACAATACCAAGTGTGTTATCTTTGACATTTGGCCAAGGTGATTACGACAGTGCTGTTGTAGGAGTATTTATGAGGGATTCTGGTTCAATCAAAGATTATTTCAAATCTCAACATAACCCGACAAACAGTCGTGAGAAAGAAGAAAGCTTTAGTGCTCAATTGAAAGAGTTTTTTGACAAGAATTTGGCGCATGAGAAACCTGATGTGATAGTTATTTCAGGGTTTAATGCGAATACCAAAAAGTTGTATGATGTTGTGAAGAGGTTTGTGGAGGTAAATGGTATTTTGGCTAGTGTTGATGGAGAAATGCTGCAGAAAACTCAAGAACCGCCTTTGTTGAGTGTAATTTGGGGACAAGACGAAACAGCTCGGTTGTATCAAAACTCTGAAAGAGCAAGATTGGCATTCCCAGAAAAGCCCACCTTGGTGCGATATGCTATTGGTGTAGCCAGATACGTGCAAAATCCATTATTAGAGTATATTTCTTTGGGAGATGATATTTTGTCATTAACATTCCATCAGCACCAAAAGCTTATACCAAAAGATCTTGTTAAAGATGCTTTGGAGTCAGCTTATGTGGACGCAGTCAACGCTCTTGGCTTGGACATTAATGTTGCCATGCGCAACCCCTATGTTGCACAAATGTTGCAGTACATTGCAGGATTTGGTCCGCGTAAAGCATCTGGATTGTTAAGAAATATGGAAACAAAAATGATAACGAGCTTGGCAACAAGGCAGGACTTGATTGAATTGGAATTGACGCCAGCAAACATTTTTCAAAATTGTGCTTCATTTTTGAAAATACCTTACGATGAGACTGCAAATGTAAGTTCATCATCAATTGAACTTTTGGATGCTACAAGGATCCACCCTGAGGATTATGGGTTAGCGCGTAAGCTTGCTGGTGATGCACTTGATTTGGACGAAGAAGATATTGCCGCGTTGGAGAAAGAAGGTGGAGTAATTGCACAGTTGTACGAAGAAGGTACTCTGCGCCTTGATGGTTTGAATTTGAGTTCATATGGAGAACAGTTGGAAGGAAGTTTAGGTAAGAAGAAATACGCTACTGTGAGAATGATCAAAGAGGAGTTGATCAATAACTATGTGGAGTTGAGAAATGCATTCAAAAAATTACTGGACTTTGAAGCATTCAACATGTTGACAGGTGAAACGCCCGCAACATTTGGAAAAGACTCAATTGTTCCAGTTACAGTTATCAAGTTGGGAAAGAATTTCCAAGATCCAAATTCGAGAGTGAGATGGGCCAAGGTTGTAACCCCATCATTGATTCAAGCAAACATTGAACAAGACAAAATTCGAGATCTTGACTTGCAGCAGGGTCAAACTTACCAGGCAGTAGTATTAGAAGTATTCTATGATTCTTTTACTGCAGCTATGAGTTTGTTACCAGAAGATATAAAACGTGCTTCAATTCCTAGAATACAAAAAGTTGGCGGTAAGTGGGATTTTAGAGCCGAGGAGGAAGACTGGGCAAAAGAACACGAAAAGGAACAAGCAAAAAAGGCCTTCACCAGAAACATACAGCATCCATTGTACCGTAACTTTAATTACAAGCAAGCAGAAGAGTACTTGGCGCCACAAAGCTTGGGTGATTGTATCATCCGTCCATCCTCCAGAGGACCAGAGTTTTTAACAATAACATGGAAGGTGGGCAACAATTTGTTCCAGCACTTATTGGTTGAAGAGCGGAAAAGAGGTAGAAAGGAGTACATTGTTGAAGGAAAATCTTATTCTGATTTGGATCAGTTAATTTTCCAACATATACAAGCCATTTCAAAGAAGGTGGATGACTTGGTGCGTAATCCGAAATTCAGAGAAGGTACTCTTGCTGAAGTTCACGATTGGTTGGAATCATATACCAAAGCTAATCCGAAAAACTCAGCTTATGTGTTTTGTTATGACCATAAAACACCTGGAAGTTTTTTGCTATTGTTCAAAGTAAATGTTCATACTCCAATTGCTACCTGGCATGTACGTACAGTTACAGATGGGTACGTATTAAAGGGTCTCAACTATAACACAGTGATGAATTTATGTAATGGTTTCAAACAGCAATTCAAAACTTTACAACAAAGACAAAAACCTCAGAGTCACCACTACTCTTACAATTATTAACAGTACGTAAATGTATTGTATGTGTATAAATAATAAATAAAAAGAAAATGGAAAATGGAAAATGGAAAATGGAAGATGGAAGATGGAAGATGGAAGACGAAGGAGATTACTGTTTAGGCAAATCTCCGGTAGGCTACTCTCAACTTTGATCTAAAACTGTCACCGTCTACATACGTTCCCATTAGCCACCTATCTCCACCATTTGAGTCGGAAAATCCATTTCTTGAGTGCAAAGTTCTTCTATTTTCAAAGATGACACAAGAGCCTTCCTTCAATTTAACTTCGTAGTGATTCTTCAGGTCATTAATAAAGTTTTCAAATAGTTGGAAACCTCTAACAAAGTCGTCGAAAAGTTCATAAAGTTTCTCATCTTTTGTAACACCCACTTCGAATGGACCTTGGAACGGTGGTGAGTAATTAATTGCATGAATCTTGGGAAAACAAGAGCCATCTATTTCTGGGTCTTCAACAATAAGTGGTCTTTTATAATAATAATACTCATTGTTGTTATCATAGTGATAAGTAATTGGAATCTGCGTTAAAGCCTTGTATGCAATTGGGTCTTTATTTCTGACATATTCAGCTGCCAAGAAGGAATCGCAAAACAAATTTTCTCCACCCAAAGTTGAATTGTCTATGGCATGCAACATTTGCAATCCAGGTGGTGATTCATAATAAAGCAAGTCCATATGGAGTGGTAAAAAAGTATTGGTGTAGGCAATATTTTTTGCCTCTGATTTCAAGTTTCTTACATTGAAAAGCGAACCATAAAAAGTCTTTTTGATGTATCCAAATTTGTTTGCGATTTTGCTAACTGGCCATGCACTTACATTTGCTTCATTCATCTCGGTCATTTCGGGTCTTGGGATATCGTCAATAAAGCAAAGACCATACCTGTTCAAATTGTGCAAAACATTGAAAAAAGTCCTTTCATCATTCATTAAATCCTTGTAATTGTGGTGTAGTTTGGATAGGTTATTAGTGAGTTCGGTTTTGTCCCAAAGTTTCCTGTCTTTGTCAAAGAACTTACCGCTTCTTCTAGCTTGTTGAGTGGCATTTTTGTTCAAAAATGACCATGAATAAGTTGACCTAATTGTTGTTTTCCCATTGTTATTGCTCCATTGAACTTGTAAAGCTGGTTCTTTTTCAAAAGAAGAAACTATTGGTTCACCTTCTATAGTGAGATTTTTTGAACATTCTGCAGTAGTAAATAACTTTTGGCTCGTGGCAGAATCTACAGACTCTGGTGATGTACACGAATCGCGCAAAAAGACATTATTGAATATAAGTGGTTTTCCATTGATGCGCAAGGAAATTTCCTTATTGTTAAACTTGACCAATGAAAGCTGCTTTGACGAATTGTACCTTACTTGTTGCAAAGTGACCCATAATGGTCGTTGTTTAATTAACATTTTTCCACTTGTGCTTCTTGAGCCCTGCAACTTTAGTCTTTTGAGCCCAGCAACTTTAGTCTTTTGAGCCCAGCAACTTTGAGTCTTTTGAGCCCAGCAACTTTGAGTCTTTTGAACCTTTAGTATAACAAGTAATTTGATGTAAATTGGTGTGCCAATTTAATTTCCCTAGCCGCCGAGCCTTTTTGAAAAAAAAAAAAAAAAATCCGGGGAAGGGTAAAAAAATCGTACCATGCATAATGGAACATGTCCAATTGGGCGGCTGCAAAAATACAAAAAAAAAATTATCTGGTGAAGTTAGGGCTATGTGGAACCAGGGCTATGTGATGCCAGGGCTATGTAGTGCCGGAACTGTATTGGTTCAATGCAAAGATATGTTGGATCGGACCCGAAAGGGGGAAGGGGGAGACATTTTCTCCACAACGAGTCAGGGTATAAGTAGACCGAGTAAGCACGGGTTAGTAAAAAGTCAATTCTGAAAATATCAAGAACAATGCAAGTAATGCAAGTACGTTTTATATTACTTTTATCGCTTTTGGGATCTGCAGTATCTGATGATTATGATGATGATAGTGATTGTGAGGATTGTGAACGAGCTAGAGCTCGTTTGAATTCCGTGTGTGGCTCGCAACCTACAGATAATGAGAACATTGAACGTTATCTTCAATGTATTTGTGGGATGAATGAGGACTTTTTCGATGATTATAGCGACTGCATTCAAGATTGCCGTAGATTTGATCTTTACGAACCACGTACAGACGAGCGTCAACTACGTCAATTATATTGCGATATGGCCAGTGATGCAACATCTGTTTTGCAAGTTATTTCAACGCAAACCAGTAATATTCCAGGGTTGTTGGCTTGGAACAGTGCAACGTTTACAAGAGGTGATGCAAGTGGGCAAACTAGCCAAGCAAATGCGCAACCAAGTCAAACAAATGCGCCAACTAGTCAAACAAATGCGCCAGCTAGTCAAACAAATGCGCCAGCTAGTCAAACAAATACTGCAAACAATAATCAAGCACCAGCAAATAGTGCAAGTAATGGTCAAGGACCAATGACAAATGTTGCGAATAACCAAGGAGATGGTAGAGAAAATACAGGTAGTGCGCAACGAAATGGCTCACAAAATAAAAGAATCGATACAATTTTGATGCTTGCCTTGGCATTAATATAATACAACACTATCGAGCGACACTATTGAGCGACACTATCGAGCGACACTATCGAGCGACACTATCGAGCAGAGCGAGATAGTGGAACAGTACTGACTAGCTTGTCACAACACTATCGAGCGACACTTTCGAGCAGAGCGAGATAGTGGAACAGTACTGACTAGCTTGTCACAACACTATCGAGCGACACTTTCGAGCAGAGCGAGATAGTGGAACAGTACTGACTAGCTTGTCACAACACTATCGAGCGACACTTTCGAGCAGAGCGAGATAGTGGAACAGTACTGACTAGCTTGTCACAACACTATCGAGCGACACTTTCGAGCAGAGCGAGATAGTGGAACAGTACTGACTAGCTTGTCACAACACTATCGAGCGACACTTTCGAGCAGAGCGAGATAGTGGAACAGTACTGACTAGCTTGTCACAACACTATCGAGCGACACTTTCGAGCAGAGCGAGATAGTGGAACAGTACTGACTAGCTTGTCACAACACTATCGAGCGACACTTTCGAGCAGAGCGAGATAGTGGAACAGTACTGACTAGCTTGTCACAACACTATCTCGCTCTGCTCGATAGTGTCTCTCGATAGTGTCTCTCGATTGTGGAGTAAAATTCCTTTTGTTAGATGCAAACAATTTTCTGTTATTTCTATATACAAAATTTATAGAAAATTTCTGTCTTGTTGCTTACAAGTTATTGCTTTATAAATTGATGTTTTCAATTAGACTGCTTTGGCATAGATTTCAATTGTTTTACACTCTACTGTTTTGAAATCTACCACTTTTATAGAAAGATTCTCTTGCTTTCAAGTTATTGCTTTATAAATTGATGTTTATAGATGCTTTCGCGTAGATTTAGCTTTTAAACTAAAACTTTAGACAAATCTTTACATAGAACAAATGTTTCAACTCTTACAAACTCAATTGTTTTACTCAACTGTATACACACAACTGTATGCACACAACTGTTTTACTCAACTGTATACACTCAACAGTTTATGAGATTTACTACTTTTTTACATGCAAATTTGCAGCTGCTATAACAGCTTATAACAGCTTATAACAGCTTATAACAGGTCATAACAGCTTCTTTTGCTTTTTGCTACTTTTTCTACCACCCTAATGCTCTTTTACTTTTTACTACTCTTTTCTTTTCTACTCTTCTACTCATTACTCTTCTACTCATTACCCTTCTACCCTTCTACTCTTTCCTCTTCTACTCTCTACTCTTCTACTCTCTACTCTCCTACTCTCCTACCCTTCACCCTTCTACTCGTCTACTCTTTACTCGTCTACTATTTACTCTTCTACCCTTCACTCTTCACTCTTTCCTCTACTACTCTTTCCTCTTCTACCCTTTCCTCTTCTACCCTTCACTCTTTACTATTTACTATTTACTCTTCTACTCTTTACTCTTCTACTCTTTACTCTCCTACTCTTTACTCTCCTACTCTCTACTCTCCTACTCTCCTACCCTTCACCCTTCTACTCGTCTACTCTTTACTCGTCTACTATTTACTCTTCTACCCTTCTACTCGTCTACTCTTTACTCGTCTACTATTTACTCTTCTACCCTTCACTCTTCACTCTTTCCTCTACTACTCTTTACTCTCCTACTCTTTACTCTCCTACTCTTTACTCTCCTACTCTTTACTCTCCGACTCTTCTACCCTTCACCCTTCATCCTTCACCCCTTCCTCTTCCCTCTTACTTTTAGTGACATTTTCTATTCTTTCAAAATTTGCTGCGTTTTTTTTTTTTTTTTTCGCGTTTTGTTAATAAACAAAAGGTTTTCAATCATCAAGCTTTTATTTAATAACTAATTATTCAATTGGATACAAGGAAAAGGTATAGGGCATACCTATATGTATCATAACCTTATGGAATAGCAATGGAGGATAACAATCTTAGTGATAAGGATTATTCTGCCTCAAATGATCATGATATCTTCAAGAAAAAATTTACTTCGCTTTCAAGACCAAGGCAACCATTGAGAGAAACGAATTCAAATCTACCGATATCTTCATTCAAAAGACAGGGTAAACATGATAAATCAGTCGGTATTCATTCTCCAAAAACTCAATCGCCTTGTGAAAACTTTGGTAAACGCAAACATTCTCCCTTAAGGAAACTGCGGTCTAGTTTAAGTCCTTTGAAGAAAATCGTCGAGGATCTTGTTGTCAAAGACTCAAATTCAGCACAAAGAGCTCAAATTGATACGCCCCTAGGAAATTTGGATAAGGCGGGAAAACCAATTAAAATAGTTGAAGGGGAATCAACTCAGCCGGGGGGGAACCCAGGGGGGAACCCGGAGGGGCACCACCAGATGAAGGAAAAGGGGCACCACCAGCAGAAGGAAAAGGAGCAGCACCAGCAGAAGGAGAGGGAGCAGTACCAGCACCAGCAGCACCAGCAGAAGGAGAGGGAGCAGCACCAGAGTCAAGGCAATCACCTACCGTCGCAAATACCCAAAACTAATCCAAATTCAAGTCATGAACAAACTGCAGAACCGGTGTTTGAAACACCTAAAAAAAGAGGACGTGCCGCTTCTGACGATAGAATGGAACACAAAAGATTCGTTAAACCCAAAACTGAGGAAATAGCAACAAATTTGTTAAACAAATATATAGACAAAAGACCCCAAATTGGCATTGCATCTACCAACCAAACTTACGAGTCTGAAAAGTATACTACAAAAAAACTAGACTCTACAGTTACCAACAAACATTCCATCTCCTTGAATGAGCAAAAAGAACAAAGTAGAATAAAAAATGATGTTCAACTCCATTCTCCTTTCCAAAGCCAGCTGAAACAGACCTTTTCTCAACAATGCAAGGAGAAAAATATACCCCATCACAAGCAAAATGGAAGCAAAAGTACTATCGATGATTCCACAAGCCAAGGGGGTCTCAAATACAACAAATCCTCACTCAAAATGCTAGACTTGAACAGATTGGACCAAAGGCATCAGGAAAAATCGGTAGAAAATAAAAGTCGTAAATTGCAACTGCAACTGCAGCAACAACAACAGCATCAGCAACAGCAACAGCATCAGCAACAGCAACAGCAACAGCAACAACAACAACAACAAAAGGCTAATGGAAGATTATCAGGAGATGAATTATTGCAATGGCAGCAATCTTGGAGGAAAATCATGAAAGAGTCTACTGTCTTTTTTGAAGGATATCATGATACACAGCTGTCAGAATATAGGCGAGCTATTAAATATCTCAAGTATGTTGGTTGTGAAGTTGCTCCATTTTATGGTAATGATGTTACAATTATCATATCAAAGAGGCCCTATGACGATAAAGCCCATTACCCAGCACATGACATCTTTAGCAATGTATCCCGCTTGAAAGTTAAAGTTTGGAACTATGATAAGCTATTCAGATTTATGAAGAATCTAGGGTTAACAACCACTACCGTTTCGGAAGAACAGTCTGTTAATACACATACAATTCTTCCCCCTTCATTGTCCAACAATAACCTATATAGTTTACTAAAAGGTGAGAAAATTTATGGATCAACGGATAGGGATCCAAATGCCAGGCGTGATGATTTTCATTATTTTGGTAAAAACTATTTATATGTATATGACTTAAGCCAAGCGGTTAGACCAATTGCAATCAAGGAATGGGGACAAGACTATCCAACGTTAAGCCTAACATTAGATGGGAAGTGTCCATTTATATATGATCCTTTAGACCAAAACTCAGAAAAGAAAAGGCTCAAGAGATTAAGGAAATTCGAGGCAACTAAAGCACATCGTCAAGCCTTGAGAGCAGCTTCTAACAAAGTTATTCATGGTATTACATTGTCAGTTGAAGGTTTTACTGGAACGAGTACTAGCACAGATAATACTGAAGAGGCATCCAACGAAGAGGCATCCAACGAAGAGGAGGAAGAGGAGGAGGAAGAGGAAGAGGAGGAAGAAGAAGAAGAAGAAGAAGAAGAAGAAGAAGAAGAAGAAGAAGAAGAAGAAGCAGTGGAATTCAGGCAACCATTAACTAGAAACTCCTCAAATATGCAGTCGAGAGCTGTAGAAAATATGGCTTCTGGTTACAATGGAGTATCGAATGCTTTACAATTCTCGATGGACTCAAACTTGAATAGTAATGCTCTTGCGGCTGGGAATGGTTTAGGACCAATTGGCTCACAAGTACCTTCGAAGAACTTGAATAATCTTAAAAAGAGAATATTTTTGAAGAGAAAGGTTGCAGAACGCAAGGACAAGGAGATGACACCTGGGTATTGTGAAAATTGCCGTATCAAATACGATAGCTTTGACGACCATATTATGAGTAATAGGCATAGAAACTTTGCATGCAAAGACAGCAATTTCAAGGATATAGATGAGTTAATACTCACATTGAAGGAAAGTAAGTCTTTGGGCCACGTCACATCGAATGGTGACTATGTGTAACTTACACACACAGGGAGAGGGAGAAAGAGAAAGAGAAAGAGAAAGAGAAAGAGAGGAAGAAAAAGAGAGAGTCTTTGTCTTTATGTTATATATTAGCTAGAAATACAACTTCTAATTCATAAAAATTGTGCCATGCTTTAGGGTAGCTCTCTATCAAAAGAAAGTTTTGATCTGAAAAAAAAATTCGTTACCAAAAAGATTTCAGAATTTTTCAAGTATTCTTTAAAAGAATCAAATAAAGTTTGGACGGAGTTTATGTTAAGTAGGTACATAACGAGACAGCGTAGTAAGCATGTACTACTTCTAACGCGATCTTATGCTGATATAATTAACGAAATACGAGCCAAGTCGCCTACAGAGTCGCCGTCGCCGTCGCCGTCACAGCAGCAGCAGCAGCAGCCCAGAGTAAATCGTTTTGCGCAACAATATGCTCAACTGGAACAGCAGTCGCTGCACAAAAGTTCACTGGGGCAGCAGAACAGACCTCGGAATCGGTCGCTGTTGTCTAATTCCCATGACGATTCTCGGAATAGTAAAAACTATGAATATCAAAAGAATGCAACTCCTCGTTCTGGATTCAATAGGACGCAGTATGAACCAAATGATAGACTGCAACAATCGCAATTTAACAATGGCCATTTCCGATCCAATAACCAGGGGAACAATGGGCAGCCGAGAAGAGACAAGGCTCCATTTCAATCCAGAGATAATCATCAACAACGACATACTCCGGGCTTTGGCCATCAATTGAAACAAATTGTACCTCAACTTACAAAAGAAGAGATTGAACAACAAAAGACTTTGAAATTCCAAGAACTTCAAAAGGAAATTGCAAGACAAGATGCCGCTAAGGATAATAATCGAGATACTCAGCAAATTAAATCACCCATGTTTCAAAAAAAAATCATTAATAGTAAGAAAATGCAAAGGAACAACAACAACAACAACAAGAAGAAGAAGAAGAAGAAAGCCTTGGTGAAAATCCAACTCCCGCCATTTATTTCTGTTTCTAATTTGGCTACCGTCATGCAGGTCCCTTTAAATGATGTATTCAAAAAACTTGAAGGATTAGGGTTTGAAGATATAAGACACTCATACATTTTAGACAAGGAGAATGCCGCAATGATAGCAGATGAATATGATCTTGAAGTGGAAACTGTTAAAGAATCCAAAAATTTAGATTTATTCCCGGCTCCGGTGAAACAAGAGTTGCTAAAGGAAAGGCCACCGGTAGTAACAATCATGGGACATGTTGATCATGGGAAAACTACAATTTTAGATTACTTGAGAAAATCGTCAATAGTCAAGGGGGAATTTGGCGGTATTACGCAACACATTGGTGCGTTTTCTGTAATTGCTCCACAATCAAATAAAAAAATTACATTTTTAGATACCCCTGGTCATGCGGCTTTCTTGAAAATGAGAGAACGAGGTGCTATTATCACGGATATCGTGATTTTGGTAGTTGCTGCTGATGATTCGGTGATGCCTCAAACAATTGAAGCTATAAAGCACGCTAAAAAAGCTGGTGTGCCAATGATTGTTGCTATAAACAAGTGTGATAAGCCGGGTATCAATGTTGATAAAGTTTTGGCAGATTTGTCCGCTCAAGGTGTTGACGTTGAAGATTATGGGGGAGAGACGCAGACTGTACAAGTTTCTGGTAAAACCGGGTTGAATATGGATAAACTTGAAGAAGCCATAGTAACATTGAGTGAGTTAAACGAGTTTAAAGCAGAGACAAAAGATGTACCAGCAGAAGGGTGGATTATTGAATCTGAAGTATTGAAAGGAATGGGAAATGTAGCTACGGTATTGGTACGCCGAGGGTCTTTAAAAACAGGTGATATTATTGTTGCAGGCGAGACATTTTGTAAAATTAGAGGAATGAAGGATGAATATAATAAAGTGATTAAAATTGCAGGGCCTTCGACTCCAGTCCAAGTTTGGGGGTGGAAAAATTTACCGGATAGTGGTGATCAAATCTTGCAAGCTCTGACAGAACACGTTGCTAAGAAAGTGATTGATTATAGGGTTGCTCGATCCCAAGAAATTCAAGTTTCCAGAGATATTGAAGATATCAATGTTAAGAATGCCGAAGCTATTAAAGAAGCTGAAAGACTAGACAAAATTGCCGAGATGAAGAAGGCAGGGTTGGATCCAAGTGAACTAGAAAAAGCAGTAGAAGAGAATGGTATTAAGAAATGCGAGTATATTATCAAAGCCGATGTATTTGGTTCCGCGGAAGCTATTAAAGAAAGCATTGATGGTTTAGGTAACGATGAAGTTAAGGCTTCGGTTCTTTCCCATTCAGCCGGTCCACCGACGGAGTCTGATATTGAGCTTGCCAAAACTTTTGGAGCAACAATCTTTTGCTTTAATATACAAGTACCAAAGACAATTCATTTGAAAGCAGAACGCGAAAAAGTGGAGATAAAGGAACACAACATTATCTATAGGTTGATTGAAGATGTCACTGAGAAGTTGAGTACACTTTTAACTCCTAGAATAGAGACCAAGATTTTAGCCGAAGTGGAAGTGAAGGACGTTTTTACAATATCTCAAGGTAAATCGAAAATGAAGGTTGCCGGATGTAAAGTATCCACGGGTATCATCAAGCGTTCTTCTCAAGTTAAAGTTTTAAGAGATGGCACCCAAGTGTTTAAAGGCAACTTATCTTCACTCAAGCACGTTAAAGAAGATATCGCTGAGGCTCGCAAGGGAGGTGAGTGTGGTATCACTTTCAGCGATTGGAACAAATTTGAACAGGGCGACATCATTCAAGCATTTGAAGATGTTGAACATAAACAATACTTGTAAATAGAGATTGAAGTATAGAATGAAAGAAAAGAAAAGAAAAAGAAAAAAAAATATAAATGTGAAAAAAAAAAAAGGTTTTGCAATAAAAGTAAAGCATTTCTATACAAGAGTTAAAAATGTCATCTCGCGATGAGTACTCTTCGGACGAGGAGGATATCTACGACTCTGGAAAAGGTTCACAAGTTCTATTAGGTTTTGTAGACGGTGCAATTACTAATGATGATTTACCAACCATTGAAGACACATTCATTGGAGGGCAACCAGTATGGCTACATCCCGATTCCAAACCACCAGAAAGCTATTTAATCTGTGATCATTGCCGCCAGAAACTTGCACTATTAGTCCAGGCATTTGCACCGATTGATGGCAAGATATATGATAGGGTTATTTATACGTTTGGGTGTAAGACCTCCACCTGTGCCAAACAAAAAGGAAGTGTCAAGGTCATAAGAGGTATAAATAAGAGTCCCCAAACGGTAAAGAGGATAAAAGAAGAAATAGAGGAGGCAAATGCAAAACTTGTTGATGAGAAATTGAGACTTGACAATGTAAAGAAATTGAATGAGGAAATGACAAAAAACTTGTTCAAAAGGGACGAGAGTGGTGTATTTTCTGCAAATCCTTTTGGTGGTAATCCCTTTGAAAAAACTGAGGTACTGAAAGAAAAGGAGGTGCCAAAGGAAAAGGGGGTACCAAAAGAAAAGGAGGTGCCAAGTCCCCAAACATATGCTCAAGCCGCATCAAAAAACGCACCAAAATCAAAAAAGAAAAAGACATTAGATGAAAAGCTTCCCGAGTACAATGGAAGTTTTGTTTATGTCGAGCCAGAAAAGTTTAAAAAGGATAAAAGCTCAGATGCAGAGCTTGAAAAGTACAGACATTTGATAGATCAAGATGAAGATGATTTAATGGTAGAGGGATCTTCAAGGAGAGGGTCTCAATCATCAGCAGTATTGGATCCACAAACACAGAAGATTTCCAATATGTTAGACGACAAGTACTTTGCATCATTTTCATCAACGGTGAAGCATAATCCGGGACAAGTACTACGCTATGATTTGAATGGGAAACCATTACTCTACAGTGGGAAAGACGAAGTTGCTAAAAAGTTTTTGCTCACGCCCGCTAATATACCAAAACCAGGTTTCAATCCTTCAAGTGAACGTAGATTTGAATTTCAGTTGATGCCAAAGGCCATCATGGACTTGGAAGGGTTGGATGATAAGGATAAGGTTGATATCAAGGATATTCTCAATGGTATGAGTTGGGGCACTATTATTGTTTGTACAGATGTTGAAGATTATATTCCCGAGGAACAATTTGACGAGAATAAAGTAGGGTATATAGAGGAGTGGTGTGGTGTTCAATGGGAGGAAAGTGTTTAATAACACTATCGACCTATCGACACTATCGAGCGAAGCGAGATAGTGTAGCACTGACTACACCGACACTAGCGACACTATCGAGTGAAGCGAGATAGTGATACTATCCCCACCACACTATACACGTTATATAGAGTATATATGCACATGAGCAGCACTTACAACACCAACACTAGCGACTGTATCTCGCTTCTCTCGATAGTGGAGCAGCACTGACTACACCTACACCATCGACACTATATTGCTTCGAGCAACACTATCGAGCAGAGCGAGATAGTGTTGTAACAAGCTTTTGAGTGTTGCTCGACACTATCGAGCAGAGCGAGATAGTGTTGTAACAAGCTACTGAGTGTTGCTCGACACTATCGAGCAGAGCGATCGACACTATCGAGCGACACTATCGAGCAAAGCGAGATAGTGTCGAGCAACACTCAGTAGCTTGTTACAACACTATCTCGCTCTGCTCGATAGTGGAATAGGCTCTGCTCGATAGTGGAATACGCTCTGCTCGATAGTGGAGTCTGTTTCAAAGACAAAGTTTGAATTGTTTTATTGTTCTATTGAAGTTGCATGCAACCGACACGACATTATCGAACAAAGCGAGATAATGAGCGCATAGCCTTTATTCCTTTGAGTTACAGCTTTAGCGTTAAAAGAAAGAAAAAAAGGGCTTTTATCGCTGCGTCTGCTTATCCCCGGTGGAAAGTACGGCGGGAGGAATTAGAAAACAGTCTAATGCTATTGAGCAGAGCAACACTATCGAGCAGAGCAACACTATCGAGCAGAACAACACTATCGAGCAGAACAACACTATCGAGCAGAGCGAGATAGTGTTGTAACAAGCTTTTGAGTGTTGCTCAACACTATTGAGCAGAGCGAGATAGTATTGTAACAAGCTTTTGAGTGTTGCTCAACACTATTGAGCAGAGCGAGATAGTATTGTAACAAGCTTTTGAGTGTTGCTCAACACTATCGAGCAGAGCGAGATAGTATTGTAACAAGCTTTTGAGTGTTGCTCGTTAGTGTCGATAGTATCAGTGGCAACTAGTGTGCTCCACTATCTCGCTCTGCTTGATGATGTCGCTCTGCTCCATAGTGTCTCCTACAAGGAGCACTTTTATTAATATTCTATTTAAATAAATATGTGAGTGCTCCACTATCGAGCAGAGCGAGATAATATTGATCAATCTACTATCGACTAGACTCGTTTCACTTGTCTAGTCTCTCTCCACTATCTCGCTTCGCTCGATAGTGTCGAAAGTGTCGATAGTTTTGACCTATCTACTATCGACTAGACTCGTTTCACTTGTCTAGTCTCTCTCCACTATCTCGCTTCGCTCGATAGTGTCGAAAGTACTGCCAAAAATAAAACGCCACCTTTGTATTTCTTTTTTTCGTTATTGTTTGAGGAAAAAAGCTTTTAGAATGAAAGGAGCAAAGGAGACTGGATAAAGGAGACCAAAGGAGAGCAAGGGGGAAGGAACATTTATAGAAATCTTTTATTTAAATATATATGTGAGTGTTGATCTATCTCTCTCGATAGTGTTGATCTCTCTCTCTACTCAATAGTATTGACTAGACTCGTTTCACTCGTCTAGTCTCTCTAAATGTAACTGCAATTACATCATTTTGTCGCAAGCTACCATACTACCTGCCCACCTGAAACACCCGCCATCTCCGCCCATTTTTTTCTCCTTCCCCCCCCCCCCCAAGCACAAAGATTGGCATCCCCCAAATCTGTTACATTGCATCATAAATATGTACATTCTAATTTCAGATCCTACAACTCATTAGAGAGTTACATAAAGAAGAAAAAAAAAAGAATGGAAAACTCTCCTTTCATATATTTGCGTTTTTATAAGAGATTTGACCTAATGAATAGGTGAGTTGGTATATTGTATTTATATTGCTTTTTACACTATATAAACTGATGATATACACTATATAAGAGAAACCTTTAACCATAATTGCTCTCAACTCTAGAGACAGCATATTCAACAACAATTTGTAGCCATACTATCAAAACCATCCTCGCTCTGCTCGATAGTTGGCATATTCTTTAAAAATAGCATTTGATAATAGCATATTCAACTAGATAGAGTCCTAATTCACAGTTGATATGTCAAACGAATACTCCTCATCTAGCGATGAAGAGAGTTTCCGTGACTCGCAACACCGATTCCGCATCCAGCTACCCCAACATTATCTAGATTTGAACAAGGCCCGTAAACATAAAAGAGACAATATCAAATTGAACAAGGCTACTTCAAATTTTGCAAAAGTTACAAAGTTGAACCCAAAAAAGAATGCTAGATTTGCAGACTCTTACACACCTAAGGATCTAAGGTTTTCAATGGGGTCGTCAAGAGCTTCAGATACCGAGGATGATTCAGATGACACAGATGAATTTACACCGGGAAAACAACTGATGGGGGTAGAAATCTTGCCCCATTTCACATTTGATCAAGAAAACATTAAAAAAAACCAACAGAGCATGCAAGACAGTAGTGATGAGAGTGATGAAATCAGCAATGAGGATGATGGTGATGATAATGATAATGATAACCGAAAAAACACAGATTTCCAAACGCACACGCATCCCAACCGGCTTCCTCCTCCTCCTGAACAAGTGTATCAGACTGATTCCTCTGACGATGAATCAGCCAAGAATGAACAGTATGATGATGATGATGATCATCATCATCATCATCATGGTCAACATCATCATAACCCTCAGCCTCGCTTTTCTTCTTCTCCTTCGCTGGAGAGGAATACTTTTCCACGACGAAAATCAAAAGAATCGTCTAGCAGCTTACATGATGAGACTTTTCCCTCACTCAATTCTCGTAAATCAAATGAAACCAGTGAAAGCAAGAAAAATGATAAGGAACTGTCCTCTGGGGGCATTAAAGGTATACTTCGGAAAATGTCACTTGTTGATAGATTCCCTTCAGATGATATTCATCAAGATATTGGTCACAGTGATACATTTCTTGGTAGGGTCTTCAATATTGGTCATGGTGGAATCAGCGGTGGAGGTTTGACGCCAGGAGCTTCGCGAGCTTCTGATGCGTCGTTGGAAGCTATAGATGAGGAGAAAAAAGTTGGTTTTGCTGAGAGTGAAAACGATAGAGATGCAATTGAAATGAAACCAATTGCAAATTTCGAGGATTTGAGCGAGGAAGCTAAGCAATTGATTCGTCAGCATTTACCTGGTCACGTATTGGATACAGTTAGTACTAATTCTGGCACTACTTCTACTACTACTACTACCAATAATAACAATAATAATAACAATAACGGAACAAATATCACACCTAGTGGCAGCTCCTTTGAAAAGTTGTTGGATGATGAGAAAGGAAACAAGAAAAGTACCCTGGATGATAATGGCAATAGCGATAATGACAACGATGACGATGACGAGAAAAAGCGCAAATCCAAAGAACGTAAAAAAAGACAGAATTTATTTTATGCACCAAACCCCGATATATATTTGCGTGGAGAAAAAAATGAAGGGATCTACAATGATGAGGAAGGTAATTACTGGAAGGATCTTGAGGGAGAATACGTGGCAAGACCTAAGCAAGTTCAAGCAGGTGTTTTATCTTCATTGTTAAAGTTGTATCAAAATCCTCAGGAAACCAAATCAGCTAGTTCGTTGACCACATCAGATAGTCACACTTTGCATTCGGACGAAAATAGCTATGAAGAGGATAATAAAAGAGCAACACTGCATTTGGACATTACCAAGTTGAAACTGGGTATCAAGTCAGGACTCAAATTTGGAAAGAAAAGCATAGAAGCAGGAGTGAACAGTGGAGTTGTGGACGCTCCCAACGTTTCAAAGAAAATATTCCACAAAGCAGCATCCAAGTTAAAGAGTAATGAATATGCAAATAAAGGTATCGATAAGCCACTACCTAAAGTGGATGACAGTGATATTGACGATGACGATAATCTGGATGCTCGCGATTCAACAAAACCAGATATACATAGTCATTTGCCCTCTTTCCAAAATGCTAAACCCAAGATGCCTAAAAAGATGGAAAATGCAGGTGGGAAAATGAAAAAGAAATTAAGAAATAAGCAACGTGCCGAAAGATTAAGAATAACTGTGCACATTGCAGATATTCTACAAAGCCAACGATTCATAATGAATATGTGTCGTGCTTTGATGTTATTTGGTGCTCCAACGCATCGTTTGGAGGAGTACTTGATAATGACAAGCCGAGTATTGGAAATTGATGGACAGTTTATGTATTTTCCTGGTTGTATGTTGGTTTCATTTGGTGATGCAGCAACACGTACATCGGAAGTGCATTTGGTGAGATGTGCGCAAGGTTTGAATTTGGGTAAATTGACAGATATGCATAGAATTTACAAAGCAGTGATTCACGATTTGATTGGTGTTGAAGAAGCTTCTAAAAAATTGGATGACTTGCTAAAATCGCCAAACAGGTATTCACCTTGGATGTGTGTTTTATTCTATGGGTTGGGATCACTTGCAGTGACTCCCTTTGCCTTTCAAGGTGGATGGATAGATTTGCCTATATCATTTGGTCTTGGATTATGTGTTGGATATTTGCAATTTTTCCTTAGTTCAAAATCCAATTTGTACTCCAATGTTTTTGAAGTTTCTGCTGCAATTGTTGTTGCATTTGTATCCAGAGGTATTGGATCTATCAGATCGGGTAATTTGTTTTGTTTTAGTGCCATTACGCAGGGCGCCCTAGCATTAATCTTACCTGGATATATTATTTTATGTGGTTCATTGGAATTACAGTCGAGAAACTTGGTTGCTGGATCAGTTCGTATGTTTTATGCAATCATATACTCGTTGTTTCTCGGGTTTGGTATAACATTAGGAGCCGCACTATACGGGTGGGTCGACCATAATGCAACGTCACAAAACTCTTGTCTACCAGGCCACACAGTAAATGATAAGTTTAGAATTATTTTTGTTCCGTTATTTGCAGTTATGCTTGCATTAATAAACCAAGCAAAGTGGAGACAATTACCAGTAATGATAGTTATTACCGCGGCAAGTTATGTGGCAACTTATTTTGCTGGAAAACATTTTTCAACCGTTACTGAATTCACCTCGTGTATTGGTGCTTTCATTATTGGAGTTTTGGGGAATTTATACTCAAGAGTATGGAAAGGTATGGCCGTTTCAGCAATGTTACCGGCTATATTTGTGCAAGTTCCTTCTGGTATTGCATCAAAGGGTTCGTTAATATCGGGTCTACAACAAGCGGACAAAATAAATAACAGGAATGGAACCACAACCGAAGTTGAAAATAATACGAGTTCATTGAGTTTTGGTGCTACGATGGTTGAAGTGTCAATTGGTATTAGTGTTGGATTATTTGCTGCAGCGCTAGTTGTATATCCATTTGGTAAAAAAAGAACCGGTTTGTTCACACTTTAGGGGAGGGGGGGTTTGTGTTCTGATGAGATGAGAAATGATGGGTTTGAGTTTTGATAGAAGTTTATTATTTATTTTATAGAAATGGAAAAGTATACAAGGTTTAGATAGAAATGGAAAAGTTCAAAAGGACTTGATATAGAGATTGAAAAGTGTAAAAGGTTTTGTTAGAGGTAAAAAAAAACTGAAAATTTAAAAAAACCAAAGATAAAGACCTAAAGTCGTAGAACGAGTAGTTGAAATCTCAGTCTCTGTACAGAAAGAGAAGTTGAATGCCATGTTACAACAAAGACAAGTCTCTAAGCTCTTGAAGAAAGCATTAGACCCTCTCCCGTCGACGACACTACCTCCAACCACGTCATTTCGCGCGATATCTATTTCTTTATTATCGAAACATGGAAATCCATTAATATCAATTACATCCCATTCCAGATCCTCGTCTTCTACTCCCGATTCAGATCAGCTACGGATCTACTCGCTTCTAGCGTATAATACAACCTTGTCGTCTGACGAAGAATGGAACACGGTTGATTTCCAAGGGACAAAATGCATAATTTCGAGATTGGTATTGAATAATCATGTTGATGAAACATCTCCCAGTGACAAACAAGGGATCAATATTACTGGGGAGTCTGAAGGTAGTAATGTGGAATCCTTGATTAAAACAGGAAAAGAGGAAGATGAAGTAGTAAGCGAGCCTATTGTATTTTATGTTGTCCTATTTTATGATACGGGGGGGGAATCGGAAAATAAGCAAGACGAAGACGAAAATGGCGATAGTAATCACGAGGTAAAAGAGGGTAAGGATAAGTATCTTGCAGATGCAATAGCTAAAGTTAAAGTTGATTGTATAGTGGATGCTTTAAGAGAAGGATTAAATGGATATGGTGAGAAACACTAAAATAATGTTGTCTCATTTGTTATACCATTTTTGGAAGAAGGTGTATCACTATCGAGCAGAGCGAGATAGTGTCATTAGTGTCACTAGTGTCAATAGTCAATGCTGCACCAGTCATTATCACCTACTATTGCTTATACCATACATCATTTTGTTGTAAACGGAAACCGAGTCCCCAATATCTGTTGACTATAGAGTTTATTAGGAGGTACACAGATATACTGAAAAGTAAAGGTTCAATTTATATTTTTTGGGCGCCGGATAGCACCTGTTCTCCAAATCCCTGGAGAACAGGTAGAAAAGCCTACTGCTGAACTATTTTTAGCCAAGTTTCACATTCATATTAAAGAGAGGGCGAGAGTGATGGAATGATGGAAAGGTGGAAAGGTGGAGAGAGAGAAAGGAAAAGAAAGGTATGAGTGTGTGTGTATGTTAGACTATGTAATTAAGGTAACTGTGTGTGTTTTTTCTTCAAGTCATGCACTTTCTAAGCTGGAAAGAAAAGAAAATAGTTGCAGTTGATTATTTGATATCAACATCTTCATCTTGCTCTTTTTCTTTTGATTATTTGATATCAACATCTTCATCTTGCTCTTTTTCTTTTGATTATTTGATATCAACATCTTCATCTTGTTCTTCTTCTTCCTCTTCCTCCTCCTCTTCGTCTTCGTCGTGATCCATTAAACTCTCCTCATCAAAACTTTCTTCCTCCTCACTGTCATACCAAAAATCCTCATCTACCGGTTCATCGATAGCTTCTTTATTTCTGGCCTGTTGATTATCATAAGCATTTGCTTCATCGGTGGGCATTATGAAATCCGGAGGAATATCCTTTTTAGACCTCTCTACTTCCTTTTGTACCTTTTTCTTATACTCTTCAAAGTTTTTTCTAAATTCCACCGAGGCGTCTATATTTGCTGGAGAATTACCATTTGGATCATCTAATAAGGAAATAATCGAAATCAATACGCTTTCAACTGTTTGTGCCGGTGACCAAGTTTCCGATTCTGGCTCATCGCTCGTTGGATCGCCACCTTGATGCAAAATCGATATACATAATCTTCCATCTCTATAAATGTTTGGATGATATATTGCAGGTGTGAATCTAAACGATGGAGGGCTAAAAGGGAAATCACTTGGGAATCTCATTTGTCCTTTGAAATACCCTCCATGATATAAAGAGTCTGGGTTCAATACCATGACACCGATATTCCAGAGAAAGATGTTATCGTCATCTAATTCAATGAAAAATGATGGGATTCTCTTTTTGGGGTCAGTCAAGTCTTTGAATTGTCGTTGTAAAATAGCAGCAGCAGACTTTGAACTCATTATTAATGGGGGACTATTGAATAATATGCAAAGAAAGAAATGTGACGGGAAAATGTGATTATGTGATTATGTGAAAATGGGATTATGGGATTATGGAAAAGTCAAAAATGGCGGAGAATGGCGGAGAATGGGTATAGTATCGTTATAGATCGTAAAGGGAACAAAATGCAGAACCTGTTGGTGACTAGCTGGGGACACGTGTATAGAAAATTTGGTAAAAGGTCTTTATACCGCCTAGATGAGAAATGAACAGGAGGGAAAAAACCTGGATGGAAAGAATAACAAGCCCAAAGCACGATAATAAGGGGTGTGGGTTTAGCAGCAGTATATAGTGAATAACTTGAGATGTAGTGACCTCAGATGTAACTTCAGATGTAACCGTTCTTCAGATGTAACCGTTCTTCAGCTAAAAGTATGAGGGTGGTGTGATATTAATTTTGAAACAAGCTCTATCAAGATGTATTGATATGGTACTTTTTTTTTTCTTTTTTTTTTTTTTTTTCTTCCTCCTCTATAGCTTTAATAGAAAAACTTTGTAATAGGTTGGGTATTATTGTTGAAGGTGATGATTAGTAACCTGTGTTGATGGTAGGAGAGTGTATCAATAGAGATTATTCTTAGTTTGTGATATTTGTCGTGTAAACTGGTTTAATTTACTGATAAGATCCTTTCAGATGTATGTTTTTAACTGGATACCTAGTAGTTTAAAGGTTATTGGATGATTTATCAAGAAGTAAAGTGGTGCTCTAATTAAAACTGGATTTTTTCTCCTTTATTTGTCACTATTTTGCTGGTGCGAGACTAGCGAGCGCTAGCGAACGCAACACTACCGAGCGCAACACTACCGAGCGCAACACTACCGAGCGAAGCGAGGTAGTGGGGCGGTACTTACTAGATGAGCGCGACACTAGCGAGCGAAGCGAGGTAGTGGGGCATTACTTACTAAATGAGTCTACTATCGAGCGGAACAGTACTTACTAGATGAGGGCGACACTAGCGAGCGCAACACTAGCGAGCATAACACTAGCGAGCGCAGCGAGGTAGTGGGGCGGTACTTACTAAATGAGTCTACTATCGAGCGGAACAGTACTAGACGAGCGCGACACTGGCGAGCCGAGCGAGCTAGTGGTGTAGTACTTATTAGATGAGTCTACTATCGAGCCGAGCGAGATAGAAAGACTAGGGAGCGAAGCGTGCTAGTGAAGCAGTATCTATTAGATGAGTTTACTATTGAGTGGAGCAGTACTTACTAGATGAGTTTACTATCGAGCGGAGCGAGATAGAAAGAGATTAGACGAGTGAAACTAGATAGAGAGAGTTTTTGTTAATACTAGATAGAGAGAGACCTTGTAAATAATAAAAAGAGAGTCCTTGTAAATACTGATAGAGAGAGTCCTTGTAATGCTAGATAGAGAGAAGAGAGATTGTAGATAGAGAAAAAAGAGATTGTAGATAGGAAGAAGAGAGTGTAGAGAGATTCCTTGTAAATAGCCAATGTAGTCAAAGCTGCTCCACTATCTCGCTTCGCTCGATAGTGTCGCTCGATAGTGTCGCTTGATAGTGTCGCTTGATAGTGTCCATAGTGTCACAGGGCTGGCTAGAGAGTCCTTGTTGGTAGTAGTATTTACTACCATCAAGTTTAAGTCAAATTGGTGCAAAAAAAAGATTAGACTAGAGACGAGTATAACAAGTCTATTCGATAGAAAGAGTAGATAGAGAGAAAAGTGAGAAGAGATTGTAGATAGAGAGAAGAGATTGTAGATAGAGAGATTCCTTGTAAATAGCCAGTGTAGTCAAAGCTGCTCCACTATCTCGCTTCGCTCGATAGTGTCGCTCGATAGTGTCGCTTGATAGTGTCGCTTGATAGTGTCCATAGTGTCACAGGGCTGGCTAGAGAGTCCTTGTTGGTAGTAGTATTTACTACCATCAAGTTTAAGTCAAATTGGTGCAAAAAAAAGATTAGACTAGAGACGAGTATAACAAGTCTATTCGATAGAAAGAGTAGATAGAGAGAAAAGTGAGAAGAGATTGTAGATAGAGAGAAGAGATTGTAGATAGAGAGATTCCTTGTAAATAGCCAGTGTAGTCAAAGCTGCTCCACTATCTCGCTTCGCTCGATAGTGTCGCTCGATAGTGTCGCTCGATAGTGTCGCTCGATAATGTCGCTCGATAGTGTCGCTCGATAGTGACCACTTGCCACAAAGAATGAATCAAACGCGTGTGTAGGCAATATATTTTCGAAGGATCTATAAAAATTCTCTATTTAAAAGAGTACCCTTTTCAAACTACAACTTGAGACTATACCACTTATAAATAAAACACATTTATAAGTGGTAGACTACCCATCTAATGGTTTTTCCGGTTGCAAAAAAAAAAAAAAAGAAATCCTGAATCGGATTAATAAAGCTCTTACCTAATTGGGATTGCAACACTAGGGAGTGGAGCAACACCGACTAGCTAAAACCAAGTAGCTATCGCCGACTAGCTATCATCGTGCAATACCTGAAACAAAAATTGAGCCAGCTGAGCCAGCTGTGAGTATTCGTCAATACTGCTCCACTAGCTCGCTCCGCTCCCTAGTGTAGTAAAGCCAAACCTGCTTTAGCAGCAGTTACAAAGTGTTGTAATAAGCTAGTCAATACTGCTCCACTAGCTCGCTTTGCTCCCTAGTGTCGCTGGGCTTAATTTGAACCCTTTTCAAATAACATCACTTTATTTTGCAATCTCCGATTTTCGCTTTGGGACCTCATATGAACGCACGGTAGCGCTAGGTACTAACCAGTAAGCCTTTAATGAAATCAGAAAACCCCCATAGCAACGAGACTAAACAATATTATAGACTAGATGTTGTAACTAGACCTGTGTAGAAATTACAACTCGGTAAAAAACTCGTTCTTTTCCGATACCCCTGTGATATATATATATATATATATATATATGCACCAGGTCTATGAAAATAGTACAAAAACAGGTGAGCAATAGGTAAAGCAGAGATAAGCAATAAATAAAACAGGTAAAGCAGAGGTAAACATCAGGTTGAAGAGGTAAATATCAGGTAAAAACAGATAAAGATTAGGCAAAGAGACTTAGTTTTCGTCGTTATGTTCCAGCCAATACGACATCTAGCTTCCTCCGCCGCCGTTCCCTCCTCCTTCTCTTCATCTCAGACTCACTATCAACTACTTGGTGTCCCCATAAATGCCAGCATAAAGGAGATAAAACTCCAGTTCAAAAAACTATCCAAAGAATACCATCCCGATTTAAACCAACATTTAGATGATGAGGCCAAAAAGGCAAATGCTATAAAGTTCACGGCTATGGCAAATGCGTACGACGTCTTGAAAGATGTAAAACGTAAGAGAGAATATGACCAGTCTATTCACAACTCACATAGAGGTTTCTCTTTTCAACGACGAGAAGAAAACGCAGAGTATAACAAGTATTATGGAGAGGCCAAGTACTATTCAAGAAGCGGACTGCCGATGAATGCTTCCGGGTTGAATACGAAACGCCACAAGATCCGCTACCACAATACTCCACACGACACAAATCACTCGAAATTCTCAGGGAGACACATAAACTATGGTGATAAATATGATGTGCCTCACTTTGATTATGATAAACACTTGAATAGAAATCTAAAGTTTGAACAAAGAATAATTGAGAAACATATAGATCGAAATACCAGAGATAGGATTTTAAGTCAATTGAGTAAATCTGGAGAAACCGTTTCGGAAGAATTGAAAACTAAACATTTATTAAGACATGTTAACATGTTGAAAAATGAGAGTGGTGGAAGCAATAGTAGTAGTAGTAGTAGTAGTGGTGGTGGTGGTAATTATTCAAACGTGAAATATGGTGCTTCTTCAACATACCAAGGGGCAAGCGCATACCTGAACTTGTATCAAAAACCAACAAATCACGATAACGAGGGTTCAATGTTTAAAGTCTTTGCTGCATTAGGAGCTAGTACTTCCTTATACCTTCTATATAAAGTAATCTTTTAACTTCCTCCTCCCCATTGATCTTCTTCCCTGTACGCTCCATCCCTCCGCCTTCTTGAAACCTCTTTCCTGTTATCCTTCTTTAACGATCAATTTCTCCAAACACTAAATCCATAGAACCAATAATTGCAACGGCATCTGCCAATAACTCTCCTCTGGCAATATGATCAAAAGCACCCAAATGTGCAAAACCAGGAGTTCTGATTTTACACCTATAAGGTCTCTCACTTCCATCACTCACCACGTATACTCCCATTTCTCCCTTTGGTGCCTCGATGGCAGTATATGTTTCACCTGGAGGTACTGCATACCCCTTTGTAAATAAAAGGAAATGATGAATCAACGCTTCCATATCTTCCTTCATAATAGATCTAGATGGTGGTGATATCTTGTAGTCTTCAACCTTGACTGGCCCCTGAGGCATATCATTTATACATTGAAATATAATTCGTAAAGATTGACGGAACTCAACCATTCTAATCAAATAACGATCATAACAATCGCCATTGAGTCCCACTGCGACATCGAAATCCACTAGGTCATATGCATCATATGGTTGTGATTTTCTAATGTCAAATGGTACACCTGAACCTCTCAACATTGGTCCGGATAATGAATAGTTTAATGCGTCATCTGCAGAAACAACACCTACTCCAATAGTACGTTCTTTCCAAATACGATTATCAGTGCACAACTCTTCGATTTCATCAATCCTATCACCAAATTGAGTAGCCCACATATATATATCGTCTAATAACCCAGAGGGCAAATCTTGAGAAACACCACCTGGTCTAACATATGCAGAATGTAATCTTGCACCAGAAACACGTTCGTAAAACTCCATCAACTTTTCACGCTCTTCGAATCCCCACAAAAAAGGAGTTAATCCACCGACATCCATAATATGGGTTAAAACAGACATACAGTGATTCAATATCCTTGTAATTTCTGCAAACAATGTACGTATATATTTGGCTCTCAATGGCACTTCAACATTTAATAATTTCTCAACAGCCAATGCAAAAACCTGCTCGTTGGTCATCATTGACACATAGTCCAATCGATCGAAATAAGGTAATGCTTGCATATAAGTCTTTGTCTCAATCAATTTCTCAGTACCTCGATGCAATAAACCAACATGAGGATCACCACGAACAATCTCTTCACCGTGCAATTCCAAAATCAACCGCAAGACACCATGCGCTGCTGGATGCTGAGGCCCGAAATTTATCGTGAAATGACGAATCTTGGTGTTTTGTTTAGATACTTTATCTGGATCATCTGATGTGTCCCACGTAATATTGACTTCATCAAGTACTTCCGTAAAGGTTGTTGGACCAAATTGTACCAGAGGGTTAGAATATTTCTGAGCCGGTCTTCCCAAGGGGGTCAATGCGTTGGCAGTGGTAGGTTCTTGTGCTTTTGTTGCCGCAGAGGAAGATGAAGGTGCCAGTGCCAGATAATATCTAAATGAAGATCGCAAGGCAAGAACCGGGGTCCTAGCCGCCCTTATTCTCAAAGATGCTCTCAACATCTGGAAGGGGGAAAAGTAACAAGGGGATATATAAGCTATGCAATAAAAGAGGGGAACCTCAAGTCTTCTCAATACTTGTGTACTTGTCTTTAAAAAAATGATATGCCTTGTTTCAATTACCTTGAACCCTATTTAAAATTCCTTACTTACTTATTGGTTCTAAAACAGCGCTTCCTTTTCTTTTTTTTTTTTTTTCACTTTCAATTTTCGAGACACCATTTGGTAGCATCTTGAGGTAATACAGAAATCAATTTCTTCTATTGGCTGTGAACAAACTCGCATGAATGCACGACCCCTCTATGTACTATCTAGCAGAGCGAGATAATGGAGCAACACTAGCTGCCACCGACGCTATGGGCACTAACTCTGACATTATTGAGCAGAGCGAGATAGCGGAGCAACACTAGCTGCCACCAACACTGAGTAGCTGGTTGTTTTGTGTACCATCTTTATTTATCTACTCATAAGCAATGGTGGAAAAAAAATTGTTTCCTAATATGGTTTAAACATATCTTTCCGTACATCACGTGAAAGGGATATTATTTCCCAAAATGCCTTTACACCCGGATATTATTCCATACATCACGTGAAATGGATATTATTTTGCGGTGTGATTTTAGCATGTCTTTCCGCGTTCCACGTGAAAAGGGAAATTGGTTCCTAATATGGTTTTTTGTAGAGGAATAATATTAAAATTCATGTCTTTTTCAGAGCTTTTAATGCCGATTTGCTACACGTCTATTGATTATTTTTTTTGGCATACGCGTAAGACACTATCGAGCGTAGCGAGATAGTGGAGTAACATTGACTAGACTGACTATACCGACACTATCGAGCGTAGCGAGATAATGGAGCAGCATTGACTAGACTGACTATACCGACACTATCGAGCGTAGCGAGATAGTGGAGCAACATTGACTAGACAGACTATACCGACACTATCGAGCGTAGCGAGATAGTGGAGCAGCATTGACTAGACTGACTATACCGACACTATCGAGCGTAGCGAGATAGTGGAGCAGCATTGACTAGATTGATTTTTATTATAAAGAAATTTAAATTTATTGATTATTTCTATGCGAATCTCGCTAGGCTCGCCAGTTGAAAGACCAAGTTACAAAGTGTTGTTCCACTATCTCACACACAGGGTTGAAAATATATTATTTGTTCATACCGAAAAGCAAATTCGGTATGAGCAATTCGGTATGCAATTCGGTATGAGCAATTCGGTATCAACAAATACGGTATCAGCAAATACGGTATGAACAATTCGGTATCAGCAAATACGGTCTAAGTTAATTGTTAATGTTGTAGAAAAATAAATCGAGGGTAGGTCGGAAATAGCAATCTTGAGAGGGGCTAGCTATAAAACGAGAAAGGAAAAAAAGAAAAAAAAAAAAAGAAAAGCGTTATTATCATAATGCAAAGTAGTTTATCATATTTTATTGTATATGGACTGCCGTTTGAAAAAGGCTTCTACTCTATACTATTAGCCTCTCTTGAAACATCTACCATAATATTCTTCTTGGTATTAGTAGTAGCATAGATGGTTAATGACAGTTGAAAGTATATCTGAAAATTTCTTTGATACTAGCCACACTAGGGAGCGAAGCGAGCTAGTGGAGCAGTATTATAGTGTGCTCCCCTCCCCCCCTCCCCAGTTCTAGCTGAAGCTACATTTGACTGAGCCTCCATCTCCAACTCTACATCTTACCCCAGCTCCAACTTCAGCTCTTACTCAAACGCCACTTTTTTTTGACTCCAGCTCTAGCCATATTTTAGTTACATTCCATCTCACCCGAGTGGGTAGTAGAGATGTATTCCTGTATACAACTTATATGCGACTGAAAAATTCTTCTTTATTGTACAAAACATCTTCCTTCCTTGAATGTTTTAGCTCAATAAGTACAAGCAAGTGGCGGGCAGTAGTTTACTTTAGCCAGTAACTTACACTTTGTAGCGTGAATCTCTAAAAGTAATTTTTCAATAAAATTCGAGCCCACAACTTTTGGAGCCCACAACTTTTTTAGGCTACAACTTTTCTAGACTCTACTCTAACTTGACTTTTTATTTTTTTTTTCATTTATCTGTTACCCGTTATACTCACAATCTATTACCCATTAACCTTCACCCATTCCCCATTCCTCATTCCTCATTACTACTTGCAAAGAGCTCCAACTACTCCTAGAATCAATTAATACAGACTGTACAACACTGGCACAACCAATGAATAAAGATACATTAACACCACCACCACCAGCACCACCACCAGCACCACCATCTGGAGTCAACTCTTTTACTTTTACTCATTCCAAACGTAAAAACGAGGATTTCGACGGGGATTACAAAAAAATCAAAAGTCTAACAACAGAAGACTTGATGAATTCCAATCCAGAATGGCCACAGTTTATACATCCAGATGGTGGTTTAGTTAAAATAACTCCTTGGGGCTCTATAAGGCAGTTTGTTGATCCTATTACCAATGAAACAATGACAAAATTCGAAGATTGCGGTTTTGACGATTATTCATTTAGGTCGCAAAGTGTTGAAAAAATTTACTCTACTCCAAATACTCCACAGTCCTTGTACCAACAGCAACCACCGCCGCAACAACTAAACCAGCAGTCACAACAAAAGGGTAATAATAGTGTGTCATATGTGTCACGCAAAAGTAGCTTCAACAACAGCAATAGCGGTAACATTACGCGTATGAACCTAAGTCCAAGTGCTGAAGTAGAAGGATATGTAGTAGACGGATATTCCTCGCTGCCATTGAAGCAGAAACTGCCACAGCAAGAACAGTTTTGTCAAGAACATGAGAACTACTTTGGAATGACCGAACTTGATTGTGGGTATTCTAATGATGAAGAGGACGAAGTGATGCTGTGAAAAGAGGATAAATAGCAACACTTTTCACTATCGAGCAGAGCGAGATAGTGGAGCACACTAGCTGCCACCGACACTATCGACACTAGCTGCCACCGACACTATCGACACTAGCTGCCACCGACACTATCGACACTAGCTGCCACCGACACTATCGACACTAGCTGCCACCGACACCATCGCTCTGCTCGATAGTGTCGGTTGTCAGTGTCGGTTGTCAGACAGTGCTGCTACAAAGTGCTGCTCCACTAGCTTGCTTCGCTCCCTAGTGTCGCCTAGTGCCATCGATAGTGGAGCACACAGCAAGAAATTAGATCTTCACCACCACCAGTACCACCTTGTACCTGTCTTGTGCCTTGATCTTGTAAAAAAGCCTCTTTATACTGTACTATATTTGTATTATTAGCTATGTATCCATTAAAGTATTATTATTTCTCACGTTTCTTCAACTATAACTAGTGGAACAGTACTAACTAGCTTAATACAAAAACTAGCTTAATACAAAGACTAGCTCAATACAACACTATCTCGCTCTGCTCGATAGTATTGTTAGTATTGTTAGCTCGATAGTGTCTCATTGAGATTGACCTTTTTTCAAGCCGCACACTATTTCTTATTCAACCAATTACCTAGAACTCCTGACAAGATTCATAAATTGAAAAAGTATTGTGGTTCAAAAAACATTTAGCTTTTCACAAAGAGAGGTATTTACTAGTCCCTTGAAGTTGCCTCTCTGATAGTATAAACCTACTCACTTTTACACCATTCTTTCTGTAAGTAACACACGTCTCCTTAATGGACTTTCTTTTTTCAATTCGTCTGCGGTTTAAATTTTTTTTTCTTTTTTTTTTTTTTTTTGGAGATGAGATGAGATGAGATGCCGATGACCAAAAGATTGGTGATCTTGTGATAAGGCTTCTTAGACAAAATTGTAGTATAACAAGCATTGATAAAATGGGTAAAGTTGCTCAGAGAAAGACCGAACGACATAATCCTCTTAAACCAACGGGATCCGATGTTAAAATCGTTAATATACAAAAATTACAGCATTTGCTTGCAGAAGATGAGGAAGAAGAAGAGTTAAATTTGAATCAGAAAAAGGACCGCCCTTTTCAGCAAGGAGAAGGGGATGACGAAGAAGAAGACGAAGACGAAGAAGAAGAAGAAGAAGAGGAGGAGGAGGATGAAGAAGAAGAGGAATATGAGGAAATAGAGATTGACGAGGCAGAGTACGAACAAGAATATGGTCAACAAGAATCACGCAATCTTGGAGAACTCATTATGCAAAAACTAAACTCAAAACTACAACAAAAGGAAATAGAAGAAAAAGAGGCGGAACCAGCTCCAGTTCCTGAAAAGGTGTTGCTTGCTTATAGGAAACTTGCCGTAATATTATCAACTTATAAATCTGGGAAATTGCCAAAGATTTTTTCGATTCTTCCTTCGCTAAATAACTGGGAACAAGTCTTGTTTATTACTTGTCCTTGGGATTGGACTCCACATGCTACATATGAAGCAACAAAACTATTTGTATCCAATTTACAAGCTAACGAAGCACAAAAGTTTATCCAGTTAGTCCTTTTGGAAAAGTTTAGAACTAGTATTGAAGAATCTGAGGACCATTCTTTAAATTACCATCTTTATAGGGCATTGAAAAAGTCGTTATACAAACCAGGGGCATTCTTTAAGGGATTCTTGTTACCACTTGTTGATGGACATTGTACAGTGAGAGAAGCAACAATTGCTGCTTCGGTATTGGCCAAAGTTTCAGTACCTGTCTTACATTCATCAGTTGCCCTTTCTCAACTACTTCAAAGGGACTACTCTCCAGCCACTACTGTTTTCATTAGAGTTCTTATTGAGAAAAAATACGCATTACCATATCAAGCTTTAGACGATTTGGTTTTTTACTTTATGAGGTTTAGAAACGATAATGAGGAAAAAGAGCCGATGCCAGTGGTATGGCACAAGGCGTTTTTGGCATTTGCTCAAAGGTACAAAAACGATATAACAGATGATCAAAGGGACTTCTTATTGGAAACAGTTAGACAGAGGTTCCATCATGCTATAGGACCTGAAATAAGACGAGAATTGTTAGCTGGAAAACCAAGATTGACTAGTGGGGACAATACCAAAATGGTTATATAGAATAGGTAAACATGTGTCCTTTTTTCTTCTTCTTCTTCTTCTTCTTCTTCTTCTTCTTCTTTTAGAGCAATTCTACACAGGAAAAGATATGCTTATTCAGAGTTCTTATTTATGTTTTCATCTCATCATACTACTCATTAGTCATTACATACTTCGTACCCCATCTTGACAAACAAGAAGGAGTTCGTTTTTTGTCCAAATTGGTCATTCAAGTAAAGTTTCTCATACTCCAGCTTGATACTGTCCAACTTCACAACAACTAGTCCATATATATCTTGTTTTTCCAAATTGGAATAAACTGCAAATCTAAGAAATGAGAAATCTTCATAACCAGTGAATTCGCCATTAAATATTTCATTCCATACAGGGTCCATTACAATGCTTGTCTTCCCCAGTGCCTTCACCGAGTCAGAGCCAAATATTTCAAATGAAACTGAAGGATTCATAACAGGTAACTCATGGCCACTTATTATTTCTATCCTAAACTGAATATTTTTCGGTTTTGGCGGCTCTAAACTATAATACTTTGAACTCCTGATTATCGGTTTTCTCAAATGCTCCGGTTTCAAAACATATCCTTCATTTGCAAACATGGCTTCGTTGATCTGTTGCCCGAGGTCATAAGTCTGCCAATTTGTTGCCACCATCTGTACTCCCAATTCCCAATACTTTATTGGATTGAAATTCGAGGACTTTAGCCGAAATTTCGATGGGTAGACTCGAAGGAAATACTTTCTATTATGTTTATTTAAACTTGTTCTTTTAACTTCGTCCTTGATCATTTTATTAATAGTTTTTTCACTTAGCGAAAAGCAGTGATTATATAGCTTAGACTCAGGTAATGAAAAATTCCTAAACTTGATGCCTTGCATGTATACGCCAAGCTCGCTCAACGAATCGATGATGTTCAAGGTACTACGACGAATGCTTAAGCTGTTCAGACCACTATCATCACATGACGTAGTTGTAGTCGATGTATAGCTTCCATCCTCAGTTTCAACCAACCCTTGAAACGGGCTCGTTTTCTTTACTTTGATAATAAACTTGTATTTCAATTTCTCGGGAGACGGCAAAATAGCGCCTTCGATAAGCTGCTCAGTAACCATATCTCGACCCAATACTTGCTTCAATATCCTAACCACCGCCTTTTGAGCAACGCTAGAAGCATTGATCTCTAACGATAGCACCAAGGGGTACGGCGTAGCAACAAACGCATTTTCCTTCAAATACTCAATAACCCGTTCAAATTTGATACTTCCTTTAGTGAAAGTCAAGCCGTGGTTCACAATAGGCTCGTCATTATCACCCCAAACATCAATCTCAACACACCTGCACCCTCTTTGTAATGCCCGCTTGTACCCTTCAATTGAAGACTCTCCAGCAACTTGTCTTCCAAGAAGGTATGTATTATGACTCGAGGCTATATAATAGCAGTTTAATGGGTAATTCATGCGACTAAATGGGTCTCCACATGAATCCCCGCCGCCCTTTATATGTTGGGGTTTGAACATAAACTTTTCATTTCTACTCCAATAGGTTTTTTTTTATACAACGAGTAGAAAAAATAATCAGAAATAGAAATCAAACCCCGTTGACAATGATACCAAGTCGACCTATAAGCTTGGTCGGGGTAAAGGGGTAGGGGGAGGAAGGAGAAGGGTGAGGGATGAGGATAAGCGGAAAAGCGGTACGGCGATTTTAGTTCACGCATACGTTGCATTAAATTAACTGTCCTCGAAGCCCTCTTTTGTAGGCTTTTATAGTCGAGTCCTTACTGGGCTTGGCATCTAACTCTAATTTCAAATTCAAAACTACATTTGTAAACACATCGACACTATCGAGCGAAGCGAGATAGTGGAGCACACAGACTACACCAGACACTATCGAGCGAAGCGAGATAGTGGAGCACACAGACTACACCAATACACCAACGCTATCGACACTATCTCGCTCTGCTTGATAGTGTTGTAACAAGCTACTGAGTATGGCTCTACTATCTCGCTCTGCTTGATAGTGTTGTAACAAGCTACTGAGTATGGCTCTACTATCTCGCTCTGCTTGATAGTGTCGGATAATCGGTCATAATACATGTACTCTTATATGTCCACACGTTCACACCACCCTCATGGTCCCCAGGCGCGGACTCGATACATGAAAAAAAGCAGCATCATCGTGTGGTGCAGCTTGTTCTAGTAGTTTAATATCACAGCCTCAAAGGCTGTACTGCGTCTACTTGGGCAGCATCATCTTGTGGTGCAACTTGTTCTAGCCTCAAAGACTGTACTGCGTCTACTTGGGGACTAATGGTTTCCAATCTGCCATAGTCATCAAACTAGTACTTCTAACCGCAGGCGGAGCTGGCGGAGTAGGTGTATTACTCCTTGGTTTCTCTGATTCCTCTTTGCTATTTTCAATTGTCTTTAACTTGGTCAGTGACAACGCTGAGGGTTTCAAAGGAATTATCGGTTTAGTCTCTGGTGCCTTGTTGTTCACTTTTGGCACAGGTGACGCAATAGGTGAAGATGTGTTCAGATTTGATTTACTAGTAGGTATCAAGGGAGATGCTGAAAATCCAATTGGTACTCTCACTGATGATGGCTCTATACTTGACACCTTCAGCGTTGAGTTTGTATTTTCTAAACTGAAATATGATTGAGGAGGTGCAGGTGGTGGTAAATTTCGAGTTGGAAGTTTGGAATTGTTATCTTCTAGTATCAGATATGATTGAGGAGCCGGGGGCAATTTTCGTGGCAATGGTTGAACATTGGCTATCACTTTTCTAGCTGCTGGAGGAAGTGGTACTCTTCTTGGCGCGCTACTGTTGGGATGTGGCCTCGATGGCAAACTTGGGGCTTCGACGTCAAAATGGTCCAACAAATCAACATCGTTCAAAGTATCACTAGTGAAATTGCTCTCGCTAGTTTTTGATGATATGGTGGGAGTTGACGAAGAACTGTGTAGTGAAACCAAGTCAGATAAATTACCATGCTCTTTTCTATACGAAGTGTACAACTCCTTCGCAATTTCGCCCTTCTTTTCCTTATCGACAAACTCAACGGTTACTTGAAAAGTGGAATACACCGGCTTGTGATCACTTAAAAACATATCCGGAACTGCATTGTAGTTTATCTGCTCCAAATCGTTTCTCTTCTTTTTGGCACTAAGGTACAAAATACGGTCGGTCCATGATGGAACTCTTTGCTTTTCAGATGTGTCATAATCCGAAGTCCCCTTATCAAATTTATAAGTTGGCATGAACTTAACAACTCCTTCACTAAACTCACCAAAGGCCCCTTTTGATTTTAGTTCCTCTTTCAATTGATCACTCTGCATCATCTCATCAATTGCCCCTTCTTCGATCAACTCTCGGCATTGATAGTTTGGTAAATTTAATCTGTAATTCAAATCTCCAAACCAAATGACGTGATCATGGTCTTGAAGAGAGTAGTTTCTCGTAAATACTAATCCCTGCATTATCGTAGTATATTCATTGAATCTCTCTAAAACTGCAGTAGTCCCGGCTGCCAAATGCGACGTCACCAATGCAAAGGAAGTAGCACCAAACTCAAATCTCACCGCACATGCACCTTTGTTTGCTGCAATGCCTCCCAACCCCGTTTTCTTAAAGGATCCAGAAACCCTAGTTACATGTTCAACTGCTGATTTCTTGACAAATAAAAACAATGACATCGAAGCTATGCTCTCTGTTCTTAAAAGCGCATATTGCTCTTTTTGCGAGTTAAGTTGTTCATTCAAAATGGCGGCCCATCTCCTAGGCTTAGATGCATCGGAGTTTATAATTGACCCGGCATTGAGCTCAATCAACTCTTGAAATCCAATGGCGTAGATATCTGGCAATGTCTTATTTTCTGGTGGGAACAACCACGGAGTTAGATCGATTGAGTTTGTTGGTTCCAAAGCATTGACATTGTAAGTGCCTGTGAATATTTGGATTTTTTTACTAGTGGAAAAGACATGGGATTGTTGTTTTAATCCATAGGTAACAAATTCGCTTGCGGGGTCATAAATTTTGACTTTTTTGGAAAGTGGCCCTGCAACTCCCAACAATGAATCTATTGTCGATTGCTTTTTATCATCAACAAATGTATTTTGATACATCCTAGATACCGATTTTGTTACATCAGATAAAGCTCCAGCAATATTCATCTTTCCAGATCTTGAAAACGACGACTTTAAAGCGTTTGTACCGGTGTATATCTGCGATATCGCGTCGCCATTATCTGCCCATAACGAATTATGCAATTGTTTAATAGAGTTGCTGCGGATTGAGTTTTCATTCCCCCCATTTCCTAATTGGCTTTTCAAAATAATATCAAGTACAGTTCTTGATATCACTTGCTCAATTACATTTGTACGGTCAAGACAATCCAAACAATTTACTCGAAACACGCCATCTTGACGCGTGATTACTTGATTTTGTTCTAAATCGTACGAAAAAAACCCAAACTGATGCATTGACTCACGAATGGAACGAAGAATCTTTGTTGCGCCATCAAATCCACCGGCCGCTTTTGTTTCTTGGTGGAAATCAAAGTCGGTATACTCGATTTCTTCCCTAAGATTGCAATGTTGATATAATTGCCTGTACCTATTGGATAGTTGAATCTCGGCAGATTTGGTTTTGGACAAAAGGTCAATAATATGACAAACGCCATAAGATTTGCAAATATCTGAAAAATGTTTGTTGAACACTGGTTGGGTGGCCTCTAAAGATCTTGTGAGTGTTACCTTGGGATTTATCAAGCTTGAATCTTGTTCCCAAAAAGTTGGTACTGAGCCTCTTACTTGAGTATAAGTGTATACTGAGGATTTAGATGGATTATAATATATGAATTCGGTTTCAACAAAGTTGGCTACATTGCCATTATCATCAATACCTCTAGTGTTGTATCTTGTGCCGGCTCTTTTCCAAGATTGCTTGGATATAATTGAAATTCTGTCATCATTTCCTTCTCTTGTATTCATACTTTTGGCGAACCCCCTAATCACCATAGTTAAAAACCTATTATCATCTAATATCAATTGGTTATGTCTGTCCAAGTTTGATCTGAATTTGATCATATCATCTATTAGAAAGGAATTCCACATGTATTGTGGTTGATAATGCCCAATAGTATCGAGAGTATCTTCCACGCCTCGACTTTGCAATGTTGAAGTTAAATCGAAATCGTTTGAGTAGTAGAATGACCTATTGGATAGCAATTTTTTGTACTCGATACAAGGATGCTGCGTCCGAGTAAACTTATCCTCTTCCATCTCTTCTGGTGAAAGGATCGGATACCCCTGTGAGTCCAATTCAACAAAGTCCCATTCATTGTTGTTCAACGAGATGAATTCAACCGACTGGATATTATCTACTGTTTCTCCCTGTATTGGAGAAGCGACACCTTTTCGAGCTGAGGTTATCACTGCTAAAAAGATTTGCTTCTCGACATACATCAACCCAAGACACCCGTAAATGTCCTTTTTGAGCAACGGCTTGAACTCTTCATCTGAAGTAATGCTTGTATTGGGGACTAGTTCGAGGTTAACTGTAGGTTTCGGTAGCTGAGTCTGTTTCAAATTGGTCCGAAAGGTTAAACTATAGGTATTTGAAAATACCACCAAGGTTCTCGGATTATCCTTGTATAAAAGTCTCATTATGGAAAATCTGTGGAGGTGGAGGTGGGCGGAGGAGGAGGGGGAGCAGTATGCTATGCTATGCTATGCTACGTCTCCAGTGCTACCTCGTAGAATGCAAAATGCTATGTATCAGATGCTATAGACTTGAGTCTTTTGGTAAATGCTATAAGCTTTGGCTCTCTCTTTTAGTAAGTAATTTCCTCGTGTGACGAAAAGTTTGCTTTAACAAAGAAACCTTTAAACTTTTCAGATTTGAAATTTTTCAATCAAACATATAGCAATGGTGAAGCCAGAAAATGAAATCAAAGAGAAAAGGGCAAGATGAGTAAAAGCGCGTGTCACGAATGGAAAGGAAAGGAAGGGAAAAGAAAAGGAAGGAAAAGGAAGGAAAGGGAAGGAAAGGGAAGGAAAAGGTGGAAAAAAGGACACTATCGAGTGTGCTTCGGTAACAATATCGAGCAAAGCGAGATAGTGTTATTAGTCAATGCTCCACTATCAAGCAGAGTGAGATGGCACTCAGTAACACCATCGAGCAGAGTGAGATAGTACTCTTAATTTCACCGAGCGAAGCGAGATAGTACTCTAACTTGCTAGAATGAAGAATGCGCTGAATTTGAATAGTAGTTGAGTAGTTAGTGTGCTCCACTATCGAGCAGAGCGAGATAGTAAAGCAACACTCAGTAGCTTGTTATAACACTATCGAGCAGAGCGAGATAGTGTCTGCTCGATAGTGTTGCTCGATAGTAGAGCAAAACTCAGTAGCTTGTGAGCAAAACTCAGTAGCTTATCACAACACTATCTCGCTCTGCTCGATAGTGTTGCTCGATAGTGTTGCTCGATAGTGTTGCTCGATAGTGTTGCTCGGTAGTGTTGGTTGTTGCTCAATAGTGCGCATAAAATATATTACATTAGCCCCCATAAATTTCACCACTACTCAATTCTTGTAAATGCCATTTGTCACTAGTGTTCATCAAAAGCTCGACAAGTATCGATTAGTACTTGGTTCTACTTCTCCTCGAAGAAAGGAGATCTTGGAGACGAATTTCGGCATTAGCAAATTCGATGTAATTGGGTCAAATTTTGCAGAAAACTTGACAAAATCAGATAAAACACCTCTTGAGTATGTAATCTTAACAAGCCAACGCAAGGCTGAGGCATTAGTCAAAGTTGTCAAAGAAAATTATAGTCAAGAAGATATCATTCTTATAACATGCGATACGGTGGTTTCTTGCAATGGCGAGATCTTTGAAAAACCAGGCACCAAGATTGAACAAGCACGATTCTTCAAGTATTATTCAAGATATCCAAAAGTAAATGTAATTTCAGCTGTTACAATAATCAAAATACGAGGCAGTTCGATACTAGAGTTTCAAAATCATTGTATAACCAAATTAGAATTCAAGCTGAATAATGAGGATGTAATGAATGGGTATATAGATAGTGAAGAGGGCTTGGAAGTTGCAGGAGGATTCAAGTTTCAGGAGAGAGGTTGCTTGTTATTTAAGGAAATTACTGGTGATTACCTCAACATTGTTGGTCTTCCAACTTATACCTATGACCTATTGAAAAGGGCTTTAGAATGATATGATGGATACGACAAATGCGACATTTTGAACGACATTTTACGTGAAAAATCTCATCCTGCTCATCGCAAAAAAGAAAGAATAAAAAAAAAAAACTATGAGGGATGAGATCTTCTATTGAGAAGCGGAGCCCAATATGGTTAAGAAACAGGGTAAGAACAAGAACGTTGAGGCTAAGAACGTCAAGCCTAAGGGCGATTTGGTCGAGAAGACCGCACCTGAAGCGATTGGACAACCAAATGACCAAGATTTGGAACTTCTATCTTCGTCAGACGAGGAATACAACTCATTAAGTGATGATGATGATGATGAGGAGGAGGAGGAGGAGGATGATGATGATGATGAGGAGGAGGAGGAGGAAATCAAAGACACTATCAAACCAGCCACATCGGGACACAAGGTGAATAAAGTAATGAAGAAAGAATCAGACTCGTCGACTAAATCCGCATCAAAAACAAAGAAACCAAAAAGAGGAATCATATATATAGGGAGATTACCATCTGAGTTCCAGGAGAATGAATTAAAAACATACTTTAATCAGTTTGGTGATATTACCAACCTAAAGCTTTCGCGTAATAAGAAAACAGGTAAGTCAAAGCATTTTGCATTTCTCGAGTTTGATTCTTACAGTGTAGCCCAAACTGCGGCGGAAACAATGAATAATTATCTTTTGTTTGGTCACTTGATCAAATGTCAAGTTGTCGATACACCACATAAGGACTTATTCAAAAACGCTCAAAGGAAATTCAAAGTGATACCGGTGCACAAAATTGTTAAAGATAAGCATGACAAGCCAAAAACTAAACAGGAATGGGAAATTTTGGTAAACAAGTTTGAAGAAGCAAAGAAGAAAAAAGTGCAAGAATTGAAAAGCAAAGGAATAGATTACGATTTGAGCAAGATATAGACCTCCTTACATACTTACTACTAAGGCCCATTATTTTCAAAATAAATTGAGAGGATGGGGAGAAGGAGGAGGGTGTGTGGCATAATGTAAATTATTTCCCAATACGGTAGAACAATCCCCAGTACGAGAAACAGTACAAAAATTGTTTTGGATCATTTAATACAGGAGTAATGGGATATCAATAATATGTGTGTAATACCAGTCTTTGTTTCATTGCTCTAACAACCCAAGGTTGGTCCCCTTTCCCCCAAACTAGGTGCTTGATTTATGCCTCTCAACTTTCTACGTATTCCTTTTCTTTTTACATTCAAATTTTTTTTTTTTTCACAGGCATCTTGTGATAGTAAATGGTTAGATCAGCCCATTATCAAGCAATAACCAAATAAACCACAACTTCTCTATATAAAAAAAGATTAAGAGTCAGCGGGGAGAGAAATGGCGGTGGTACTGGAAGGAATTAGGGCATTTACACTGATTTTTGTAGGCACTTTAGTTTTAATCGCACTGGTTCTTTCCTGTGTTCTGGTTCTTGTTCCTCCGCACAAACAATAAAAAAAAAACCCAACCTTCCCAGGTGGAGAGATTCAGAGTTGAAAAAAAAAAAAAAAAAAAAAAAAAAATTGAATTCGTATAAATAAGGATAAAACATTTTCTACTAAAGGTTGATTGATTGTTGTCCCCAATTGAAGTCAACTTGATTAGAAGTGCTCATACTTGATTGGTGGTAATCCAACTTGAAATACTTGTTCTCGAAACTTTTGTTATTCTGCTAAAACACGAAAGTATTTTACTTATCGAGTGATACATATATATACTTATATATTTATATCTTTTATAATTAACACTATGTCGTCCGAGGTTAAAGTATTTGATGCTGATGAAATTTCCAAACACACAACACATGATGATTGTTGGGTGGTCATAAATGGTAGAGTTTATAATGTATCAAGCTACATAGATGAGCACCCTGGAGGGGAAGAGGTTCTTTTGGATGTCGCAGGTTCAGATGCTACTGAAGCCTTTGATGATATTGGACATTCCGATGAGGCTCATGAAATATTGGCAAAATTGTTTATTGGAAATTTGAAAGGCGCTAAACCTGTTGAGGCTAAGAGAGCTCAAAGCTATAAATCAGAAGAAGGTTCGGTTAATGTGCCATTGATTGCTGTTGTTGTTTTCCTACTTGCGTTTGGTGCTTACTACTATAAAACCAATTTCTAAACGAAGAGAATAGCCAAAAAAAATAAAAAGAAAAAAAAAAGAAAAAGAAAAAGAAGAAACAAAACAAGAAGAGAGAAAGAATAAGGGAAAACTTGTTGAACGTTGAGAATATTTCTGTATAGAATATGAAGAAATTACTAATAAATGCTTATTTATTAATCCTGAAAAATGGCCCTTTTTCTGCTTTAGATTAAATTATTTTGATGTTTTGACCTTTTACGTGTTGGTGAGTAATCAGAGTCTCGTTAAAATTTATTGGATAACAGAAAAAAAAAAAAAAGCATAGACTATCAAGCAGAGTGAGATAGTCTTGTGTAGTTGGTATTATCGAGCAGAGCGAGATAGTCTTGTGTAGTTGGTATACTATCGAACAGAGAGAGATAGTCTTGTGTAGTTGGTATACTATCGAACAGAGAGAGATAGTCTTGTGTAGTTGGTATATTATCTCACTTTGCTGGATAGTCTATTTTTTTGATGGGAATTTTTCATCGCACACGGGATTGCTTTGTTATTGAAACACTTGATATGAACTGGATTTCAAGGCCAGAGCAACCAATCTATAGGTTTTTTCTAGAGGTAGATTTTCAATCAGTAATTGAAAAAATTGGTGTATATTTCGTCCTATTCAAAAAACACGTGTATCAACAAACTATAATTGCGATATATTGCAATTTGAAAGAAACAAATCTCATATCACTATCGACCAACACTATCGAGCAACACTTGGTAGCGACACTATCGACATTATCGATGGACGCAGTCAAACCCGTGTGTATGCGGTCATTGAATGCTGTCGATACATGTTGTAAATTGAGGTTTGTTAGCCGAGTTAGGGAGAAGGTGCTAGCAAAGCGAGAGAAGAGAGATGAAAAGGGTAGTTTCAGGTGTAGTCACTGTTACTCCACTATCGAGCAGAGCGAGATAGTGGAGCAATACTCAGTAGCTTGTTACTCCACTATCGAGCAGAGCAAGATAGTGGGGCAATACTCAGTAGCTTGTTACAACACTATCAAGCAGAGCGAGATATTGGAGCAATACTCAGTAGCTTGTTACAACGCTATCAAGCAGAGCGAGATATTGGAGCAATACTCAGTAGCTTGTTACAACACTATCTCGCTTGGCTCGATAGTGTTATTAGTCTCTGTTACTCCACTATCAAGCAGTGCGAGATAGTGGAGCAATACTCAGTAGCTTGTTACAACACTATCTCGCTTGGCTCGATAGTGTTATTAGTCAGTGTTGCTCCACTATCTCGCTTGGCTCGATAGTGTCATCAAATTGTATGAGATCAACATGATTAGGAAAAGAAATTTCTAAACCTTCAATCCAAGGCCAAACACATACTCCTCATTCCCTCCCTTATCCACCCATTTTGGTTTTCTCTTTCCACTATAGCACATACCTATCCGTATCACCTAAAACTTTTAAACTGCTGACCTCCTGTATGAACTCACAATAATATGGGTGCAAAAAATAATTCATAAAAAATATTCACTTTTGTGTTGTAGCAATATTTTTTGCAGCAATTAATCTTCTTTTTTTGGCCAATGCAAAAATCTTTCCCACTAGCAAAGAGGAGGTGGACATTTACCAGTCTAATAAGAGACAGAAGTTGGTACCATTGCCACTTGTTGGCAACTAGTAGAGTTTAAAACCATGTTTAAACTTTCATTCAGTTGTAAATATCTCGTCAGCTTTCCTTTGAGAGCTTCTACTTTTTCGGATTTTAAAGAACTCAACAGTAAGAAATACAAGAGCCGTCATTTTGAGTCACCAACTTGTCGTTTTTTTCCCCTTCCATTAAGGAGAAGTATGTAATGCAAGTGTATGTGCGTATTCCTCGTAGTCCAAGATACTCATGTAGTGCAATACATTCCGATTGAATAACTCTGTGCAATATGTCTGTTAGATAAATCCAACCCCCCCCCCCCCCCCCCCCACAAATTGGGGCTGTTAATTCCGAACAATTTAAAATTTCAAAAATTCAATTGTCGAAACTTGAAACACACGTTATTACGTTATATTGAAATATCCTCTACAACAAACTTGATATACTTTGATACAATAATATGATAGCTCAAAGATCATCTTCAAAATGTTTACTTGAAAAGTTAGATATATCATACCCAATTTTCCAGTCTCCGATGGCCGGAGTATCCACTCCTGAGATGGCCTCGGCAGTGACTAATTCCGGTGGTCTTGGAGCTATTCCATTAGCTCCAATCAACTTCCTACATCCAAACTCAATTGACAAGTTAAAATCACTTATTGACCTGTACACTTTGGGCTTAGCCAATAAGAACAATTCAAATACAATAAACTTGAATTTTTTTTGTCATAAAGTTGAACCTGAGCCTATATCATCTGAGATTGCGAATTGGAAAACCCTTTATCAAAATGCACTAAATTTACCTGAATCCATACTTGGTAAAACCAAATTCACCAATGGCAATATTTCATTCAGAGAAACTGAACAAGATGAACAATCTTTAGGGAAACTATTTGATTTTCTCGAGCAATATAAGCCAAAATTAACAAGTTTCCATTTCGGAGTACCTTCACATGCCACAATTGCCAAACTTCATGAGTTGGATGCTATGGTGTTTGTTACTGCAACATCAATAGACGAAGTTCGTGTACTTTGTGAAGGAGGAGAAGGAGGAGAAGGAGGAGGAGGAGTTGATGGAATAATCCTTCAAGGATACGAGGCCGGTGGTCATCGAGGAAACTTCCTTACGAAATCCATATGGGACGAAAACTTATCAACACAATCACTATTCCAAAAGACAAAACAATACGTTGAAAAGCTTGAGCAAGATAAACGACCTTTCTTAGTTCCAGCAGGTGGCATAATGAATACATCACAAATCAATTGGTATATAAAGAATGGAGCAAGTGCATGCCAACTAGGCACGGTATTCCTCGCATCTCCAGAATCAACAACATCTAGTTTTTTCAGCAAATTAACCCAAGCCACCCCAGTATTAAATAATACTATAATGATTGACGTAGTCTCTGGTAAACCTGCGAGATGTATACGCACCGAGTTTATCGATAACTTGTATAAAGAATACCAAAGTGGGCCAAAGAGTTTACCACCTTATGGCTACATGTATAGTGCCTACAAACAGTTGAAAACTATAGCAGAAACAGCAGAACCAGACACCACGTTGCGGTTTGCATTGAATAAAGATATAGGATTTTATCTAGCTGGTCAGAACTTTTACCAACTTGAAAAAGGTCTGACCCGCGAAATCATGAAGAAACTAACTACCAATTTGGAACAGGATTTACAGCCATGAAGTCCATTCAAAAGCTCAAACAAAATACGCACGGCTTGGATTAAAAGAAAAAGAAAAAACTATGTACAGTAAACAAAAATTAAACAACTAAAAATGACGAATAAGAACTAAATATGCAACGGAGTTATTAAAGCTTAGTATTTTCAAGATTCAGTCGTCAACCACCTCTCCTCCTCTTCGTTACCCCCTAAAAGCCCAACAAATACATAAATAAACAGAAAGGAAAGAAAAAAAAAACACTAAGTAGGAAAGCAAGGAGGAACCAACAAAATAAATTTTTAAACTTTAACCAACATGAGCTTATTTCAAATGACTTGTGGAGTAGCAAAACAGCACCGCCCCCCTTGGCAGTGGGTTAATTCCAGTAAAAAATAAAATAAAAAAAAAAAATGCATGGTAAAAGTGTTCAATACAATTCCTTTAACATTTGTAGTCTCAATTCTCTTCTCTCATTCTCTTTATCAAAATCATATACTTGAAAGCTATTGTTGAAATCAAAACTTTTGTCGTCTCCTTCATAATCGCCGTAAGAATCGTATATGTACTTGTAGTTAAATGGTCTGACTTGATTTTGCATAGTCTCACCAACGTCGTCGTTGTAATCATTATATGCGTATTCGTATTCGTATTCAGGCTCCTCTTCACTATTATAAGAAACCAACTCCTCGTTTTCCTCATGAGCTTGACCCTCCACCCTTGGCTCTCTCTGGTCGTCTATACTAGTACCTGCAAAATTCTTGAAATGGTTAAACTTGTCGTTATTAAGCAAATAGTGCTCGTCAACCCCCTGTATTGTGCCATCCACTGTATCTATTGGACTAGTTGATTTGTTCAAAGAGTCCTCCTCAGAGTTCTCTATGTTCTTCACCTGTACTTTGATAGCCTCGTTTTGCTTTACACTAGTATTGCTTTTCCATCTGGTACAAGATTTGAACCTCTGCAATAGGGTAAGGTTTTTGTTAGCAGCCTTGAATGCACCATTTGTATTGTTATTAGAATTATTGGATAACCTCCTCTTTATACCCAAGATTGTAGATAAATTTTGCTGTTTCTGCTTGCGATGATACACTTCACAAGGAGAATCAAAGCTTATTGTACCATCTTCCATGTTTGTGTAATAGTGTTGCTGTAAGCTTGGATCAAATTCTAGTTTCCAAGGGTAAGGTAAAGACATTATCGATGATAATAATATAAAAGAGCTTTGAAAATTAGAATAACCTATACTACTGTCTCCTTGTCCACTAGTGACAAAGAACCTCCATTACCAATTCCTAGTTATAACTGAGGGTTCTTATATACTGTTTTCTACACACTGCTATGTATAAGACTAAAGATGGGGAAGAAGGGGGGTTACTAATACTGAAAAAGGTTATTAAAATCCGATTCCCGAAAGCTAGTGGAAAGAAAAAAAAATAATGGGAGGTTTACTCCGATCTTTCTTTTTTGGGCTTCGGTCTAAAAAAAAAAAAGGCGGCAGCGGCATGCATATTTTTGCCGCTTCTGACGACCCTTTTTTAACTTTTGATTCAAACTTTGAAGAAAATAAATGGACCGAAACTTTGTGGGAAACAAAAGGATCTTCTGTCAAAAGGAGAAAGAAGAAAGAGATATAACGAGAAGGAGGGAGAAGGAGGGAGAAGGAGGGAGAAGGAGGAAGGAGGAAGGAGGAGAAGGAAGGAGGAAATAAATTATTAGTATTTGTTGGGTTCTGTATGCGCAACAAATTACCAATAGTTTTACCGATTGGCCAAATAGATTGTAATGGTCATTTTATTACAAATCATTTTTTTTTTCTATTTTCTTAAACTCCGCCATTAATCCGATAAACGATTCACTATAATCTTGAAAACTAATTTGAATTTGCTTACTCAATATGGTCTTTGACTCATTGCATAGACGAGTTTTAAGGCTGAAATTTTTTTTGTTTATCTCCTTTTGGTATATAGGAATGTTTCTCTAAATTACTAATCGACTATCGACACTATCGAGCAGAGCGAGATAGTGGAGCATCTCTTAGTAGCAGCACTTAGTAGCATCTCTTCGTAGCAGCACTTAGTAGCATCTCTTCGTAGCATCACTTAACAGCAGCACTTAGTAGCATCTCTTAGTAGCAGCACCTAGTAGCATCTCTTAATAGCAACACTATCGAGAGCGAGATAGCAGCACTGACTAATGTTTGACTTTGCAATTATCTAAACCATAGACTTTTAAATTTTGCAATAGTCGGTGGCAGGTACAAAGTGCTGCTCCATCTCGCTTTGCTCGATAGTGTCGCTCTGATTCGAGTTGATAGCATATTCATTTTCATGATGAAATCTCAATTCAGTATTACACTTTGCTTTCTCTGCCACTTCATTTTTTCTTCTAGATAACCACAGACGATTGGTGGGTTCAATAGTTATTAAATGCTTACACTAGTCTACAAGAAAATCTAAATAGGTGAAGCAATCAAACCTGTCAGTGCTCTATCCATTCCATTACAGAGTCTATGAGATGAAATGCCTACCATATGTGGTAGCGCAGATGGAAGAGATAGAAAAAGAGCCGTTTTTGAGTATTTTGCAACATGTATGTTTCAGTATTTCAATTTGACGAAAGCTACGGTTTCCAGATACCCTTCCGTTATGGGCTCTTAGGTTTGATGAACCTTGTTAAAACGACATATTTAGGATTTTTCTAAAAGCTTCATTTTATTTTTCACCATTTTATGTGGCTTATGTAATCCATCTTGAAAGAGAAAGAGAGAGAAGTGATGTAGCTTTAGTAACCAAGCTAGGTATTGATTGGTTTTCTCAATATAGATACCTAGATAGAGTAGTTCTCTTTAGGAGAAGCTAAATTGAGCGACACTATCGAGCGAAGCGAGATAGTGGAGCAGCACTGACTACATGGATACACCTCACTACCTAATACCAAAACCTAACCCTTGAGCGACACTATCAAGCGAAGCGAGATAGTGGAGCAGCACTGACTACATGGATACACCTCACTACCTAATACCAAAACCTAACCCTTGAGCGACACTATCAAGCGAAGCGAGATAGTGGAGCAGCACTGACTACATGGATACACCTCACTACCTAATACCAAAACCTAACCCTTGAGCGACACTATCAAGCGAAGCGAGATAGTGGAGCAGCACTTAGTAGCAACATTATCGAGAGCGAGATAGTGGAACAGCACTTAGTAGCAGCACTATCGAGAGCGAGATAGTGGAGCACATTGACCACTCTCAAACCTCGAGACGAGGAAAGGGACAGAGGAAGGTCAAAATGGCATCATTTTGTGTTGTTCCTTATAACTGACTTATATTGCTTTGCATTGAGAGCATTATCATATACGCATAGTCAATTAACCTCTTCTACCAGATACCTATTCCAATTTGACCTTCTACCAGATACCTATTCCAATTTGACCTTCTACCAGATACCTATTCCAATTTGACCTTATCTTCAAGTTTTCTAAACGAATAAATCAATATAGTCAAAGGCATAATAAAATAAGGCATGTAAATCAAAACCAACTTTACAATATCCTCTTGGGTTAATCCATAACCCTTACCTTCACAAACAACATACACCAAACACACAAACGTAGTAAAAGAAGCATTGAACCCATAAATCAACGACCACAAATAATACCTCGTATTCAATTGTTTACAAAGATATTTCCAAACAAAATAGAAAAAAAGCGGAAACTGGAATACAACTTCAATGAAAATGAATATTTTGAACCAGGTTTGTGGGTACAAAAGTAATATGTCTTTATTTTGTAAAGTATGGAAGTCAACTAGAAACCTAGTGAGATTAAGATGATATTCATTGGGGATAATCACAGATGCATCTATTAGGAATGTAATGGGGATATGCAATAAATAGTACCAAAATATAACCGTTTCTATCATCTAAACAAGAAAAACCTATGAGTAAACAAGTATTCAAATTGTCACAAGGCCTCTCTCTCTCTCGCTCTCTCTTTCTCTCGCTCTCTCTTTCTCTCGCTATCTCTCTCTCTCGCTATCTCTCTCTCTCGCTCTTTATCCTCTACTATAGCAAAATAAGCTGAATATTGTCAACTAAAGTCTAATGAACTTCTTGATAAACCTTTTTTTACAGTGTATTAATCTTTTCATTTTTCACTTTGTAGTTTATTTATTTATTTTTTTTTTCATTCAGTGATTTTGATGCATTCTACTTTTGCATTCGTTTGGAATGATAAGATTTATTAAACCAACTAGATTCACCCACGGGCTCTATAGATTTCATAGACTGCCGTATATATCATTTGCAGGAATTTCTGGTGCAGTACAATTACTTCATTCTGCAGCAACAGCAACGACTATTTCCAAAACACCTTCTCTACCATCACCTTCTTTTGTGAAAAAATCCAATTTTCAAATGATTAACCAATTGATAAAATCTACAGGTAAACCTGGGAAACCATTAGTTTGGATAGATTGCGAAATGACGGGATTGGATGTATTTGGGAGCGACAGAATTATTGAAATCTGTTGTATCATAACTGATGAAAATTTGAATACAGTCAATAACGGCGAATTTTATGAAAGTACCATATACTATCCAGAAGAAAAATTAAATCAAATGAATGAATGGTGTATAAAAAATCATGGCAAACTGGGGCTAACGCAAAGGGTCCTAGACCATCCAGAACAAACGTTGGAAAAAGTTCAGCTAGAATTACTAAGTTATATCCAAAAATATATAACTACACCAAGAAAAGGAATTTTGGCTGGTAATTCAATCCATATGGATAAATTCTTTATGATGAAGGATTTCCCAAAAGTCGTTGATTTTCTACATTATCGACTATTGGACGTTTCAACAATTATGGAGTTTGGTAGTAGACACGCACCGGAACTAATGAGTTTGTCGCCAGATAAGAAAAGTAGCCATACTGCAAAGTCAGATATCTTAGAAAGTATAGCTCAATTGAAGTGGTACAGAGATAATTACTTTAAACTGGAGGAGCAGATTGCAGAAACTGTTAATAATTTGAAAAGAGAGAAAAAGAACAGGAGTAGTGGTAATTTGAAATAAATGGAAAAGCTAGACTTACCACTGATATCTTTCAATAAACACCCTATTTTTCATGTACACACAAATATAAAGCCTTTTTCCTGTTCCACTTGTGTGTGTGTGTGGGGGGGGGGGGGTTCCCATAATGTGCTATAAAAAAAATAGACACAAATTTAGTCACAACAGTAATCCAGGTGCGCCAACACTATATGTATCACATTTCGAGTTGTCTAGAACTAAAAAATAATAGTAAAAAAAAAAATAGAAACGTACATTATAAAAGTCTATAAATAAAACACGCACACATATGTACACACTCGCTCGCTCACTCACTCACTCAGTGATACAAAGTGATTAGTGTTAGCTAGCCTCAGCAAACTCTTCACTTTTAGTACTATCTTGTTCAGCTTGAGTAATGCGATTATTATTCTCAAAAATCAGTTCGTAATTCAAAATCATCTTTTCTAATATTAAATTCATAAATCCAAAATTATGGATCAAAATATCAAGACCACTAGCCTCGGTTAAAGCAGGTCCTATAACTGTCGCAAGGTTCGACGATGTCATCTTGTTCACCTGGCTGTAGGCATGAACTCTGTTCAAATGACGAATCAATGCTTTAAATGTGCAGTAGTTGTACTTTGGTAAAATCTGGAGTATTTTCTTAAAAGTACTTATTTCATCAATGTCTTCTTCCCTTTGATGTTGTCGTTGTTGTTTAAAAGCAAAAAATTGTTCAATCACGGCGTCGGTTAGTAATGCATCAGGTAACTCTCTAAAAAATGACTTGACAATACTTGTAAGTGCATGAGTATTATATTTAACCGATCCAAAATTAATCGTGCCCAATCTATCAATACTGTTTTTCAAATTGGCCAACTCAAATACCGATGGACTAATACGGTATATTCCAACATCACTCATCATACCGCCATCCTCGTTATTACTTTCTATTTCATCAAATATGAGTTGTAGAAACCTGGGTACTTCTGAACCTTCCCTCATACATATAAACCTCAATGGCAATCCAAAAACGAGGTTGTTATTATTGTTATAGTCGCCACTTGCTTTGAAGTTTAGTAATCTTGAATAAAACCAATGTCGATTGCCATAGTTTAATTTGACTAGCCAATCATTTAAGTCGTGATTCCCTGTACATTGGAAAAAGTATTGATTTTCGTTATACGATTCAGAATCAATTTTGAAACTAAATGGGAGTAAGTAAACTGGAAAGATTTTCTTGTTCTTTAATGGGATGATAATTGATGGTTTTTGTTTAAGTTCAAGTGGTCCTTCAAGGTTGGGCAATTCCTTAACAGAAACAATTTTTTCATTTGCACCATTACCCAATGAAAATGGCCTTGCTTTGGCAAATAAGCCACTTATTTTGAATCTTGATGATGAGTTTGACTTGTAGGATAAAGATTGTCTTTTCAAAGAAGTGCTTGACGTCTTTTTGGTGATAGTATGTATTCCATTGGTAAAAGCGTTGAGACCAAGACTAGTGCTGCCACTGCTGCCACTGCTGCCACTACTACCACTGGCTCCAGCTCCACTACCAGCTCCAGCTCCAGCTCCACCACCAGCTCTACCACTAACACCACCTCCATCTCCATTAGTCGAGGTATTAATACTCAATCTATTAACCCCATGGACAATGATCTTGCGATCACGCAAAAGTTTCTTTTGATTGTCTGCAATCAACAACCTTTGTTGCTCTTCAAGTGTACCTTTAAAGATGCTCACTCTTTCGCGTTCATGGAATTGCATTACAATCTTTTCCAACTCTTTAAGTGTTGCTATACCTTCATTCAAATTCAATAAAAACTCAAACTCACCCGAGTCATAATATGTGACGTAATCATTAACATGAACATTTCCTTCCAATTCTTCAACACCTAATTCCTTAATCAATTTGAAAATCAAATACCTCTTGTTGAAATTGATTAACCTTTTGTAAAATGAACAGCATCGATTACTAGCAATCAAGTTCTCAATAACCCATCCAAAGCATGGCAATAGTGGCTCAGTGGATTGTAAATCATCAATGCCAATATTCAGTGGTAATAGTTCGTCAATATCATTAAATCCACTACTAGGTTTACGATGATCCAATGCCATGGCAGCCCTCATCCACAAATTGGACATCATTCTACTTTCGGGTGAATAAATCACATTAACAATAGCAGTCTCAATACATGATGGAATATACCCAATACTTTCAAATACAAATTGATTATTACTGGTCATTTTCATTTTGCTTACTTTAGTCATGATTAGCAACGTCTTCATTCTATCTAACCTTTCGTCCAATGTGATCTTGGAATCAGTCAATTGTATTAATAAATACGTCTTGAATCTGAAATATAGCTTAAACAATTTTCTAAATACAAAGGGAAACTTTTTCAATATCAACTGTCGATCACCTGGTGATACTAAAGTTTCGAAATAATGAAAAATATTTGAAATAATCAAGTGATCATTGTTATCGGCAATACCAGGCTTTTGTAAATTAAAGTCAAATAAGGCATTCATTTCAAACGAGTTTTCCAAAATCTTAAAAGTCTTTACCCAATCTTCAACTTTTATCCCCTTGTAAAAAATGGTCAATAGTTTATTAAACTTGTAAAGAAATTTTTCAATCTTGTGAACATTCTTATGACTTGGTAAGTTTCTATTCATGGGCACTTCATTAAGGGAGTTGGTAAACTTAAACTCGTTGATTAAATACTCATCAAACTTGGAGATCTCAATTGGCCGGTACGTCTTTTTCACAAATAGTTTCTTTAATTTCTTGTAATAGGTTACCAAGTTTTCAAAACATCTTTCCAAAGATGCATCAATCTTGTTTGAATTGTACCATTGTAAAATCTCATTACTAAATAGCTTCAACAATTTAATCAATATATTCTTGTTACTCAAATTAAGTGAAAAATTTGAATAAAAATTATTAATCAACACTATGAGTACCTTGAGTATGTTTATTTGAATCTTTAACAATAACTCATAATCAACTTTGCCCAAGTCCGTCAAGTCAATCGTTGTATCCAAATTCCAGTTAGGGAAAGATTTTGGTAATTGAGGTAAACTCTTTTCAAAATTAGGCTCATATAGATTATTGTTGTTATCACCGCCACCACTAGTACCAGAACCAACACTCTTTTTTCTCAGTTTGTTATACTTCTTCAATAAATACATCTTCTTCATAATGGATAATACGGCGTTTCCTGAATTGATAAAACGATGCGTCAACTTTTCCAACAACTCCTTGGTTGTGATGAATGAATTATAATTCAACAAAAATACAAATCTGTACTCTGTCAAATCCAAATGAACATCTTGATGAAAATACCTAGAATCAATTAATAATAAATCAATCAATTTGTCCATAGTAGCATACTTTGGTATAAATTTGTAAATTTTCCTCATTGTGCCATCAATCATTGAGTTGGCTACAAGGACATTGCTTCCTCGCCTGTGGGTGTTATTACTACCGCCATTGCCATTGGTGGTATCATTGGTGCCGCTACCACCATTACCACCATAAGAACCACTGTTCTGAGCGCCATGGTGCATACTGTGATGCTTTGGGGACATTGTAAAATTGTTAAATCTGTCAGAATTCAAAATATCATCAACATCAATACCTAAACCAGGTACATCATCTTCGTCTTCTTCTATTGCATTAACATAGTAGTCCTCACCACTACCAGCACTACCAGCAGCAGCAGTATTAGTAGTAGTATTAGTAGTAGTATTAGTAGTAGTAGTACCCAACACGTTAGTCCTATTTGAATCCATATCTGCAACAAAATCATCTATTCGGAAAGTCAATTCATCACCAATCACAAAATTATGTTTATCTATCAACTGGTCTAATTGTTGTGGTGATACAATTTTATTATCTGTTTGGGTTAATTCATCATACTTTGCAAAATTCACTTTAAAGTAGTTGTTGTTAAACGAGGGGATCCTTGCAGATGGATTAAATTCATGAACTAATAAACTAGGGTCTATGGATGATTGCGACTCGACCGAATTTATTGATATACTAGATAGGTTTTGATTCTTTGTAAATGTAGACTCTAATGGTGTCACGGGAAGAACTGATTGTGATGTGTTTACATTTAAATAAGCTTCAGGCAAATCAGGTTCTAATTTAACTGATAATTGCATGATTTTTTCCAAATTAATCGATTCACAGTTTAGTTCAATTAACCGTTGTAGTTTTCTCTTTAATTCCAAAGTTCTCTTCAAATCATTACCATCACCATCATTAATATTGATACTACCATTACTTCCAGTACTGCTACTTGTTCTTCTTTTGCTTCTTCTTCTTCTGCTTCTTCTTCTTTTTTCTTCTTCTCCTCCTTCGTCTCCTTTTCCTTTTTCTCCTTTTTCTCCTTCTGCTCCTTCTGCTCCCTCTGCTCCTTCCCCTTCTCCTTCTCCTTCTTCTTTTTGAGATTCAAATTCAGTCTTCACTTGATTAAACTTATCGTATGTATTATTGTTGTTGCTGTTGCTGTTGTTGTTATTATTGTTATTATTGTTATTTTTATTACTGATATGGTTGTTATTACTGTTATTGTTATTATTATTACTACCATTAGCACCAAGGTATAATACTTGGTTCAAACTTTCGTTAGAAAATATAAACCCCATTGCATCGTATCGCCTTAGAACATCATCATTATACTTGATAATGTCATGATGGTTGCTCAAATTGGATAAATAGTCATTCCATCTGTCAAATGAATAGTTAATCTTTTTCCATGTAGATTCCATTTCATACAAATCTATATTTTCCCCAACACCAGTATTGTTAATCAACAAATCTCCAAAATAAGGAATGACTTTTTCCTTTGGGTAGATTTTACCCAAACCTCTTGGAGCCATAATGTGATAAGAGTCCTTTGAAGAAATTTGATCTTCACTACCTTGGCCCAACCGAGGAGAGTTGCTATTGTGCTCTGTTGATTCATTTACCAAGTATCGACGGTCTAGTTCAAATAGCACCGGCGACCAATCATTTTTCAATAGTTTGATATATTCACTTGATACGAGCGACCAGATTTTGGTTAACCGAAGAATAGGTTGAGATAGTATAATTGAAGATATACCCAACCATGAAGACATATTACCCGATTTATCCAAGAGACAACCTAAATCAATCCATTTCTCTAAAATTCTTGCTTTCGATTCCAAAACCGAAAAACTCATTGATCCTGCAGAGGCATGCTCAACAAATATGTGATTTATTAGCAATCGAGATAGGTAATGGATATGATGGTTATTATTAAAAATCAAGGGGTTTCTTTTGTAAAAAAATTCCTTATTGGATTGTTTCAAATTGATCGACGAGTATAATAAGAGCGACTTGTCTATATTTGAGTTCCAACTAGTAAAAAACTTCAAATCAATTTCATTGACAATGTGAGCAAAATCAATCAAATTGATCTCCTTCATAAAAACCAGTGAGGATAATTCTTTAAACGGATGAATGCCGTATAACAGGTTATCGTTATTTACCAATATAATCAAAAATTGTTGTTTTGTCAACATCTTTTGTTTAAAAAAATTCATCTTTTCCAACTGGTGAATATCTTTGACGGATGATAAAATCTCCAAGATTTTCAAAACATATGGTGCAACATCTGATTTGAGTAAAAAACTATAAAAATTCTCTTCAATATTCTGTAGCAAGGAAAGTATTCTTGTGATGACTAATTGTTTATCAACTTCATTTGCCAAACCCGTGTGCTCGTTCCCTGTACCTGTACCTGTACCTGCACCTGCACCTGTACCTGCACCTGCACCTGTACCTGCTGCAGTTTTCATTTCGTTTTCATGTTCACCTTCATTTTCAACTTTGCTTCTTTTTTCATCACCTCTAAATTTATTCTCAAATATGGCTTCTACGTAGATTGATATATACCTTATTATGTGATGAAAATCAGGTAATACTGGCAAAATGTTGATAATTGTTTTTATACTATGTTGATCCAACGGATCCTTATTAAAGCACAAAAAATGAACTATTGCTTCAAGCGTGTTTTTTCCATTATGGAATAGAAATGAGTCAAACTTATGCAATTTAAAGTCATATTGAAGTTGCGGATGGGGTATTTTGACCTTATAATATGTAATTGGTTCGATTGAGCCTGATGATGTAGATGTCCCAGAGGCGGTTATACATAATGCCGGTGGGGCAGTTATTGGTGTATTCGGTATAGATGGCGGTAATGATTGTTTTGGCATTTTGCGAGTCAAACTGGTAGTAACAATTGGTACCGAAGCAGAAGATATTGATGATGCATTAAATGGTGCTGAGATCGTATATGATTTATAATCGTATGCAGAAGAAGTATGTACCACACTGCTAATAATGGGGCTCCCAATACAAGAAATGCTAATTGGTTTTTGTTGTTCAACCAAGGTAGATACAGTGCTATTGCTATTACTTTCTTGGTCAGTATTATCTCCTCCCCCTTTACTCATTGATTTTATATCATTTGCCTCGTCTTCTCCTCCCTCTCTTTCTTCTTCGTTTGCACCTTCTTCTTCTCCTTCTTCTCCTGCTCCTCCTACTTTTTCTTCTCTTACATTGTCTTCCACTTTAAAGCTCCTGATGTTTAAATTTGATGGCGGTTTATATAGATATAGGAGAGATCCCTTCAACTCTAGTCTATAGAGTCTCAAGTTTTGTTGGGTTATGTCTGTGGTATTAGCGTTGTTGTTGCTGCTGTTAGCTGTCATGGACGAATTACTGTTATTGTTGGCATTCACTACTGTGTTCAACCAACCATATTTGACTAGATTGGTATCATAATCTTGCCGGATTAAATTGCTGAGCTTCATCTGCATACCACCGCCACTGCCACCACTTCTAGACTGTGTGTATATTGAGCTTGCAGCGGTTGCTACTGGAGCAGTTGCTACTGAAGCAGTTGTTCCTGTTGTTGCAGTTCCAGAAGAGGTGGGTATCGAAGTGTCCAATGAAGTTATTGACTCATTAGTCGGATGGGATTGCGAATGAGAATGTGAGGAGCGTGGTAGTGGTAGTTGTAGTGATAGTGATGGTGGTGGTGGTGGTGGTGGTGGTGGTAGTGGTGGCGATGATAGATAGTGTAGATCCAGGGAATTCAAAGTATTTTCCTCCCTTATAGAAGTAATATCATGGTCGTCATAAGGATAATAAGTGAATGACTGGTTATCAAAGTTTCTGTTTGTGCTGTGTCTACTATACTGGTCGAAATCCCTTGAATCGTACAGTGATTCTTTATTATGGATCAGTAGCAACTCTGAGTTTACATCTAAACTAGAGTTATCTAGATTTGAATTACTCTGTGTAGAAATGCTTCGTCTCTTTTCTCGGTGTTCTCTTTTGCTCCAGATTTTCCTCATAATACCACTTGAAAGTTTTTAATTAGCTTACTTACTTGTTGCTATTAAAGTAGTGGGCTGGTGTACCGTGCTGTGCTGCAACTAACTAGAGCCGTGGCTGTTGTGCTGCTACTATCAAGTAGTGGGCTGGTGTATCGTGCTGCCACTTGAGAGTCCTTACTAGCTTGCTTACTTACTTGTTGCTATTGAGCGATAATTGCTGTGCTGTCACTTTTGAGCTATTATTGTGCTGCCACTTTTGAGCTATTATTGTGCTGCCACTTTTGAGCTATTATTGTGCTGCTGCTATGGAGCCGTTGTTATGCTACTATTGAGCCGTTGTTATGCTGCTATTGAGCCGTTGTTATGCTACTATTGAGCGGTGGCTGCCGTGCTGCTTGTTGTATTCCTTGGTGTTGAATTTGGTTGTAAAAAAAGTGGTTGTAAAAAAATTGGTTGTAAAAAAATTGGTTGTAAAAAAAGTGGGTCTCTAAATTTTAAAATTTTTTTTTTTTTTTTTTTTTTTTTTTTTTTGCCTGTTGTATTTTTGTTAGTAGTTGCAGTAACAGAAGGAAAGAAGTAGCAGTGAAAAAGTAGGTGGTGTGGTAGTAATAGTAGTAGTAGGAGTAGTAGTAGTAGTGTATTATATGTAAATCTATAGAGTATTAAAAATTTACAGTGTGTAAATAAACAGTTAAGTTATGTGTAGTATAATAATATTTCTTAAATAAAACGCGTCGTGTCTCATAACCATCAGCCATGGCTAAGTAACAAGTACCACCAGCACCTACCGCCATTAACACCACACCCACACCAACATCTTTAATGGTATCACTAAATATAATCCATAATTATCAAGTATGGAATCTTTTTTCGCTTAAGAAAAATTTTAATTATTATGGTTATATAGAAAACGTATCTTGTCATTTATTATTCTACCAATACATCATCTTTTTCTTCTCTTTACAAGGTTAGTCTTTCTACAGTAATAGGTGTATCAGTGTCAGTTACATCATAGATTACATATAATTGATTGTATTTTTGTAGACGATATCTTGTTAATCGACACTTGCTGTAGGTGACAATATATACAATATATAATAGGTTGTACAAAATTAGAAAAAAACGCAAATAATAATCGCTAATTTGTTACTCCAATTTGTTGCTTGTAAACCCAGCAACTAGATAACTAATAGAAATATGAAAAAGTTTTATGCAATAACAAGCGAGTATGTAATAATTTAATATAGGAGACCCATAAACTACTCTATAGGGAGATAAACAAGTCGCCAACATGCACTTGTAAGAACCAAGTATTTACAGTATATAGTGATGTTAAAATAAGGTTGAATCATTAAAAGCTAAATCAACAAGCCAAATCAACAAGCCAAATCAACAAAATCAACAAGTCAAATCAACAAGCCAAATCAACACAAGCTTTGTTTTCCAAGCTTTGTTTTCCAAGCTTTGTTTTTTTTCAATATAAGCTTTGTTTTTCAATATAAGCTTTGTTTTCCAAGCTTTGTTTCCCCTCACCTTCCCTCAGTGCAAAGTTGCCGCGACTACTACTTTATAAAGACGAAACGTTATAGTGGGAACTACTCTCTATACTGGCAACTAGTTGCCACTACCTCATGGTGGCACCTACATTGTAGTGGGCATCTATACTATAAGAAACAACGCGTTGTATCTTGTAAAGATGAGGTAATTTTGCATTTTCTAAAATAAAAAATTTCAATCACGTGATTTAACCGCTAATTGTTCTATTGCATAATATGTAAAATTTAATTTTTAATGTATACAATTATGTAATTGATCAATTACACGAGCAAGATCACCTATACATCTCAAATTTTGTCAATCACGACGAAAACACCACTAAATGCACATTACTCTATATTTCTACCCCTCTTTAAGTCTCTCATGCATACCCTCGCCATGTATGTCTCAGTTTTATACTTCCGCAAACCTTTTTTTTGCTAAAAGAATCGGAGGCATCAACACCCTCTACCCTTAATCACAATACAAATTTGATAAATTAGCCCTAGCTACATAAAAAAAAAAATCCTCTTTTTTCAAAACACCATCTAAATGATAAAGAATTACAGGCAAAATGATATAAAAGTATACTTGACGACTGCGGTTTATATACCCCACCTAGTCAATTTTATATGAGATTACAGCTTGATGATTAGTCTTTTTTTATAGTCAAGTTTATATGAGATTACAGCTTGATGATTAGTCTTTTTTTATAGTCAAGTTTATATGAGATTACAGCTTGATGATTAGTCTTTTTTTATAGTCAAGTTTATATGAGATTACAGCTTGATGATTATTCTTTTTTCATATCTACTTGGAATGAGCAGGAGGTGGCCCGTCGGGTGCACTGTAATTTGTCGTACTATCTGATACTCCTTGTTGTTGTGGAATATACCCCAGACTGGCCTCTGCTCCATCTTGACCTTGGTAATGCCCTTGTGTGTGTCCTTGTGTGTTTTGTTGTGGATAAGGGGGAGGCACATAAGAAAAGTTTTCTTGATGTTTAGCATAGTCCATATTGTTATTGCCATAATATTGACCATTGGGAATAGGTGGTGGACCATACATTGCATAAGCCCCACCACCACCCTGAGGTGCAGTATTATAAACAGGCACAACTTTCCCCTGTCTACGTCTTTTTACTCTTCTCCATATTAATAGTGCTAGAATTATTGCAAAAATCGGTATAAGGATTAACGTAATTAACCAACGGCTAAATCGAATGTCATTCATGGTTGAATGAATTTCATTCGCGGCTGATTGATTGTCATCCATGACTGGTTGATCTAGTATATATATTCTAAGAGAGGGAAATGAGAATATGGGAATTTTATTCCAAGATTTACAAATCGGGAGCCCAAGATAAAATAATCAGTTCCTAGTTGAGTATTGAGCGGATAGATAAAGTATATACTCATTTCTATTATTATATTATTGGTGCTACCATTTACTACTTGGAAGGGAGGGGGCGGAGGCATCGATCCCACACGGCGCTAGCAGATGACTCTTTTATTTATAGATGACTCTTTTATATAGAGGACAGATATGTCTATACCAAAATAGAGATGATTTAAAAAGGATTAGTAAGCATCACATCGTGTTTAGTGAGTTATCTACTCGATTCATCTTATTTGGATCTTAATGATTCGCTGTTATTACTTAATTGTTGGTTTTGCAATAATTTTTTTTTTATTTATTGTTTTTTTTTTCTTGGGGATGTTGTAATGGATATGCTTTAGTGGAGATGTTTTAATGGAGATGTTTTAATGGATATGCTGTATTGTTGGATTTTGATTGGTTCCTTTTTTAAGGGTTCCGATACCAACTTCAAAGAGATATCCCCATGTGTATTCTGAAATACTCTTTTTAAAAGCCTATCTCATAGAGTCGAGATCAACTAAAAAATATTGCTTACAAAATAAATATAACTACTCTGATCAAAAAGACAAACTGATGAAACAGAAAGAGCAAAATAGGAACACCAGAATGGAAATAGGAACACCAGAGTGGAAATAGGAACACCAGAGTGGTAGAGCACTATACAAGCTAGTCAGTGTTGCTCCACTATCGAGCAGAGCGAGATAAAAGCTAGTCAGTGTTGCTCCACTATCGAGCAGAGCGAGATAAAAGCTAGTCAGTGTTGCTCCACTATCGAGCAGAGCGAGATAAAAGCTAGTCAGTGTTGCTCCACTATCGAGCAGAGCGAGATAAAAGCTAGTCAGTGTTGCTCCACTATCGAGCAGAGCGAGATAGTGGACTAGCTTGTTACAACACTATCTCGCTCTGCTCGATAGTGTATCTCTCAACATTTGTCGCCTTTTCAAACCATCTTTTACAGTTTGAAATAGTCACGTGACTCTCCTAAATGAAAGCTTAATTTATTTTATGTACATTCCTATCATAGACATAATAAGGTAACGGAGATAACTGGGAGAATGTCAACCTGTGGAAATGTTACACATATATCGCGGCAACTTAAAATTTAGACTGGAACCGGCTTAATCTTAGTGGGCTTTCTAATTTTTATAGGTTCTCCTTTTCTGCCAAATTAAATCTCGTAGAAATGAAGAATGAAAAATCCCACAATGGAAATGCGATGATGAATTTAATTTATTATGTTGAATGAATTTCAATATTCAAACAAGAATCTCTATTACAAGTAGAAGCAAGGATTACCATCAGTCATAAACATTCTGTATCGGTTGCTTATACTTTTGCATCAGCTGCTTTCCACTTTGGCGACAGTTGCTTTTGTCTAGCATCGGTTACTAGAGCCACCTAATTCAACGCGAGTATTGGCGCCTCGGCACTAACGATTTTCTTAAACCATCGCCGCTACGCCACACAGCAGAACCATTTTCTAACCACCGCCGCCGCCACACAGCCCAACTTATTTCCCCCAGGTGTCACCTAGTGTCACCCATTGGCTCGCTTTGCTTGCTAAGGTCCCTGCTCGCTAACCAACTCCGCCCCATAGCCCTACTAGCTGCCAGGTGTCACCCATTGGCTCGCTTTGGCCCGCTTTGCTTGCTAAGGTCCCTGCTCGCTAACCAACTCCGCCCCATAGCCCAACCAGCTGCCAAGTGTTGCTCGATAGTGGGCAGCTAGTCAGTATTACTCCATTACCTCGCTTCGCTTGAACCCAGTTTTCCTTCAAAAGTTGATAATCAAGTATACCCTATCAATATGAGTTTCTTTGTCGTTCCTTCGGTTTCATATCAAACCCAGCAGAAACTTAAAAAGCAGAAAGGCAAAGATCGCAAGAAAAACGAGTTGGACAGTGATAGTGACAAGGATGTGGATCCAGATAGGGATAATAAGGATCATAGGTATCTGATAGCGAGCCGTTTGCACAATAATGATTCCACTACAAGCTCTACTTCGAAACGAAGTAAATTAAAAGCAGGATGGAGTTTATTCAGTGGTGGTGGTAATCATTCTAATAGCAGCAATAGCAGTAGTAGCTTATCACAAAGAGGCTTTTCAACAGGTTCAAAACTGGCAGACACAGATAGCGATTCTAAATCAATTATGTCGAGTCACTCAACTATGATTTCAGGTATGGAAACCTTGACTCATTCACTAGTAGATGAGAATGAATCGCCATATCCACATCCACATCCACACCCACATCCAAATCCAAATCTACATTTACATCCACATCCACAGCCGCCACAGGCGCCTCCAGTGTCATTGAATCTACCGACATCTTTGGAAAGCCCAACGAACGCCCATACTCATCATCCCCACACCCACCACAACAACAACGACCAAACAAGCAATACTCACCAAGAACAAGTACACGAGTCACATAAGCCCCATCACGCAATTACACCAACAGCAGCGCAGTTGGTCTTTAATCCCGAGGATGTCGTTAGGGAAGAAGACACGCCATTGAAAATAGCAACAACGTATGGTAAAACAATACCTCCGGATTCATTCAAACAGTTTCAAGTAAACCGAGCTGCTACAATACCTCTAGTAGCAGCAACAACATCAGCAACAGCAACTTCACCAGGACCGCCAGCCTCAGTATCACTGGTTCCTTCCACCGGCTCCTCGATGTCTTCAAATCCCTTTCGATCGTCACAGTCTTCTATAACACCAATAACTCCCTTGACTACACTGCAAACAGCCAACAGTTCGTCCGGTATCACTACATCGCCAACGCAATCTCATGGTCAACCTCAGTCTCAATCTCAAGCACAAGGACAAGCACAAGCACAATCTCCAGGAAGTCACTATTTACTGAATCAACTATTTCATAGGAACTCATCGAATACTTCATTTCATGGCAATCAAAATTTACTCACAATGGACAATCTCAAAGAGTCTTCAGCAAAGTTCAAGAAAATATCCTCATTTTTAACCTCATCTAACCACCAAAAGAGGAAAGATAGTACATTCCTATCCCCTGGAGGACCAGACCACATTTCCCCAAACGTAGAATCCCCAGGTGGTGATCGGCATCCGTCTTTCGACTCTTATTTTCCTGATATATCACCCATGAAGAAGAAGAACAATGATAACAATAACAGCAACAAGATTCCTGCCTTCAAACCAGTGTTAGATCTAAGTGCTTATAATACACCAGAAGGTATCCAAGAACAATTTCTTTCCCCACCTTACCAAATCTTTAGGTATAATAACTTTCTCAAAATCATGAGTGAATACCACACAAGCGATGCATTAAATTTTGCCAAAATTCGTGTACATTCATTATACAAATTCATTATGAGACAAAAGAGAGGCAAGATCTTGATTGAATCAAATGGGATGTTTAGTAATGAAAACTATACGTCATTGTCTACTACTGAGGCTGTTCTTGCATATATGCTTTATTCTAAAGCACGATCATTTATAAGAACACTTGTATGTCATAAATCCGAAAATCAAAGCTTATTAAACCATGAAGAATTAGTCCAGTGTAATTTTATCAACTATGTACGGTATTTGATAAAATTACCTACTGTTGAAGAAAGTGATGTGTTGACTGATGTGGAAAAGAAGCATTATGAATATAAGGCTATGTTTGATACTATCGCTACCGCGTTATACAATTTCAGAAAAGACGAAGAGCTTACATACAATGATGAACCGGAACAAGCAGTGAAGTCCAAATTATTAATAGAAAGCATTACCAAGTTGTCATATGAATATATTCTTTTGGAGAAATATAGATTGGATATGGTTACGAAATTGCACAAGAACCATTTACTTTCTCAGGGACACTTGGTAAAGTTATTCAATCAGTATAAAGCACATGTTAGAGGGTACCTGCGAGAAAATATAAAAGTGTTTATCTATAACTCGACTCAATCCTTACAATATGGATGGTACCTTGCGGTGACTATCCCATTTATACGATTTGTTGAATCACACGTTTATAATGAGGATCCCCAATTGATTACTGATTATGATGAATACATAAAACAGTTATTAGATACAAATTCTCCAAAACAAGATTTCAAAAAATCAGACATTGAACTATTTGAATCGTATTTTAAGAAACTTGGTCTTGTATCTTATCAACAATTTAATAGCATGACGATGGATAAATTGGTGAAACTAAGTAAACAAATTAAGGATCAATCAGTACACCCATTCACTGGTTTTCGAAATAAACCAACATCCTCCCCCTCCTTCTCATCATCACAAACACAATATTCTACTTCTTCTTTTTCTTCTCCTCCTCCTCCACCACCACCATCACCTTTTCCCCAGACATCTAATTTCAGTACAAAGCCAACCAATATAGAATATTATCCCCATGGAATGTCCCTGATCTCCTCAAATACATTCGACTTAATCCATTCTCGTGATTTAGCAATGCAAATTACCCAAAATACTTATCGTACTATAATCCGAGAATTCCATAGGATACTTAAGCCGGGTGCATCGTTCATATACGATGCAATTCATATGGGTTCCAGGTCACCAGAAACCTTAAAATCAAAGTTTTCTGGTAAATTATTCCCCGAAATTCCATATGACGAAAACAACCCTAGTATAAATGATAAGATAACATTTGGCATTATGCAAAATTTTCCACAACTAATGCCACATTTCCTAGAAACTTTACTTTGTGAACTTGAGGTTGTTTTCGGAAAAGGGAATGTTAAATACAGTGTTGTCTTATTATCACTGCATCTTGATGTAAACAATTTCTTGATTAAATTTGTTGGATTGAAATTGTTTGAGTTGGTTGGAGAAACTGATGAGTATGTAAGGTTTTTCGAACTGGTTTTCGATGACGATGATCTGAATATTGTTAGTCTGAATGATAAAAGTGTTCATCTTGGGGTACATATTGAAGCAACTAAACGGTGAACAAAAAATAAAAAAAAAAAATCAAACAAAGAAGAAAACCCTTTATTGTATATTCAGAAACTCTCTTAAACATAGATACATGCTGGACATATATATATATATAAGGCAGGAAAAGGAAGAAAGAAAAAAGGACCCTTTTTGATTGCATCTCTTTCACTTGCAAGTTTGTAGTTGTTGGCTTTCTTGAGGAAATGACGAGAGATCAACTGTCACGTGACTCGTAAATTGAAAAATTCTGACTCAATACCGATGAGGTCAATTTTTCATTATTAAATTTCCCCATTTTCACCATTAGCCAGAGCTCTTTTAAACCTTTTGAAACGTGTCTTTTGTTTCTTTTATCTGTCTAGATGTCGAAGGTAGTTCATATTATTGACTTGGAGAGCGGGAACTTGAGGTCCCTTACCAATGCCATTAAAAAGGTTGATAGTGATTGTACTATAAGATTTATTCACAATGAACAAGAGTTTATTGAGCAAGATCCCTATATCACCAAGCTTATTTTCCCTGGAGTTGGTAATTATGGTCATTTCGTTACCCAAATTTATGCGCGTAATTTGGATAAACATATTATGAGATACATTGCAGCTGATCGTGCTCTAATGGGAATTTGTGTTGGATTACAGGCATTTGTGCTGGCATCTGAAGAAAGTCCTAATGCAAAGGGATTAGGCGTATTAGATTTAAAGTTGAAGAAATTTAACACCGATGATCCTATTTACAGGGCAAAAGGAATTAAGAAAGCTGTGCCACATATTGGATGGAATAGTATTGAGAGGATAACTATTGGCAAAGACAAAGAAATTTCACCCAATGTTTCATTATTCAATTTAAATTTGCAAAACAAGTACTATTTTGTTCACTCATATGCTGCAATTATTGATGGGGAAAATGAAAACGAGCTCAACTCGTTAAGGAAACAAGGCTGGAATTTTGCATTGGCAAAGTATGGTTCTGAACAGTTCATTGCAGCAATTAACAAGGGTAACCTTTTTGCTACACAATTTCATCCTGAAAAATCAGGTATTGCAGGGTTGAAAATTGTAAAAAGCTTTTTAGATGGTGAGCAGTTTCCTCAGTTGAATCAATCTAGTGTTCAAACACAACCAAAAGGTATAGAGAAAACAATGAGTAGGTTAACCAGGCGAATTATTGCGTGTTTGGATGTGAGAACAAACGATGCTGGCGATTTAGTTGTTACCAAAGGTGATCAATATAATGTACGGGAAACTTGTACCACTGCCAATTCGCAAGAAGATAATAGCACCGGTCCACAAGTTAGAAACTTGGGTAAGCCGGTAGAATTAGCTACAAAGTACTATTTGCAAGGTGCAGATGAAATCACCTTTTTGAACATCACTTCTTTTAGAAACTCGCCTTTAAAGGACTTGCCAATGTTGCAAGTGCTACAGAAGGCTGCTGAATCTATATTTGTTCCACTTACAGTTGGTGGAGGAATCAAAGAGATGCAAGATCCAGAAACTCACCAAGTAGTTCCTGCTGTTCAAGTTGCTGATTTGTATTTCCGTTCCGGGGCAGATAAGGTGAGTATTGGTTCTGATGCAGTACGTATTGCTGAGGAATACTACGCTAACAACAAGCAGAAACAAGGCACATCGGCCATCGAAACTATTTCCAAAACTTTTGGAAACCAAGCGGTTGTCATTTCAGTTGACCCTAAGCGGAAATATGTTGCATCGCCCAAAAGTTGCCCAATGGCAACGATAAAAATCACCAATGAGTCAAAGTATGGACCTAATGGCGAACAATATTGCTATTACCAAGTTACCTCTCAAGGTGGTAGGAAATTCCATGATTTAGGGGCACTAGAACTTTGTTTGGCATGCGAGGATTTGGGTGCTGGAGAAATCTTGCTAAATTCAATCGACCACGATGGATCCAACTCCGGTTTCAATTTGGAGCTATTAAATCAAATCAAATCTCAAGTATCAATCCCGGTAATTGCAAGTTCTGGTGCTGGAAACCCCAAGCATTTCCAACAAGTATTTGAGATGGAATGTGGAATCGATGCGGCTTTAGGTGCTGGATTGTTTCATCGTGGCGAATATACTGTTAATCAAGTCAAACGGTTTTTGCAAGATGAAGCGAAAATGGACGTGCGATTGGATGATACTGTTGAGTTATAGAGAAGAGAGTAAATTCTAGATATGTATGTATATATGTAACGGCCACCTAGATCCTATACCGCCCTCTAGTATCGCTACTTCTACTGCTCCTATACCGTTCTCTAGTATCGCTACTTCTACTGCTCCCATACCGCTCTCTAGTATCGCTACTTCTACTGCTCGGTTTTAGATGAGGGTCTGGTCCCACTGGCTTGTCCCTCGTACTATCTTGTAGTAGGGGCTTTTTTCGGCGCGTACCTGATAGAGCAATTATCAAAACCTCATAGCGCAAATATATCATTGTAATAGACACTAGGAAGCGAAGCGAGCTAGTGGAGCCACATTGACTAGCTGTCATCGACAAACCGACAAAAGAGAGAGAGAGAGAGAGAGATGTCGCAGCTGGGTCATATATCAGAAGAGCAAAGAAAGAAGATTGTATGTATTTGATGTTTGTACTAAGGAATGAACACTTTTGAATAAAGTTTTATTTTCTAACATGTTTATCTTCATCCCAGGAGTCAAATAGAGCAAGAGCTTTAGAGAGACTACAAAGAAAGCGAGATCCTGTAGTTTCTAGCACACAACAAGACCGTGTTTTACTGAAACGACCTGCATCGCAAATTCTAGACCCTTCTGCAGGACTTAAGTCAAAGTTTGTCCAGTTTGAACAGGATGGGTCAGTTAAAAGGTCCAAAACCGCTGAGCAAATAGAACATGTCGAGCAGAATAGATTAAAAGCGATAGAGATTCAAAATAGGCTACGAAAGGAGAAAGAAGGGAAGCCTGATACTAATGCAGTTGTGAGCATGGACAATATTCGACTTAACCAAAATAAACAAGATTTTTCGTTTGACAGCAAGAGGAGCAGATATCAGCCACCTTCGATTAACAAGAAAGATTATATTGAGTACGATTTTGCCACGATGCAGGACTCTAGAGGTGGATTTATCAGTGATGACACGAAAATACGGCATGATGAAGAAACATTACAAGAATGGAAAGAGAAACAAAAAGAGCTTGAACGAATTAAAAATGCGCCACCTCCAGCAGATATAGAGAATGTTCCACGATGTTACGAATGCAAGTCTGTTGATATTGATTTGAACTTGTATACGAATTTTCGAAAAGTACGTGCCTGTAGAGCATGTATCAAGAAAATGCCCGAGAAGTACTCATTATTAGTCAAAACCGAATGTAAAGAAGACTATCTTTTAACGGAACCGGAATTGCAAGATGAGTCATTATTGCCGAGGATAGAAAAACCCAATCCTCATGGATATAGTAGAATGCAGTTGTTTTTACGATTTCAAGTTGAAGAATTTGCATGGCGCAAATGGGGGTCGCCCGAAGGGTTAGATTTGGAGTGGGAGCGGCGTGAAAAGAACAAATTGAAGAGGAAGGAGAAAAGGTACCAAGATGCATTAAGGGAGATGAGGAAAAAGACTAGAGCTGAGGAGTATACGAGGAAATTGAGAGATGGTAAATCGTTAAATGAGAGACATGTACATCACTGGTCTGCCGGTGTCACTATTGGGGAGAACTTGATACGGAAAAGGTGTATCGATTGTGGTATTGAGCTGGAGGATGTGATAATCACCGACACTAGCGAGCGAAGCGAGAGAGACTAGACGAGTGAAACGAGTCTAGTCGATAGTAGATAGACTATCAACACTATCGAGTGGAGCAGCATTGATTACACCGACCACCAACACTATCTCGCTTCGCTCGATAGTGGAGCAGCACTAACTACACCAACCACTAGCAACACTCTCTCGCTTTGCTCGATAGTGTTGTTATGCACATACATATTCTAAATAAGGTGCATATTGTCGCTAGTTTCAGTGACAATTACTATGCCATAAATTGTCAGTGACAGTTAGTAATTATGTAGATCACGTGATTCGTTAGTTGCGATAGGATTTATGTGACACTATCGAGCGACACTATGGAGCGAAATGAGATAGTGGAGCAGCTCTGACTAAACACTCTCTTCTCCTTATTAACAATCTCTTTTCTCTCTATCTATCGATTGGACTCGTAATACTCGTCTCTAGTCTAATCTTTTTTTTGCACCAATTTGACTCAAACTTGATGGTACTAAATACTACTACCAACAAGGACTCTCTAGCCAGCCCTGTGACACTTTGGACACTATCGAGCGACACTATCGAGCGACACTATCGAGCGACACTATCAAGCGACACTATCGAGCAAAGCGAGATAGTAGAGCAGCTTTGACTACACTGGCTATTACAAGGAATCTCTCTACACACTCTCTTCTCTCTATCTACAATCTCTTTTTTCTATCTACAATCTTTTTTCTCTTATCAGTATTCAAAAGGACTCTCTCTATTTATTATTTATAAAGACTCTTTCTATCAGTATTTACAAAAACTTTCTCTATCAAGTTTCACTCGCCTAGTCTCTCTCTATCTAGTTTCACTCGCCTAGTCTCTCTCTACCTAGTTTCACTCGCCTAGTCTCTCTCTATCTAGTTTCACTCGCCTAGTCTCTCTCTTTCTATCTCGCTCCGCTCGATAGCAGACTCATCTAGTAAGTACTCCTCCACTCGCTAGTGTCGCGCTCATCTAGAAAGTGCTGCTCCACTAGCGAGCGAAGCGAGGTAGTGTTGCGTTCGCTAGTGTCACGCTCGATAGTAGACTCATCTAGTAAGTACTGCTCCACTACCTCGCTTCGCTCGCTAGTGTTGCGCTCGATAGTAGACTCATCTAGTAAGTACTGCTCCACTACCTCGCTTCGCTCGCTAGTGTCACGCTCGATAGTAGACTCATCTAGTAAGTACTGCTCCACTACCTCGCTTCGCTCGCTAGTGTTGCGCTCGATAGTAGACTCATCTAGTAAGTACTGCTCCACTACCTCGCTTCGCTCGCTAGTGTCACGCTCGATAGTAGACTCATCTAGTAAGTACTGCTCCACTACCTCGCTTCGCTCGCTAGTGTTGCGCTCGATAGTAGACTCATCTAGTAAGTACTGCTCCACTACCTCGCTTCGCTCGCTAGTGTCACGCTCGATAGTAGACTCATCTAGTAAGTACTGCTCCACTACCTCGCTTCGCTCGCTAGTGTTGCGCTCGATAGTAGACTCATCTAGTAAGTACTGCTCCACTACCTCGCTTCGCTCGCTAGTGTCACGCTCGATAGTAGACTCATCTAGTAAGTACTGCTCCACTACCTCGCTTCGCTCGCTAGTGTTGCGCTCGATAGTAGACTCATCTAGTAAGTACTGCTCCACTACCTCGCTTCGCTCGCTAGTGTCACGCTCGATAGTAGACTCATCTAGTAAGTACTGCTCCACTACCTCGCTTCGCTCGCTAGTGTTGCGCTCGATAGTAGACTCATCTAGTAAGTACTGCTCCACTACCTCGCTTCGCTCGCTAGTGTCACGCTCGATAGTAGACTCATCTAGTAAGTACTGCTCCACTACCTCGCTTCGCTCGCTAGTGTTGCGCTCGATAGTAGACTCATCTAGTAAGTACTGCTTCACTACCTCGCTTCGCTCGCTAGTGTCGCGCTCGCTAGTGTCGCGCTCGCTAGTGTTGCGTTCGCTAGTGTCGCGCTCATCCAGTAGGTACTGCACCACTAGCTCGCTTTGCTCGCTAGTGGTGCATCACGTGACCCCGCAGAACCCTATAGAAGATTCTTTCAAATTCCTGAGCATTCTTTGCAACTCGAGCAACGTTGGCATTCTCTTCTCTTGGATTATAAAACGAGTAGGAAATTTCTTTCATCTTTCAACTACTCTCTCTCTCTCTCTCTCTTTCTTCTTTTTGAAATTGGTTTTCTTTTTAGTAGTAGTTAGTAGTTAGCAGTTAGCAGTTAGCAGTAGCACGTTAAACTCATAGGAAAGAATGTCAGAGGCTAAAACTGAAACACATGAATTCACAGCTGAGATTTCTCAGTTGATGTCGTTGATCATCAACACTGTTTATTCTAATAAGGAAATCTTTTTAAGAGAATTGATCTCTAATGCCTCAGATGCCTTGGACAAGATTAGGTATCAAGCATTGAGCGATCCTTCTTTATTGGAATCTGAACCAAAATTGTTTATTAGAATCACTCCACACAAGGAACAAAAAGTTTTGGAAATTAGAGATTCCGGTATTGGTATGACAAAGGCCGATTTGGTTAATAATTTGGGTACCATTGCTAAATCAGGTACCAAATCCTTTATGGAAGCTTTAAGTGCCGGTGCAGACGTTTCGATGATTGGTCAATTTGGTGTTGGTTTCTATTCCCTTTTCTTGGTTGCTGATCATGTACAGGTTATTTCTAAGCACAATGATGACGAGCAGTACATTTGGGAATCCAATGCTGGTGGTAAATTCACCGTTACCTTGGACGAAAAGAATGAAAGATTGGGCCGTGGTACCATGTTGCGTTTGTTCTTGAAGGATGATCAATTGGAATACTTGGAAGAAAAGAGAATTAAAGAAGTTGTTAAAAAACACTCGGAATTTGTTGCTTATCCAATTGAGTTGGTTGTAACAAAGGAAGTTGAAAAGGAAGTACCAGTAGAGGAGGAGGAAGAAGAGGGAAAAGAAGCACCAAAAGAGGAAAGTGGCGAAGATAATGACAAGAAACCTAAATTGGAAGAAGTTAAAGACGAAGGTGATGATGAGAAGAAGGAGAAAAAGACCAAAAAAATTAAAGAAGAAGTTACTGAAACTGAAGAGTTGAATAAGACTAAGCCATTATGGACAAGAAACCCTAAAGAGATTACTCAAGAAGAATATAATGCATTTTACAAGTCAATCTCAAATGACTGGGAAGATCCATTAGCCGTGAAACACTTTTCAGTTGAAGGTCAATTGGAATTTAGAGCTATTTTGTTTGTACCAAAGAGAGCTCCATTTGATGCTTTTGAGTCAAAGAAGAAGAAGAACAATATCAAATTGTATGTCCGTCGTGTTTTCATCACTGATGATGCCGAAGACTTGATTCCAGAATGGTTAAGTTTCATCAAGGGTGTTGTTGATTCTGAAGATTTGCCATTGAACTTGTCGAGAGAAATGTTGCAGCAAAATAAGATTATGAAAGTCATCAAGAAGAATATTGTTAAGAAGATGATTGAAACATTTCAAGAAATTTCAGAAGATCAAGAACAATTTGATAAATTCTATACTGCATTCTCCAAGAATATCAAATTGGGTATTCATGAAGATACTCAAAACAGACAAGCTTTGGCTAAATTGTTGAGATACCATTCTACAAAATCAAGTGAAGAAGCTACTTCACTCACCGATTACGTTACCAGAATGCAGCCACACCAAAAGAATATCTACTACATCACTGGTGAATCATTAAAGGCTGTTGAAAAATCTCCATTCTTGGATGCTTTGAAAGCCAAAAACTTTGAAGTTTTGTTTATGTGTGATCCTATTGATGAGTATGCCATGACCCAATTGAAGGAATTTGATGACAAGAAGTTAGTTGACATTACCAAAGACTTTGATTTGGAAGAAACCGAAGAAGAAAAGAAACAAAGAGAACAAGAAAAGAAAGATTTCGAGCCATTGACTAAAGCAGTGAAGGATATTTTGGGAGACCAAGTTGAAAAAGTTGTTATTTCCGACAAACTAGTTGATGCACCAGCAGCAATCAGAACCGGCCAATTTGGATGGTCTGCTAATATGGAGAGGATAATGAAGGCACAGGCTTTAAGAGACACAACCATGTCTTCATACATGTCCTCAAAGAAGACTTTTGAGCTTTCTCCAAAATCGCCAATCATCAAATCATTAAAGAAGAAGGTTGAAGAAGATGGTCCAGAAAACAAGACTGTTAAAGATTTGACCACTTTGTTATTTGACACAGCTTTGTTAACTTCAGGTTTCACATTGGAAGAACCATCCACTTTTGCTCATAGAATTAATAGATTAATTGCTTTAGGTTTGAACATTGATGATGAAGAGCCTGAAACTGCAATTGAAACCAGCATCAGCACCACTGCTGATGAAAAGAAGGATGAAGCCACAGATGAGCCAGTTGCTGACTCTGCTATGGAAGAGGTTGATTAGAAGAAGAAGAAGAAGAAGAAGAAAAATAATTTTTTTTTGATGAGTTTATGATGTGTAGGGAAGAGGAGAAGTTTCAAGGAAGAAGAGGGATGATTTGAGTAATGTATTTCACGTTCTGGGTAATCATAAAGTTTCTTGTATGTAGAAATGTAATAAAAATCAAATTGATAATAGTACTATATTGATTAGTAGCAAACCCACACTTTAGTGCCCTAGATCCCTGTAGAAATGTAATAAATGTCAAATTGATTAGTAGCAAACCCACACTGTAGTGCCCTAGATCCCTGTGTGTAAGTAAATACTTGAAAAATAGGGGATAGGATGTACAAACAAGTCTATTCACTTGTGTTGGAAAGTATACTGATAGTCAGTGGTGGCAGCTAGTGTTGGTGGCAGCTGGTGTGCTCCAGCTAGTGTGCTCAACTATCGAGCGACACGACCAGAACGAGATAGTGTCGTCGAAAGTGTTGCTACTAAGTGTTGTGCTCGATAGAGTAGTCGAAAGTCTTGTCACTAAGTGTTAAGTGTTGTGTGCTCCACTATCTCGCTCTACTCGATAGTAGGAAATGGGTGCAAAAAAGGTCACGTGATTAAATAAAGTTGCAAAAACAAAAATAAACATATGAAAAAACAATAGCGATGAGCTTTAGCTGTACAGTAGATTTTTTAGCCATATGTTTTAGTTGAACAGTGTAGATTTTTTAGTTATAAGTAGCAAGTCTAATATAGGTATAATTAATAACTATTTGTTAGGCTGTGTAAATTGTTGAGTTTGAAGAATTAGACTAGTCCTTTACTTCAACTATGTCATTTTTAAATGAATTTTGCTCATCTTTCTGGTAAATTTTTTCCATCTTGGTTTACAAAGAACTTTTACAAATGGCCAACTTTAGATACTTTACTATTGACTTGTAGCCTTTTTATCTGAAATCAAAAAAAATATAATGCCCTTTCTATATTGCATTTGGATACTCTATTTAATGCTCTTTATATTGCGTTTGGAAACTCTATTTAATGCTCTTTCCATATTGCATTTGGAAACTCTATTGCAAAGTTTCTACCCAAAAAAGGAAATTTCTAGAAACAAATCATTAACAAAGCATAATATCCTCTCACTTTGTAACAAACAAATACCACAACTGTTGCCCTCTGCAACTCCCCCCCCCTCCCTCCCCCATGACTGAAAGCTGACCCCGATTGACTCAATCCCCGCGCATTCCTTGCATCTCCCCCTCCCAATTGACAAGCACCTTGATCTCAAGAGGTTTGCTCTATCCATAAATTGCATCCATACATCAATACTTTATACTATAATTGTTTTTTTTTCCACCACATGGGGCAAGCAAAACCGCATTGCAATTTATCAGATGGTATAAAGATAAAGAGTAATAACCGTAAGTATTAACGACGATAAAACAGGGTTCAACTTGAATTAGAGACGGAGGAGTAAAGATTTTGTAGTATAGAATTGTTCGGGTCACATTAACCAGGCACATATAGAAAGAATGGGACTTTTTATTCCAACTAACAAACTACACAATCTCAAACTATACAAATATCAATCGGAAGATCATTCCTTGATATCGAGATATATTTTGAAGAGATGGTGGAACTGGTTTGAGCAGATTTTTCCCTTGTCAATGGCACCAAATATGATAACCTTGCTAGGATTATTCTTTATCATCTCGAATTTGCTAGTTGTATTTTACTATGATCCATTTTTGAATTCAAACCAGCCAAGATGGTGCTATTTCTTTTATGCCTTTGGGTTATTTATGTACCAGACATTTGACGGGTGCGATGGAATACACGCAAGGCGTACTGGGCAGAGCGGTCCATTGGGTGAATTATTTGACCATTCAATTGACGCTATCAATACTACATTTGGCGCTTTTATTTTCGCAAGTGTAATGAAGATGGGGTACGGAGGCTTGCTCATGCTTTCGCAATTTGCTTCAGTTTGCAACTTCTACACTTCAACTTGGGAGGAGTACCATACTCACAAGTTGTTTCTTTCAAAATTTTCCGGTCCCGTTGAAGGGATTTTGATGATTTGTGGAATATATGTGTTAACAGGGATATTTGGGCCAGATATTTGGAATGTCGATTTATTCAAGTTGAATTTAACTTCGTTTGGTTATGATATTTATAAGATCAATAGTTCGTTGATCTATGTTGTTGTTGGGTTGGGCTCATTGTACTTTAACATTATTTCAGCAATGCACAATGTTGCAAAGCATTATCAACAAAAGGATGGCGAGGAAACCAAAAAATCGAAAACTGAAATTGCCAAAGCTTATGAAGGACTATACCCTTTTTTTATCTACTATGGGGTGATCATTGTATTTGCTTGGGTTTATCCACAAACGGTTTCAGAAAATGGGTTCTCCTTGGTATTATCTATTGGGTGCACAATCGCATTTTCTGTAGGCAGAATCATATTGGCTCATTTGACATTACAAGAGTTTCCATTCATACAAATCCCCATGTTCATCCCCTTGGCACAATTGATTATTAGCAAAGTGCTTGTGGGCGTGTTTGATTATAACCGGTCAAGTGTGTTGAACTCGGTTAGTTGGTTAGGTTTTGGAGTCACTTTAGGTATCCATGGAATCTTTGTGGGGGAAGTTATTACTGAAATAACCCAATACTTGGATATCTATGCATTGTCTATTAAGCATAAAAGGGCATAAGTTGCATAAAACATTTTTACAAGTAAATAAAAACACACCTACATTACACCAAACATGCTAGATTTTAGATTCTTAAACTTTACTATGATATATTATATACACATTTTTAGACTAGGGTTATATTGCTTCAATCCCTCTCTTCTGTTAAGGCTTCTTTTCTCCAAATGCACTTTCACTACCTGGAGCCAAAACGTCCTGAGCAGCTTTTTGCAAATTCATATCCTTCTCCATTTCTTGTAATTGAGTCTCAGACAAAATAGCCAAGGCTAAAGGAACACCCAATAACAAAGAACTGGAAGTCAAAGCCCAAATCAATTTTCCTCCGCTGTTAACACCACATGAAACATAAGTGCTGACTGTATTAGACAAGTCGCAAATTTGGTCTCTATAATGTGGAGGAATTATATCCTTCAAAGCAACAACCCTGTCATATATTGTTTCATTCTCAAAATCAAAGTCATAATCAGCATCATCATCATCCTCAAATTCTGATCCACTGGACTCCTCTTCAAATCTTTTTATTTCAACCTTCTTTATCTCTGTCGTTCCGTCAGCAAACTGGATTTGAGTATCATCTTCTACTTGTGTTAATTTGACCATCTCTCTTCTTGAAATATAGTAACAGGTATATAAGTCCTTCTTATTCCTCTTGTATGCTATCAACCAAGCTTCCTTTATTTGCTCCATTGGAAATTTTTTTTCCTCGCTGAAAAAATTCATTTTGGTTGATGCACGCCGACAACGTGAGTAATGGCGGAGGCGGCGTGGCGCGGCGCCATACCGCCATATGACCCTACCGCCATACCGCCATACGACCCTACCGTCATACGACCCTACCGCCCTACCGCCCTACCGCCATATGACCCATACCCCTTGTCCTGCTATATTACCCTAAAACCATTTCAAGACCTCTCTTCCAAGTCAAGATTGTTCAAGCTTAATCATTAGAGAAGAATCTTTTCTCTCTTCTCTACTGCTCCACTAGCTTCCTTCTTGTCTAGTGTCGCTTCCCTCTTGTCTAGTGTCGCTTCCCTCTTGTCTAGTGTCGCTTCCCTCTTGTCTAGTGTCGCTTCCCTCTTGTCTAGTGTCGCTTCCTTCTTCTCTAGTATCTCTTCCCTCTTCTCTAGTGTCGCTTCCCTCTTCTCTACTGCTCCACTAGCTCGCTTCGCTCCCTAGTGTCGCTTCCCCCCTAGTGTCGCTTCCTTCCCTAGTGTCACTCTCTTCCCTCTTCTCTACTGCTCCACTAGCTCGCTTCGCTCCCTAGTGTCGCTTCCTTCCCTAGTGTCGCTCTCTTCCAAATCAAGATTGTTCAAGCTCAATGGTAAGATATCATCTCTAACTACTTTGTATCCAATTCTTTCCATTTCTCTAGGGTATCGTCTGATATTGTAAAACTGCAACAATGCTCTTAGGGCAACTTCTTGATCATAGCTACTATTGAAATCACTTTCTAGATCCTTACCACTGAGCCAATTGTCCCTCATGCTGAGGTTGCAATTGAGGTATATGGAGCTGATTAAATCCATATTAACGCTTTTCCACTTCCTGCCTTGGTAAGGAACTAGTTTCTTCAAAATCTTCAATATTGGCTGAGAAAATGCCGGGGTGTCATAATTGATTAGGATCATTTTGAAAAGTTCCGATGGCTTGAGATCATTCAATGCAAAGATTCGTTGGCTTTGGTTCTTTAGGAGGATCTTGTTGGTTATCTTGAGTAAATTGGATAATATTTGTGCAAAATTGCCATTGAAGCTATTGATATATATATGATTGATATTATTTTCATCTGTCGTTTTGGACAATTCCAGTATAAAGACTTTGTTGATAAACTGGTAGTCATAATTCTCCTTTGCTGTTTTGCTTAAACAGTTGTTAAAAAAATCTAGCTTTGGTAACTTGATTTGCGGATTCATCAATCGATTCTGATTAGTCAATACTTCATACTCTATCAATTCGTCCTTCGTGTCGGTTGCCAGTTGCGGTACACCTTGGCAGTTACAATTATTGAAACTGGTACTCATGAAATCTAACGCAACAGTAAAAAACTGCTGGTCAAACAAAATTGATGAAAAGTAATAGTATTTCAATACATGACTTCTCTTGAACCATGAAAGAAGGTTGAGTATTGTACTTGTTGCTGCTTTAGTCGTGATTTCCTTGACACTAAACACTTCCAATTGCAGCATCAACACTGCCTCAATTTTCGCTCCTGCTGCAAAATTGTTGTTGTTATTGTTATTGTTGTCGTTATTACTGTTATTATTACCTTGAGTCGAGGGAACATTCACCATGAATGAAGTAGCAGGATTCAATTCCAATTCATAAAAGTTTAAGTTAGAGTCTATTCTATTGGTTTTAATGATTTCAATCATTACTTGAACAACAGTATTTAAACTTGACAATACTTGGGAATAAAATTGTTCAACTCTTTTGAGAGACCGTATCGCATCATCTTCATCTTTATCCGTCTCCAACTCTGCTTCTGCTTCTGCTTCTGCTTCTGCTTCTGCCTCTGCCTCTGCTTCTGCCTCTGCCTCTGCTTCTGCTTCTGCTTCTGCTTCTGCCTCCTCCAATTTCAATTCAAACTCGCTCTTAACGTCATAAGCACTTTCAAACCCTCTCTCTTGTTTCATAAAGATTTCACGTTCATTCCATAGTCTCTTTATAGAATAGCTTTCATATACTGCATTTTTCAAAATGGTATCAGCCTCAATCATGGCTACAGGGACGCAATCTTGCGATAAAGCACTGTAGTTGGGATAGATGAATGGCATTGATTGATTAACTTGATAAGACTTTCTTATCTTTTCTCCACCTGACATGAAATCGGAGGATGCTAGTTTGGGAGACGGAATAGGAGTAGCCAAGTGAACTGGTTGTGTTGGCAATTGACTCAACACTGTGTGCGATTTATTAGTCTTTGGAGTTTCAATAATATTTGACAATGATCTGGAGTAGTTGTTGATAGCCATGAACATCTTGAATTTTTCATCAATAGATTGTGACTCCTGTTGTGATTGGGACGAAAAAGATGGTAATGGTGGAGCCGCAAATTTCCGTTCTGCGTCGAACAAGGGAAACTTATCAATCAAATCCTCCCTAAATGCAAAATATTCTAATGGAGAACAAGTTAGGCTTTTACTTTTTTCTTCACCATCATTGTTCTTTTTCTTGCAAATGTTATAAGCACGATTGAGGAAGTTATCGCATTTTTGTAGCTGGTTGATCCCTCCGAATTCAAATAGCAATAGCTTGTTTAGTAAGAGAATGAGGTACCTGATTCTATATGACTTGTTTGGGTGCCATTTCCAATGCTCGATAAAACTAAAGATCTTTTCCAAAAAGCTAGATTTTTGCAAATAGTTTTTAAACCTTGAATGCTTTTGGTCACTATTTAGTGACACAAGGATTAGAAAGTATAGTAATGACAAGACTCTCAAGTAATTAGTACTCGTTTTTTTCAGTAGTATTCTGCCACTTGAGTGATATTCCTTGTCGGCTTTGATTCTTTCATTGAAAAACTGTGAGATCATCTTGATCAATGGTTCGTAAATCTCGCACTTTAGGAGTTTTTCATTGTTGATGATGATTGAGGCAATCTGCTCTTGTTTACTAGATACATTTGCATACTCGCCGAAACTGAAATATGACACTTTCTGAAGGTAGTCGTCGTCCATTGTGTCATCGTTTAAGCTGCTTCCCAAAAGTTTCATTGTGAAATCTTGCATCACCTGCTCCGGCTGCACCAGTAACAGCCGCATGTTTTCAAGACCAAGACCAAGACCAAGACCAAGACCAAGAGTTTTCAAATCATCAAATGTAAACCACTCGCTAATCTCGTCAGCCAACAGACCCATTTCCATATACTCAAACTGTAAATGCAGCTTTGTCACTAAGAACTGATAGTTCATTACATTTTCCGAGAAATTGCCATCACTAGAAGAAACCTTACCGTTTGCGGCATCAATCTCATGAGCTTTTGCACTCAATTTCTTCTGAAAAGTTTCATCTAACGAAGTACTATTCAATTCTCTCCTTGTTATTTCATCCGGATGGTCAATAATCGAGTCCTCTAGCTGGTCAATCTGTATTGGATCATCATTCATCCTCTAATATCTTCCATTTATCACTTACTTTCACCCCATACCATACATTGATTCACCTATTGCAATTGGAAAGCTTTGCTTTATATAGCAGTGTCGCAAAAGCATCCACAGTTTTGCGACAATTGAAACGCGACAATATCAATGACGGAAAAAAACTTTTTATCAATGCGCGACACCTTTTGCGACAATTGAAATGACGGAAATATGCGACACTTTCTGCGACAACTACAATGACGGAAAAAAACTTTTTGTCAATGTGCGACACCTTTTGCGACAACTGCAATGACGTGAAAATTCAATGTCAAAGCTTTTAGACACTCGAGTTGTCGTGAAAAATTGAAAAACTTTTACGACACTACTTCACGACATAACCTCTTTTAAATTTTTTTTTTTTTTTTTTTTTTTTTTTTTTTCATTCAATGGACCCTTGGAATGGCTAGATGATCATACAAGTGGTCTTACTATTAGCTTAATTTCCCCTGCTTTCTTCCCGTTATTTGAGATTTTAGAGGGTGTTTTAGCCAACTATTTTGTGTGGCTCATTTGTTTTAACTCAGCTTTTCCGTTTTTCAAGCCTCCCCTTTGTTTTTTTTTTCTTTTCTTTTCTTTTAAGCACCTTGCCTTTTAGGGCTCATTTTATTGCATGTCCATCCATATCAAGAACTTTGACCAAGTCCTTAATCTCAAGATTAAAGTAACAACTTTGTTAGACCAGGAGATGATTGGTGTTATATACACTTACTCCTCTTCTAATGAGATCCTAGTCTTAAAAACATCAAATCTTAGGGTATCTAAAGATAATAAACAAGTTGATCCAACAAGCACTTATCGAGTTATTAACACATCAATTATTAAAAGCATTCAAGTATTGCCTCCATTCCCACTGAAAAAGAACAATCTAAAACCTTACAAAAGAGATGAGGTGCTGATAAAACCTATAAATATCCAAGATTTGAAGAAATTCGTCAACAATGAAATACTAAAGTTGGATGGAGTAGAACAACCAAAAAAAGAACAAGAAAAACCAATTCTGTCATTAGCAACAGAACCACGTCATATTCCCCAGCATAATACCACACCCGGTTCCTCAATTGCATCTCAACTATTTGAAAAGTTAACTACCTTGTACGGAGTCAAGAACATCAAATATGGTGACCAAAAGCGTATGGAAATAATTATCCATGATGAAATCAAGTTGATCAAGCCATTCACAAATACGCAAAAAAATATCCAGTTCATTAATGACAAACAACAAAGCAAACACACACAATCTCTAAATCGTGCATTGAAACAGTTTTGGTTAGAAATTGATAATGAAAAAAAAGGTGGGTAAATAGTAGGGGCCGGTCTTTTAATCTATTAGATACCCTACTTACCTTAATCTATTAGGTATAGTTCAATACTTTCAAATAATTTCTTACCCTTTTGTCGCGTACCTTTGAAACCATCAACATCTTTCCATTTGAAGGTAATACACCGCTTCTCTTTACAAGCGGTGTTTTTTGCTAGCTCAAAATAAATGTTAAACCAGAGGTAGCAAAACCTCCCCATCTCAATCATCACGTCTTCTTTGACCTCAATTGGATTCTGAAATCGATACTCGATGTCCTCTTCGCCAACTTGAACAAATTGGAACTCGTAAAATGTATTTGAAGCGAAAACTTGCTCAACAATGGTATTTCTTCTGCTCTGTTCCTGCACCACCACGTAATTCGACACGTATACATCAAAATTATCCCTATAGCATTTGCGAAACACAATCTTGTCAATTAAACTACTGCTGCTGCTGCTGCTCATGCTCTTCTTCTTCTTCCAATTGCTATACTTGACCCTAGTTGACTCATTTTCAAGAAATTCCCCCCAATAGATTAAATACCTTTGCTGACTCAAAATACTCACACCTAGTCCGCCAAACGCTCGCATCCTCTTACTGGTGTACAACTCAATAATATCATCAACATTCACCAATTCGCCATTTCTAAAACCGAGCAACATCAAGTAGGCACAACATATAGTACCCAGTCGACCTTTACCTGCCTTGCAATGCAAAACAGCGACATTTTCTTCACTAGCCAGAACAAAATCATCAATATCGTTGGTGGCATCCCAGATAATATCCAAAGTGGGAGGATAATGGTCAGGGAAGGGGAAATGGCTCACATGGAAATCAACATCCAGGTTCAAGTATCCAGAATCCTCACCACGAAAATTGTACAAATGCCAATGTTCTGGATGCTTGTAATTGAGATACTGAAGCAAATCAGACAAGGGATACCGATACCACGACTCAATATAAGTTGTCGTTGGCCCAGAAGAAACAATCAATTGCGGTGTAACATAAGTAAGATCAAGCTGTAATTGAAGAGAATCTTCACAAAATAATCGTTTCGGCGAAGCAACAATAGATCGTATAAGTGATTTAATGAATTTCATTCAACCTTAATGCCCATACCGACAATCCTACCCCTAACCTAAACCTCTATACCTCTATATCCCTTCTCCAACAAGTGTACTAAAAAATAATCAATTTTCTTTTACAGATAACAGTTGGTAGTGATTGATAAAAATACATACCGAGGAAGAAGATCGCTTTCAACTTCAACAAACTAATGCACATTACTGTAATGTATATCTGAAATATTTACAAAAAAAGAAGAATTTACTTACTAATCACCTATGGATGTTAAGCCCCTCGACACTGTCAATGAGTCTTGCTCTACTTTCTGCTTTGCTTTTGGGCGCTTTGCTTTTGGGCGCTTTGCTTTTGGGCGCTTTGCTTTTGGGCGCTTTGCTTTTGGGCGCTTTGCTTTTGGGCGCTTTGCTTTTGGGCGCTTTGCTTTTGGGCGCTCTGCTTTTGGGCGCTCTGCTTTTGGGCGCTTTGCTTTCCTTACATCATACCGCTTTGTCTCATCAACTCATTAATCTTTGCAGTTAAAACAGGATCACTTTTAATCCTCTTTTGCATCTTACTAGCCTCTGCAAATGATATAGCCTGTATTTTCTCCTCGATAGATCTGGCCAAATCACAGCTTTCTTCAAATAACTCAATTGCTTCATCTACTTCTTCCTTTTGTAATTTTATTTGGGCCAATGATATTCTTGCTAACTCAGATTTGGGATCTAATTCACAAGCTTTGATCAATAGTTCTTCTGCTTCAGGTATTTTCTCCAAACTTTCTCTCGATATTACCGTTGCTTGGTTGATCAACGGTAAAGCCCCAACACTAAACCTGTCCAACTTTTCCTGTAACCTTGCCGATATTTCAAATTGCTTTAATGCACCCTCAATATTGCCATTATCAGCCAAGATTTCTCCATAGTAGTTGGGTATTTCAGGACTAATAGGGAATTTCAATTTAGCTTCAGTGAACTTTTCATATGCCTCTTCTGCTTTGCCATTCTTGTATGCAATGCATGCCAATTGAATATAAGCGTAAACATTGTCGGGGTGCAACTTTTTCGCCTTTTGGAAATTGACTTCGGCATTGGGCAAATCGCCAGTCAAATAGTATAACTGACCCAAATGGTAAAAAATGTCGGGCGAGGTTGCATCTAAATCTTCGGCCAATTTGAAATCCCTCAAAGCTTCTTCATATGACGATTTATCAGCATTGATCAATGCTCTAAATACATAAGCTCTTGGTCTGGGTTTAAGAGCTATAGCCTTATTAATCAATTCGGTGGCTGTTGCTGAATCGTTTTTCAAAAAATGGAAAGCCGCAGAGTACTCCAAGGCTATTGCCAATGAATCCTTTTTGGTATCGTCTTGGGAAAGTGCAGCTACTGCTTGATTAATCAAAGTATCAGCTTCCTCGTACCCATCTCTAGTGTTACCTTGAATCTTGACTAAAGCGTCATACAAAAACTTTTCTCCAACTTGGCTTGATTCTTTTATATTCTCCAAACCGGTTTCATCAGCAAAAGCACCAAAAAAGGATCCAATAGTAGCAGCAGAAGGCAAAACCAATTTCTTTTCTTTTGCATCAACAATGCGGATTGAATGTTTTCGCAAAACTCTTTCCAAGACTTGCTCAACTGATTTATTTGAAAACCCGCCATAAATAGTCAATGCAGTCAAGTCAAACATTGCATCTTCGTATTTTTCCAATTGTTCATAGCTAGTAGCTCTTCTCAAAATACATTTTGTGTAATCATTCTTTAATTTAATAGCTTCAGTCGTATCCTTAATCACATTCTCATGGTCATCTAATGCAGCGTAACACGCAGATCTATTAGAATAGTAAATTGGATCCTTCTTGACTTGCAAAGCAGCGGAATAAAAAGCAATAGCTCTGCTGTACTCCTTGTTTTTGAACTCCTTATTACCGTCTTCTTTCAATTGCTTGGCCCAATTCTCCTTCTCTGACTCAGACAACTTGTCTATAGTTTCCTGCGTCAATTTGGGCAACCCCTTCGAGTCTACGGGATAATTGATCGATTGCTCATCAGCAACAAGTTCCGGCTCGGGACTTATAGATGATGCCTTATTTTTTCTCTTCTTCTTCTTGTTCTTCGAGCTTGAGCTTGAGCTTGAGCTTGGTTCAACAAAATCCTCCGATTTCTTTGCCCCTTTGGACGATGCTGTCAGCTGAGAGCCCCCTTGCTTTTGCTGTTTACCCTGTTTACCCTGTTGACCCTGTTGTTGTTGCTGCTGCTGATTGTAATAGTAAAAAGCACCCACAGCGGAAGTAACAGCCAATGCCGTCACAATAATTGCCGTCTTATTCTTAATAAAGAAATTATCTGACATCTAGAAAAGAACTCGACTCCTCGTACCTCTTCTTCTTGGAACCTCTAAAGGAATAATTGCCAATCAAATCTACAAATGGCAATGCCTATAAAGAAAGAAAGAAGGAAAAAAATTTGAAGTTTTTCATTTCAATTTTTTCGGTATCAAATGCACGACTGAGAATGATGTTATGGAATGGAAGAGCCGTTATGGAAGTAAGGGGAGGTGTAGAAGGGGAAGGGGAAGGGGGAGAGGGAGAGGGAGAGGAGGTGGTGTAGGAGGAGGTGTAGGAGGAGGTGTAGAAGGGGAGGGGGAGAGGGAGAGGAGGAGGTGTAGGAGGGGGAGAGGAGGAGAAGTAGGAGGAGGAGGTTAAAAGTAGGAGTAGGAGGAGGAGGAGGTGTAGAAGTAGGAGAAGGTAGTAGTAGGAGGTAGTAGGAGGAGGTGTAGAAGGAGAAGTATAAGTAGAAGGAGAGGTCGTAGGTAGTAGGAGGTAGTAGGAGGAGGTGTAGAAGGAGAAGTATAAGTAGAAGGAGAGGTCGTAGGTAGTAGGAGGTAGTAGGAGGAGGTGTAGAAGGAGAAGTATAAGTAGAAGGAGAGGTCGTAGGTAGTAGGAGGTAGTAGGAGGAGGTGTAGAAGGAGAAGTATAAGTAGAAGGAGAGGTCGTAGGTAGTAGGAGGTAGTAGGAGGAGGTGTAGAAGGAGAAGTATAAGTAGAAGGAGAGGTCGTAGGTAGTAGGAGGTAGTAGGAGGAGGTGTAGAAGGAGAAGTTGTAGGTAGTATGAGAAGTTGTAGGTAGAAGGATAGTATAAGGAGTTGTAGGTGGTAGGAGAAGTCGCAGGTAGTAGGAGAAGTCGCAAGTGGTAGGAGGAGGTGTTTTTGCAAGATTAGTGCAAGGCTCCACTATCTCGCTCTGCTCGATAGTGGAGATAGCGTCGATTGTTTATTCTAGATTATAATAATACTGTTCATGTTGCTGGTACCGTCTACGAGCTCTTTGGTGCTCACTATCGTCCTGATACGAACTCTCCAAAACAACTTCTTCATAAGTTGGCAATTGGACATTCTCGACAACTTGTGCATCCACTTCCAAAGAATGTTCCTCTGAACCATTCTTGTCAAGCCCACTAGCACCGCCAGTTGCATTGTTTACTGGACTTATCGAGTTATGTGAATATTGCTTTTCCTTGCTCTGCAATGGTAATGTAGGCGGCGGTGTGGGCAATTTTGGTATCGACAATTGCGAAGAATTGGATACCCGAGGTATGGAAGATTTTGAGGCGTTTGAATGTAATGTGTCTGTCATATGCAACCCACTAAGAACTTTGATATTTGAACATTGCAAATCTACATATTTTAGCTTTTTGGAAACTTCCTTTTTCGACCCAAAGTCATTGATCTGCTCGCATGAGAATCCACCAACTATACTCAAATGGTACCTCCTGGTTATGTTACAAGTCTTGAAACTGGGTGATAAATGATCCGGTAATATACAATTATCGAAATACTTTCTGGGCACTTCAATTTCATACATTGGTCCAGGCGAGTTCATATTTGATGCATTTCTATTTAATTGACCATGCATCAAATCAAACTTCAAATTCTGATACTTATTGCTACAAATAGTTATGACTTCTTCGTGCTGGCCCATATGATATTCATTTGATGCTCCATCGTTCTCAACAACAGATATAATGGTAGTTGAAGTCAAGGTGACTGTTAAACTCTGCATATATATGACTCCCAACCCATTGGACTCTTTTGGCCGTCCATACTCTGCCAAAGTATACCGTTGCGGGTCTAGATGTGAAATAAGGTACAATCTAAACGATGGCGGTTTAGTAGGTATTAGAAATGCAGGATGTCGAAACCTGATTTCAAATGAAAACGGAACATCTTTTGAACGAATCTCCGGTATACTTTTCCTGCTTTGTTTTCCATGGTTTATTGGAGGTTGTGGATAAGTAGAAGAAGAAGAAGAAGAAGAGGTATCCGTGCCACCAAAAAGTCTCAGTAAAAATCCTTGTTTTCTTGAAACAGTTAGTGTTTGCTGTTGTTGTTGTTGTTGTTGTTGTAGCTCCTGCTGCTGCTGCTGCTGTTGTTGTTGTTGTAGTGATGGTGGTGGTTTCTTCTGGGGCCTACTTAGCTCAACACCCACAATCTCTGGTATTCTATTCTTGAAAACCAACTGCTTCCTAGCAAATGCTTCTTTGTAATCTACATCATATTGTTGGTGTTGACCATTAAGACCTAACAATGGTCGATTTTGCATATCTAGATCCAAAGGTAGGAAAATAAACGGATCGTAGGCCCTAAGGTTAGCTTTGAAAATTGACGACTTTTTACAAGTCACTTTGATAAAGTATTTCACATTGGCAAATGAGCCGATTCCTGAAAGTGAAGGAGGCAATTGCGAAGTGATGTGATAGTGTTGTTGCATTTGTTGCGGCGGAAGATAATGGGGTCTTTTTGAATTGCCGGTGACAAGATCATTAACAAATTGATTAGCTTTATTTTGCACAAAAGTGGTATTGAAGTTCCCGTTATTCACAATCACATCAAATGTCTTTGGATTGAATTGTACTTTATTAGTGATTCCACTCATTTTTACACACGAATTATGCAAAGGAATCTTGAACTCAAAAGGATATGAATAGTTCCCTGGAGCTAAAGTGAAGTCTTTAGCATTACTAACCTGACGTACATTATCTGGAGGGAAAACAATCACCGTATCATATAGCACTTTGTGTAGGTCTACAAAAATCTTATCTTTGCGTTCACGTTGATGTCTATTATTTACAAAAGATTCTCTTTCTCGAGGTATAGAAAGTTGTGTCGATGATATTCCTTCTATCTTGACCTGGATCCAGTTTAAAGTGATTGCCTTGGTAACAGCTAGGGTGACCGTACCCTGGATAATATCGTAATTGGTAAATGTACCGTCCGTTGTTGAACGATCAATCTCAACCTTAACACTGGACATACCAAACCCCGTGCAAAATAGCAATAAAACAAAAACCTAAAAACCTAAAAACCTGTCTATTTGCAAAAACTGTCTATTTTCAAAATAAAAAACAACAGCTAAGCGAAGCTTATATTATGGAACCTGTTTGGTCCAACTAGAAAAATTAAACCAAACAAGGGACCCTTTTGAAATACGTAACACACACACTATCTCTCTCTCTCTCTCTCTCTCTCTCTCTCTCTTTCTCTGGTGCTAAATTGTCTTATTTTTCAATTTTTCAATTTTTCAATTTTTCAATTTTTTCCAGTTGGCGAATTCAGCCGGATGAGGAGGAAAAGACGCTAGAGATTGGCTGGAGGGTATCGAGATAAAGAAGGGTATTGAGATAAAGTTTCTAGCTGACCCGTGGAAGAAGAAGTAAGATGTAAGCCGTTCACAAACGGAAATTTAGAGTCTCAAACGTTTATACTGATATAACCTTTATTGCAATTATCAGTTATACCTGTCTCTCTTATTTGCCCCTCATCGGCGTTAAACAAATCTCTCAGCCTCATGTTGTTGCCCCTCCTGATTTTGAAAATGAAGCAAGCACGAGCGCGCCCAGCCCAACCCCCCGCGCCTAGCCACAGGGTGTGAAAGGTGACAGGTGGTAGCCCCAGCCTCCGCATAATCTGAGACGGCATCAACTCGCTACCATAAAATCCAAGCCACATAAGCTACGGCTTGCAATTCCACGGCATGGTAGCAACGTCAGTGTCGCATTTTCTCCTATTTTTTTTTTTTTCTTCTTTTCCAGTGTCGCAGCGGCTATTTGAGACATTGGAGCAATGAAAAAGTGAAAAAGTCTTCACCATCTTCCCCCCCCCATCATCATTACAAGGTTTATTGACCAAGGTTTGAGTGATTTGAGTGTCTAAATATGTCGGAAACGTTACCAAAAGTTGAAATTTTACAAGAAGGTGATAACAAAACTTTTGCCAAGCCCGGAGATACCGTGTCAATTCATTACGATGGTACGTTGACCAATGGAAAAGAATTTGATTCATCGAGGAAAAGAGGTAAACCATTTACTTGTACTGTTGGTGTTGGCCAAGTGATTAAAGGCTGGGATATTGCATTGACTGACAACTATGGTAAAGGCGGAATTCCAAAGATTTCAAAGGGTACAAAGGCATTATTGACAATTCCTCCAGAAATAGGCTATGGCTCAAGAGGATTCCCAGGCTTGATTCCTGCAAACTCAACTTTGGTTTTTGAAGTGGAGTTGTTGAGCGTTAATGGGAATTGATCATCGACACTATCGAGCGAAGCGAGATAGTGGAGCAATAGTAGCCACTGACACTATCGACACTATCGACACTATCGAGCGAAGCGAGATAGTATGGCACTTGTAGCTGCTATTGGCACTATCGAGCGAAGCCAGGTAGTGTGGCACTAGTAGCTGCTACTGACACTATCGAGCGAAGCCAGGTAGTGTGGCACTTGTAGCTGCTACTGACACTATCGAGCGAAGCCAGGTAGTATGGCACTTGTAGCTGCTATTGGCACTATCTCGCTCTGCTCGATAGTGGAGCAATAGTAGCTGCCACCAGCAATCAACTTTCCCATGTGTAGAGTGTAATGAGTAGATTGTAATGAGTAGAGAGTAAGTGATGGAATATAATTGTAGAGAGTCACTATCGACACTATCTCGCTCTGCTCGATAGTGGAGCACACTAGCTGCCAGCGACTATCAACTTTCCCGTGAGTAGAGTGGTGAGTAGAGTGTCGACAGTAGCTGCAGCTTTAGTACAAACTGTGGACGCCAACTGTAGAGTGTGGGTAGTGGACAACAACTGTAGAGTGTGGGTAGTGGACGACAACTGTTCAGAGTCACTATCTCGGTCTGCTTGATATTGGAGCAACACTGACCGACCCTATCTCGCTCTGCTCGATAGTGGAGCAACACTAGCTGCCACAAACACTAGCTGCCGATACTAGCTGCCGATACTAGCTGCCGATACTAGCTGCCGATACTAGCTGCCGATACTAGCTGCCGATACTAGCTGCCGATACTAGCTAGCTTCTCTTTTATATAAATCTGAAGCTCTGCCAAAGAGTGGCTCATCTGCTTCTACAGCAGAGAAAAGTTCTGAATCGTGCCTTCTCTTTCTTTATACAACTAGATATAAATTGTGGTCTTGATTATTCAACTTGACTATACTTTGCGTCGTTAGAGTAGTCAATCCAACTTTATAATTGATGTCGAATACTTTGAAATTGGGTAGCTTCACCAACTTAGTCTTGAGACTCAGTAATGGGTTCTTATTTCGTAAGTGGTAGACCATTGTTCGCAGCGATACTGGAGAAACAGTAAATGGTGCTTGCGAAATCGCAACTTTGAGAGTATCCATATCCATATCCATATCCTCTGTTCCTTTCTTTCCCTTGTCTTCAACAATCACCCAGTCCTCTTCAAAATCAATTAATTGCGTAGTAAAAGTTAGCCCATTGGGACTCGGATTCTCAAGGATGTACTTTAATTGCAAATAAAGTACATCGTCAGAAATATCTGCATTCAGTTGGGCAACAAGAAGAACTCGCGGTTGACTTAATGGCAATGTTATGGCCCATTCAGGTGAACGATATACATTCACTGTGGCGTTACCGTCATCATGACCCCAGTTAGCCTCATCTTTATGTTTCCGTTTCCATTTGATACTTACCGAACTAATAGTAGCCACATTCCTAAATGTAAACTTATTCTTACTCCTTGTTGAAAACAATTGGTTATTACTTCCCTCTTCCTTGTTCAAGAAATCAATCGAAATCTCGGGATTCCTTGAAATAATATTATACTCGATATCAACAATATCCAAACTTTCACCATGCTTGCTCTGCAACTGAAGTTCATCATTGATCTCCAACATACTTCTCCAGGTCCTATTCAAGATTGACAATCTTTGTGACTCTTCATACTCATTCGCATTTTCTACGAATACGGGTCCAATAGAGTATTTGCAACGTAGCGGACTTGAAAGTACAGGAATTGCAATACTGGCAATTGAATGAACCTCAGAATCCTCCCTTGCGCTTTCATCTTCTTTCTCCTCCAAAGTCAATAGCTCAAAGTCTATAGTCAATTGCGAATCTTTCCAAAATCGCGTATACACATTCAACACATGTGTATCCAGTTCCTTTTCCTGACTCAATAAATTCAACGGCTCGTCATCTTTCAAATCGTCCCATGTCAATGTAACGTCGTTGTTCTTCACCTTGGCTATCAACATAGCTCTAGCTCCGTTGTTGTTGAACAAGGCCAAGTCTCTTTTATTAAACGAAATCAAGATAGGTAAGGCTAATCTTTCACTTGGAATGTAAAAATCCACATTCTTTTCTAGTGATATACTAATCTCTGGCTTTTTGCGATGTACGGTGATGATATGACCAGGTTGATCCAATCGAATCTTACGTACTACGCCAAATGATGAATCAAGTTTCAAATCACCCACATCACAGTGAGGATAATAATTGTAATGAAATTTGTTTGGAAAAGTTTGATGCAATTCGATTTTATTCAATTTTATACATTTTCCATTATGTTTGATCAAAACAGAAATTTGCAATTTAACAACTTCAATTAGAAAACTTCCTGCAGCTGTAGCGTACTGCGTATGTAGTAATATAATGACACCATCGCTGCTCTTATCCACAGCTAGATTTGCAGAATCAACAAATGTGTTTTCCAATTCTTGTCCGTGTAAAGAATGAATCAATGCTTCTGGTTTAGAGCTATCATTGCCAATGGATATATTCTTTAGCCCCGGTAATTTAATCTTTCCGTCATTTCTAGCAAACGATACATTCACTTGATTTACAAAGATTGAAATTTCACTATTTTTAGGTAAAAACAGTTTTAATAGTTCAATGTTCAATTTCGATTTCAAAGTCAATTGAAGAACCACATCATCGGCTACAGTCACTTTGCGACGACTCAAGTTCTTGTCAATTAAAAGCACCTCAACGTCAAACACCTCGTGTAATTTAGAATCCAATAAATCAATTTCCAAAATATCATTATTCTCATGAAACTGGAAAAGATTCTCACTCAGGTTTTGATTAAAGTTATTCAATCGAACTGGATCTTTTGGCATTGTACCTAGTTTAAGTATGGTATTCAATTCCAAACTCTTATTCTCAATCTTGATATAACAAATTAACAATTTCTCCAAAATAATATGACTAATGTTAAACCATTTCGTAGTGCCCATTGAACTATAAGCCATTTCCAAGTAATCAGAAGCCTTGTGATACTCTTTTAATTTGAAATACTCTTCAGCAATAAGCCAGTTGATGTACGAAATTAAGGAATACAAATTATCCTTACCTGAAATCAGATTTTTCCTATTTGCATTCAGCAAATTGATTTCCAACAACACAATTGCATTACCCAACAAATCAATCCTCTTCATTGGATCATTGTTCATTTCATAAGCCTTGACATAAATTAAACCTGGATTGGTGATCAAGTCAAATTCGGGAGTATGTATCCCACCAAAATAACTCAACAATTTACTCACGTTTCCAAAGCCATTACCACCAGTCTTATTACCTGTACTGCCATCTTTCAACATTTTCAAAATTGCCGTTGTGTTTAAATTGCTAAGTATTGTATATGGAATCAATCTCATCAACTGAGCGAGCCATTCATATTGCGTAGAGACCCAATTATGGTCACTTTTCAAAACTTCAACTACATTAACTATATGAGTCTTGTGTTTCTTCAATGCTTTAATCGGTTCTTGAATTGAAAAATAGCCACGGACAATATGAAAAGCCAACACATCAAGTAATGTTTTAAATTGGACAATGATTAAATTATCATGATCCAGAAAATTATTATCAACGGTATATATCAAATCTAGAATGTTTACAAGTTCTTGATATGCAATCTCTAGTATCTTAATACTTGGCTCTAAATTTCGAGGATTCAAAAACTCCATGATTATCCCCTGCTTGATCAAGTTTCTTGTTTCGAGAAATTTTGGAGTTAATTGAATGGAGGTGTCTACTTTTCCGCTACTAGGTGGTGGAAAAGTATAGTGTTTCTTACTTCTTTGCTTTATCTTGTATTCGATGTTGAAATAGAAATCTTGGGCCAATTTGGTGATATTCGGCATCAAGTCCAGCACCAAAATCTGGCATTCCTCGTCACTATCAGCAGCAGTGTCATTCAAATGGTACAATGCTCCAGCTTTAGGTAGGTTGAGTTCTGTACGGATTGTCTCTTGTCTCTCGTGACTTAACCCACGGCTAGTAACAACCACAAGGATCAATTTACAATCAATAGCCTCCAATTTCAACTTGAAATTCTTGAGATTATTGATCATTGCATCGTCTTCATACCCTTCCGAGTCCAATTGGCAAATATAGACCACAGCAAATGGGAATACCTCGACATATTTGCGAAACCAAGAATGCGTCAACAAACCATTAGGATACACTGGCGACAGCGACAGCGACAGCGACGACAGCAGATTATGCTTGTTCTTCTTATCAGGTATCAGCTCATAGTCCAGACCATACTCTACTTGAATAATATACTTGGCAGTAGATATACGGCTCCGTATTATACAATTATCCCATACTTGATCCTTAACATCATACTTGTCAAATTGCGAAATAAGTATTTCACCAAACTTCAGAGATGAACTCATTTGCACCCGTAACAACGGGTTCAACTGTCTTAGAAATACAGCCTCATAATTCTCCATATCCAACCCTTGCTTAATCTGAAACCTCAACCGTTTTACCTTTGGATAATGGATATTAACCTTGTTTATAATGCTAGAAATGCCATCTCGTTATCATAAACCTGGTAATTTTTTTGGTCCATTTTTATTTCGCACTGGCGAACCATTGAAGAGAAGGCCTTGGGAGGGAAGCCTTGGAAGAAGAGGCCTTGGAAGAAGAGGCCTTGAGAGGAAAGCCTTGGAAGAGAAGGCCTTGAGAGGAAAGCCTTGGAAGAAGAGGCCTTGGGAGGGAAGCCTTGGAAGAAGAGGCCTTGGAAGAAGAGGCCTTGAGAGGAAAGCCTTGGAAGAGAAGGCCTTGAGAGGAAAGCCTTGGAAGAAGAGGCCTTGGGAGGGAAGCCTTGGAAGAAGAGGCCTTGGAAGAAGAGGCCTTGAGAGGAAAGCCTTGGAAGAGAAGGCCTTGAGAGGAAAGCCTTGGAAGAAGAGGCCTTGGGAGGGAAGCCTTGGAAGAAGAGGCCTTGGAAGAAGAGGCCTTGAGAGGAAAGCCTTGGAAGAGAAGGCCTTGAGAGGAAAGCCTTGGAAGAAGAGGCCTTGGGAGGGAAGCCTTGGAAGAAGAGGCCTTGGAAGAAGAGGCCTTGAGAGGAAAGCCTTGGAAGAGAAGGCCTTGAGAGGAAAGCCTTGGAAGAAGAGGCCTTGGGAGGGAAGCCTTGGAAGAAGAGGCCTTGGAAGAAGAGGCTTTGAGAGGGAAGCCTGTGGAGAAAAGGGCCTTGGGAGGTGGTCAGATAGAGAAAAGAGAAGCTTGTGGAAGAAGAGGCCTTGAGAGGTGGTCAGGTAGAAAAGAGAAGAGGCCTTGGGAGGAAAGGCCTTGGGAGGTGGTCAAGTAGAGAGGGGGGGGGAGAGGGCCCATTGAGCCGGTTTAAATTTGGCATTATGCCTCCACTATCGAGCTCCACTATCGAGCTCCACTATCGAGCTTTACTATCGAGCAGAGCGAGATAGTGCTGATAGTGTTGATGGCAGTCACTGTGCTCCACTATCTCGCTCTGCTCGATAGTGTTTATACTCAGTAGCCTGTTACAACACTATCTCGCTCTGCTCGATAGTGTTGCTCGATAGTGTTGCTCGATAGTGTTGCTCGATGGAGGGACATTGGTTATTTTTGACTCAGCGGCTAATCCCCCCGTTACCGGCGCGGCTATCGGCGCTAATACCGGTCCTCTTACCAAAACTCTTTTTACTCATCCTTACTCCTCCTCCACCACTCCTCTTCACTCTTTACTCTTTACTCTTTACTCTTTACTCTTCACTCCTCTTCACTCCTCTTCACTCCTCTTCACTCCTCTTCACTCTTTACTAGCCTGTTACAACACTATCTCGCTCTGCTCGATAGTGAAGCAGTAGCTTGTTACAACACTATCATGTGATCATCAAGGATGGGAACATGGAGATCGTGTAGTTCTGCTCGATAGTGGAACAATACTCAGTAGCTTGTAACAACACCAACTAGCCTGTTACAACACTATCTCGCTCTGCTCGATGGTGTTCATAGTGGAGCAATACTCGGTAGCTTGTAACAACTCTATCTCGCTCTGCTCGATAGTGAAGCAATACTCGGTAGCCTGTTACAACATTATCGAGCAGAGCGAGATAGTGTTGCTTAATAGTGTTACTCGATGGAGGGACACTGGTTATCTTTAACTCAGTGGGCTAATCCCCCCGTTACCGGCGCGGCTATCGGCGCTAATACCGGTCCTCTTACCAAAACTCTCCTTACACCTCTTTCACCACTCCTCTCCACTCTTTACTCTTTACTCTTCACTCCCCCGGATTCTTCTTTACTTTCCCCCTTACCTCCTCCCCATTACCTCCTCCCCATTACCTCCTCCCCATTACCTCCTCCCTATTACCTCCTCCCCTTTACTTCTTCCCCTGACTCCCTGTTAACTATTATCTTTTTGAACCGCGCACGCTCATCTCATCTCATCTCATCTCATCTCATTGCTAAATGAATCATTACATTGTATAAAGTAACAACCTATTTGGTACCAGTGAGCACTATGAGCGATCCAATAAATGCAAATCCGACAATAATAGACTCTACTAATCTCCCTACAAGAGTATCTGATCCAAAAACCGTGTATGACAGGAACAAAGAACTAAAAAGTAAAATTACATCGCTTTCATTACTCACCAACGATTATTTTAACCAATCATTAAAAGAGCCGGTCTCGAAAACAAATATTGCTAATAAGGTCCTCAAGAGTATTCAGCCGGTTGAAGAAGATTCAAAAGACTTGACAGATGCTACAAAGACATTGCTGCTAGACAATGAGGAAATTGACCCAATAGACAAACAGGAAATTTTTGATCTAATATCAACGATATCTGATCCCGAACACCCCTTGACGCTAGCACAACTAGCAGTAGTCAACTTGGATGATATTACTATAACTTCCTTTGGCACAAAACTGCTGATTTCACAAGTCTTGATCAAAATCACCCCAACCATCACTCACTGCTCATTGGCCACATTGATTGGATTAGGTATACGTGTACGATTGGAGAGAAGCTTACCAGCAAGGTTCCGTGTGAAGATCATCATTAAGGAAGGAACACATCAGCTGGAAAATCAAGTCAACAAACAACTAAATGATAAGGAACGAGTCGCTGCTGCTTGTGAGAATGACCAGTTGTTAACTGTGATACTGCAAATGTTGAGTAGTTGTAAGTAAAAAGCTTACGGTGTAAGAAACAGAGACACACTCGAGCCAACGAAAAAGGTGATAATCAAGAAAATAATGTTTTATATAGTAGGGTGGTGGAAAAGATTTCAATATCGTCCTATATTATAAAAATTACAACATCTCCATTCACCATAGCTCAAAATCATACTCATAACATCAGTAATGATGAATTTAAGTAATTTTTTTTTGATAAACTGAATAAACCTTAGTAGTTTGTTATTGATGTTATGCAAATTCACCATCACTTTAAGAACCCTTTCTGCATTTCTAGTGAGCTTAGATAGTTGTATATAATATTCATACTTGTTTTTCGCGTTTTCTTGACGTTGTTCCAAAGTTATAAATAGTTCATACTGATGAGTAGTAGATCCAAGTAAAGTGTTTGCTGAAATGAACGATGAAGAAGAGCCATTTATATTATTTGAATTCAATGGGGTCACATTGATACCCGAGCTTCTCCTTCTCGAACCGAGGGAGGTGTTACCTGTGTTTGTTGTGCTTATACTACTTCTATTGCTAAGTGGACTTTGTTGTGACAAATTAGAATTGACCGACGCTGTCAGCTCTCGATTTCTTCTCATACGGTTATAAATTTTCAGTTTGGATAAAATTGAATTTATTGCGCTTGCATTGGTTCCATCTTGCAGTTGTGGGCGTATATGATAAATTGGTCGTACTGGGCTGGTGTCACTACTATTGTTATTATTATTGTTATTATTATTGTTATTGTTATTGTTATTGTTATTGTTATTGTTGTTGTTATTATAATTATTATTATTGTTATTATTATTATAATTATTGTTATTATTATTATTACTGTTATTACAATTGTTACTATAGATCTGACAAGATTGCAGTGATTGGAATTGAGATAAATGACGCTGTGGAGGTGTGCTTGGAGTTGATGATGATCTCTCAGGTTGGTTTTGGCTAGTTTTACCATGACTCAGGCTGAGAAATGAAGAAAACCTCTTTTTCGAAAGGATGGCGTTATTATTGCCGCCACTACCCTTTTTATTTTTTGCTTTTAATGAGCCTTGAGATTGATTTGAATGAGTTCGATATATAGGTTTTTCCAACTGTCCAAAATGGAACTCGGAAGTAGTAGACTTCCCATTTTTGAACCCTTCTCCGTGATCTTCAAACTCTTCTTTAATCTGATCTTGTGATAAGCCACTGCTGCTGTTGTTGTTGTTCAGGTTTATCCTTATAGGTAGGTCATATACCTTATACGCCATCAACAATTTAGCGTAGTAATTCAAGGTGATTTCATCAAACGATGATTGATCATTTATATTTGCAAGTTCACTCTCCATCATTGTGTTAACTTCATTCAATATGGTTATTTTGAATTTGATGTCTTTGCAAATAACCTCGTCTCTTAACCAAATCTCCGATGAGAATGCAATGTTGCCTAATATTTCAGACATTTGCTCATTTCTCTCTTCGATTGACTTGTTAAATTTTTGGAAAAAATCAAAGTCTTTTGATTTTTCAAGTATTATACTCGGATTTTGCAAATTCAAGATATGATTGAGAAACACGCAAATGAAATTGAATTTCCTTGTATCTGGTGGTGACGGTGATGACGGTGGTGGCGATGGTAATGGTAATGATATTGGTAATGGTGAGGACGACGACGAGGACGACGACGACAATGGAGGGGGTATATTCAATGAATGTTTTTTAAGCGGTTTGTTTTTGTTTAGTGCCTTATCAGATGCGGGGTAGCTGTGCAAATTAACCGACTGGAATTCAGTAATCAAAAGATTTTCCGTCATGGCAAATCAAAGACTGAAAGCTTGATATTGCTCACCTGATAGCTCTAACCTCTGGGGGTATATGGCTGCGACAAACTGCCAATTAGTTGCTGATAACCTTTGAGACTATAAGCAGCTGCTGACTGGATGTTTCTGTCCTCCTGCTGTGACCTCTAGAACTGTAGGGTAACGCTGACTGGATGTTCCTGTCCTCCTGCTGTGACCTCTAGAGCTGTAGGACTGTAAGCAGCGGCTCCCTAGACGTTTCTGTCTTCCTACTGTAACTTCTAGAACTGTAGGACTGTAGGGGTGTGCTGACTGGACGTTCCTGACCGTCTGCTGTGATAACCTCTAGCACGATAGTATGGTAACTGGCTGTTTCTAGGCGTTGTGATAACCTCAAGAGCTGTAGAACTGTAAGTAGCAGCTCCCTAGACGTTCCTGACCTCTTACTGTGATAACCTTCAGCACAATGATACTGTAAGCAGCAGCTCCCTAGACGTTTCTTACCTCTTAGTGTAACCTCTAGAGCTGTAAAGCTATGAGAAGCGGCTCCCTCAATATTTCTGTCTCCCTACTAGAGCTGTAAAGCTATAGGAGGCTGATCCCTAGACGTTTCTTACCTCTTAGTGTAACCTCTAGAGCTGTAAAGCTATGAGCAGCGGCTCCCTCAATATTTCTGTCTCCCTACTAGAGCTGTAAAGCTATAGGAGGCTGATCCCTAGACGTTTCTTACCTCTTAGTGTAACCTCTATAGGCGGCTGCTTTTGGCAACTAATTGCTAATAACCAAGACTCTATGATTCTTTATTTTCAAAAGCTGTAAGCGTCAATGATTCTATCTCTTTTCCAACTCCTCTAACCTTGTCTTCTTCTCTTAAACTCCAACCTATAACCTCTTTCCTCCTTACCTTCTAGTGGTATGTTTCTAAAGGTTTACCTTTTTCAATTTCCAAAAAGAGAATTATTATGTAAGGGGGTCGTGTGATACGCCCCAGACAAAGTCGCGCCAAAAAAAAAAAAAAAAAAAAAAAAAAAAAAAAAAAAAAAAAAAAANAAAATACTACAAAAAAAAAAAAAAAAAAAAAAAAAAAAAAAAAGAACAACAAAAAATTAATTAATAACTCTATATGCAGTACCTGAAAAGATAGAGACGAGTAGACGATAAAAAAGGCGAGAGAGGTTACAACGGGAGAGCTTTGGGATGAGGGTTACAGTGGTTACAATCGGGGCTTTGGGATAGAGGATATAGTAGGGGGAGGAGAGGAGGAGAGGAGGAGGAGGAGGGGAGGGGGAGGAGGAGGAGGAGGAGGAGGAGGCTTTGATTAGGTGTGGGTTTAGAGTAGAATTGTGTTGAATTATTAGAGTGCTTTGTAGTTTTCTTGTTTGCATTAAACCCCCAAACCCCTTGTGTGGATGTTTAATCCACACAAGGAGTTTGTGTTTGGGTTTGATTAATATATTTTTCGTATTTACAAACCTTGTTAATGGATAGAAAGGCTGGTGAGGAAACACTACCGGGTTTTTAACATAAAAGGCCATGAAACGTTTACACTGAAAATAAGCATTTTGCTGTAAAATATTTGTGCTGGTTGTAAATAATAAATACTAGCTGAGACTAGCTGAGACTAGCTGAGACTAGCTGAGACTAGCTGAGCCGCAGGCGAAGCTAACTACCCTAGCTGAGCCGCAGGCGAAGCTAGTACTACTATTCACTCACTAGTAACTACTTGTAACTATTCATTCACTAGTAACTACTTGTAACTATTCACTCACTAGCTGAGACTAGCTGAGCCGCAGGCGAAGCTAGTACTACTATTCACTCACTGAGACGCAAGTCTGATAAGCTTTGTCTGCGGCTCAGTTAGTAACTACTATTCACTCACTAGTAATTACTTGAAGCTATTGACTCACTAGTAACTACTTGTAACTATTCACTCATTAGCTGAGACTAGCTTTGTCTGCGGCTCAGTCAGTAACTACTATTTACTCACTAGCTGAGACGCGAGTCTTACTAGCTTTGTCTGCGGCTCAGTTAGTAACTACTATTTACTCACTAGTAACTACTTGTAACTATTCATTCACTATTAATTAATATTCACTCAGTAGTAACTACTATTTACTCACTAGCTGAGACGCGAGTCTCATAAGCTTTGTCTGCGGCTCAGTTATCTATGGTCCTTGTATTGTGACTCTTACCCTAATGGCCCACTCTCCTCCAGCCTCTCACACACTATAACCCTTCCCAGCATTATAGGTCGACTCTGGGTTACATCTCATTTTGCGTTATAATAATAACTTGCTTGCTTCTACAACACACGGGTCCGCCTTTGGTAATATTATGTCACGTGAATGCGCACGTGACACTTATGACCAGGACCATCGTGTCACGTGCTATAGCATCGGCCCTTCTCACATGATACACACGTGATCTCATCTATTCTTCTTCCCCCCCATCATCCCCCTTCATCCCATCCCATTTTCTTCTGCCTCCTCCTCAAACACGTTTCTAATCCTTTTCATTGCCTTCTTCTCCTTCTTCTCCTTCTTCAAGTTCACCTTGATAGGACCCGCTACCTTGAACTCATTTCCCCTCACATTCCCCCCTTTCCCTTCTCTTTCTTCTCTTTCTTCTCTTTCTTCTTCTTCTCTTTCTTCTCTTTCTTCTTCTTCTTCTTCTTCTCTTTCTTCTTCTTTATTTCTTCTCTTTTCCTCCAATATTCGGCCCCTTTCTACTTGTTTCTGCAATAACCTCTCACTTATATCATCATCAACAACCCTTTTAGCCTCCTCATCTTTTCTTCTCTGAACAAAATCTCCCGAATCAATCAATTGAATCTCTAAATTGAATCCATCCTCATCCGCTTCCGTCTCCTCATCTACATTGTTGGTCACCCTTAAAATCCCTTTCTGACCAAGATGTCTCACAAACGACGTCAACGTCTTCCATTTAGTGACATTCATATGCACATGATCCTTTTGTCTAATATACTCCTGATAAAACCTATTGGCATTTATAAATTTGTTTCCATGATTCACCCTTAACAAACTTATAAAGTTATTTTGAAACTCCTTAGAATACAGTGATACAAGATCATAAATCTCACCCAGATTTTCCATATTGGACATCCTCCCCAAATGAGATTTCGAGCTAAGATGGTTTTTAAACCCATTAGCATCACGACATTGTTTCGAACATATCTGACAATAAAATTTCAATTTCTGTAAGCCGCTTGCTTTTAACCTCTTGGATTCATATTTGGCCGTCCCTATCTCAGCTCTCGCCATCACTCATTGATCTTAAACTAACTCACCATAAAACTAAATGGCCTTAAGCTAACCCAAATCGCTAGAACCTGTTAGAATACCAAGTTTTTATCAATCTTGTTTCAATTTCTTTTAGCCTCTTTGTATATATATATATTTATATTTATATTTTTTTTTTCACTTCTTTCCATAAGAGATGAGATGAGATGAGATGAGATGGCTACGAGGTGGTTATATCCAGCAGACAAGGGGCTTGTTTAAAGTATACAATGGTCCAGTTAGAAATTCATATGTTGTAAATAAAACATATCTACAGTTGGTGTGGAATAATTACATTCCATACCAATTGAAGTATCTAAGTTTATTTGGTACGGGGATATTGACATTGATTAAAGTTCATCCGCTGATTTTGTTGACTCTTGGTCCTCCAATGGGATTAGGAGCATACTACTTGAAGAGGAACCTAACGAAATTGTTTAGGCAGCGCCAAATAGGTCAAATACAGAGTTCAAAGGTTGATGTGCAAATGGGTACACTTGATAAACCGATTTCGGCAAGTGAAATTGTAAAAATATTGCCATATGATGAAAGTCAGTTGTACAATGTAGAAAGAGGCATTGAGAACGAATATGACTCGCTACGTGAACAGATTGTTGATTTGGTAGAACAGAGGATTGTAGAGTATATTTCATTGAATCCAGACTCAACAACAAGAGAGCCTATGCGGGACTTTATAAGCAATGAATCGCAATTCAACATCAATGTGTTTTCCAACCAAGTTGAGACCTGGACATCGACCTTGATACATCCAAATAGACAAGTGGAGCCAACGGACAACGTCTCTGATTTGAAGCTTTTTATTAATTTGCTGGTTCCTTATTATAGTTCCCGAAATGTAAACACCAGGAAACGATTAGGTGTCATCCTGGTATTTCTAATGAAATTGAATGAAACTGATTGGAAAATGGTGCTCAATATAGCCCCATTAGGTTGGAGAAGTAGAGATTTTTGGATTCGCGATATCAATGGCTGTGAATATTTAGCCAGTAGGATGTTCGCTACACTATCGAGCAGAGCGAGATAGTGGAGCAGTATTGACTGACACTACACTATCGAGCAGAGCGAGATAGTGGAGCAGTATTGACTGACACTACACTATCGAGCAGAGCGAGATAGTGGAGCAGTATTGACTGACACTAGTAAATAGAACAAAACGATAAAAATTTGTCAATGTAACCTTGCCCTATTCAGCTAAGCTATCAACCCAAGCTAGATGACCCAATCAAGCTGGATTGCTCATTTTCTGGGACCACGATTTAGCTGGATTGCTTATAATCTGGGACCGGGTTTGATAGTGTGCCAGTCAGTGTCGGTGGGAGCTAGTGTGCTCCCCTATCTCGCTCTGCTCGATAATGTCGGCAGTATGCCAACCCAACCTCCCGCAATTCATCTAAGCTATGTCGACTTGATCACATTGGATGCTATCGAGCAAAGTAGTGTTGGTGTTGGTGTTGGTGTTGGTACTGGTACTGGTACTGGTACTGGTGTTGGTACTGGTACTGGTACTGGTACTGGTGTTGGTGTTGGTGTTGGTGTTGGTGCTGACGTTGATGCTTGCGCTTTTAAACTTGTAGACTGAAAAAAAATCAAGTACTTTTTAAACCACTCTAGTGTTATCTTTTGTTGATATTAAGCTTTATGTTTTCTAATTTGAAGCCGAAATTCTCGTTTGACTTGACGATCCATGATCTTACCAATGTACCGGAGATCAATGGGTCGTGTTATATTGAAATTCTGGTGAAGGATAGTCAGAGAAAAGGCCATAGCAATGGAAAGATTCCTGGTATAGAATCGGATAAGAAGGTGTTATCATCATCATCGCCACGGTCGTTTTTTGCCAAGTTTGACGATGCGAGCTTGAAGAAAAATAAGAATGGAAATAACGGGGTTGCTGCCAATGCCAATACCAATGCCAACACCACGTTGCTGGGAAACATTTCAACAACAACGTCAAGGAAAAAACTCCATAATTTCAAGTGTAATTTCAACTACAATTTATCGTGTAATTTGAAGTTTAGCTTGAAGAGAAAGCACAATTTGATCTCCAACAAGTATCTCAAGTTAAAGGTTTTCTATGTGGTTGATAAACATAGTGGTGGTGGAAATGGTGGTGGTGGTGGTGGTGGAAATGGTGGAAATTCACCTCAGGTGATTTTCTTGGGCAGGTTGGTGCTTAATTTGGCAGAGTATCTCAATTTCAACGAGCCGGTGAATACAAAGTATTTGCTAGAAGATTCCAGGGTTAACTCGATATTAAACATCACTATTGGCTTACTGGAATTACCGGCAAATTTTGACTTTCACACTCAATTACAAATCCAGGACAACAACAGTAGTAACACATCGTCGACGTCAACTTCGTTGGGAGACGGGAAAACACATATGCGAAAGACAACTACGTTCAATGTCCCTGAATTCGAGCGCAAACATGTCTTTACTGGAATCAATTATGTCTTTGGCGAAAATAACAATAATAATGTCTTCCCAAACGACCATTTGCACTCGCCAGCACCTTCGGTGAAACAACGCTCACCAAGTAGCGAAAAACCTTCCCCCATAGATAAGCATTCACATAGAGGCATTTTTGGTCATTATAATAACAATAATAACATCAACAACAGCAACAACAACAGCAACAATAACAATCAAAAGCCCAATCTGGATAATCTGTCTGCGTCGTCAAACGTTTCTGGAAAACAATTGGACAGCATCGCTAATCTAGACAATGACGAGCTTTTGCATTACGTAGCCAAAAATAACGACAACTCCAGTGGACTAAATCTCAACAATATAGGTAATATTCCTGGATCAGAATCTTATACAAATCCGCTCACTAATAATCAAGCATATAACAATACAAAAAAAATAATAATGGATCCAATAGTAAGTTTGTTATATGCTAAGATATTGGAAAGTAACTGGGACCCTGAACTATATCCATTACTAGAGTATTCTCCTAGTCAATGCATAAATGATATATTTGAGAATGCAAATAATCCACTTGGGTGTAATACTAAATTGAAAGCATATGCAGATGCAAAGTGGAAAGAACGCGAAAAGAGTGAAGACGACAGTTATCGAGAGTTGAATGGCTTGATTAGTGAGTTAAAGTATAGGTCGAATATAAAGAGCTGGAAGGTTTCAGAACAAAGTCTTGATGAAAAGTACTAAAGAGAACAAATAGAAGAAGAAGGAGAAGAAGGAGAAGAAGGAGAAGAAAAGAAACGGGACTTTACAATCTCATGTATAAAAATGACTAAATGTAGAAGGTGCAGAGATTGGTCTTTGATAATCTTGATGCAGAGTCTTGTTTGTTTTCCTTCCTTGATTTTTCATTTCAAGGAATTTCTGCTTCAATTGCAAATCTCCGATTTTCAAATGATCCAATACCCCAGTGATTTTATTATTCAAGTCAGTTTTATTGCTCAAAGATACAGTGTTTAGGATTGTTTGAGAAATGGTATGTGCATGTGGGTGAGATGCATGATTGGTATTTAAGTTGCCTTTTTCGCTGTAGGTATAGTGACTAGTATCGTTGTTGATATTACTGTTACTGCTGTTGTGATGATGAATACGACGTCTTGAAGTGTTTCTTTTTTCAAGATCCTTATCTTTCCCCTGGTGTTGTTGCAACTTATCGCAAGCCATGAATTTGGAATTGGCCTTTATTCTGCTTGATAGGCTGGGACTTACTGGTACATTAGGCAGAGGAACCATTATCATCAGCTCTATATTATTATTATTATTGTTGTTGTTGTTGTTGTTGTTGTTGTTGTTATTATTATTATTATTGTTATTGTTATTGTTATTATCGCAATTATTAGTTGAAGTATTTCTTTTCCTAGGTGTAATGAACCCGCCTCTTGATGTAGTTGGAGATCCAGTGCCAACAAATGCACATACCGTTTTATTTGTTGGCCCAAGATGACGACAAGAACTGCTGGGATCACTCCAAAGCTCCGTCTCCTTCAGATCCAGATTGATTTCTTTTTGATTACTGTTATCAAAGTATTTGTTAAAATTATCTTCAATAATACCAAATTTATTTTCAAGATCAACCATAGTTGATCTTACTGCTGATTTCAACTGCACATCCTCTTCATTATTGCCATTTTCAATAGCTTCTTCATTTTCAGTATCACCAAGTCCATAATTCCAATGTTCGGCTGCTTTCAAAATTTCCCTTTCACAAACAACATTTCTTTCTTCTATTTTGGATTTTTCCTTTTCATTTACATTTGATCTTTTATAATAACTGGCCCTCCTCTTCAATCTCCTATTCCTCAATGGAGAAGGAAAATACGGCAAATGTCTACAATATTGACAATTTCTATTCTGGTCAAAATTCAAATTACACATTTTGGAAAAACACTGGAACCGACGTATATCTTGGTATCCCTTGAACGCTCCTCTTGATATAACTTTTGTTGGTAAAATCTTGCATTTAGTGTATGTCATTGGATTTATTTCATATTGGGAGGTTAAAGATGACTCATGATGTAAAATCATGTTTGGTTATTCTTGTTTCTGTCCTAGTAGTTTTGTACTTGTTCCTTGACTAAAGTATCGTACTTGTTAAAGTATCGTACTTGTTCCTTGATTAAAGTATCGTACTTGTTCCTTGACTGTAGTTTCGTCCCTGACTGTAGTCCCGTAATTGTTCCTAGACTGTAGTCCCGTAATTGTTCCTTGACTGTACTTTTGTACCTGTTCCTTGACTGTAGTCCCGTACTTGTTCCTTGACTGTAGTTTTTATGTAATGAGTCAAGGAGAATTTGAAATGCAACATTGGCTGCGAAAAGAATGGACAAATATTTATCCGGTACACAAAGATCGCTTTAATAAAGGGTGATTTTTCGCAGCATTTATACCAATGCAAATAAAGACAAGAAAGCGAGTCCAAGAGGCTTGGAAGTGGAGGAAAAGAGATAAAGAGGAAATCTTGTATATGGAATAGACTCTCCCTTTAAACACTACACACGGGGGGAAGGGGGGGTTTGATAGCATCCATTTTTTTTTTCACATTAAAGAAATTTTCCAGAAAACAATCATAGTGCAAAAAGTTTAGTTTCCTCGACGATTTCTGCCGCCTCTTCGATCATCTCTGTGCCTACCATCTCTATCCCTATTATCTTTTCCACCACCACTTTTACCAGCAGATCCGTCGTTTTTCCTAAATCCGTAATTGCCCCTATTTCTGTCCCCATGCAGATACCCTTGCTGGTGCTGATACTGCTGTTGTTGCATATACTGTTGTTCTTTCACTTGGTCCATTATCTGATCGGGAATTCGTAAATACTTAATATGCATTCCTCTAATATATATCTCGGAAATCTTCTCAAATTTGTCCCCCGATGAATTGGTCTGCACTACATCATGCAAGGTCAAGTTCATCCAAGAATCACAGTTGGTCAAATTCCCATTATACGTCTCCCCCGTTTTCAACTCTATTAGCACTGCTTTGTTCTTAGCCGCTGTCAACAAATATAACGGGAGCTAAAGTCAACTCGTTAGTATTGGAGAGGCTTTTTCTCCCTCAACAAAAAAAAAAAAGAAGAAGAAGAATACCACAAAAAGGTATCATGAGACATACCATTTTAAAGAGGTCCTACGACTTGCAAATGGCGCGAACTGTTGGTTTAAACTAACAAAAAGAAAGCCCCTTCTCTTACTATGCTAACTATGTCGAACATTTTTTCATCTCTTCGCTGGTGAGGTGTCGCAAATGTCAAAAGTTGGAGAGAGAGAGAGAAAATGAGACATTGAAAAATGACATTGGGCCCGAGATGAGAATGGTGCCACAAGAGGTTGCGATTTCATTCTTGTTTTATCCATGTAGTTTTATTTCATTATTGGGAGGAAAATCCTTGTGGATTGATAGAAGAGACTTGTATTTGAAGTATAGATTAGCTTACGTTGCTCAGTAGCAACCAAAAACCAGATTTTGGTTGCGGGTAGATACACATGTAAAATTTCTGAAACGAGTAAAGATATATATTTGCCATTCCTATTTTTTTTTCTTTTTTTTAACTAAGGGGACTTGGGGTATTGAGTTTCTGGCAAGAACTCGATGAAAAGGTTAGAAAATGTGCCCGATGAGTTGTTGATACATATATATACTTATTTACCAGTATCACATTTAAAAGAATTGTGTCAAATAGCTCGTTTTGCACCCACTGCTCAAAGTTTTATATTTTTGAATAGCAAGCTATATCTTCAAATCGATGGTGACGATAAGATTGCGCTGGAGCTAGAGACATATAGTGAATATAGACCGGATCCTGAGTCTTGCTTGGTGGTGAATGATGCAGATAATTGGGACCCGTGGTATAAAGCAAATGCATCACGGTTTCATAAGTATAATATGGTTATAAATTGTCGGGGCATGAAAAATGTTGAATCGGTATTTTTGCAGTATCGAGACATAATCAATAGGATTTTTGGTGCTAATAAGGAGAGAGGTGATATAGATGTGGATCTTGTGTTTAAGACAAACTCTTTTGATTTTGGGCCCTACGGCTGTCCTGGGATAAAGACATTATTTAAAAAGATTAATCTTGAAGTTCTTGTTAATGGTGGGATGAATAAAATAAGGTATTATTCATATTTGTATACTTGTTAGATAGATTAGAAAAACGAGATGGTAGATACTCGATAGTAGATGGTAGGAGAGTAGATACTCGAGATGGTAGGAGAGTAGATACTCGATAGTAGTTAGTAAGAGAGCAGAGTGTATCTACTATCGAGGAACGAGATAGTAGATACTTGATACTAGGAGCGCCTCTTTCTCTCCATCCATGATTGTACAATTTGGCTCAAATTTGAGCTGAAATTTTCAGAAAACAGAACCAACAAAATTAAAGTACTCTCATCAACAAAATTAAAGTACCCTCATCAACAAAATTAAAGTACTCTCATCAACAAAATTGTCGAGAGAAATCTACAAGCCTCTCTAGAAAAATCACAGATAGGGACCATCAATCAGATATTCACAATTAACAAATTTGATTGTTGTATTTGTAGTTTCTAGTTGATTACATCTATTGAGATAATACGCTACCTAAGGAAAACCCCTTAATTTTGTTCAAAATTAAGGGGGTCAAACAAACAACTACAAATATAGTTATGTTTAAGATGCCGCTGGTCAATGTGCTCCACTATCTCGTTTTGCTCGATAGTATAGCAATTTTACCTAATCTGTTTCAGTTTCTATTTTCCTAATGGCACATTTGTACAACTTTAATAGAGTCCTCCAAGGAAAGTGAGCCAATCAAACTCTGTGTGTAAATCTCATGAGATTAGTTCCACCAAGTATAATGGAGCCTTTGTCAAAAGAATGTATGGCCCTTTATCTCAACAAAATGAGCCATAGTCCTGTCCTGCCCATATCCCTACCCATATCCCTACCCATATCCCTACCCATATCCCTACCCACAGCTTTTGCCGTTTATTCTACTGGGTTTTCTTATTTTGCACCCATACGCTTTATCAACAGATGAAAAAAAAAGGTGAAAACCGAGAATCGGTTATCTTTATGATCTTATCAGATAGCTGGCTCTCAACTGGAGTAATGCCTACAACTATACTAAACCTACCAGATGAGATTCTACTACAAATATATGAGTACTTACCAACTCGTATTTTAAAAGATTTACGACTAGTAAGAGATTTTGCGCCAACAATCCAACAGTACTTGTTTGCACAGAGTCAATTCTCATTACAGCTAGACGATGGTACTAGTGGATATGCTGACGATGGCACTAGTGGATATGCTGACGATGGCACTAGTAGGTATGCCTACAATGAGGAATGTGTCTGTTTTGAAGAAGCGCCCATAGCTCAGGGTGTAAATATGTGTCAATTTACCAAACTACTGTCACAATTCCAACACCATATTTCCCAGTTCCACAATTATCGAGTAAACTTGACAATTTGCAATTTTACTCAAATGGTTAACCAATTAGAGAAATATCATGAGGTTATTAAGTTACTATTTCAAGATAACCCTTATAGAAGAAGCGGGAAACATTTGAATGTCAAGGTTGTGATATATTTAACATATTCAATGAATAATTTCAATGATGTTAAGGATTCATTTATGAATATTGACAAGATTAGTAAACGGTTTAGTAACAATGGACTAAATCACGTTGTGGTTGATTTACAATTGGTAAAGAGTAACAGAGACTAGAGGAGTCGAGGGCTCCACTATGAACACTATCGAGCAGAGCGAGATAGTGTTGTACAAGCTACTGAGTGTTGCTCCACTATTGGGCGACACTATCGAGCAGAGCGAGATAGTGTTGTAACAAGTTACTGAGTGTTGCTCCACTATCTAGCTCTACTCGATAGTGTTGTAACAAGTTACTGAGTGTTGCTCCACTATCTCGCTCTAATCGATAGTGTTGTACAAGTTACCGAGTGTTGCTCCACTATCTCGCCCTGCTCGATAGTGTTGTACAAGTTACCGAGTGTTGCTCCACTATCTCGCTCTACTCGATAGTGTTGTACAAGTTACCGAGTGTTGCTCCACTATCTCGCCCTGCTCGATAGTGTTGTACAAGTTACCGAGTGTTGCTCCACTATCTCGCTCTACTCGATAGTGTTGTACAAGTTACCGAGTGTTGCTCCACTATCTCGCCCTGCTCGATAGTGTTGAAACAAGCCGAGACAGGTCTAGTTGAAAAAAATAGGAGATTGGGTAAAACAAAGAGAGTAGATCAAAGTAGAAAGTAAACAGATTAGAGAAAATAGAATAGATTTCAGCTCTGCTAGGAGTAAGTAGTGACACTAACTCGCTCCTCTCGATAATGGAGCATTGACTCGTCAGTAGCAGCTAGTTAATATGTTCCACTATCTCGCTCCGCTCAATAGTGTTAGTTAGTATGTTCCACTATCTCGCTCCGCTCGATAGTGTTAGTTAGTATGTTCCACTATCTCGCTCCGCTCGATAGTGTTATTTAGTATGTTCCACTATCTCGCTCCGCTCGATAGTGTTAGTTAGTATGTTCCACTATCTCGCTCCGCTCGATAGTGTTATTTAGTATGTTCCACTATCTCGCTCCGCTCGATAGTGTTAGTTAGTATGTTCCACTATCTCGCTCCGCTTGATAGTGTTAGTTAGTGGAAATGCCCAGTATTAATGACAGTATTTTTTTACTCCAAAATACATGGACACACAGGCACACATAAGTTACAGGAGCTCGAATCAGGTGATATGAAGATAAGCTGGGAAAATATCGAGATAAGCGACACTAAAGACAAGAGAAATTGCAAAGACAAGAGAAATTGTAAAGACAAGAGAATCTTTCTGAGATGACAAGAAAAGCTGGATCAAGACAGATCATGACTGACTACAACTGCTCGATAGTGTTGTAGTGTCTTTAAGTGTTGCTCCACTATCTCGCTCTGCTCGATAGTGTCGTAGTGTTGTAGTGTCTTTAAGTGTTGCTCCACTATCTCGCTCTGCTCGATAGTGTCGTAGTGTTGTAGTGTCTTTAAGTGTTGCTCCACTATCTCGCTCTGCTCGATAGTGTCGATAGTGTTGAAATATAAAAACAACAACAATTATTTCAACACTTTTGGTTTTCAGCCACCAACTACTTTCCAAGGTGTCAATTGCCAGTTTACTACCTTCCCTGTTCGAATCTCAATTGAGTTTCAAATTAATTTTTTTTTTTTCTGTTGTTTTATTTTTTTTTCTTTTCTTTGACGAAGAATACACCAGAGATTTTTCAATTTAATGAATAGATGGGAAGAAAAAGACAAGAGAGGTGGAAGTAACAGTAGGATGATGCTAGCTCACTGCGGGCAGAAGGTGTTATTGGTAAAGGTATGTTATATACTAAGTCAGCTACTATTCATAGTACAATGTTTGGTACCAGGAGTACTTGCTGCGGATGGAGATGACGATAGCGCAATATCAACAACAAGAACAGGAACAACACTGCTGCTAGGGAATGAAAAGACGTTGAGTGAGGTGAGCCGGGTGACACTTGTAGGAGCAACACAGACAACTCGTGCAAAAGAGCTGTCTACTGTGTCGTCAACAGCGACTCCTATTACAACAAGAACAACAAGAGTGTCATCATTGTCAGTCGCATCATCAAAGACTACTGAAAATGAGCAAGATCAAAAAATGTTCAAGTTGGTATTTACTATAGGATCTGATGATTCGTACTATAATGCTCAGTTTCAGTTTGGTGACCAAAAAGAAGTTGGTCTTCGTTTGGATTTGGTGCAACCTGAAATTTGGGTAATGAATCAAGAGTCCTTTGTCGCCTGCTCCGAGATGTATGAACTGATAAGTAGCCAAAAATCACAATATTCTACTGTCTCGTCGAGTTTACTTGAATCACTTAGTACAAACTGTGCCAGAAGAGGTGTTTACACAAGTACAGCATTGGAGTCGATGCCAACTCCATCGTCTAATTCCGGTGTTTCAGTGAGAAACGGACAAGATTACATTATTCCATACATGAATCCAATACAAGCTAGAGGAGAGTTTGTTACTGACAATATGAATTTCAATATCACAAATGGCATGAACTTGCAAATGTCAAATATAACGTTTCTTGATGCAAATGTTACAAATATGTATGTTGGTGGATTGGGACTTGCAATTAGGCCCCAAGGCTCTGGCTTCTTACCTACTTTAGTTGAACAAGGCATTATACGATCTCCAGGGTATTCATTATGGTTTAATACCTTTAATGATACCGATGATTACGATGATTACTTTGCTCAATTGCTTCCTGGAGTTGTCAATACAAAGTATTTGATTGGAGATTTATACGAATTTGAAATGTTGCCTCATAGTGGCACGAAATATCCCGAGTACCCATATATAGAACAGGATTTGGCTCGTCTTACACTTCCAGTTATAAATCTAGATGATATTAGAGTTGAACGATTAGACCTTGGAGAAAGTCTTTCTATGAAATCAGATGATGAAGCATTACCGGTCTTGCTTGATAGTAGAATCATTTACTCATATTTACCTTTAAGTGTTATTGTTAACCTCGCCATACAAACAAATGCATATTATAGTGCCGAAGCAGGACGTTGGCTAGTCGAATGCGATACACTTTCAGCCAGTAATGCAACGATTGTATTTCAAATTGGATCAAACTTGTCAATAAAAGTTCCTATACGAGATTTCCTCATTGAGGCAGTATTTCGAGATAATTTGCTTCATTTTGAAAGTGGCGCAGAAGCATGTTATCTCACTCTTTTACCGAATAGTGCCTCGGGGTTCAATGCATTGGGACTACCATTTTTAAAACACATTTACCTCGTGGTGGATAATGAAGGCTCAAAAGTAGCAATAGCGCAAACCAATAGCTACCTCAATGTAAATCGATCTACTTTGTTTAATGACAATGATGAGAAGAGATTACAAGCATTTAATCAATCAGCATTACAGTTTCTCTCATCATCTAGCACTAGCACCAGCACCAGCACCAGCACCAACACCAACACCAACACCAACACCAATTCCAATTCCAATTCCAATTCCAGCTCGATAGCCTATATTGAATCAGGCACAATCCCATTTGCAACATCAGCAAGCTATATCCACAAAAACGGCGTATTATCATATTCGAAAATAGATCAAAATGTATCCTATGAAACAGTGGTTTTGGATATTCCTGCTAGACTAAGCGGGGCTGTTATTCGTTCAGGTTCAATTTACGTAACAGGATATTCAGGTGAACAATCAGCTGATACCGAAATGCAAATGAGAACTTCTACATTTGCAAATCCTAATTCAGGCTCTTCAAATAAAGCATTTATAAGTTCTACAGTTGGATATAAAAGTAAATTTTGGGTATTGTTTAATTATGGTATATTAATAGCCATCATTTTAGGAGTTGCTTTAATTTTATGAAAAAATGAATAATTCAATTAATGAATAGATAGATTTTTAATATTAGATGAAATCTTTTACAAAATAAACGATTATGACAAAGTGAATAACACCAAAACTGTGATACTAGGCATATCTATATATATATATGTATTCTTTCTCATATTTTTCAATGGTCTATGAATTTCTGCTACTGCTAGAACTACTACTTTCTTCATTAATTTCCAAGTCGGTCAACTTATAAGAGCCATCGTGTTTACTTTCGTCACCAGTATGTTGATTAATAGGCCTATACCCATCCTCCTTGGTTCCTTTTGCGTCGTTCCCATCGTTTTGGGTATATCGATAATAGTTATACCATAGTATGTCACAAAATGTAACAAAAAGCCCAAGCCAATTGATCCAACTAAGTCTATCACCAAAGATAATCGAGCTTAGTAGAATTGTGAGCAATTCTTTGAAAATACCTGCAATACTAAGGGTCATGATTTGAGCTACACCAAGAAGTTTAAACTCGCATAGTGTCATCATGAAAGCCAACACACCCGGTATAATCAATAATATAATGGTTTTAAATGTGCCAAAATGATCCCAGATTGGAGACTGTGTGAAATTCGACATACCTTCAATCAAGATTCCCAATAAGAAAAGTATTATTCCCATAGCTGGTGATACGTAAAAAATGGTCGATATGGAATTCGAAGTGTATTGGTTTGTCTTTAACAAAATCTGGGTACATGACCATCTCAACCCGCTCAACATGGAAGCCAAAATGACCAAGAAGATCCCCACCTTACTATCCTCATTCGTTGTATTTGATGAGCTGTCGTCATTACCACCTGCCTCATACTTTTCGGTCATCATTATTACACTGCCCACCATAACAACAACAATCACAATCAATCTCCAGTTGAATTTTTCCAATTTGAAAACTAGGCCAAATATCAACACAAACATCAATGAACTTGTCTTTAGCATTGTATATAAGCTCAATGATATCAAACTTATCAGTACATTACTTATACCGATATCGCCTGCCGATGCTATCGAACACGGTAGAATATTTTTCAAATACATTTTCAAGTCCATCGATATTCCTTGTTGTATGAATCTCCAAAGATTCATTTCTTGATAATGCCGATTATTGATCCCCACGGGACGCAAACTAGGCTGGAAAAACAATATCGACCCACTAAGAAAAAACAAACATAATTGATGGAATGAGGTTATAATGATGGGAAATTTGAAATCTAGCCCCAGTGAGCCAAACATCCACTTGTTATATATCGATATCGATAGTGAAAATAGGTACCATCCAAGTATATAAACTGTTGCTTCCAAAGTCAGTCGCTCGTAACTGACTTTCCTCTTGGTATCTGCAATAGCACCACCTTCCCGGGCCTCCTCATAATGTGTATCGTGTAATAAAGTCATCGATAATGACCTTTTCCTTGTTTCTATCGGCATGAGGAGTCACGTGTGTAACGATTCTTTACTTGTAAACCCGCTTTTTTTTTAGCTTGCACCTACCGTCAGGACCTCTGGGTAACTATGGACGTTTTTCCGCCCTTGAAAAAGTTAAATTGGGCACACGGGAGTTCAAATTACTCTCAATTATAGCAAAACCTCTTTTATTCAAGCTCTCAAACCGACACCTCATCAACTTTTCACCCAACTTCTATTAAACTTTTTCAATCTTTCTTCCTGGTTGAATTTTGAGGTTTGATTTTTTCGATTGAATGTCGCGCGACACTATCGAGCGACACTATCGAGCGAAGCGAGATAGTGGAGAGAGACTAGACGAGTGAAACGAGTCTAGTCGATAGTAGATAGATCAATCCTATCGTGCGGCCCTATTGAGCGAAGCGAGATAGTGGAGCACACTGACTACTCTCAAACCTCGACACTATCGAGCAGAGCCAGATAGTGGAGCAACACTCACTAGTGGAGCAGTATTGACTACTCTCAAGCCTTGACACTATCGAGCGACACTAACTAGTGGAGCAGCATTGAGTAGTAACACTGACTAGTGTCGCAACACTTTGTACCTTGTTACAACCACGAGAGCCAATATTAGCTGATTGATTCTATACGATCTCAAGTATTTATTATAGGTTCTATTGATCTTACTGTAGATTCGACACTATCGAGAACGAGATAGTTGAGCAGCACTTAATAGCAACACTATCGAGAACGAGATAGTGGAGCAGCACTTAATAGCAACACTATCGAGAACGAGATAGTGGATCAGCACTGACAATTGACATTATCTTGCTCTGCTCGATAGTGAATCAGCACTGACAATTGACATTATCTTGCTCTGCTCGATAGTGGATCAGCACTGACAATTGACATTATCTTGCTCTGCTCGATAGTGAATCAGCACTGACAATTGACATTATCTTGCTCTGCTCGATAGTGGATCAGCACTGACTCGTGACACTATCTCGCTTCTCTCCCTAGTGTCGGTGACAGCAAGTGTGCTGACTATATCGACACTATAGGGTCTTAAGAGTAGATAAACTGGTTATAAAACTGGTCTTTCAATAAAGGGTTGGCGTTGTTCTATTCTTGCAATAAAGGGTTGGCCTTGTAGTAGTTTTGCAAATAGAGCATAAAAGAGCATTTAGCCACATTCAATAGAGCATTTACCCACATTCAATAGAGCATTTAGCCACATTCAATAGAGCATTTAGAGAAATCCACCAGTATTTACCTTTGATTTCGCTACTACTTGAAGAGAAGGCCAACATTCAAGTCTAGCTGATGTCTCTTTTTAATGTATATCCAACTTTGATGATAATTGAATGCATTGTGTTCTTTTTTTTCGTCATTCTGGCATCTTTTGTTAATGTAACGAGCGGCACTATCGAGCGGCACTATCGAGCGGCACTATCGAGCGACACTATCGAGCGACACTATCGAGCGACACTATCGAGCAGAGCGAGATAGTGGAGCAGCACTCACTAGTGGAGCACACTGATTACTCTCAAACCTCGACACTATCTCGCTCCGCTCAATAGTGGAGCAGCATTGACTAGTGACACTATCTCGCTCTGCTCGATAGTGGAGCACGTAGCTCATTTGTATCGTCTAAATAGTTTATTTGTCTCACCTACAAAGCTCTCTTGTCTCACTTCCATCCACTTGTCTCACCCACACCCACTTGACCTTTTATCCATTTATATATTGTAGATTCGCTTTAAGAAATCCCATTTGTAGCTGTCTATCCTGTAAACTGTAAACGGCAGTGTACCTATAGAAGAACTGTAAACTGTAAACGGCAGTGTACCTAGAAGGACTGTAAACTGTAAACGGCAGTGTACCTAGAAGGACTGTAAACTGTAAACGGCAGTGTACCTAGAAGGACTGTAAACTGTAAACGGCAGTGTACCTATAGAAGGGCCGTGTAAGCTCTAAACGGCAGTGTACTTATCAAAGTACAGTGCAACTGTCTAAACAAACTCATTACAAGAGAGGTTGAGTTGTAGATGTGGAAGTACTAGGTTTACTATAGAGATATTGTAAAACCGTGTAAGCTGTAAATGGCTGTGTCCTTGTTGAACCGACACTAGCTGCCATAAAACTAATCACACCAGTTTTATAACCAGTTTTATAACCAGTTTTATAACCAGTTTATCTCCTCTTAAAGCCCTATAGTATCACTAGTCAGTGTTACTAGTCAAAGCTGCTCCTATCTCGGTCTGCTTGATAGTGTCACTAGTCAGTGTTACTAGTCAAAGCTGCTCTTATCTCATTCCGCTCAATAGTGTCGAGCGATTCGTCGACGGGTAAAGTTTGGTCGGCGCTTAAGGAAAAATTTCGAGTTGAAAAAAAAAAGTAAGGAAAGAAAAATCATTAACCAACTACCGAATTTCAAATTAAACAACTTGAAACGAAGTTGGTGTTAAGATCTTATAAGGTAGATCTTTACCTGGGTTGTAAAACTGCTAGCTACCAAAATCAGGTTGCTGAAACTAGTCGCTGAAACCAGGTTGCTGAAACCAGTTGCTGAAACCAGTCGCTGAAACTAAATTGCTAAAACGATAGTCGTTAGGGACTAAGTTGCTGAGCCTGCTATTTCCCGAGCCTGCTACCTGTCGAGCCTGCTACCTGTCGATCCTGCTACCTGTTGAGCCCGCTATTTCCAGAGCCCGCTATATCCAGAGCCCGTTATTTCCCGCCTGCTAGTATAGTCCCATTTAGAAGAGTCAGTGGTGCTCCACTCGATAGTGTCCGCCAGCATAATGTCCAAGAACAAGGATCCAGACTCGCTTTTGAATATCCAACACAATTACTTACACGCCAGGATAAAAGGTCTACAGCAGCCCAAGGAGATTTACAATTTGGTTATCGATAAAAATGTCGAATCGATATTGTACAAAACATTCACAAAGGACCAATTATTACGAATAGTTGCTTCTGTCGAGTTGATTGATTCGGAGCGAAGGAAAAACACGTATATGACTGCAATGTACCTATGTGAAAAGACAATATACAATCTCAAGTGCATTATGGCCGATGTACAAACGAAAAGGTACAAGAATGGTATTGCCCTATTTGCTTATCAAGACCAGCAAATTAACCCGCAGGCTAGTGAATTTTACCAAGAGAAATTTTTAAAAAACCCCCTGGTTATTCGGTTTTTCAATGATGGGGCAAACTTCAACGAGATGACCTTTGCATATAATGCCGTGGAAACTAGAGTGTTTTTAACCGATGACAAAACACCCAATTCAATGCCGATTTACTACAATAAGAATGCCCAACAATTTGTCATTCCACAAGTTAAAAAGGTTGCTCAAAGCTTGTTGAATTTGGTGGTATCAATGGAAGAGTACCCGTTCATTAGGTTTTATCTGCCGTTACAAGGGGAATATGAAGCAAAGACCTTGCCTGAATTGATAGCAGACGAGTTCCAACAACAAATGGATGATTATTGTCGGATCAATGATAACTATCCGACTCCAGAGGTTTCGGCTAAAACAAGATCGATTTTGTTAATAACTGATCGAACAATTGACCTTTATGCACCAATATTACATGAATTCACGTATCAAGCAATGGCAATGGATATTGTTGAATCCTTGGAGAAAAGGAATGTTTTTGAGTACCAAAGTGAAAATGAGCGTGGGGAATTCATTGATGCGGTGGTGAAACTAGACAATGAAAATGATGAGGATTGGGTTAATCTAAGACATTCTCATATTATTGAAAGTTCGGAGTTGATTGTGAATAAAATTACCGAGTTGATCAAGAATAACCCCTTAATGATTGATAGATCCAAGGCTTCTACATCATCTGATTTGATGTATATAGTGGCCCATTTGAAAGGATTCGATGAGGAGAGAAAGCAATTAACTTTGCACAAGACATTAATTGACAAGTGTCTTGATATAAATGCTTCTAGGAAATTAGCTGAATTTGCCGCCGATTTTGAACAAACTTGCTGTGCCGAAGGTATCAGTTTTGAAGGTGAAAGAAACAAGCACCTTCATGACGATTTGATCATTTTACTTGCACGTGACGACTTACATATCAACGATAAGCTTAGACTAATACTCATTTATGCCTTTTATCGAGGAGGATTAATCCGTTCCGATTTTGAAAAGATGATTAAATTTGTTGGAGTTGAAGACAAGCATATACCTGGATTATGTGAGAGATGTTTCAATAATGTTGATAAATTGGGATTTGAAATTTTCAAAAAGGATTTAAAGGCAAAACCATACATGAAACAGATGTTCCACACTATAAATAATGAAGGCACATACAACACGTCGAGGTTCACACCTGGGATCAAGACTATAATGCAAAATGTAGCCAGGTACTCCCTAGATCGTGACTGGTTTCCGTATTTTAGAGATAAGCCATTAGACGATGAGCTAGGCACATCAATATCAACGGGTAAGAAAACATCATCATCCTCATCATTAACTGGTGCTAATGCTTCTGGGACGGTAACAAGGGACAGTCTTAGTTCTTCAGGAACCTTGCGTAACCCAAGGATAAAAGCAAATTGGGCAAATTCGTCAACATCGATTGCGCAATCAAGAAGATATGGAGCTGGGGGTGGCAGCACCTTCCCCAGTCAGCATAAACAGAGGATATATTGTTTTGTTGCCGGTGGTATCACATATAGTGAGATTCGCTCAATTTACGAACTATCCAATTCATTAAATAAGGAATTTTATATTGGTTCCGAATCGATTCTTAAGCCTCGGGATTTCTTGATTGGACTTCAAAACTTGGGAGATAACAAAACCCTTGAACATTTGGATCTTGCCATTGTTAAGGAATCACAACAATCAGATGAAATTCCCATGTACTTGTATAATGATGGCGGGATCCCAAAACCTATAACACGTCCTTTTCCGAGTCAAGAACAACAAATCAACTACAATTCTTCTAGCACAATGACAACGACGACGACGGCCGAGCCGCGATTTGGAGAGACTAGCTCATTTCAACAGCAGGTTGAACAGCAACAAGAAATGTACAAGCTGGCTCACGGGAATGTTGCTGCACCATCAACTACACATTTACATTATCAAAAACGAGGCACAAAGATTACTAGTGATGGTGGTGGTAATGGTGAAACTGAAAAGGCTTTGAAGAATGGCTCTAAAAGGTCCAAATTGAAAAAATTGTTTAAGTAGATCAATGAGCAACACTATCGAGCAACACTATCAAGCAACACTATCGAGCGAAGCGAGATAGTGTTGCATACTAGCTGTCAATGACACTATTAGATTCTGTATTCAACTTGATATATCTTTATTCTTTGCTCTCGACACTATATCGACACTATCGAGCGAAGCGAGATAGGGGGGCACACTAGCTGCCATCGACACTATCAACACTATCAACACTATCTCACTATGCTCGATAGTAGAGCACACTAGCTGCTACCGACACTATCGTCACTATCAACCAGAGCGAGATAGTGGAGAACACTGACCGATACCATCGACCAGAGCGAAATAGTGTTATAACAAGCTACTGAGTGTTGCTCCACTATGTTAGAGGCTATACCATCCGAGTGCAATAATAATGAAAACACCATCATCTGAGATCAACATTACTAGCATCATAGTAAAATCCTTTTTCATCTGATATCAACATTACTAGTATCGCTACAAAGTGTTGCTCGATGGTGTCAATAGTGTCGCTACAAGTATCGCTACAAAGTGTTGCTCCACCATCTTGCTCTGGTTGATATCAGTGCTGCTCCACCATCTTGCTCTGCTCGATAGTGTCGATAGTGTAGTTGTGTCGGGAAAAAGAATACCAAAAAAGAGTAAAAAACTGATAAAATTGTCAAGGATAAAATTTTTAAGCAATTTTGTTCCAAAATTAGCACTACTACTATTTTGGGAACTTTTTATCAAAAAAATACATTTCCAATAGACAATTTTAAAAAAGAGGGAAAAACAATGGAAAAAATACTCGTTTTTCGATTTCCAATCGACACTATCGAGCAACACACACTATCGAGCGAAGCGAGATAGTGGAGCACAATAGTAGCCACCGCCACTATCGACACTAGCTGCCACTGACACTATCGACACTAGCTGCCACTGACACTATCGACACTAGCTGCCACTGACAATAACGACAATACCCCTTACTTTATACTCATTACCCTACTCATTTGACTCTACTCATTTGACTCTACTGATTTGACTCTAATCATTACACTCTACTGGCCATAGTCTACCCACTCCCCACAAGTATAGTCTACCCACTCTCTACAGTTAGAGTCTACCCACTCTCTACAGTTAGAGTCTACCCACTTTCTACAGGTATAGTCTACTCACCACTCTCTACAGTTATCGTCCACCACCCACTCTCTACTCACCACTCTCTACAGTTATAGTCTACTCATTATACTCTACTCGCCACACTCTACAGTTATAGTCTACTCTCCGCATGTATAGTCCACCACTTACTCTTTACAGTTATAGTTCACAGTTAGAGTCTACCACTCTCTACAGTTAGAGTCTACCACTCTCTACAGTTAGAGTCTACCACTCTCTACAGTTAGAGTCTACCACTCTCTACAGTTAGAGTCTACCACTCTCTACAGTTAGAGTCTACCCACTCTCTACTCATTATACTTTACAGTTATAGTCTACTCATTACACTCTCCTCACTACACTCTACAGGCCATGGTCTACCTACTCTCTACAGTTATATGCCACAGTTTGTACTAAAGCAGCAGCTACTTATTGCACTCTACGCACGGGAAAGTTGACTATCGGTGGCAGCTAGTCGATAGTGACTCTCTACAGTTATACTCTATTACCTACTCTCTACTCAGTACACTCTGGCAGCTCGTGCCGCTAGTGCTGCTCCACTGGTGCTGCACCGCTATCTCGCTTTGCTCGATAGTGGCGATAGCGGTGCTCGATAGTGCCTTACATAACCATCTCTGCATTGCTGACTAATATAAATTTCTTTTTAATTTTCCGAAAATGGAAACGAAATTTCAATCTTTGAAGCTTCTTTGATATCTGGTAACCTTGTTTCTTTAGTTCCCCTAGTTGCAAAAACGAGGGTTGAGGTACGTTTTACGAGCGGATATTATTGTTGGAAGGTATAGAAAGTAATTCCGATGGATAATTTTCAATTTACGCCGTTTTTCACGGTTTTAACTGGTGCTGATGCTATTGGAAACCATCAATTTATCGATAAAATCGATAAAATTGATTTTGATGATTTTGATAAAAAGCTTATCAATGCAACTTCTTCCTTGGATATGCTAGATGGCTTCAAGTGGTTAAAGTGTGATACAAAACACGAGGGCTGGGGACCGGTATCTTTGAGGTTTAACGACTTTACACCGTGTTTTATCGGTTTGTTACTCTGTCTAGTGTCAATCTCAATGATTGTCATTGGCATGTTCCAGTTGGTTGAGTTGAGAAATAAGCGGAAAAATATACGCAATAGGCTCGATTGGACTTTTTTGCTAAAGATTGTTTTGGTTTTGGTACAAGTGGCGGTGCTGATTTTTTTGCCTATTACTTATCCCGGCCCACAAGGAATAACAGAAACTTCTTTTGTTTTAAATGTCTTTTCCACCCTAGTCGCCTTGCTGATCCATTTCTTTGAGCAGTTCAAATCAAGCATACCCAGTGGAGTTGTTTTGTTTTACTGGTTGTTTATATTCATATTGAATTTGGGTAAATTGGTCAACATTTACTTGAGACACCAGTTTAACAATAACAACCTCAACTTTGCTAGTTTAGTAGTTGTGTCTACAATCAATTCCTTGGCCATTTTGCTTGTAGAAGCATTGTTGCCAATGAAACCTTTGATGCCTTACAATAACGGCTCAATTTTGAAAGAATCGCCTTATGACAGAGCAAACGTTTTTTCAAGGATAACTTTTGATTGGATAGGTGGGTTGATGAAGAAAGGGTATACCCATTATCTCACTGAACGCGACTTACCTCCATTACCGAGAATGTTGAAAGCAAGCAATACTACAAGAGACTTTAACCATTATTGGATTAAACAACCAATAAACGGGAAATCCTTATTTCGGGCAGTGTCTTGTGCATTTGGTGGCCAATTCGTTTTGGGTGGAGTATTCAAAGCAGCCCAAGATTGCTTGGCATTCGTTCAACCTCAATTGTTACGGTTATTGATTAAGTTTGTTAATGAGTACACAAGATCGGTTAAAAAGGGGGACCCAATACCATTAACTAGAGGACTATTAATTGCTATTTTTATGTTTGTTGTTTCTTTGGTACAAACAGCTTGCTTGCATCAATATTTCCAAAGATCGTTTGATTTGGGAATGAAAATCAGAAGCTCATTGACTTCAGCAGTTTATGATAAGTCACTCGTGTTGTCAAACGACTCAAAACAGGAAAGCTCAACTGGTGATATCGTAAATTTGATGTCTGTGGATGTTCAGAGATTGCAGGATCTAGTTCAGAATCTCCAGATTGTATGGTCAGGTCCTTTCCAGATAATTATTTGTTTGTATTCATTACACGGATTGATTGGTAATGCAATGTGGGCCGGTGTCGCCATCATGATCATCATGATTCCGCTCAATGCAGTGATTGCAAAAACTCAAAAAAAATTGCAAAAGACCCAAATGAAATATAAGGACAAGAGATCAAGATTAATCAATGAAATACTAAACAATATCAAATCGTTGAAGTTATACGCTTGGGAGAAACCATATGTGGAAAGATTAAACTATGTAAGAAATGATTTGGAGTTAAAGAACTTGAAAAAAATGGGTGTTTTTATGGCATTTTCAAATTTCACTTGGAATTTAGCTCCATTTTTGGTAAGTTGTTCAACATTTGCCGTGTTTGTTCTCACACAAAAGAGAAGTTTGTCAACTGATTTGGTCTTTCCGGCATTATCGCTTTTCAACTTGTTATCGTTTCCATTAGCTGTTGTGCCAATGGTTATTACAAATATTGTTGAAGCACAAGTCGCCATAGGTAGGTTAACTAAATACCTCACAAGTTCGGAATTGCAAGGAAATGCAGTAACAAAATTACCAGCCGTGAAAAATGTGGGAGACATTGCAGTGTCAATTAAAAATGGGACGTTTTTATGGTCCAAGGCAACAGGTGAACAAAACTATAAAGTAGCATTATCCAACATCAACTTAAACTCAAGGAAAGGCCAATTGGATTGCATTGTTGGTAAAGTTGGTTCTGGGAAATCCTCAATAATCCAAGCATTGTTGGGAGATTTGTACAAGTTAGATGGTGAAGTTACCTTGCATGGAAAAGTTGCTTATGTCTCTCAAGTGCCATGGATCATGAATGGAACTGTAAAGGATAACATTCTTTTTGGGCACAAGTATGATCCAGAATTCTACCAGAACGTACTCAAAGCATGTGCGTTAACAGTTGATTTGGCAATCTTACCAAGAGGTGACAAGACCGAAGTTGGTGAAAAGGGAATCTCTTTATCAGGAGGTCAAAAGTCAAGATTATCTTTAGCAAGAGCCGTGTATGCACGAGCAGATGTTTATTTACTAGACGATCCATTAAGTGCAGTTGATGTACACGTTGGAAAACATTTGATTGACCACGTGTTGGGTCCAAATGGGTTATTAAGCACGAAATGTAAAATCTTAGCTACTAATAACATTGGTGTTTTAAGCATTGCTGATAACTTACAAATGGTTAGCGGTGGAAGATTGATTGAACAAGGAACATACGATGATATAATGGAGCAACCTAATTCCAAGTTGAGACAGTTGATTGAAGAATTTGGGAAGAAAAGAGAAGGTAATCCATCAAGAACTCCAACGCCAACAATAAAGGATGCACAACGAGAACAAGAACAAGGAAAAGGTGTTGGTGTTGCAGTTGCAGTTGCAGGCGGCATTAATGAGGGTAAAGCTCTCGAGGATGATCAGTATGAAGCTAAAGGAGATGATATAGATACTGAAAATCTAGAATCTGATATCGATTTAGAAGGTATCAGTTTGAGAAGAGCTTCAGAAGTGTCTTTTGTACCCGATGAGGAACGTGATTTAGAAGAAGATAATATTGATGATGATGATGATGAAACTAAGGCAAGAAAAGAGCATGTTGAACAAGGTAAGGTGAAATGGGAGGTATACAAGGAGTATGCAAATGCATGTGGACCCACTAATGTGATTATATTCTTAGGATGTGCTATTGTATCGTATTTGGTTAATGTTGCTTCTACTTTCTGGTTGGAGCATTGGTCAGAGATAAACACAAAATATGGATATAATCCCAATGTTGGTAAATACTTGGGGATCTATTTTCTTTTGGGTATTGGATATTCCTTATCGTCATTAATCCAGAATGTGTCATTATGGATTTTATGTACAATCCAAGGTTCCAAAAAGATCCACAACTTTATGGCGGTGAGCGTAATACGGGCGCCTATGACATTTTTTGAAACAGTGCCAATTGGAAGAGTATTGAACAGATTCTCGAATGATATTTACAAAATTGATGAAGTTTTGGGAAGGGTGTTCAATATGTTCTTTAGCAATGCTATTAGGGTCTCTTTGACTATTGCAGTGATTTGTTTTTCAACTTGGCAGTTTGTGTTTTTGATCCTTCCCTTGGGTGTATTGTACATTTACTATCAGCAATATTATTTGCGTACTTCTAGAGAATTAAAAAGATTAGAATCCGTCACGAGATCACCCATATTTGCTAATTTCCAAGAATCATTAGTTGGTGTTTCCACAATAAGAGCATATGGTAAAGAGGAGAGATTTAAAGTTTTGAATCAATATCGTGTTGATCAGAACATGAAAGCGTATCACCCGGCAATCAATTCAAACAGATGGTTAGCTGTTAGATTAGAGTTTCTTGGTTCAATTATCATATTGGGCGCTGCAGGATTATCTATATTGACATTGTCTTCTGGTCATTTGACAGCTGGATTGGTAGGTTTATCAGTTTCTTATGCTTTACAAGTCACTCAATCATTGAATTGGATTGTTCGAATGACAGTTGAAGTTGAAACAAATATTGTGTCCGTTGAGAGATGCTTAGAATACTCAAGGTTGAAATCTGAAGCACCAGAAACGATTCCGGGACATGTTCCTCCAAAAAACTGGCCAACCAAGGGTGAAATAAAATTTGAGGATTTCTCTGCCAAATACAGACCAGAATTGGAATTGGTTTTAAAGAATATTAATATTGAAATCAAACCAAGGGAAAAGATTGGAATTGTTGGTCGCACAGGGGCTGGTAAATCTTCAATCACATTGGCCTTGTTTAGAATGATTGAAGCTTTTGGTGGAGATATTGCAATTGACGATATCAAAACAGATTCAATTGGACTATTCGATTTGAGACATAAATTATCAATCATTCCACAAGACTCTCAAGTATTTGAAGGAACAATTAAATCGAACCTTGACCCAGTGGATGAGTTCTCCGACGATCAAATCTGGAGAGCATTAGAATTGTCTCATTTGAAAGACCATGTAATGAAAATGTATGAACAGGAAATAGCAACAGCAACAACCCCCCAGGACAAAGCAGTCGAGAAGGATATTATTAGCAATCCATTAGATGTGAAAATCACTGAAGGTGGAACTAATTTATCCATTGGTCAAAGACAATTAATGTGTCTTGGTCGAGTCCTACTTAAACTTAGTTATTCGAATATACTTGTGCTAGATGAAGCAACAGCTGCAGTGGATGTGGAAACAGATAAAATATTACAAGAAACCATTAGAACTGAATTTAAAAACAAGACAATCATCACAATTGCACATCGACTCAATACAATCTTGGACTCGGATCGTATTTTGGTTTTGGATAAGGGACAAGTTGCTGAATTTGATTCTCCTCATACTTTACTAAAGGATAAGAATTCCTTGTTTTATTCATTGTGCAAACAAGGTGGCTTTGTAGAAGAGAAGTAATGTTTCTAAAAGGATGCTTTTTATTTAGAATAACAATATACATATATATGAATGTATGTATATATATATATATATATATATATATATATACAATAGTAAGGTTTCTAATGCTCGCCCTTCTTGCGAAGAGCAGCAACGGGATACAATTGAGCAGGATCAAGTTCGTCAACATCGACTGGATTAGATTCCACCATTTTTTCCAAGACTTGTTCCTTTGATTCGTCAACGGTGAGTTTCCCATCAATGAATTTGAAAAATTGCAAGATTTTATCTTGAGAGTCCAAAGATACAATTATGTTTTCTTTCAAAACCGTAAAGGTTACTACCACAGTAGAGCCCAAGTCGAGATTTTGAACAAACCATACTTTTTTCTCCTTATGGTCATATTGCAAAACAACCAAGCAAGGTGTGTTTTCGACTAGAACAATCACAAATTCGCCGTTTTCCGTCTTTAATGATTCCATTTTCAGTATACAAATCTTGTAAGCTGGTTCCTTTTGCTCTACTCCCTCTTCGCCCTGTTTACTTTTCTCTTTGAGATACTCTTTTTCTTCCTTTGCTTCTTCTTCTTCTAGATGATTCAAAAACGGAAATACATATGGTTTTAAATCAAATTCATCCAATAATTTTCCCTCGTACCAATCCCAAACCATAATTGAGTCGTCACCACCACCAGAAACCAACACCTCGCCATTTTCAATCATCAATAACAGGGAGACAAATTCACAATGTTTGTGTAAATAACTTTTGATTACGTACGACTTTGGATAATTTGATATCCGTATATGTTCATCCCTATCGCTCGTGATCAAAAACGGTTTACCTTTTCTATTTTGTCCCACGACAAGATCAGTCAACATGCTCACATGTCCCAATATTGGCTCCATAGAATCTTCTTTTACTGGCTCATTCTCATCTATGCCAACAGTATAAACATCACCAAATTTATCGGCAATAATAGCCACATCTTCAAATGTCGTAATTGAGCTTGGTCTCTTTTGCATGCGCTGTCTCTTGACCAATTTCAACACATTCTCCTTAAGGGGTTCATTCTCCTTCCAAGGTTCATTTTCCTTCCAGGGTTCCTTGCTGACTCTAAAAACAAGGACAGACTTGTCACTATCAGTCGAAGCTACAAGGTGCCTCTCGTCCCGAGTTAAACAAATACACTTGATATGATTGTAGATTGTATGAGCCGATAAGGTCTTACCCGTCTTTTTCTCTTGCTGTTTATTAATATGTTGGGATTGTTGCTGGTCAAACCATGATCCAACGAGATCTCCAGTGCTTGTTTCAAACACAAGAATATGGTTTTGTACCGCAACAAAAACAAGTGTTCCTAACTCATTAGAAACTAGTATTTGGAAAGGATGTTTCATTGACCAACAAATGCAAGAAAGGCTTACCAAAACAACTATTCAACTAGCCCTTCCTTCAAGATGAGATGAGATGAGATGAGATGAGATGAGATGAGGTTTGCAATTGGTAGCGGTTTTTTTCAAACTATGATTGCAAAATCTGTTGACCAAGTCCTTACTGTTGAGCTTGAGCAATGGACTAACTCCTTACTGTTGAGCTTGAGCAATGGACCAAGCTCTTACTGTTGAGCTTGAGCAATGGACCAAGCTCTTACTGTTGAGCTTGAGCAATGGACTAACTCCTTACTGTTGAGCTTGAGCAATGGACCAAGTCCTTACTGTTGAGCTTGGGCAATGGACCAAGTCCTTACTGTTGAGCTTGAGTTAGGTCAGTGCTGCTCCACTATTGAGCAGAACGAGGTAAGCGCTGCTTCACTATCTCGCTCTGCTCGATAGCGGAGTAGGTTAAATTGAAAGAGGAGTATCAAGTGAACACTATCGAACGACACTATCTCGCTCTGCTCGATAGTGTCGCTCGATAGTGTTGCTCGATAGTGTTGCTCGATAGTGTTGCTCGATAGTGTTGCTCGATAGTGTCGTTCGATAGTGTTGCTCGATAGTGTCGCTCGATAGTGTCGCTCGATAGTGGAGCAGCATTGACCTACAAGAAACAGTAATATAGCACAGGTATAGTATTAGAGTTTGTTTGATAATGCCTATTTTCTTAAAAGTCCAGCAACACTATCTCGCTCTACTCGTTAGTGTTGCTTCCTTGTAGGGTTACTTTCTTGCAAGTCCCCAGCTTGCGGCCCATCCGTAATTTTGTTGTTGTTTAGACTCACGATGTTCGTTACTAATTACACTACTATTGTCATGACTTTGACCTCCCTGGTTTGAACTAGGAGAAACTTTCTCGAAACCAGCAACCAATTCGTCAACAAAATCTTCATTGTTCTCCTTCTTGCTCTTTTTTGATGCATTATCGTCATCAAGATATTTATGTGCTTTGATTTCATCCTGGCTTGTGCCATTCGTATTCGAATTGCCAAAAGAAAAACTATTGAAAAAGTTTGCGATATTCTTGTTCAAAGAAAATGGTTCGTTCGAGATTGAATGGCCAATGTGTTTAGGATCAATAAAGTTGAAAATAAATTCATCCGCCATAGCATTCCAAATTTTGTAGTTTTGAGTTTTTTTCCAAGACTCGATAAAGTGCTTGTTGAAGTCATTGATTTGGCCTATACTGTTATCTTGATTTTTGCTGAAACCAGGCGGTGGTTGCTGAAACCGTTGCGCATATTGATGATATCGTTGTACTGAGATTAATGAATTAAGATAATCCTCAAACTGATACCGAATATAATCGTCACTTCCAACAAAGTCATCACTCTTATGTGAATGGTCCTGCTGTGCCAAGTTGGTCAAGTGGTTGATGAACTTCCTATCATTAGAGCTCAAGGTAAGCTCCTCCGGTGCAGTTAGTGTCTTAGGATAAGTGACCTCATTAGTGTCCAAGTTTATAAGGACGTCGACTCCAAACAATGTGGCTTGGTTGACAAATAACAAATTAGAACATCCAATCATGAAACTTCCAACTTTCATCTCGTTCAATTGTTGTAATGGCAAATACGGATTCCAAAATGAGTTTTTTGTATTAAAGATTTGCAATGGTAGGCCAAAAAATCTCAACATAGAAAGCCTGCTGGTGGTATTAAGCGATTGTGGTTTAAATAAAGGTCCATTAGTTTCGACATAATCAATCAAGGGACACCCTGAATCGTCCAAGTTGTTAATCAAATTAGGAATCAAAGAAATTAAATTATTCTGAAACAACGTCAATGTCTCCAAATTGTTATTTGAATAAATCAAGATTTTCTTTTCCAAAAAGAGACTCTTGAATATAATCATGAAGCTCGATTGGAATTTCATTATAGATGACCGAAGGTTTAAATTGATGTAGTTCTCCTCTTCTTGTTCTAGGTCTATGTGCATTTGATTATCCAAAAGTTTATACTGGTTGTTTAAATTATCAAATAAATGGTTCAATATTTCAAAGTTGCTAAAGTTGTCTTGCTGGAAATAACTCTGGGTAATGATGGATAGTTTCTCCTTGATTTTGGTAAATATAGGTTGTTTTCTAACAATAACAACTACTGCTTTTTGTACAATTGACCTGGTAATATCCTTATTTCGTTCTCTCTCCTCTAAGCTCATTTCGCTAGTTTTGGCTTGTCGAACACAAGAGCATCCAAAAAGAGTCTTCAAGTGACGCGGATCCCCGGTGAATTCATTTAACGCGTCAAAATCATCAATAGACCTCCCCTGATCGAAATCATAAACAAGATTGAAATTCAGAAAAGTCTCTTCAAACAAATGAGCTCCATCAGGTAATGCTTGAAAAGGTATGTTTCTAAACAAATTGGGCGTATACTCGGGATGATAGTTTGATTTCCAATATTGTATTTCAGGTCCTCGCTGATGATGAAAGTCGACTAGACATATTGCAAAGATCATATCATCATATTTTTCGTTAAATTTGGATCCATCTGAATTACTAGGACTATGATGATGCTGCTGCTGCTGCTGGGATAAAAGAGCTGCTGAGCTCAAAGAATTATGTCGTTTAGCCGAATGAGATATCGGCAAGTTCTTTATCAGTATCGAGCCTTTCCTTTGCAAGGAATTGGCACTTGTAGACAAACCCAATGATTCCAGTTTTTTCCGTCCAATCTCATCGGCTGAAGCATTCCTGTGAGATCCCAATCTCATTGGTCGACACCGAAACCCATCTTCAGGATTAGAAACGCATGTAGTAGCAGCAGCAGCGGCACTAGCAGCGGCAGCGGCAGCGGCAGCAGCATTAGTCGACTTGCCATTCGGCGGCGATATGCTACTACTAAATGCTGTACTTGTCTGTGAACTTCCCGATGATGAGGAAGTGGACATTGTTGACACTCGGTCTCGTTGCTTGGTTAGTCTCAAAGGACGTAGCTCGCCATTAGCTGACGCTGCCAATGTGTTGGGTTTCCTAATTGGAGGTGAATTAGATGAAGTTGACGAAACCAGCGACTTCTCAGGAGATTGTATTGGCGTAAGATCACCATCACCATCACCATTAAGATCAAGATGAAGATCAAGATGAAGATGAAGAGCCTCCTTTGTGCTCTTCTCACAACTCATTAGGAGCAAAAAACCTAAAAATCTTAATAACCCCGGTACTGGAAGCAAGTCTCCCTCTAATCCTCTTCCTTTATACAGCCTTATAGAGCCTTATACAGCCTTATAGAGCCTTTTATCTAGCCGTTTTATAAACCAACTTGTGATGGTTATTGTAATCATCTTTCGTATAAATTCCGTGAATGTCTCAGCGCTAAATTTTGTTTAATGTCGTACACAAAGTCGTGACGACATTGGCTTTAATGTTGAGGAGGAAGAATAGGAGGAAGGAGGAGGAGGAAGGAGGAGGGGGGGAAGGAAGAGGAGGAGGAAAGAGGAGAAGAAAGAGGATAATTGAAAGAGGATAAGTGGAATAAGTGAAATAAGTGAAATAAGTGAAATAATTTGTACCATCTCTACAAAATCGGTAATGTCATTGAGGTTTGGCTTGTTTCCTATAGTAGGAGCTTGAACGTATTTGATAATGTATTTTTTATTCTACTCTTTGTGGTGTTGGCATTATAGAGACTAGTCGAAGAGGGAAGAGACTAAACGAGTGTAGAGAGAAAAGACTAGTTGAGGAGAGAAGAGACTAGTTGAGGAGAGAAGAGACTAGTTGAGGAGAGACGAGACTGAAGTCTAGAGAAGAGAGACAAATCTAGAAGAGAGAGACAAGTCTAGAGTAGATAGTCTAGTTGACAGAGTCTAGATAGAGAGAGACTAGTCGACAGAGTGTAGATAGATGAAAGAGTGTAAAGTAGATGAAAGAGTGTAAAGTAGATAGATGAAAGAGTGTAGAGTAGATGAGAGAGTGTAGCTAGGATAGTATCACTCAATAGTGGAACTAGTGTCGCTCGTTAGTGACTGTGACACTAGTCAATGGTGCACCACTATCAACACTATCAAGCAGAGCGAGATAGTATCGATAGTGTCGCTATTAAGAGCTGCTCCACTATCTTGCTCTCGATAGTGGTGCTACTAAATGTTGCTCCACTATCCTGCTCTCGATAGTGGTGCTACTAAATGTTGCTCCACTATCCTGCTCTCGATAGTGGTGCTACTAAATGTTGCTCCACTATCTCGCTCCGCTCGATAGTGTCGATAGTGTCGATAGTGGAGCACACTAGTATCACGTGATTACAAATAAGAAGATCAATTGACACAATTTAAAAGCCGTTTGAGGCTTATAGCCTGCGTTTTTACCAATATTGGGCTAAACAATAAAATCCACAAAAGAAGAATTCACTAAAGTTTACGAAAGAAGCATTCAATAAAATTCACAAAAGAAGTATGCAATAAAGTTTACAAAAGAAATATGCAACTCAATTACTTGACTTTAATACAAGTCTTGAGAGTTTGAACCGATTGGAAGTAAAAATGTTCTTAAAAGGAATACAAACTGTGATGACACTATGGAGCAGAGCGAGATAGTAGTAGAGCAGCACTTACTCTTGATAGTGTCCATAGTGGTAGAGCAGCACTTGCTCTCGATAGTGTCCATAGTGGTAAAGCAGCACTTGCTGTCGATAGTATCTACAAAGTGGTGCTCCACTATCTCGTTCTGCTCGATAGTGTCGAGGAATACAAACTGTGATTAAAAAATGTTCTTAAATGGAATACAGGCTGTGATCAACCCCAGGTAAATGACTTCTTATTGCATGTAGATGACAGTATATTGTAAATTACCCAATCTGCGAGCGATGCAGAAAAGGCTTATCAATATTGATGGAGCAATGCAGAAAAGGCTTATCAATATTGATGGAGCGATGCAGAAACATTTTATCAATATTGATGATTCTAATGGTAATATTTTTTTTCCACATTTTATCGCCGCTTTTGTGTAAGTGTTCGTAAAAAAGTGTTAAAAAAATGACGAGGCTTGGCACTAACAAGGCTTCAACAAGATTCATGCTATTGTCAAGATCTTTTACCCACTTTTTGCAAATAGACTTGCAACGTAGCTGTTAACTTGATGATCAGTATAAGCAAATCTTTAAAGTCTCTAGAAGCTCTAGCTGTGAGTATCTTTTTACCAATCCCTATGAAAAGCTAAAAATTCCATTTCCCGAAATTCAAAATAATTTGCCACTTTTGATTTTGAAAACCGGCTTGAAATAAAGCATCTACAAATTATGCTTTAATGGTTGTGCTCCTTCAAAAACTTTCAATCAGGTGATATAAACTCTCTCTCCCAAGCATGATCAAAATGAATTGGTTAATATATCAGAGTAGGTTAGTAAACTTTGTCATTTCATGTCCAATTTCTGTTTTTATTAATTGTTGTGCATACACAACTTAGCCTCGTCATTGATAAATTTTGCGCCGACAAAATGCGTTCATCTTTTTATCATTAAAAATACAAATTTTAGACAAGTTGATGAGAAACATGAGGGTATTGGGTATTTATAAACACCTGGATATCATTACATTATAATTAGTCTACCAGTTCATTATCATTACATTAATCTAGTTTCTATCAGTTCATTAGATTGTTACAAGTTTTCAGGTAAATGCCGATATTACTTTTATCAAAAGAAGAGAAATTTTCACAAATTTGGAAGAGACGTATTTCAAGCCTGAGTCATGGAATCTCATCGTCCTCGTCCTCGTCCTCCTCCTTTAGACACGGATCTAGTGGCAGCTCAAGTACGCGTACAAAAGGTGGTGGTTCATCTGGTTTGACAACTGGGTCGGGTAGCAACTTTCGTCCCTTGGCTGTAGGTGGAGGTGCTGCTATTGGAGGTGCTGCTGTTAATTCAGGTTCTATAAATCAAAACAATGGCAACAAAGACTTGTTGTGGCTATTTTTTCTCCTACTATTAATTCCAATAATACTAGTAGTTGTGCTTCTTTGTTGGAGAAGAAGGGTGAAAAAGAAACAAAAGTTGCAACAATATAGTCACGAGCCACAGATACAGAGAATAAGACAGGTGGGGTATCAAACGGAGTATTTTCCTCCAGATACAGAACATCCGCCTCCCACCTACCTGCCGAAGATGTATACCACCCTGGAAACACAGGTTGCTGAAAATGCATATTTTGAAAGACCAGCGGGTCTTCCACCAGCACAATTGAGGGGTTAAACATGAAACAATTACCGACACTATCGAGCGAAGCGAGATAGTGGAGCAGCACTGACCGACACTTGCAAGCAAAGCGAGCTAGTGGAGCAACACTGACCGACACTTGCAAGCAAAGCGAGCTAGTGGAGCAACACTGACCGACACTTGCAAGCAAAGCGAGCTAGTGGAGCAACACTGACCGACACTTGCAAGCAAAGCGAGCTAGTGGAGCAGCACTGACGGGTTTGATTGCTCGATAGTGTTGTTCAGTGTTGCGCCACTAGCTCGCTTTGCTCGCTAGTGTCGCCACAAACAATGGCTGCGAAAAAAAGCAACAAAATTATATAGAAGAATGTTAAAATCATCCAGAATGTAGAAATTATCTAGAATGTTAAAATGTCGAGTTACAATCCACAGTATATGCATGCAATTACTATCGACAGCTCTCTTCTCGCTCCTGCTCCACTAGCACGCTTTGCTCCCCAGTGTCGATTTTAACCTAGCCACCGCCCTGCGAGGTAAAGCAATCCTGGCCCCAGAGAAAAAAAAGAACCCGTGTAGATTAAGAATATGATATTATGAATAGCAACTAAAGTGCGTTAGACACATACCCCCCCCCCCCCCCCCCCCCCCCCCCCCCCTCTCTCTCAAGTGGGGTTTTTCCCTCCCCCTTGACAGCTAGTGTGCTCCACTGTCTCGCTCTACTCGATAGTGTCGATTATTTGGTAGCAACAGAAAGACTTTTCACAAAGGAACTCTAGGGAAGAAGAGGCTATGCATTGTTAGTCAAGGGATTTTTCTTGAGAAATTCCAACTTTTAAAATACATCATGTATGATTCTTTAGTAAATTTCTTGTTCCTTAGAGTTGCTATTAAGAACATAGGGAAGATGGTTGGTCTATAAATTAAGTTTATAAAAATATAAATGGATACTTTCTCTTTATTTCAGTCTTTTTCTTTAAAGTAAGTCGTAGGCTCAGCTCAGCTCAGCTCAGCTCAACTTGATTCCTGTGATATGCCTGTAATAGATAAAGTGCCTCCCGAAGCGGTGGAGATAATAAAGAGATACTATAATCCATATTATTATAATAATCATAGCGGCTGGCACAGATGGAGATGGTTTCTCTGGCTTCTTCTACTCATTCCCATATTCGTTATATTGATAGCGCTTTGTGTTAGAAGAAGAAGAACGAGTTCTAAGGTATACTATCCAGAGAACTCTAATCAGCAATATTATAATGGACAACAGCAACAGCAACCACAGTATGTACCACCGCAAGATCCACAAACTACCCAATTTGCAGGGTACAACAATGATAATTATGGAGGGTACGGTGGCGGTGTGCCTGCTGGTTCAGAAACTCAGTCAGGGTATTATGATGGGAGAAATGGCAATAATGCACCAGAATATGAATATGAGAGACCAAATGGACCGCCACCAGTGCACACAAAGTACTAAAAGTTAATCAAGAGGAAGGTCTTTTAATTGTATGATTAGGTGAAGCAATCAAACCCGTCAGTGCAGCTCCACTAGCTCGCTTTGCTTGATAGTGTCGGTCAGTGCTGCTCCACTAGCTCGCTTTGCTTGCAAGTGTCGGTCAGTGCTGCGCCACTAGCTCGCTTTGCTCGATAGTGCTGTACATTTACAATTGGTGAAGTAGCAAACTCTAGATGGTAACTGAACTCCTGTGTGTGGATGTGTATATATGTGCTTAGCCATGTATCAGTAAATTGGCAAATCAACCAAATTGGGAGTATTGCGCAAATAAGTTACTGGTCCCCCCACATTACCATTATACTTCAGAGATGTTTCTTTAACGCTTCATGTGGGACATTTAACTACTATATAACAGTGTATATTAGTTTTGAGAATGCAAATTTGAAAAATACAAGAAACTCTTGAAGTAAGTTGGAAAACTACAAGAAACGCTTAAAGTAAGTTGGAAAGCTACAAGAAATTCTTTATAAGACTAAAAGAAACTCTATAAAACTAAAAGAAACTCTTCAAAAGACTAAAAGAAACTCTTTTTCATCCTAGGCTTGTGCATTCTGAATCTTTTAAGCCTCGGTATTCACGCCCTGGTGCCCCCTGAAAGGTGAAAAAAAAAAGGTGCAAAAAAATATTGATAGTCTTCTCTTGGAGGAGACAGAATTCATCTCCTCTTCCTCTCCTCCTCCTCCATCCTTAATAATGACAATTTCTCAAGGTGACCAATTTCCTAAAGGTGTGAAATTTACATACATTCCAATAGACTTATCAGATACAAGTTTGATCGACCCATTGAAATGCCAACAACCAATTTCATTAAACTTGGATAATCTCATTACTCGATTTCTGCAATCAAACTTTCTTCTAATAGTTTCTGTACCAGGGGCATGGACACCACTTTGTGGAGAACAACATATCCCCGCATACCTTCAAAACCTTGCCAAACTCAAATCACAAAAGATAGGAGCCGTTGTAATCATTGGTGCAAATGATCCATTTGTAATGAACGGATGGGCAAAGGTTCTTATTAAAGAGTATGTCAAGACGGCAGAGCAACCTATTCCCGAATTGATATTCGCTATGGATTCAACGGGGTTTAGCAAATCACAAAATTTGACGAATGAAAGCGATATTACTGGATTTACAAGAAATAAGAGGTATGCATTATTAGTAGATTGTCTGAATCGTGAGATAAAGTATCTTGGTGTTGAGACTGAAAGGAAAGTAGACAAGTCGGGAGTTGATGCGGTATTGGCAAAGCTATAGAAAAGAGAGAGACTCATAGATGATACTATCGAGCAGCAATAAGAGGGTGTTAAATCTATAGAAAAAGACACTCATAGAGGTGCTAAATTTATAAAAAAGAAATACTCATAGAGGTGCTAAATTCACCTCACCTTTTACTTCTTTATCTATTCTAAGTTCATAGACTCGTTTCGCTCTGCTCAATAGTCTAGAGAGAGGGAGAATAGACTTGTTTCACTCACTCTGCTTGATACTCTAAAGAGAGAGACCAAAAGCAATTCAGCAAGATGATGTTTGCACCAATATTATTTGTTGTTATTGGGCAGCTAGTGAGTATGCTCCACTATCGAGCAAAGCGAGATAGTGTCTACTCGCTCTGCTCGATAGTGTCGTAATAAGCTAGTGAGTATGCTCCACTATCTCGCTTTGCTCGATAGTGGAGCTCGATAGTGGAGCTCGATAGTGGAGCGTGTACAATACAACAATCCTCCTAAAAGAAGCTTTCTTACTCAACAAAACTTGACAAAAAGTGTCTTACTGTATATAAGATGGTGTGTAGTGCTCAAAATGTCTGCTTCTCTGTACGACAGAATTTACATGTCTGAGTAAGTGTTATTAAAGTCACGTGAATATGAACCCTCGGTTCTTTATTTTTTTTACCGGTTTTCCAGTTTTCCGTTTTCTTAAAATTGCTTCTCTGACATTCTATGTACCACATTTCAGACAGACAATAATAAAAAAAAGCTGTCTGACAACAAAAAGTAGTTGTCTGTTCATGTGTATGTCTGTCTGTCTGTCTAGGAAATGAGCCCAGATGGACAATCAGAAACACGTAATAACCTTTCAACCAAGAATCAACAATGGCTATGCTACCTTTGTAACAAATTCTATAATGACATATTCGACAACCACAACTGAATAGCACTTCTATTTTTCCCCCCTTGTCTGGATTCAAAAAAGAAACATCTACCGAGTAGTGTAAAGTGTCTCAGACACCAAAAGTATCTTTTTTTTTTTTTTTTTTTTTTTCAACGACCAAAGTAATGAACAGCATTTAATACCCACCACCAGATTATAAATACGCTATAAAAAGAACTCAAAAAATTTCCATAAAAACCTCTCCTCCTCTCCTCCTCTCCTCTCCTCTAAGTTTTTTCTAACTCAATTGTCTCTGAAAAACTAACTCAATTGACTTTTTTTGCAACAATGACTAAAACTTTTTTTGATATCTCAGCTGATGGCTCTCCTTTAGGAAGAATCACTTTCCAATTGTACGATGACGTTGTTCCTAAAACCGCTGAAAATTTTAGAGCATTATGTACCGGTGAAAAGGGTTTCGGTTATAAAGGTTCTATTTTCCACAGAGTCATTCCCAACTTTATGTTACAAGGTGGTGACTTTACCAATTTTAATGGTACTGGTGGTAAATCAATTTACGGTACAAAATTTGCTGATGAGAATTTTAACAAAAAACATACTAAACCAGGTTTATTGTCAATGGCCAATGCTGGACCAAATACTAATGGATCACAATTCTTCATTACAACTGTTCCATGTCCTTGGTTAGATGGTAAACATGTTGTTTTCGGTGAAGTTGTTGATGGATTCGATATCGTTAAAAAGGTTGAATCCTATGGTTCTGGATCAGGAGCTACTTCTAAAAAAATCACCATTGATGCTTCAGGTGTATTGTAAAGAAAAGCACAATGATTCAGGTGTATTGTAAAAAAAAGCACAATGCTTCAGGTGTATTGTAAAGAAAAGCACAATGCTTCAGGTGTATTGTAAAGAAAGCACAATGCTTCAGGTGTATTGTAAAGAAAGCCCAATGCTAAAGTAAAACTCCGTGTTAAGGAGGTAGAGATGGAATTTATGATAAAGTATATATATATGTATGTGTGTATAAAATTGAAGAATCAATAATGAAAAAATGAACTCCCATGAAACGCTGCAGCTCAAACTGGAGAGCAATTGCAATGGTTGACACTATCGAGCAGAGCGAGATAGTTTATAATAGGCTGGTCAGTGTTGTAACAAGCGGCTGATTAGTCTCTACTCTCTATATACTGCTCCACTAGGGAGCGAAGCGAGCTGGCGTCGTTACTCTCTACATACTGCTCCACTAGGGAGCGAAGCGAACTAGTGTCGTTACTCTCTACATACTGCTCCATTAGCTCGCTTTGCTCCCTAGTGTCGTTACTCTCTACATACTGCTCCACTAGGGAGCGGAACGAGCTGGTATTGTTACTCTCTACATACTGCTCCACTAGGGAGCGAAGCGAACTAGTGTCGTTACTCTCTACATACTGCTCCATTAGCTCGCTTTGCTCCCTAGTGTCGTTACTCTCTATATACTGCTCCACTAGCTCGCTTCGCTCCCTAGTGTCAGGAGGATCCACCACAAAGACCTACCACTAATCCCAAATGTAAACTACACTTTGTTTAAAAAAGGTTTCCTCCAAGTCGTAATTACTCTTACAAATAACTGGTTCTTCACTGCTTTACTACTTTAGTAAAAATACCTCTCAAGCCAATTGCAAAAAAAAGAAAAATGTACATAAAACATAAAAGATGATGGGATCCAAAGTGGTGAGTTGTAAAGATTTCTCTAAATAAAACAATCTCTGTAACGAAGGAGAGTGCAAACAAAAGTCAATAAACTCAAGCTCAACACTTGAATCTGAAAGTACGCACGTGGGATAGAGCATATTATACATTAATAAGAAGTTGTCCTGTTTGATAAACGTGTGTTTTTGGTAGCGAACACAGCTTCCCCCCCATTACCAATGTGTCACGTGTATATACATTCATTACTTGTAGGTCCTAGCCAAACACCACAACATAACCTACACTTTTGATCAATGACTATCAAGGATCTAGTTCTTGTCACCTTTTTCTGTTTCCTTGAAATTAAACTGAAATTTAATCTAAATCTCATAACATAAAAGAAGCAGTCTAATTTTAAAAGGGCTTTGTTTTTTTTTTTTTTGGTTTTTTTTATTCGTCTGGTATTTTATTTTGTTTGCAATTTCCTAAGAAGTCAGTAACCAATAACTCGTGTGTGTAGGTAACAACCTGTTTGTAAGTTAGAGATTAATACCAAGAAAACAAATAAATGTAGATAAACGGCTGCCGCCCGCCTCCCCCACATGTACAAAGCAAAAATCATCAATGTATAAGTATTTTTATGCACACATGTATGTCTAATGCAAAATAACTTGAACAATGAAATAAGTATATATAAATATATATAAGTTTATACAAGTCAGATCTCAACCCTTCCTTTTTTACTTTCTTTCTCCTCTCTTTTATTTTCAAATTGTCTCACTACTTTCGCTTCTACATCGTTTTCAAAGTCTTGTTGCTCAATAATCAATAGGCTGGTATTCTTTATCGTCAAACTGTTAACTTTTTTTGATAAACTTTTTGCATTCATTTAACACTTTTTTTTTTCCTTTTTCTTTTTCTTATAGAGGGATTCACGCACGTGGGCCCAGTATTTTATCACAATGTCTCGGGACCTGGACCTGGACCTGGACCTGGACCATCAAAAGTTCCAGCAGCAGAATGATTTGAGTCAAATTCCCTCTGGGCAAGCTATACCGTATGACAAATATATACATTTCATAGACTACTACTTGTGCAACATCCTTCACAACCCCATATACTCATCGACTATAATAATACTATGCAATTACTATCAACTAGTAAACCCCACAAATACAAGCACGCATCAAGATAACTTTTTTGACTTGTTGTCTAATGTGATCAACTTGACATTTATATTGCGTTTCCAATTTGCCTGGTTTGTTGATCAAAACAGGCACTACTACACTGCTGTATTATCTGAATTTTTATTTTTCATAATTCAAAATATATCATGCATCTATGTGCTATTAAATTTCTACAAAATATACCCAAAATCAGTGCAAATCCTTGTCATTTTACAATTTCTTCTCCCATATGTCATTTTAACCATATCATTCATTAATAAACATGGATTATATTCAGCACTTTATGAATGCAATAATAATTCCTTGCCGTTTTTGATTTGTAATTCCTTTTTGTTCATAAACTATTATGACTTTGACCAAGCTTCAAAACTAATTGGCCTTTTATACAAGCTTGCATCTTTATCGTTCAAATTTTATTTGATTTATCAATATATCCTTTGTGAATTGAAGCTGATCAATTACCAGCAAATTGTTGGTTGTGTTGTGGATAATTGTCAATTCTATATTGATGATGATCGCGAGAGCCAAGAATGTAAGGATAATGAAAAGATTGGCGAAGGTTGTGAGTTGGCGTTTGGCGCTAGCTCGAGAGTTCAGAGATGTGTAAAGTTTACTAAATTGAAAAACACATTGATGTGTTTTGTATGCTTATATATGATTAGTGTAGATACAGTTTCAATAATGATCCCAATGAACTGAAAAAAAAAAAGAAAAACAATAAATAATATCAATCCAATACAATACTTTACTGTTTGTAGAACCCCCCCCATCATTTAAATACAGTCTATATTGCCTTCCTCACACCATATACACCCTCACAGCAGAGAAGTTGAGTTTTCTGGTATATTTTCTTTCTTCGACAGACCCCCATCATTATTGTGTCACTTAATTTACGAAGTTCGTAAAATAGCCGTTTTTTTTTGTTTTTTTTTTCTTGGAAATAACCGGGAACGACGACATTGAAAGTGACAGGCTACGATACGGCCTTATTAAAGTGTTGTTTCTCTTATCATCAACAAGTGATTGGGTTCACAGAAAACAATGGATTAGCCATTATTATGAAATTCTCCTAATGTGTAGATTATAAGTCTTGACTCCTAAGCCTCCCCTTACGGCATTTGACAAATGTGTAGAAAATCGCACAGGACTCACATTATACGACATAATATGCCAAATTGTGGGCCGTATGCAAAAGTATTTTTTGAATGTCGCAACCACAAAACAGTACATGTCTACCTATGCAAGCAGTTTTTTGACTCACTTCTTCTTTCTACTATACTTTCCTATAACTTTCACTTTCATAAAAAGGTAAAAAAGAAAAAGAGAAAAACAAAACAATTTGCTTTTGCAATTCCATAACGTCTACTTTATCTATGTCATTAACAAGTTATTACAAGTACTCCATTTTCTAATAATGAATTATATCCCCTTCTTCTTCGAATAGCTAGAAACAGTGATACATATTGACTTTGTAAACAGCGATACATATTGACTTTGTAAACAGCGATACATATTGACTTTGTAAACAGCGATACATATTGACTTTGTAAACAGCGATACATATTGACTTTGTAAACAGCGATACATATTGACTTTGTAAACAGCGATACATATTGACTTTGTAAACAGGTGTTTATGTAAATTTCCAATTCTTTTTGTCAACAATCAGACTTGACAAAAGATATTCTATCACAATGCCTTGCAGTTTTATTTATATTACGTTTCTCAAACTCCTTTCTAGTCATCTTTATTGGGTGCATATTGGCCAACAAGGGTTTTACACAATTCACCAAACAACTTTCTCAACACGGGTTTGTGGTTATTGCTGAATTGAAACAGGATGTGATATTGAAACTGTGTGGTGTGCTGACAAAACTATACTGTTTGTGGTTAATGATCATTTATGAAATCAGAAATGATAAGGATTTTCAAGGGAAACTTTGAGGTGGTATCGAGTCATAAAAATTGGGTATTGATCTGTACCAGCTTGGTATTGATAGTATTGGATTTAATCAGTTTTTATTTCCAGAAACAAATCTTCATCATAGAAACAAAGGTCAAAAATTGTAGTGAATGGCATTGATGCAATTGATATAATACCTCACTTAGCGGCAATGGCCAACAAAGTAGTAGCTCAGAATACAAATACATTTTGTCTACAGTAATCAACCTATAATGCAAAGCATATAAAACCGACTCAAAAATACTCATCGAGCTCAATTGGCTCATCATAAAACCCATCCACTTGGTTTGTATATTCGGCGCCCATCTCATTTACCTTCCCACTCAATTGGTTTATATTCAAAGTGGCAGATTTTTTGATATCTAAACCCGTGTTCAGTTCCGGCTGCTCCTCTTTTTCCTTCGCGTCATCTTGAATCAAATTATCATCCAGTGTCTGTTGCAGGTCAGCACCACATGTTACTTGAGAATGCTCCTCTAATGCTGACATGGGAGATTCTGTCTCGAATACAATATCCTCTTCACAATCACTAGGATAAAATGCAAATTCTCGACTCATTATCTTCTTCCCTTTTCGTATTACTTTCCTCTTAAATGCCGATTTCACATCATGACTATAATCCATTTGTTCCCCTTGCTTGTCAACATCAAGTTTTTCAATGCTCATGCCATCCTCGTTCGATAACATTGCTACCAATTTACATTCATACAGTTTCAGTTCCGATTCATCACTCCGATTCAATTCTTTCGTCTCTAATTCAATCAATTCATCCTCTAATTTCTCATCCCTCCTTTTCCTTTCCCTTTTCTTTTCCTTTACCCTCTCAAGATTATTAATTGTCATTATTTTCTTTGCTCCAGAATGAACCCGGGATAAACCAATTTTAGGCTTTGGAAAAACGGAAGGTACGTGAAACTTATCACCTAATAATCGATTCCATTCAACAATTAATCCGCCATCTCTCTTGTACTGCGCTATATTATTCTTTTTCAAAAATAGAAAATCGGGTTGATCAAAATCAAGGCTTCTTAAACTATCATGGACATCACTCACTTTAACCAGTTGAAGTTGCATATCAGTATCGGAACCAGACTGTGTTTCAAAAAGGGCTTCTCCACCTTGATTCGCCTTATGTGATTTGCTATATTCATTGACAGGTTTTGTTGAAATGATCAAATTGAGAATTATACGCTTAGTGATGCTTTTGATTACTGTTTCAAATAAATGAAATGATTCTTCATCAACTGTAGTGAACAACATTCTATTCAACCTGGTAATATCAATAATACTCTCGTCGTCAGCACGCCCCACTTGTTCATCATCCGCTTCAACCTGGACCTCAACGTCTTCCATCTCTTCCATCTCTTCCTCCCTCATCATATCCTGGACTTCCTCTAGTTTCTTCTTCTTTTTCTTCTCAATATAATTCTCAATAGCACTACTTTGCTCATCTTCGAATTCTATAAACTGGTCCAGCATCTCAAAGGCAAATGGTACATCTTTATACTTGATCAACTTTTGTGCCCATTTTTTCCTCTTCTTCTTCTTCTTCTTCTTCTTCTTCTTCTTTTTTGTCGCATTATATTCTTCTTCTTCTTCATCCCATTGTCCATTCTTGATCCTATGTAATTCCCGCTTCAACAATAAATAATATCCCATCACTTCTATCTCGCTCTTTTCCATCGCTTCAGCAAGTAAATCCAAACGATGAATGGATAGTTTCCCCAATAAATCAAAAAATCGTTCTTTATCTTTAAAAGTCCACAAAATACCCGGGTTTTCTAGCTTTACCTCATACCACCCATCATAATTGATCTTCAGTGTTGTCAATTCTGAATCACCAAGGTAATCTGCATTGAATGTGTTCTCAACACATTGGTTGTAAAATTCAATATATTTAGAATTAGGTATTAGACGTCGTGAAGGCATTTGATTCTTGCGTATCCTTGTTGGAAATATCCATTGGTCATTGTTTTCATATAACACTTCTTTTCGTGTTTCCTTTCCCTGGGTACTTGCAAAACCATGGGTAGGGATTGTGATAGATGACAATTTTGATGACGGCAGTGGTTGGAACAGTTGCCCTCGCACGTCTTTGACTCTTGAATCTTCTTCTAAACACTGTGATTCTTGGAAATCCCCTGAATCTTGTAAACTTTGCTTTTCCTCAGAAGCAGCAGCATCTGTTATTGGTTCTTGTGTGTTCGTTAAGAACGGTCGACTTGACCCTCCTTTGTCATTCCCTTTATTTCGGTCCTGTCTTGAATCAAGTTTTGATGTTTTATAATCTCGATGCTCATTCGATGGATCCATCTGCAGGGAGTTTCTTCTCTTCCTGCTCTGGCCCTCGCCATCTCTAGAACCACGTCGCAGTATCGCGTCTATACTCTGGCCTTCCCAGAGTACAGACATAGCTGTTGCACCCAGTATACCCCCCGTATCACTTTCTTGCTTCCTCCTCTTCTCATTAAATAAATCTACTTCTGGTATGGTCACTCCGTCATTATTGTCTCTTGAGCCTCTTTCAAACGGCATTAAAAAAGACACCATATAAATTCTCAAATTCCAAGTAAGCTCCTTAACCTCTACCGCCAGGCGGTGTACCCCAAAAACTAGTTACCTTTACAAGCAATCTCAAATCACCTTGATTCATTAACTGACTTTTTTTGAAATCTTTTTTTTTTTTTCATCTTTTGACCTTTTGCACCCAAGAAGATATGGAAATATAGGCCGTTATTGTTGATGCCTTGACACTATCGAGCAAGGTGAGTAAGTGTCATCTGCTTGTAAGATGATATGGAAATATCTTACTTTACTCGATAGTGTCATCTGCTTGTAAGATATCTCACTTTACTCGATAGTGTCATCTTCTTGTAAGATGAGTAGAAATACAGGCAAAGATGAGTAGAAATACAAAGAGGGGGCTAAGTAGATATCTGGTGTCTATTATAGTTTCACACTGAAGATTAAATATAGAGATTTAAACCCACATAGACCAGGAAAAGAAGAAAGCACTTCCCCCATATAATTGGTTTTAAAACATTTTACATATTGCTCTTAAGAAATGGGTCCTCTACTTGAAACACTTTTCCTCAATAATTATACATATCATATTGTCATCTTCTTGGTTTGTTCATCTAGTCGTTCTATATCTGTTTGATTGCTCTTTTTCAGCATTTCCACCTCGTCATCATCTACCATATCTTCTTCCACCACATCATCAACATCATTGTCTTCATAGTCATTAGTATCATCGGTATCCACCCATTCCCCTTCATCCTCATCCTCACCACCATCCTCACCTCGACATCTATTGAAAATCTCTGGTAAAAAAGGCTTAGCAACGTCTTCATCCATATCACCCTCGATATCAAATTGAAACTCAACATACTCTTCTGGCACCAATCCATTTTCTCCAGTTGCAGGATCTTCAGCAACCAACCAACCTTGTCCGTGTCGATAACTAATCCAAATAATCTGTCCTTCAACCAATTCAATCTCATTGTCATTTTCCGGCTTAAAATCAAATATAGCTCTTGCTTTACAATTCATTTCGTCGGCATCTTCCACTTCTTCCTCGTCCTCATCCTCTTCACCTTCGCCTTGACCCTCCTCTTCCATTCTTTCCCCTTTTCTTCTTCTCCTTCGCCGCGACTTGTTCAAGGAGGAAGAACACAATATCGTAGAATTCTCATCTGACGTATAGCTTTCATCAGTAGTGTATTGAAACGAATGTCGAAGCAGAGCACCGAAATGTAATGGATGAGACTCGGGATATCCGAAATCTTTTATCTTTGTATTTGGCGGGAACCTGGAACTCATGTGTCCTATCTCAAAATGCCCTATCAAAAAGCTCAAAAGCTCAAAAGCCCAAAAGCTCAAAAGCTCAAAAGCCTAAAAGCTCAAAAGCTCTACCAATAAGCTCTGCCAATAAGCTCTAATAAGCCCAATTAACAAGCTCGATAAGCTCAAAAGGCTCTTTCAAAAAGCTCTAGTAAGCCTTATCAACAGAGTTCTGAGATAACCTTTGCTCAGAACAAATTCAAAAATTGTCAAATATATTAGTACAAACTCTACCTAGCCCCTCTAACTCCTAACCAAGGTCTTTAAACTAGGTCTCACCACTATTTAATACTATATAATAGAAACTAAATGGTAGTTGGCTGGTAACTGAAACATTTTTTTTTCCATACAAATTTTATTTTTATTTTTATTTTTTTTATTTTTAAAGAATTCCATTTTGGGCGACACTATCGAGCACACTAGCTGCCAGAGGCATTATATAGGATGTAGACGTGTGAGAAGAGGCTTGGTTGGTGGATATAGGATGTAGATATGATGCGACACTATATAGCACACTAGCTGCCATATGGTAGTGGGTCTATGTAAGGGTAAAGTTTACACAACCTGGAACACACTAGCTGTCATTGGCATTATAATGTATGTAGATATGAGAAAGAAGTTTTAAAGTTTGTGGGAGGAAGAGGCATTAGATTCGGTTGGTCAATACCATTTCTTTTTCTATTCCGAACAAGCTACAAAGTATTGCTCCACTATCGAGCAGAGTGAGATAGTGGGCAACTGGTCAATGTACTCGATACTGGGCAACTGGTCAATGTACTCGATACTGGGCAACTGGTCACTGTACTCGATAGAGGGCAACTGGTCACTGTGCTCGATATGTGGCAGCTGGTCACTGTACTCGATACTGGGCAACTGGTCACTGTACTCGATACTGGGCAGCTGGTCAATATGCTCGATACTGGGCAGCTGGTCACTGTACTCGATACTGGGCAACTGGTCACTGTACTCGATACTGGGCAGCTGGTCAGTATGCTCGATACTGGGCAGCTGGTCAGTATGCTCGATACTGGGCAGCTGGTCAGTATGCTCGATACTGGGCAGCTGGTCAGTATGCTCGATACTGGGCAGCTGGTCAGTGTCGCTCGATAGTGTTACAACAAGCTAGAAAGTGCTACTCCACTATCTCGCTCTGCTCGATGGTGTCGGTGTCGCTCGATAGTGTCGCTCGATAGTGTTACAACAACCTAGTAAGTGCTACTCCACTATCTCGCTCTGCTCGATAGTGTCGCTCGATAGTGTTGGTGTCGCTTGATAGTGTCGATTGACGAAAAAAAAAAAAGAATTTGTTAAGCGCGCAGTTAATTGTAGAATGAGATGAGATGAGCTGAGCTGAGCTGAGCTAAAGTAAAAGGAAACTGGGTTAATAGGAAGGAAGCTTGTAACAGGTATAATGGACCCAGTTGAGGAGCAGGCGCAGGAGATTGAGATACTTCAATCGATCTATCCTGACGAGCTAGAGTTTCTCAATGATTCTCAAACGCAGTTTCAGATTAGAGTCGATTTGGATTTACAAAGTGATCGAAAACATTCATTTTATTTAATAGTCAAGTATCCAGCTACCTATCCTGAAGTAACGCCAAATCTAAGTATAGAAATTGCAGCACAACAGGGGGACGAAGAAGAAGAGGTGCTGCAACAACAACATGCAAACTTGCTGGACGGAGACGAGAGTGATGAGGATAGCAAGAATATCCAATTGGCACTACATATGGCAGAAACCATAGATTTTACAAAAGAAGATTTAAACAAACTTCTAGGCAAACTAAATGATGAAGCTCAAGTCAATATAGGTATGCCCTCGATATTCACATTAGTCAGTGTATTAAAAGACGAAGCAGAATGCCTATTTCAGCAAAAGCTTGATTTTGCCAATCAACAATTTGAAAGAAAACGTAAAGAGTTGGAGAAAATTGAACAAAAGAAATTCCAAGGCACAAAAGTAACTAAGGAAAGTTGGCTTGAGTGGAGGAACAAATTTAGAGAGGAAATGAGGTTCGATAAAATTGATGAAAGGAAAAAATTCGAAATGCACGGTGGTAGACTCACAGGTAAAGAAATATTTGAAAGGGGGTTGGCTGGTAATGAAGACGACGTGGAAGAAAACGAGCAAGAAGAGAAGTTGGCCGATGGTGTAGGTAAAATTGCTGTTTGAGGATAATGACGCGCAGTCTAGGAATACCACAAGCCTCGAGCTGTTGATGAAAAGCCCACAGTCTAGGAATACCACAAGCCTCGAGCTGTTGATGAGACATTACAAAGATGTTTCATTGTTAAATTTTTCAAAACTCTATTGTTTTAATTTTGATATAAAATTTGATGACTCGTGTGTAGGCTAACTTGCCAATTAGTGTCGCTAGTCAGTTTGCTCCATCCTCCTTTCTTCTTTCTTCCTTCTTCGTAATCCTCTGTCTCCATTACCTACAAGGCAATTTCAAAGTTCAACACCAATAACAATATCAAAATACTCAAATTAATGATTATCAACACAACCAACCCCAATCTCATCACCGGGAACTCATCTTTCATCAACATATTCTGGACTTGGAAATACCGGAAACTTCCAAAAAACAAAGTAAGCATCCCCATAATTATACACATACCGCCAATTGGGCGACACAATGAAAGTACCGTTGCAACTACATCTTTATCATATATCGATTTTGAAATAGGTATAACAGTAGCAATATCCTTACACTGAGATTTCTGCTCAATTCTGAAGAATTGCATAAATCCGATTCCTAATGTTAGAAAAGTCACTGAAGTGAGTGTCCATGCAAGCAACGTTCTCTCATTAGCGAGCTAAGCATTTTGGTAAGTTAGTAATATTGATAAAAATGTCATCCCTTCTCTTGCTCTCTCTTGCTCTCTCTTGCTCTCTTTCGTGTACCGTTCTTTTTTGTTTTTCTCCAAAAACATACATGATCTCTTGCAACTGATCCCTTATTGGGAATGACAATTTGTGTAAAAAACGCATTCATCGTTTCTTGTATCGGGGAATTATTATTGTCTTGTACTCTCTATTGTTTAATTTTTTTTTCAGTACAAAAGTTGGAGATAAGATTTGAAACCACTCACAGGTAGGTAGCCGTTCCAGCACGCCCGGTGCATATTTTTCATTTTATGCATAGAACACTGCAAAATTCTGAAATGGCTAATCAAAAATTCGAGTTTGGCGTGTCGAGGTGGGGGAGGAGGATCTACTTGACAAAGAGGTTGAGAGACTTAAACGTAGTTGGTACTTGTTAACCTATGCAAATTTCTCAATTAATCATCGTAGAGCTAGTCAGTATTGTAACAAGCTACAAAATGTTGCAACACTATCGAGCAGAGCGAGGTAGTGGAGCAACAGGCTACTAAGTACTGCTCCACTATCGAGCAGAGAGAGGTAGTATCGCTCGATAGTGTCGCTTTAGCCTAGTTTTATTAAGCGTCATGAACCCAACATCTATCTCCATCACAAGAAGCTCAATCTAAAAGTACCAAAATATTAATAATAATCTTTTATGTGACATATAGGTCCTTATACATAGTACTGTTGATATTTTTCTTTTACTTGATAGTCATCTTAAACTGAGTGTATCGGCAACTTTCTTTCTCCTATACCTCTTATTCTCTTGTAACCCGTTCTCATCATGACATATAACGGGAGATATTTGAAGCTGACATCTTCAAAGAAAAAGAACAAAAAAAAATCAAAGTGCAATATATAAAATAAGATGACATATATATGAAGCTTCGCAGTTTTTGGAAATGTGCTTCGTTGAGATGTGATAAGAATTCCTAGTCCTTCGGTTATAAAATCCAGGATAGGGGGTACTAGAGATGCCGCCAAACATATGTGTAATTACTGTATTAGAAAATATTTTAATACCGAAATCCGGGGTAAACCTTGATTAAAAAAAAAAAATAGAAAAAAAAAACCAACTACATTTTAGCCATGAACAATCGTGGTTATGTACCTTTTCCCCTTGACTTTGCTAAAAAAAATATCTCATAATGCAACCACTATAATCAGAGACAAAAAAAAGTTCATATTGGGATAAAATACAAGTCAATATGATAAAAACAATTTTTGGTTGAAATCATATCTAAATATATGCATAATATCCATCTATCGGGTATATATTATAGTAAACGACATTATTTTAAAGCCAACTCTATCGAGCAGAGCGAGATAGTGGAGCAACACTGACTAGCTTGTATAGTGCTCCTTTTTATCCGCAGCGATACTCGGATCAACTCCAAAAATTCAACGTTCATGCCGAATAGTCCAAAAATTCAACGTTCATGCCAAATAATTGCAAATGATAATATGTCGATTATTGTTCTATGCCAGATGTAAAAATTCATTTAGCTACATAAACATTGTGCATGTGTTTGTTGTGTTATTGAGTTTTTATAACCGACCAAATTGATTTTCTTCAAATACCGAATTTTTTTCAAGAGTAAAAATTATGACGCCGCGTTTCTATCCAATTTTTTCCAAAAATGATGTCACTGGATTTTTGTCTAGCTTCAAAACCATATGAGGTCTTGCCGTTTATATTTAAAATGCTTAAAAACTCGTGACAGGAATAATGCCGGATACTATATAATATGTTATCTATTGTTATACATCCCCCACCTGCCTCTCCCCTTTTTTCTCTCACACAAAACTCCTTTCCTCTTTCTGCCATCGAGCGAAGCAAGATGGTGGAGCAGCACCTAGCCGCCGCCAGAGTGATCTATTAGTTTGAGTCAGAATGAGAGCGATACTTTTTGATCAGATATCTCCCTCTCTTTCTCCTATTCTCCTTCCCCCCCCCCCCCCCCCCCGTGTCCAAGTTGAGGTTTGAACTGCTAGCCCTGAATGACCCGGGTTCCACATATAATATATAATACATGCAAATGTGTGAGAAACAAGCATACAATGCTTGGGGAAACAAGCACACAAACCCTTGTTAAGCTACATCTAGATAGTTTACCCCTAGTCAAGTTACCACTTGGTCAGGTTTACCCCTAACAAAGTTGTCTCTAGTCAAGGTCAGTTGTCTCTAGTCAAGGTTAGTTATCTCTAGTCAAGGTTAGTTATCTCTAGTCAGGTTCAGTTATCTCTAGTCAAGGTTAGTTAGTCTAGTCTTCTCACAATAGTTTCGGAGTTAGGAAACCTCATTCCGTGCTTATTAATGCCATCCGCGCTACTTTAAAAAAAAAAAGCAAAAATTAAAATAAACAGAGCAATATGATTGATGACTTATGACAGTTTTGACCCTTTATTTACTTCCGTGTATGACTCAGTATTACCGATTATCGACCCTGAAATTTGAATTTGTAATGACGTGCTGGATTCTTTTGTGGATTCGGGTTTCCGTATATCTCTATGTAGATGTCGTTTCTTGTCTGAGGTGCCCCGTTGTAAACCTTGAAATGTGAACAAATAAAGTAAACCCATGTGATTGCTATTTGATCTATTGAAAAGGGCAGCTTCATGAGGAATCTTCCATGAGAAGGGTGACTTCATGAGGAATCTCCCATCAAAAGGTGCTCTTACATGAAAAGGTTTACATTTATCGTAATTGAATATATAAATAAAAAATCTATAAGCAAAATCTAAGAATTGAAAAGAGAATTTGTTGAATCGTTATATAGATAGCAAATGGCTGTAAAAACGCTATTCCAAATATATGCCAGTCATAATGGGTGTGGGTATTACCCTGCAAACTCAATTGCAGCTTTAATTTACATCTAGTAAATTTGTTCAATAGTGACATTGTCATGTTTGAATAAGCCTTCTACTTCTAGGTCCCGATAATGATTTGGTATTGTTAAATCTCTGCTGTTATTATCCTGTAGTAGGTGATGGTGGTGGTGGTGGTGGTGCTGCTGCTGCTGCTGCTTGCGACGGTGCTTTTTATGATGGTGCTGTTTGTGTTGGTGATGTTGACGTTGCTGGTTTTGCTCATAATGATCAGGCTTTATCATCATGTGCCTATTATGTAAATCCCTTGACTCAGAAAAAGGAGTCACCAAATGATGATCAAATAATGTGTCAACTTCATCATCATCTGTAAGAGAATGAGTATGAGACAACTCGGGCATCTGCTCATCAATATCTTCTTCCTCATTTGTATTATCAGTATCATACTCATCTGAAAATAAACTTGCTTCGTCATCATTTTCCTCTTCTTTTTCTTCTTCTTTCTTCTTCTTCTCCTTCTCCTTCTCCTCCTCTTCTTCTTCCTCCTCCTCTTCCTCTAAAATTGAGCCAAGTGGTAGCAGCATGTGTAAAGATGGAAATGGTAAATGATTATATGAAGAGGATGTTTGAGTGATGTTCAATGTCCTCGGTATTTTTTCCTCCATTGTTGCATTTGATGTCGTTCTTATCAATGGGATGGTGGTGTTTGTTTCATCTTCAGAATCTGAGTAAATATAATAATCATCTGAATCATCATCTGAGGTGGAATAATTTGAAGAGTCGGTCTCTGTTTCCTCATCGTTATCACTGTCACTATCATCATTGTCCAGTTTCTTCAGTTTGATAGTGATGTGTGGGATATGTGTATAATTTATCGGTGTTTGACATTCAATTAAAGCCCCGTTTAACTGATTGATTTCATCCATAGTAAAATTTTCTTCTTCTTCCTCCTCCTCCTCCTCCTCCTCCTCCTTATCATCATCGTATTCATATTCGCATTCATATAGGTAATTTTCGTCCCCTTCATCCTCTGAATCTGAGTCAATTTCGTATTCTGTAACTAAAGTGTTATTTTGCTGTGTTGCCAAATTGCTAGTAGCAATATTATTATACAGCACCTCCGTAGCATCACCGTTGCCGCTTTTGCTACTACAGCTAGTACTTGCACTTTTATCTTCTTTTCCTCTTTGACTTCGTTTTTCAGTTTCCTCGGAGATATAGTCCATTAAATTATCCAACATGTTAGCCTGTATCACTAAATTCCTCAACGAAGACTTGGAAGAAGCAGCTTCTTTGGTAAGTTTTGTTCTTACTTTACTAGCTAGTATATATGTTTGAGCAAACGATAATGACATTATCTCAACTCTTTAACCTTTGGCTGTAAAAATCGAAATAGCCCTCCCCCCCAAAAAAAATGGTTGTAAAAAATATATATATATATATATATATATATATGAGAAACTATGGAGATAGTAGTAGCGGAAAAAATAAAATGGGATGGTATGTGGTGGTGGTTGTAAAATTATTAATAATAGTAATACAAATTGGTTTTGATAATGGTTTACTGGTTCGATATTCTATTGCACATATACGTAATGGTACAATAAAACCGACAAGATTTGAAAAGGTAAATTGCAACAAACAACGTTTGATAAATTCTACGAAACAAGATATTCAAAAGTGGTAGTTGAACGGGAGAAATACTACTCGAAAGTGAAGAAAATACAAGTAAAGAGAAAAGTAGGTTTATATATATATCAACTGGTTACTGGTGTTGATAATTTTGATGATAATTTTTGACCTCCAATATTAATATGTGTGTCTAACTAATATCCGTGTTTATGTCCTCACTATAAATTGTGCGACACTACCAATTGAGACTAACAAAATGTCGGTTATTACGGGCAGTAATTCAAATACACAAAACTAAAGACACAATAGAAATAACTTTCTCTTTTGTAAATCACAATGAACAATAAGTTTTTTTTACCGATGGAAAAATGAATCTTTGATTATTAAAGGGTCTAAATGAATAGTTCTTAGTCTTGACTATATTTGACTAACAAAGAAGACTAATAGAATAAATATTTTTTATTTTAATTTCTTAAATCTCTTTACAATATTGTCATTCTTTTAATATATCACAGTTTTTGAACTAAACTATAAACCTTTTAGAATTAAAAAAAAAAAAAATAATTAAAATAAAAAAAAAAAAAAAAACACTCATCTCAGTTCTATTTGTTCACTTACTTGTTAATAGAGAGGTGATGTGATTCTAGAATAAGCAATAAAAGAAGAATGAACATGATGATATGTTCACTTGCAATTATACCTGTTCTAACATACATTGATCAGCACTTCCCCGCCTAGAGAATCGGTCAACTTTGATTGTTGGAGCAGAAGGTAGCAATTATCTGTCTCATCCAAGAGGACATCGGATGTTTCATTGGTTCCTACTCTATATTCTTACTCCTATATCCCTACTCTATATCCTTACTCCTATATCCCTACTCTATATCCTACTACTCTACCTACTCCTCAATATCCCTACTCTACATCCCTACTCTACATCCCTACTCTACATCCCTACTCTACATCCCTACTCTACATCCCTACTCTACATCCCTACTCTACATCCCTACTCCTCTAAAAATCCACTCTTCTATACTATAATAAACGATATGTATGTCATTAGCCAAAAAGGAAACCATATTTGGGTTAGTTGACAACACAAATAAGTAACTACCAAACTAAACCAACCGGCATCAAAAGTAAATCATCAGCTATAACGGTAATAATTTATTCCTTTTTTGTCATTTAGTTGATCTAATTTTTTACATTTGAGAGTTTTTCTTGAGAGCTTCAATAGCTTTTGTGGATTTTTTTTTTTTTAATTTTATATCCGGTGAAGGGAAGAACCTTCCCGTCCGATGAAGAATGAAGAATGAAGAATGAAGAATGAATGAATAGATGATCTGATTTTTTTTTGAATGAAAACTACATCATGACACCTCATTTAAGTAGGATAGGTGATAGATAAGAGAGGAGCAAGTGTGTATGGGATCTCATGGAAACATACTCACACAAGACATATGATCATAGATTTTATATCCGAGATATAAACTTTCTTTTTTCCACTCGGTTTCTTCGTTTTGCAGCAATCGAGAGAAATACAAAAGACATGTTCAACAATCGAGAGAAATACAAAAGACAAGTTATCGATATCTACTCGTTCGTTAAAGTAGGTACGTTATTCTTTTTGATAGTAACTTCTTGACACGGATTTCTGTCCATCATCTGATGTTAACATATTTCCGCTATTTTGCATACTTTTTGGCCCTTTTCTGCGCACTTTTGGCCCTTTCTTGGCCCTTTTTCTTTCAATCTTTCTTGGCCCTTGTTGGCCCCTTCTTGAAACTGTCTTTGTTTGATTTAAGCTCTATTTTTTCATTGTTTAATTTAAGCTCTTTTTTGAGATCAGCAGTGACATGACATTTGTTATCTGAAAATTTGACACATATCTGATCCTTTAGTAAATTGATATCTTTATTGGTGAGAGAAAAAATGATAACCTTAGCTACACGCGATTTTTTCAAAGCCGCACACTATCGACACTATCGACATTATCGACACTTAGTAGTGACACTATCAACACTTAGTAGTGATACTATCGACACTTAGTAGTGATACTATCAACACTTAGTAGTGATACTATCGACACTTAGTAGTGATACTATCAACACTTAGTAGTGATACTATCGACACTTAGTAGTGATACTATCAACACTTAGTAGTGATACTATCGACACTTAGTAGTGATACTATCAACACTTAGTAGTGATACTATCGACACTTAGTAGTGATACTATCAACACTTAGTAGTGATACTATCGACACTATCGACATTTTCGACACTATCTCGCTCTGCTCGATAGTTTCGCTTCGCTCTGCTCGATAGTGTCGCTTCGCTCTTTATAAGACGAAAAGAGACAGAAATACGTTTTATCCTCAGTTGAGAAATTTTTCGGCTTTTATCACCAGTTAACATGATCCATTTGACAAGGTCAAGAAAAATCTTGATGGAAAAAAAGCCGGCTGTAGCACGGGTGCGATAGAAAACTTGTTACTTTTACTTTGGAAATTTATCAAGACTAACACGTACTAATTCAAGCCCTCAATCTATAACTTCTTATAGCCGCTCTTTTTTTCAATTTTCTGCTCCAGATTAAACTTCTACATCAACTCAAGTCTCTTGCTCTTTAGCCTCTTGCTTTTTAGCCTCTTGCTTTTTCCAAAAGAAATAAAGAAAAAAGGATTTCAACTTTACAATGTTTCTAAACCCGTGTAAATCACTTGCTCTACTTTTCTTTCCTTATTCCCGAAATTTACAAATCTTGAGTGCTAAAATAACAAGCTTGTGTAGTTGAATCTATTTTTTTAAATCTATAAACAGAGTAAAGTAGAGGATACATGAGAATGTTCTTGAGTATCTAAAATGTCCTTTCTTGTTATTCTTTTATTGACAAATTGGACTACAAAGGTGGCCTAAAAAAGAAAAAAGAAAAAAGAAAAAAAAAAACACTAGAATTGATGAGAGAAATGGCTCTGCAAACTGTTTCTTTGCAAACAAATGAAAACAAATAAAGCTTTTCTATTGATAACTCCCATTGCAGTCAAACTTGGTCTTTTCACCACAGTGGACAAACCGTTCTTTTCTACTACAATGGACAAACTTGGTCCATTCTACTACAGTGGATAACTCGTCCTTTTCATCATAGTGGTCACAGGGTAGGTTAGCCCATAGAGGTAGGTGACTACTCAATATCTAGTTCCTCGATAGTGAGTAGTGAGTATCTCTGTGACTCTGATCTTCCTCTTCCTTCCCTCCTACATTTTATCAATCCTTTTATTTATCATCTCATTACCTCCAACAAAGATTACATCGAGCTTCTAGGGTGAAAAATTCATACTCCTGCATACAATTCCAGTCTCTCTCTCTCTCTCTCTCTTTGGTCGTGTACGTTTGGATGAAAAGTTTTTTTGGTTTTTCTGTTTTTTTCAATGCGCTACCAAGCTTACCAGGTCTATAACCCCGAAAAGTGAAAAATTTTTGTATATATCCCCATCCCATCCTATCATATATATATATATATACCTTTCTTTCTTTTCTATATACAAAGAGAAGAGCCCTTTTGTCTCCGTTTCTATATACATTCAGTTAGCCATGCCTTTCCAGAAGACCTTAAAAACATCAGCTTACCACTCTAGATTCCAAACCCCCTTCCGTAGAAGACTTGAGGGTAAAACCGACTACTATCAAAGAAAAAGATTGGTTACTCAGCACAAGGCTAAGTACAACACTCCTAAATACAGATTAGTTGTTAGATTCACCAATAAGGATATTATTGCTCAAATTGTTAGTGCTCAAATTACTGGTGATATTGTTCTTACTGCTGCTTATGCTCACGAATTACCAAGATACGGAATTAAACACGGTCTTACCAATTGGTCAGCAGCTTATGCCGTTGGTTTATTAGTTGCTAGAAGAGCTTTGCAAAAATTAGGTTTGGATGAAACTTACACTGGTGTCGAAGAAGTTGAAGGTGAATTCCAATTAACCGAAGCTGTCGAAGAAGGACCAAGACCATTTAAAGTTTTCCTTGACATTGGTTTACAAAGAACAACCACTGGTGCAAGAGTTTTTGGTGTCTTGAAAGGTGCTTCAGATGGTGGATTATACGTTCCCCACTCACCAAACAGATTCCCAGGTTGGGATATCGAGGCTGAGGAATTGGATGCTGAATTATTGAGAAAATACATCTTTGGTGGTCATGTTTCTGAATACATGGAAGAATTGATGGATGACGACGAAGAAAAGTACAAAACTTTGTTCAAGAACTATATTGCTGATGAAATTGAAGCTGAAGACGTTGAAGAGATTTATACTAATGCCCACGAGAAAATCAGAGAAGATCCTTCATTCAAACCAACTGAAAAGAAATTCACAAAGGAACAATACGCTGCTGAGTCAAAGAAGTACAGACAAACTAAATTGACTAAGGCTGAAAGAGATGAAAAGATTGCTAAGAAGATTGCTGCTTTCAAAGCTGAAAACTAAAACTGAGTGTGGTTTTTTTTTTAATACATTTCTTTTTTGATCTCATGTGTAAGATGCTGTTTATTGTCTAATGCTTATTTTCACTAATTTAAAACAAAAAACAAAAAATCTATTTCTCTTTATTTGATCGAACTTTCTCCGCATGATTGAGTAACTTATCGTAAATTTCGTCAACAACGGGGTTTGGTTTGGGTGAGTCAGAAGATACTGATCCAAAATCTTCTTTTGTTGCTGTTGTTGTTTTCGCTGTATTTGCGGTCGTTGTTGCTGCTGTTTTTGTAGTTGTTGCTGTTGCTGTTGCTGCTGTTGTTGTTGTTGTTGTTGTTCCATTGTCACCACCTTCAAAACCGTAACCTTTCCCCTCGGTTTGTTCTTGTTTGTCCTTTCCCACAGGTAGAAACTTATCAATTCCAACCTTGTTGCTATTGATCTTGTCAATTAAATCATTTACATTTTCAATTCCCTTTGCAGCAATAATAGCATCTCTCAACTCGGGTCCTGATGGTAATGAACTTAATAATGGTATATCCTTCTTTGGTATTGATCCTGATCCCGCTCCGGCTCCTAATCCCAGTTCTGCTTCTGATTCTGATTCCTTGTCACCACTCGTCCTCAGTTGAATGAAGAAATTCAATTTGTGAATCTCTCCTTCTTCAATCTCTTGCTCTTTTGCATGGAAACTTGACTGACTGATCGATCTCATCAACACCGGTCGTCCAGTAATTTTATCAATTACTACATCTTCTCCCTTTTCATTAGATTCAACAACAACTTGATGCGGTTGTAAGTGGTTTACATTATCGTTATGTGATGACGCTGCAAAGAATGATGTAATTGGTTGTGAGTTGAATGCTCTTGCTGATAAAATTGGGCCTGCAGAAATCAACTCCTTGGAACTATGGTGTAAAATATCTGGTTCATTAAGAAGTTGTCGAAATGGCTCTTTGATCTCTGGAAGAGCCAAACTTTTTCTCTGTTCTTCCTCTTCCAATTTCAATCTTGACAGTACCTTCTTTTCTTCTTCTTCTTCTTCTTCTCTTTTTTCCTTTTCCTTTTCCTTTTCCTTTTCTTCTTCTTCTTCTTCTTCTTTTTTATCTTTCACGTCTTTCTCGTACACTTTCCGTGCATGCTCTTCAAACATATGAACTAATTTCTCCAATGACGAATCCAATACACAAAATCTAACTAAAGTCTCCTTTCCATCAAAAGACAACTTCCCCTTTTTTCTTTTTTCAAACAAAACATCTATAGTTTTATGAATATCTTCACGAATCGCTCGGGTCCTTTCTAACATTGCATTGGATATGATTTGTTGGATTTCCCGATTCACTTCTTTCTCATCATTGCCTTGATAGTCTAGATCACCAAGTAGCTTCTCTGCGGTTTCCATTAGTAACGACCCATCAAACATTAAATCATCGTCCTTAGTATCTAAACTCATATGATATTGTGAGTTCATTGAGTTGTTCATATTTCTCATCAAATAAAACGCAATACGCTGAGACAATTCATCGCTGACTAAATCGTAGTCCAAGTCTAATGCAAACAATGTACTTGATTGCTTCACAGCAGAGTATAGTGTTGCTGCTGCTGAGTGATTAATATTCCGGTTTCCTAATAGCGACAAGTGGACCAAGTAAGGAACCCGGTGTAAAAACATAGAAATCGATCCTATCCCTTGGGGTGTTAGCTCATTAAGGTCTAGATGCAATCGCCTCAAGGAATGATACAATGGAAGATAATCAGCTAATGATGAGATAATATGAGGGAATAGCTTTGGTAAACTGCTCATATCTAAAAACCTCAACAGTTTAATATTTGTTAAACTTTCAAGGAAATCGCGTGCTTCTTTGACATTGCTTAAATTAGTTGAATTGATCGAAAGAAACATAAGGTTTGCACCGTTTTTATTAAACGCATCAATAAAAGGTTGCAATTGTCCTTGACTCAAATCATTAAAGGCAATGTCCACACCAAGACACTTGGCTTCTGGATCAGCTATGTAATCGGCAACAATTTGTGCTTTGGTGATATTCATTTCAATCGCGGCTACTCCTAATCTTCTTGTACCAATCTTGACTGCTTTTGTAATCAAATTGTGGAAAACTTCGTCAGATAACTTGCACCCATTTATCACCAACTCTTCTATTCCCCCACGGTATATCAATACTTGAATAAATAAATTCCAGTTTAAGTTACTTCTGATACATTCCGCTGGAGTATCCAGCCTTATCCTTTGTTGGGAAATATCCAATTTTTTAACAGTTTTGTTCTCAGCTAAAAATAAACAAAGTAACTTCCAACCTTGATCATCAATAGCAACATTTCTCAATGATAATTTCTCTAATGTACTATTATGAACTAAAGACACAAGGAAACATTTCAACATTTCTGTTGTCATTGTCACGTTATCGAAAATGACCGCATTGATTGGGGTGATAGATATAAAATCAGAAAATGATAAAACATCAATTAGTGTCGGTTTGGGATTCAACATTTTCAACACTTCTAAAGGAGCCGTTTTGTTTTTCAACTGTTTCAACGTTGCAGGAATAGGAAGAATCTCCCTTAAATGACAGCATCTGGTGTAAATAGTATCCAATAAAACTCTACTCCCATCATCATCATTGTTATTAGTAGCACTTTTTTGTTCATCATCAAAATGTTGTTCATGCATATGCAAGGGTTGATCAATGGTAGCTTCAGTAACGAATTTCTTCAGTAAAACTTTCGCATCAACTTCTTCTTCTTCTCCTTCTTCTGCTCCCCTTCCTCTTCCTCCTCCTCCTCCTCCTCCTCCTCCTCCTCCTTCTTCTTCTTCTTCCTCTTCTTGTTGTTCCTTTATCCCCTTATATTTACTCCTGTGTTGCCTAAAAGAAGCGACTTCCAGAGCGAGTCTTTTAGCTTGTAAATGGGCTTCATGTTGATGCTTTTCGGCTTCTGCAAATGCTCGCCTTTGTGCATCAATAGCTAGTTTTATATCCTTTTCACTGTATTGTTGTTGTTGTTGTGCTTGGTTTTGGCTATCTTTTGATGGATCGCTCAGAGCTATCCCTTGATATAGTCTCGATGGAGGTGCATTTAAATCTTGTGGTATTAAAACATTTCCTTTTCGTGGTCTTCTCGGTGGAATTTGTTGTTGTGGATCATACTCTAATTCATTAATTGCAAATGCAACTCTTTTCATTGAAACATCTTTTAATTCTTCTAAAGGTATGTCAACTCTATTTCTATTCTTATTCAATACAACTCGGTGTAGTTTATCATGAATTGTAGCTTTACCAGCTGCTGCTGATGCTTGTGTGACTGAAGATTTTCTACGGAAAAACCTCATACTATCATTAGTAGGAGGTGTAACAGATGTGGGAGGGCTCCCATCTAAATATGAGTCTTTGAAAATTTGACCGCCAACTGCCGCTAGCTTTGATGTGCTCGATGAACTTTTCCTTCGTATTGGGATACCAGAACCAGCAGGTAGCCTATTAGTCAGTGCCACTAAATCCTCTTGATGCTTCAAAGGATTGGTGCCAGAGCCAATTAAATTCGGATACAGTTGCCGAACATGATGCTGAGTTTGTTGTTGTGGTTGTGGTTGTGGTTGGGATTGTTGTTGTTGTTGTTGTTGTTGTTGTTGTTGTTGTTGTTGGGATGTTGATTGTGGATGTTGTTGTTGGGATGTTGATTGTGGATGTTGTGAGTTATTTGTTGATTTGAATTTTGAAGAAAGTGAACTGAATAATCCCTTCTTTAAGCTATTAGATCGTGATACATTCGGAGAAGATGTAGTTGACGAAACAGGAGTAGAAGCAGTTGATTTTTGAGCAAGTAAGTGTTCGTCGTGGTCATTATAAATCACATCTCCTGTAAAAGATGAACCCATAAAGTTAAAGCTGCTACTGCGTCTTTTACCTGTAGATGCTTGGGATGGTGAATCTTGTGAAGATGGTTTGAATTTATCTTGAGAAATTACAGATGAAGCAGACAAAGATCTCGAGCGTCCAACTAAGCGATCTAGTTTCGATGTCTTTTCTGAAGATTGGGCTTGGGTTTGAGATTGGGCTTGAGCTTGGGCTTGAGCTTGAGCATGAGATTGAGCTTGAGATTGAGCTTGAGATTGAGCTTGGGCTTGAGATTGAGATTGGGCTTGAGATTGAGCCTGGGCTAGAGCTTGAGCATGAGCTTGAGCATGAGCTTGAGCATGAGCTTGAGCTTGAGCATGAGCCTGAGCTTGAGCATGAGGTGGTTTATTTGTATTAATAATTGGTGGCTCATTGACAATTGTTTTTGCCAGTTTCAGCGGTTTCGGTCCATGTTGTGATGCTGGAAATTTCTGGTCTAAATCCACCTCTTTTTTACCATTGAGTCCCTCTTGTACTGGTTTGGCCTCGGGGTTAACATTAACACTACTACTTGCCATTTTCTTTACCAACTTCTTGGATTTACCTCTGAATAGCCAATCAACATCTCCATTAGAAACACCGGTGTAAATATCTTCATTAGGAGGTATTTGATGAGGGTTTGTTATGGTGATATAACTAGTACTTGTTGTCGTCGAAGCTGCTGCTGCTGTTGGTTGCTTATTGTTTGACTCAGCCTTTGTCTGTACCAAGGGACCACCAGCAGCCTCGGGCATATTTGCATAGGCTTTTATCTCGATGTCGACAAATTAATATAAACAACAACCAATGAAAAGTGACTCCAATGAGAAGGGAAACCAATGAGGAGTGGTCCAATGAGAAGTGGTTCAACGAGAAGTGATCCAACGAGAAGTGATCCAACGAGTTGTAAAAGAAAAAAATGATTGATTGATTTTTGGCAATAACAAGCAGCGTAGATCAAGTGAAAATTTTACTTTGTAAAGGAGAAAGATTTGATGTATAGGGTGAGGGAAGGGAAGGGAGAGTGAGTGAGTGAGTGAGTGAGAAAAGTGATACCACGAGTTTGGTTGAAAAGTAAAGTGCGGGTGGTATAGAATGATAAGTCGAGATCAATAGGCAGATGGGACCTTACTTACCATCGCGCTTGACTTTGATAATAAGAGATAAGTTTACGGCTGATACGTTTTGTTAGGATGACTCTAATGAAGGGGGGGAACAAAGTTGGAAGGAGCAAAGTTGCTGAAAGCAAAGTTGCTGAGAACGATCTATAAGATTTAAACCTACAAATCTTTTACCACGGGGTTGGTAATCTGTGGGATATGATTGGGGGTTGTAGACTAAATACTCTTTAAAGAGTACCAACATTTTCTTTTGAAACCGACACTATCGAGCAGAGCGAGATAGTGGAGCACACTAGCAACACTAGTCGACACTAGCAACACTAGCAACACTGACTAAGCTTTATGGACTTAATTTCTGGGCTATAAAAGTGTTTTTGATGGCAAGAGTTGTCTATAATTAACTCCAACTACCACTGACTAGTCATTAGCTCTAGTCATTAGCTCTAGTCATTTACTACCACTGACTCTGACTCTGGTCATTGACTCTATTGAGATTAGCTCTACCACTGACTCTAGTCATTGACTCTTATTGAGTTGTAATCCTCTTTCAGCTAAGAACTGAATTATTACTGGCTTGATATAGTTGATCATTAAATGCTTAGGTCTTGCTAGAACAACAAACTTATCTACATACCGTACATAAACAGGAACTGAACTTATCCGTGTTCTATAAACATCTTTAAGCTTTACTACAATCCTTGCTCTTTACTTTTCGTTGGTGGATATAATGCTTCCATTATAACCTTTTGCAATCCATAAAGAGAAAATTGGCCACTGACTCTAGTCATGTGCTCTATTGAGATAAACTTATTAGCTCTATTGAGATAAACTTATTAGCTCTATTGAGATAAACTTGTTAGCTCTATTGAGATAAACCTATTAGCTCTCTTGTCATCAACTTTTAATCTCTTATCGATCAAGCGGGGAAACAAAAGTAATAGAAAAACTCAAAACGTTTGAAAAGCAAGTCTAAAGTTAAAGAAAAATGTGTTTCAGGGGAAGAAAGGGGTTATGAGAGGATGAGATGAGCTACGTTGAAAAGAGCAGCAAGAATGGGAGCAACATATTCTACTTTTATGCAAAATACAATCAAATACGTGTGTTTGATTGCGGAGTTTCATGACAATGTAGTATTACATAATTGACACTATCGAGCAACACTATCGAGCAACACTATCGAGCAACACTATCGAGCAACACTATCGAGCGAAGCGAGATAGTGTCGTAACAAGCTACAAAGTGTTGCTCCACTATCTCGCTCCGCTCGATAGTGTCGCTCGATAGTGGAGCATTGACTGTAGCAAGTCCACCCCTGGGGACCATGCGGGTGGTGTGGACGTGTGGAGATATAAGAATTCATGTATTAGTATTAGGTATAAGGTGTAGAGATGTATTAGAAGTAGGTATAAAGTGTAGAGGTGTATTGATACTAGGTATAACGTGTAGAGGTGTTGCTAGTGTGCTCCACTATCTCGCTCCGCTCGATAGTGTGTCGCTCGATAGTGTGTCGCTCGATAGTGTCGCTCGATAGTTCAACCAATTACAAGCCATCAAAAGAGGGGTTGATAAATTTCATTCACTTTTCCATTTTCCGGCTCCGTTACTTATTTCCAATAAAAGGAGTAATGATGGTAGTGTTTATTGTGACAAAAGATTAAAGAGATAAAAAAAATGATCTAATAACAAAGGAGAAAAAGGTAGTGTAAATGTGCTCTCTTTTATTTTATTTTTTTTGTTTTTTTCCCCTAAGAGCTGGAAGGTTCGTCATCAATTATACATAAAGACGCATTACCATATAAATACAGTTTGCAATAGGAAAAGAAAAAGATTACAATTCAACATTAAGCAAAGACAAGAAAAGGAAAGACAAGGAAAGGAAAGACAAGGCAAGAGAAAAAAACATTTTTAAGACAAGCTAAAATCTCAAGATAAAGACAAGATAAATATATATATTAAAATTACACCACCTTTACTTGTTTTTCTATAATAGCTTCTTTCCCAATATCAGATATTCATATTCATATTCATTTTTTTTTTTTTAAATACAAGTCATGTTTTCAAGAGCCATAATAAGAAACTCCAAACAAGTGTTTAGATTACAATCCTTGAACACACTTAAGCCATCGAATATTGGTTTGCTTACGCAGGCCCCGCTTTGCAACATATCTCCACTATCAACACCACAACAGCAACAGCAACAGCACAAAAGATTATACCATGAAAAAGTTATAGACCACTATGAGAATCCAAGAAATGTAGGAACATTAAACAAGAATGATACAGATGTAGGTACAGGTCTCGTTGGCGCGCCGGCATGTGGTGATGTGATGAGATTGCAAATAAAAGTTGATGAGAAAACGGGCAAGATTGAAGACGTCAAATTCAAGACATTTGGTTGTGGTTCTGCTATTGCCAGCAGTTCATATGCTACAGAACTAGTTAAGGGTAAAACTTTGGATGAGGCTCTTGCCATCAAAAACACTTTTATAGCCCAGGAATTAAGTCTACCACCTGTTAAACTACACTGTTCTATGTTGGCTGAAGATGCAATCAAATCAGCTGTAAGGGATTATAGATCAAAAAGAAGCATTAAAAAACCTACTTTGGGACCAGAGGCAGTTGCATCTGAGCCTGCCGTTGCCGCAACCGCTTAAATTTACTATTTCTCTACTATCGAGTGGAGCAATACTAGCTACCACCAACAGTATCGACACGAAGATGAGAGCATTGACTTGAAAAAGAAATGATGAAATAAAGAAAAAATGAAAAAAAAATGAAAAAAAATGGGAAAAAAAAAGAAACCTGGTGAAATAGACGAAGGGCGTTTTTCTTAAAGTAGTTGCGATTATTTTACTTATAAGTTGTTTTAAACATTTTACAAACTAAAAGTTGAAAAACAAAGATGTTTGGTCAAAATCATGGCAGTCGGATTTGAAAATTGTTTAGTCAAAATCATGGCAGTCGGGTTTGAAAGTTGTTTAGTCAAAATCGTGGCAGTCGGGTTTAACCTAAACTATTTCAGCTGGGTTTAGTTTGTAATTTTTTTATCATGTGTTTCTATCTTGAATCTATTCATTTTGAATCCACAATGAATTCCACTCCCCGCCCAACACCCATTCCCTTTCTAATTGGATAAAAATTAAGAGAACCGAGGCACAATGGCCCATTCCAAACAAAGGAGCCTCAACTCCTTTTTTTTTCTTTCTTTTTTCTTTCCATCTTTTCTTTTTGGTGCTAACTCCGTCTGCGCATAAAATTATCCCAGCCCATATTATTTTAAGCTAATCAGTATGCCCCCACACTATCTCGCTCTGCTCGATAGTCTTGGTGTCTAGTCAAGAAACAGATGGTAATTGCGAGTGATGAAGGGTTATGTTATAGCAGAATCGTCTCTTATGTATCACTATGTAATGTAATAGTTTTGTCGCGTCCTCTTCCCCAGCTAATCTTTTTCTCTAGGCGAGAAGGACTACGACGATGGACTGAAAAAAAAAATTGAAAAAAAAAAACACCGGTATCTCCGGTCCAATGAATACTTTTTTATTATTCAGATAGAGCAGCAGGATTATCTTTTTTTTTTTTTGCAATCAAAATAAAACATTAATTTAATAAATACATGAATGAGTATATAAGTATACCTCTATAGCAAAAAGGAATTGATATACTTTGTGAAAGTTCTACCAATGAAATCAGCTTCACCCGCAATTTCCTCTCTTTTAAATAAATAAATGCTTATACAGCCACATATACCCAAACAATTAACTACACTTAATCCTATCCTTTTCCAATTCTTACTATATAGTCCCTTTAGTTTCATCACCCCGTTGGTTGTATGATACGACATCACCCAAACAAGTCCAGTTAACAAAAAACAATTCAATAAAGTATGCTTCAACTTCAATGCATATGAGATGTAACTTAAGTTGACAAGTGACGAATCTCCTTCAATGGCATAGGGGATATACCTAAATTTGAAAATATGGGATAGTACAAATGGCAAACTCAAATATCCCAGAAACTGCAATGGTGTTAAGCCAAAGAGCTGTGATGTAAATGATCTTCTATACCCTAAACCAACCAAATTCGAAATGCCTCCAAAGCCTATATCGTCGTCAGTTTCCTTGATGACTATCTTGTTATTCAGTAAATTTTTCTTTATCTGGTGCATCGTCTTATTTTGCGTCTTGTTGTTGTTTTTGCTCCTGCAAAAGCGCAAAGCTATCCCCAGTAGAACATGAACTATACCTGAACCAAAAATGACAAATGGTTCATAAAACGGTATACCCTGATACACTGCTTTCGCCAAGCTAAATACTTCTTCTTTGATATCTTTAGATATAGGGAAAATCGGCACTATCACAACAGATGTCAAATGTATACCAAGAAAGCTTAGAAATGTATATGCGCTATATTTTTGAAGTTTATAAAGCAAAGACAATATCCATCGCGATATTGGCGGTTTATCATGTGGATGTGACAACGGCTGCAGCAGCTTATTATTACTCTTGTTGAAAGCAGGCTCTTCCAATGTATAAATTGGACTCGGTGCTATCTTATGAAGCTCCTCAACTGGCATCCTACAATAAAGCTTAAACTCTTGAACAATCAGCTATTTGGAAGACCTCTTGCTTGAAAGAAAGAGAAAAAAAAAACCCCCATACTTTTATTCGCTACCCGATTGGATTTATTTTTATTTTTTCTGGCAAGTTTGCACTACTCGTAGAAACAAGAGAAAAAAAAAAAAAGAGTACAGCATCATTCTTTAGGGGTTTATATTAGTATAGGTACTAGTAGTAGGATGTATCATTAGGCAAAGCAAGCAATTCCCATAATCTGTAGAGCATGTCATCGTCATCGTTCTCTCAAATACGATCTCAGGCGTTGAGTCTTGAGAAACAAACAGAATCGTTGTTGTCCAAGTACTCGCAGTATCAACAATCCTCTTCACAGTCATTGGAAAGCACCGAGGATGAACTGCATACTAAGCAACAAATCAACGATATACTTGGCAAACGTACAACAATAATAAACAAGTTGAACCGTATAAGCGAATCTTCTATAAACGAATCCTCGTTATCTACATCCAAGCTTCAGCAAATTTCACGACATCGGGAAATTCTTCAAGACCATTGGCGTGCGTTTAATAGAATAACTTCACAATTAACCGATGAGCGAAATAGAAACAATTTGCTCTTTTCAGTACAATCGGATATTTCCTATCATAAACAGCAGCACCAGCGTCGACCAGGACAAGCTGGTTCGACAGAAATCAATGATGACCCAAATGCCTACATCTTGGAAGAAAGTCAACGTGCAGACAATGTAAACTCGATAGCTGACAGGTTATTACAAGGAGCAATGAATACAAGAGACGAGTTGATAAACCAACGACAATTTTTGCAAAATGCTCAAGTGAGAATAATGTCTAGCTTACAAGGAGTGCCCGGTATTAATGTATTGATTTCAAAAATCAATACTCGAAGGAAAAGAGATACCTTGATTTTGGCTAGTGTCATTGCCATTTGTATAGTGCTTTTATTCTTTGTATAATAACACTATCGAGCAGAGCGAGATAGTGTTGTGACAAGCTACAAAGTGTTGTTCCACTATCGAGCAGAGCGAGATAGTGTTGTGACAAGCTACAAAGTGTTGTTCCACTATCGAGCAGAGCGAGATAGTGTTGTGACAAGCTACAAAGTGTTGTTCCACTATCGAGCGACACTATCCCGTTCTGCAAAGTATTACTCCACTATCGAGCAAAGCAACACTATCTCGCTCTGCTCGATAGTGTCGCTTGATAGTGTCTCTCGATAGTGTCCCTACCGATATAATATGTCTATGCGACAATCCTCGCACAAAATTTAAAAATAATTGTCTAAAGATTGATGTATAAATTAACGTGATGAAATATATATAGAGTTGTTTTATAACATTATATTGTATATCTACAGCTCATACAGTAACCTCCACAAGCTATCAAGTGTTGCTCCACTATTTCGCTCTGCTCGATAGTGTCCTCTTACAATGAGTAATAATATAAATAGTCAAATTGACAATCAAATCCAATTTATCAAATTAAAAAGAATTCAACAGTTAAATACTCGACTTATAAAAACTTTGCAAAGAGAAAGAATACCAGCTTCAAAAGCCTCGGAATTGTGAGTTAAACAATCATCGTCTCTTTTTTCCGTATCATCATCTACTAACTATATGATTTTTCTTCTCTTGTCTTTCTATCTGCTTCTAGAATTATTAACTTTGTTGAAGAAACTCCAGATTATTTAATCCCATATAATTGGAAATTACCTCCAGAACAAAATAAGTTTGCAAGATACCAGCATTTCAGGAGCTTAAACCGTGCCTCAAGGCAACATGTCAACACTAATTGTTGTATAATTATGTAAAAAGATAAATCTTTGAATATACAAATTAAAGTCAAAAAAAAAAAAAAAAATTAAAGAAAACAACAACAACGAATAATCTCTAGTCCATATCTGTTCTACTCATCCACCCTTTTGCAACCCTTCCTTCTCCAATCTCAAATTTCTCAATTTCTCCATACTCTCTCCTTTCAAGGTATAATCACTCTCCAATTCGTCTGAACCACATCCACAGTCATAATCTTTAAGAATAGTAGTACAATCGTACTCGTTCTTCTTTAATCTTTGGTTGACTTTGTTATGTATATAGCACCCCCAAATAGCTGCTGTTTTCCGACTCTTTGTTTGCGGTGGAAATTGCGCTAATAATTTTTGGAAATGACGTGCACAATCTCCACAGGGATAAACTTGAGCAAATAACTGGATATATGTAAACAACGTAGTTTCTTCTTGTTGTGTTGGTTTATCGGGATATCGTGCTAATATGGTATGGAACAATCTCCATGATGCTCTGCCTAGTTCTTGCTTTAATTCTTCATTGGCCATTTTCGGCATAAATGCTGTGGTGGTGTACCTACCGGTTTCCTCGGCTGAAACCGGCTGATTACCATGATTACCATCTACAGTCTCATCACTTGTTGACCCTTGTAGTGGTTGTTGTTGTGCATTCTGTTGTTTAAATGAATCTACCTCGTTTTTTTCAGAATCTTTAGTTAAGTTTATTGGGAGTGAATTTCCAAGCGACTTAGTTGAGGAAGTTGTCATGAAGTAGAGTACACATAGTAAAGCCACCAACAAAACAGCGCTGAATAAAGGCCTTCTGGTATGCATTGACATCGTCATTGAAATTGAAAAGAAACAATCAAGAAAAAAGCAAAGTGGCAGAGATTGTTCATCATACTTTTGTATTTTTTTTCCACTATAAAAAACATCCGATATCAGAAAGTACTAAAGATAAGAAAAACTAGAAGGAAAAATAGAAACGACTGGGGGGGGGGAGAAAAAGGGGAGAGGCAGAGTGGAGAGGTAGGGGGGGGAGAGAGAGAGAAAGGAGGGAGGGGCAGAGTGGAGAGGTGGGGGAGGGGCCTCTGATTAAGTATGTATATAGTGTATAAAGAGCTTCTTTCTCTCTTCTAGATGCTTTTCTTACCCGGAAGAGTAGCCGCGTCCAATACTCCAGGTAAGGGAGTGTTACCAATACTAGCCATCAACTTAATGCCAGCCACGGTAACCAATAATAGGGCAATTGTAGTCCATAAGAATAAATTTGCTTCAACGGATACGTCACGTTTGGCACAATCAGATCCGACCCAGTTTGTTGTTTTAGATGTAGTTTTATTGAAACTGGGCAGACAAACACAACCCCATTTTATCTGGTCATTACCATTACTATTATTGTTCATCTCTTTACATTCTCCGTGAGAATTACAATTGTTTGTGCCTATTTCGCAAGCTTCTTTTGTGCCATATCCAAACACGGAAGACGTCTTTATCAACTCATCTGTTCGTTTACTCAAATGCCTGATATCTTGAGAGGTTTTAGTTGTGGAAACAATCAAGATGTTGAATTGTTGACCCATTGAATTCAACAAATTGTGCAAAACTTGTTTTGAATATTTAAAAGTCGACGATTGTGAGCCAATTTTACGCTCTATTGATAACAATGACGACAATTGAATAATAAACACGTCACGCGAAGAAACGTTTGCAGCATTTTGTTTAACATATTCTTGTAAATGGATTAATGTAGCTAATTCATTTATGAATATTTGATCATTCGTAGGAGAATACGAGGCCATCACCTGTTGCTTTTGTTTTTGTTGTATCGTCTGTTTCTCGTTTAGAGTGAATTTCTTCCAAATATGGTCTCTTTTTTGTTTAAAGTACTGGAAATGATGAAACAAATCGACAAAGTCTTGTGGCGAAGCTAGTGCTAGCTCACTAGTTAACAGTCTTGCCCATTTGTTCTTAACCACAAAGCCTTTAAAGTATGAATTCAATTTATCACCAAAAGTGTGAATTAATGGCTTGTAATCATCAAATGCAACACCTTTTAAATTAACAAGCAATTTCGGTTTACCATTATGGGAATCGTATTCATATTGCTCATTCAACGCATCAACCAAATTTTCCTCCTTGTCATCCAATATTACCTTTGATTGACCAAGGCCAACAAAGGCGTCTAGATATACTTGTATGCTATCAGTTGATAACTCTGGCGACTCTGTAGTAAGCAATTCGCTATTCTCGTTGTGCTGCTGCTGGTGCTCATTTAAAACACGATATATTGAACTAATGGGCTTATTAGAGCTCGTATAAGCATGTACAACAACTACCGACGAAAGTACTGACCAACAACTAACCAATATATTAAATCTCATCCTTCCTTCAAGAGCCAGTACAGTGAGAAAAAGGAGATTGGGGGGGGAAGGGGGGTGCTTTGTTTCAATATAACTCAAGGGTCTATATCTTCTTCCTTGCTAGTTAGAAAAACAAATCAACGCTTCAACCGAAAAAAAAAAAGAGAGAAAGTATTCTACGCTACCAAATGATATTCTTTCATCTTAATAAATAAAGCAATGGATGGATGGAGAGAGTTAGCTAAAATGTTTCGTCCAAAGTTATTGTTGGAGACAATGGGAAGTCCAGCTTCATGGGGGATGGGTTTCCCGCTGATTTGGTGGAATCGTCATTTGTTGCACTGCCACTGCTAGTATCTAATCTCAACTCTGGTTTAAATAGAGTCTTTGTAGATCTACGCCTTGCTGGGGCGGCATTATTGCAAATACCCATACCCTGTGGCAATATGGGAGATAATGATGTTGGACTTTTCGGTCTTGCAGCTGCATTAGCTGCATTAGCTGCATTTTCCTCTTCGTCCTGTTTCAATTCATCCAATTGTTCATCGCTGTTGTAATTTCTCAAATTTATCCCTAATTTGGATAAATCAGACAAGACGTTGAACTGGGCGGGTTCGGGCTCAATATATTCTAAAGTTGTTGCTGAAACATTGTTATTATTCTTGGGATCGTTATGGAAAGCTCTAAAGTTAGCTAAACTCTTGGTGACATTGAGGTGATCATTGGTGATGGATGTTGACGTTTCCACTTGGTCATGAGACTTGGATCGTTGAAGGAGATTCTCTTGTAATGAAATCTTGATATATGAATACGGTTTTAGCAACTCTGTTAAAAAATCCAACGTCTGCTTTGCTATTGCCTCGCTATCGAAAATAACAATGATCCGGTATAGAAATGGCAAAACAGACCAATATACAATATGCTGCATGATATCATCACCAGTGTTTAGCACACTTAGCTTGATTTGGTCTACTAACGACAAATTCTTGGATACCAACTTTGGCTCTTGATGGCTAGTAGCATCATCATTATTATCATTATCATTAGGAAAAGGTATGATGAAGTCATTCTTGTTCAAATTGGATATAATAAGCGAGGTTTTAGGAGCTGAAGAAGACAAGGACAAAGATAAAGACAACGTAGGGGATCTGGATGGTGCTGACATATTCAAAAGACGGGACAGAAATGTAGTAGGAGAAGAAACCTTCCAAAAAGATGGATATGAATATATATATGTATATAGATCTCTCTTTACCAAAAAAGAAAAAGAGGCTTGGATAAATTTTAGATACAATGTCGCAAATATTTTTATTGTCGCGAACAATTTTCGTCATTGCACCACTGGTTTGATTTTGATTTGATTTGCATTTACATTTCAAAGTATAAGTGATAATGAAATGAACAATTGGGATTAAATGGACTTTGACAAGAAGGACAAACCAGTTTACTAGTGGAATACTCCTTTATACTCATTTCGTGGAAACATTCACCACATAAAACAACCATGTCATTATCTTTAATGTTGTATTTTTCAATGTCATGATTTGTTAACTCTTGATGACATTTGAAACATGGAAAATATGTTTGACAACATTTCACTTTAATAGCTATTATGTCTAGTTTTGAGTGATAATGGCAACATCGTGTATTCTGGTCTACAAGCTGGCCTGTTATTGATACACTGGTGCTGACCTGCTGGTGTTGTGAGATCCTTGGAAGGGACATACTTATTCTTTCTTTTTTGTTCTCTCCCTCTCTCCAAATCCAAACCCGTATGGAAAATAAGTCAAAGAGTGGGTAAAAGTTTAGGCTGTTGTAACCACAAATAGATAGAAAACGGGAGGATGGAGAAATCACGAACCATACCAAAGAGTAGAAAGCCTCATAAAAACATCATTTTCAACGAAAAAAGAAGGAAAAAAAAAAAAAAACTACCCCCCTCCCCCAGTTGTTAACTCAACCTCAATGTTGACTCAACCTCAATGTTAAGTCAACCTCAATGTCAACTCAACCTCAATGTTAACTCAACCTCAATGTCAACTCAACCTCAATGTCAACTCAACATCAATATCAACTCAACCTCAATGTCAACTCAACCTCAATGTCAACTCAACCTCAATATCAACTCAACCTCAATGGTTTCCTCAAACAATGGGGTTGAGTCATCTCTTTTCTTCCCCCACTCCCCTCATAGTGTTCACACCCATACAAAGGACGTCCAATTTGTAACAAAAAAGTTGCCTCTCTACTCTGGACATTTACGAGAGTAAGCTCCACCTCTCTCCGCTCTTTTATCAAAAATATTGGACTTCGTAAATGCTCCTTCCTAATATGGCTAAATTACTCAAGTTTTGTGTGCATTTTATTTTTTCTTTTATTTTTTTTTTGTCCCATCAATAAAAATGGATATATTATAGATGATAAATTAGGTCCTATAACCTCATATTGTATCCCAATACTTGTTAACTAGGAGCTTTTGTAACTACTCAAACTTTTATAATTATTGATCTATGTATGACACCATCACCTGCATACCAGGTACTTATCCATCGCCCATTTGGATCTGACTCTTTTGGAGTCATTCGACAATGGGTCAAGGGGATGGTAACAATGTTACTAGATTAGAAAGTTGAAAACGGTACAGGGAAGAAACTAAATGGAAGAAAACATTTACCCGAAAACACTTACCCGCGTGTTTGAAGAAAAAAAAAAAAAAAGAAAAAGAGAAAAAGGAAGGAGAAGGTCATTTTTCCTTCTAAAGGAAGTAGATACGGCGTGACTGCTACTCAATTCATATTACCTTTGAGTTTTAGTTGTGTCCTTAGCTTCATCCATCCCCTCCCCCACAAACATCTCTCACTGTATAAAAAAAATAACACAAGGTCGATCCTTCTTTAGACTATTGCAAAATTGCAAAACTTTTGCAATAGTCTGGAGTATGGAGTCTGGAGTATTGACTATTCCAATTAATACTAGTTTTTCTTTTTTTTTTTTTCTTTTTTCGCTGCAATTTTTACAAAAGTTGTAACAAAGGTTCGTCTTAGAGTAAATTAGACACACTGCCTTCTGAAAAAAAGCATCCATGAGATAAATCCTTTCAAGTTAAGAGAAGTAGGAAGGTGATGCTTCGGATATATGACTCACAGCAACAACTTGGGATAAATAATATTAGAAGTTGTGATATGCACTGTCTGTCGTAAACTGCCCTTTGAAACAGTAGGTACTTTAACAGGAACAGAAAGAAAAAAAAGAAAGAAAGAAAGAAAAAAAAGAAAGAAAGAAAGAAAATAAAAACAAAGAAAAAAAAAAGGCTATTTTTAACGATGAGGAAATTGACCAATCTAATTGTTTTGGGCTAATGAGATTGGTAATGAAGAGTATCAGTCAATCATGAACAAAAAGACGTTGTACGAGAAACTAAGCAGTATGAATAAGTAGTAGTCGTAGTAGAAGTTTAGTTAAACAATAAAAGAAAGAAATAAAGTAGATACATTGACATTGAACCTGGCTTAGGTCCATGTTCAATGTGTCACATTTGAATCCATTGCTTTGATTGCATGGTATTTGCTATACTAACCATGTGGCCATCACAACAACTCAGCTACTATTGAATAATAAATTTTCTTCTTTTTTTTTTTTCTTCTTTTCTTTTAGTTTACCCCTCTCCTTAACAAGAACTTGGACTAAGAAGTAGGGAAAAGGAGTTTCCTTAAACTCTCCTCTTTTTTACTCTTTTCTCATACACAACCAGTTTTTTTACTAGTTGTTGTTGACCTAATCTATGATATTCTTTTTTTTTTTTCTTTTCTTTTCTTTTTTTTTTTCTTTTCTTTTCTTTTTTTTTTTTTTTGGAGAGAATACCATGTGTATTGTACCATACCTTAACAACGTGTGGGACGTATTTACGACAAGAGGTGAATTTACGATAGTATTTGACAATCGACAAGTTCTAAAAAGAAAAAGCAATTGAAACAAATGTTTCAAATTGAGGTTTACTAATTCATGGTTAATCATACGTGTATAACGACAGGGTGCAGGGGAGACCCTTAGCACGAAGTCTATTTTTTTAGATACTCACAAAGTAAAGATATAGTCCAAACAGCTAGGCTTGGTGCATGATTGGAATAGTCCAAACAGCTAGGCTTGGTGCAGGATTGGAATAGTCCAAACAGCTAGGCTTGGTGCAGGATTGGAATAGTCCAAACAGCTAGGCTTGGTGCAGGATTGGAATAGTCCAAACAGCTAGGCTTGGAGCAGGATTGTAAATCTTTTGACAGTGTAATAAAAGAAATAAAAAAACACCATGACAAATATTCTCTCTTTGTGATTTGGTTTTGAAGCTGGTGTGTGATATTGGCAAAGTGCATTACTAAATGTAATAACTAAAATAAAAGAAAAAAAGAGCCCTGTTGCACAAAAGAAAAAAAGGCTTTTGATGGGTGGTATTGTGCGCGCGCTTGAGGCAGTGTGCATCTGACTGCTGTGGCGAAGAGAGGGATTGGTGGTTAGTAGGTGAATGAGTAAGGAGTAACGTGAATTAGTAATCCATTAGTTAATTGAACCCTTTCAATTATTATAGGATAAAAACTCGTCGAGGAAAAATGGAGCGATGATTTAAATGCCATGATATTTGTCCTTGCTCAAAGTAAAAGGGGTTAAGATAACCCCTTTGAGATTAAAGAAAATATTGCAATTTCATCTATATGTATAAAATACTCACTATACGGTGTACTACCTAAAAGATGTGGTAGCAGTATCTCAAATCATATACTTTTGTGTGTTATTCAAAGGGAGTCTCACAAAGTGTTTATACCAATAATCTTTAATGTTTATTTTTTTTTTCAATTGAATTGAAAAATGATTGAGGAAAATATATAAAGGGGGAGGACGCAAGGGAGGAAGAGGAGATGTGATAATATGTGGAGCGTGGGGCTCTTACTTGTATGTCATATTGTACTATTTCTACATTTGTAACTATACTTGATTGAATCCTATGTAGACAGAGTGTTTATATGGTATATTCGGTGATGATATTCGTATTGAACTCCATAAAGTTTCATCGGATTTTTTTTTTTTTCCACAGATTTTTACACTATTGAGATTGTAACGTACCTGTCAAACCTCCTAAAAATCAATCACAAAGGTACATAATAATCTGCCAACTAGTTTGGAGGTAGAGAAAAAAAAAGTGGAGATTAACTGGATTGGGAGTTGGGCATTGAACGTTAGAGCATAAGATATGTCAAAAAGAAAAAAATGATAACCACCCGCTAAATGTAACCTCATACGATATTGTTAACCAGTAATCGCCAATAACGTAATCACTAACAATTTAATACTGAAGCTTGACTTTAGGTAGAAAAAAAATTTTGAAAGCCAGATTTTGAAGGTTGGTTTCTTTTTTTTTTTCTTCTAGTAAAGTCTTGATACTTTTTTTTGAATTGCAAAAGGAAGTTCGTATAAACAGGTGCACTGATGTTTTGTATTGCTATGGGAAACCAAAAAAAAGGTTTGTTGAATACTGGCCCTTAGTTAATATCGTATGCTTTAAATCTTTTCTTTCCATTCACTTTATTGTGGCTGTTTTAACGAGGAGTAAATTATTTTTTTTTATCTGAGAGTATATATTATTGGTGAGGAGTAATAAAACAATCTGTATAAGAATACTGAGATTTATCTCTCATCGATATTATATTTAGCATCAAGTGGCGACACTATCGAGCAGAGCGAGATTGTGGAGCACACTAGCTGCCAGCACATAATTGCAATTGCTCTGGAGTTTTATATAGCTTATGAAAAAAAAGAATATAAACGCTGAGGGAGGAGTAAGGCCTTGCCGAGAAAGTAAAAACAGCAATAACAAAAATACGGTTCTTTTTTTTTGGTTTTATGGTTGTTGTAATGGGTAGGTTTAGTCCATTGCTATTTCTTCAACTAATGTACAAGAGAATTATCATCTAAGGTATATAACGAAGAACCCTATCTTTCTATTCACATAATTTAATCAACTTATGCAACATCCATCGAAGTTTGAAAAGGGAATTGTTCCAACTCAACTTTAAGGTTGTTTTTTTTTTGTTTAAACTCTCAGTTGAACAGTCAACAATACTTTCCATGTTGTTATTACCACCTCCTTTTCTTTTTTCTTTTTTTGTCCTTCCCCTATCTATGATTTCTATTCTTCTTAGTTAAGTTGCACTTATCAAGACAATAGGATTGTAAAATGGGCCATGTACCCATGGTTATACATACAAAGTTTACTACGATATTCTCTCCTCTCTCTCTCTTTTTTTTTTCTCCTTTCTTTTTTAACCTTATCTCGATTCCATGGTGTATTTTAAAATAATGAAGTTCGGACTTGAAGAATGGGAAGAATTGGGAAAAAGTTGTCTTGTTAACCATAAACTGGACTTCTTATTCCTTTGTCTTGTAAACCAAAATGATTTGATTTCCATTTTCCAGTTTTTCATTGCAAAATGCGGAGAAAACAAGAACCGTTGGAAATAGAATTAGGTTACATACGGGTAAACCAACGGTGGGTAAACCAACGGTGGCATATGGACATTTGCCTCCTCCATACCCCTGGATTATGATAAAAATCCCTCAATTGACATACTTAAAAATGTTTCAGAAATGTGTTTCATGAGTTTCATGAGTTTCATGAGTTTTATGAGTTTTATGAGTTTTATGAGTTACATACCAATTAGAGAGAGGGGGGGTTTTAGGTGGGATTTTGAGCTACCGTCAAGTCACCTAAATTCGAAACTAATTGCGAGGTTCCTGTCCGGATATGTCTATAAATGTGCAACTTCGATGTTTCATGTAGTACTGATTGTCAACTCCCAAATTATGCCCTAGTAACTCAACTTAAGATGGGCTCTATTGTCTTTTCTTTTCTTTTCTTTTTTTTTTTTTTTTTTTTTTTTTTTTTTTTTCCCCTTTTTTTCTTTTTTTTTTTTTNTTTTTTTTTTTTTTTTTTTTTTTTTTTTTTTTTTTTTTTTTTTTTTTTTTTTTTTTTTTTTTTTTTTTTTTTTTTTTTTTTTTTTTTTTTTTTTTTTTTTTTTTTTACTTTGCACCTACGATGACTACTGACTTAGTTGCTGCATGATTAGTTACAAAGCAATAGTCACGAAATAATTGTTAACAAAACCAAGTGACAAAAAGACATTGAGAGTAATCTCGAGAAATACCAGCTCACAAAACAAGAATCTTTTTCCAAATCTGGTAAGGTCCCATCTGGTCTTTGATGATCTCCCCTCTCTAACACTTCACTTCTGCGCATACTCTCTTTCTCTCTTTCTCTCTCTTTTTCTGTTTTCCTCTTTCTCTCTCGTTTTTCTTCTCAATCTTCCTCCTCCCTATCTCCATATCATTCTGGATAACCGTATTGCTTAGAGCTTGTTGATAAAGGCGGTTAGTCTATTACCACTTTACTCAAGATTTTCCAAAAAAGAAAAAAAATTACATAATTCTCCATCTACATGAATGCATAATATCTTACATAAACAATTATAACTATGCATTTTTGTGCTGACTAGTTTAGGTTGACAAGATAAAATATGTGGGCAATTATAAAACATTGCTTATGTAATGCACACTTTTTGTTAGCACTAGTGATCTTATTTCTTATGTAATCTATTGAAAAAAGAAGATTATGTACTATTACATAACTCATGCAATGTCTATTTTTAGTTTTGCAATTTCTTGTCGTTTTTTATTTTCTTTTTTTTTAGTTCATTTTTAAATTAAATTGACATTGACACACCCACACGCACAAACCCCCTCAACGAGCGGCCCCCTCCTTCCCCCCCCCCGAAGTTACTAAGCTAAGATATACAGATATAAATAGGGCCTGTATTGCACATAACAATATAAATACATTATAATACGCATTATCAAGTTGCACCTTTATAAAAGCTCTATAAATACTCGACCCAACTACAAATTAACCTAACTCTATCACTACACAGGCTAATTACTTATATTCACTACACAGGCTAATTACCTCTATTCACTACTTAGGTTAATACTCAAGTTATCCACTGTCCAGTTTAATCGCTGCTCAGTTTGACATCACACATTATAGAATGTTACAATCGCCCTTTACATTTGATTCTTCAAAGAGGAGGAATAGAGGATTACTAAACACTTCACGCTCAACCCAAACTCAGGCTCAGGCTCAGACTCAGACTCAGGCTCAGACTCAGGCTCAGAGTGCTACTACTCCAAGAACACCCGAGACTGTTGACATTAGGCCGCTTTATACCTGTAATCTACACTTGCATCCACCAACACCTACAGTAACACAACTTTTGGATACTCCGCCATCTTCGTCAATACGTAAACCCAAGAGACAACGTACGATGAATACAACACCAGCCAATCTTTCACCAACTAATACGGGCTCGAGCTCAAGGTTAAGGTTAAACTCCAACCCAAACTCAAGTTCAAGTTCAAGTTCAAGTTCGAGCTCTACGTCTAGATTGGACACCTGGTCCAGAACAATCGCCGCCACCGCCACTATTATCAACACAAGAGCAATTCAAGAGGCGGCACCAATGCTTATACCTATGTCTACTCCAGAATCCTTTTCAACACCCTCGGTAGAAGCCTCGATCGAGTCAAACCTCAGACTAATTCAACTCAAGCTTAATACTTTGGAAGCATCAAGTGTCAAGTCAGACATTGAACGAATACTAAGGACAACCATTAATGAACTTACGAATGAAAGAGCTAGACGGAAACAATTACCAAGAAGATTATACACTGAGTTTATGGTGAGCGATGATGAGGATGAGGAGGGGGATGAGGAACAGCAAGTAGTGGATGAGGAGAGTAGACGTGCTGATTTCCTGTTTGAAACTCCAAGAGACCAAATATTGAGCCGACTGATGACAGTGCCTCCACCAATAGTAGATACACCAAGACCAGGACCTATTTGTAGAAGATTATTTGATCTGGATTATGAGGAGGAGGATGTCGCAGAGGGCGAGAGGTGGAGAGGAAGAGGAAGAGGAAGAGCAGCAGCAGCAGCAGCAGCAGCAGCAGGAGAAGGAGACGAAGAAGAATTAGAGGAAGAGTTGCCATGTTTTATACTTTCAAATTTACAGCAGCTGCTGGTTCTGTGATAGTGGTGACAGCTTTACCCATAGAAATTTGCTAATATTACAACCCTGGTTGGTTGAGTACAGTTATTTCTTGATAATTTTTTTTTCAATATGGACCGCTAGAAGGTGATTTTACACCCATCTGGGTTTGTTTTTTTTTTTTTTTGAGGGAGTGAAACCTTTACTTCACCTTGTTTATTAGAATCATTTCGTTAGATCTGGTTAGTTGATCTAGTATTTGTTTTATTATATATTGTAAAATATACATTTTGATCCTCTCTTTCCATATTCACCATTTATTTTGTACCACTTGTCTTTCAAGATCTTTCTTGACACCGTTTTCCTATTGAGGACTTATTGTTTTGCTTGTCCTCCCCCTCTCGGATTAGATACATCTTTAAAAAGTGTAACTTACTCCAATAATAATAAGATTTCCTTTTTGAGTAATACACGATGTCACTAAAAAAGCCCCGATAAACCTTTTGTTTTTTTTTCCTCCCAATAGTGCCAGACCAGGGAAGTCAAAAGTTAAAAAAAAAAAAAAGATTTATACTTTTCAATTATATCATCAACTGAATTATAGTTTTCTCTTTGGAAAGTCAAAATTCAAGGGGGAGGGGGAATTGTCAACGAGAGAAAAGTTTATATGAGTCTCAACCCAAGCATGCCTTTCATTATCTTCTCTGCATCCAGTCTTCTCTGTTCCCCACCTCTACTTACCTTCTTTCCTCCTGGCCCCACACATACATACCCCCCGTCTGTCGTCTCCTAAAAAAAAAAAAGAATGCAAAGTGTCCTTTTCATTGTTGAGTTAGAGTGGATTAGTATCGGCTTTGAGAATTGAAGCTTTTCTGCCTTCACATATGATGTAAGCATCACTATTTGTAAGCACCATATATATGTAAACAACATATATGCAAGCTATATATATGCAAGTATCAATATTTGTAAGCTATCTTTAAAATGAGGGTTTTTATTTCTTCAAGAGTTCATCACCATAGAGTGTAAAAAAAAAATGACACCTTTCTAGTTGCTTTTTTTTCTTCTTTATTTTTCGCATAACTATTACCATCTCTTCTGTTTGATTCAATTTGACTGAATTCTAAAGCCACTTTCACTACGATTTCATTGAACAAATACATAGTGGTGGAAATTAGTAAGCTCCGTTTACTGATAGAGATAAAGATTGTAGCTCTTACTTTTCAGATGATGTAATCTAGATAACGCAAAAAGAAAAAAAAAAAAAAAAAAAAAAAGGACATCTCTTGAACAATTTACACGATAAATGAATATGGAAGCAATATTTACAATAATGGCTCAAACAATTTTGTGATGTGCAAGTGTTTTGTTGGGGTTCAACTCCGTGGCAGACTTAACCACTTAACGTAGTGAAATGCATTTGATTTGAGGAAATAACTATTCTAAACGGAATTCTTATCATGCTTTTCAGATAATGTGGCACATTTTTAAGTATATTTTGTTTTTGAGGTATACCTAGAAAATATGTTGTGAATGTTTTTTTTTTTATTTTTGGTTTTTTTCTGCGTCAAGGTTATGATTAATGGCAAACCAGTAATTTGATCAAAAGGGTAAATCCAGTACCACGAGTTTGTTGTACTCCTAAAATTCAGGAGCAATACATAAGCCAATCACGTTAATTCAACAACATTAATGAGGTGATTGAAAGCAGAGGACGCTTGTGTAGAGGATATACGATATTTTTGTTTTATTGTAATTTTTAATTTCAAGAACATGTGATTGTATGATGGGTATAGACCTCTTTCTGTAGGACAGAAAATGGTGAGAATTGAAATCTGTTTATCCTTAAAGAGTAGACGTTGCACATGCATTTCATGATGCACTTTATGGTGACCTTCAATAATAAGCAATAAAGGGCGTGTATAAGGTAAAGACGATAAGCCGTTATCATCAAATCTTACTATTTGTAAATCTTACTATTTGTAAATCTTATTATTTGTAAATCTACTATTTGTAAAACTTACTATTTGTAAATCTTATCGTTGAATAAAAAAAGAGACACTCGGGATAAAATCGCTCTTATGGGGGGGTTCAAATGGCCCACAAAATTATTTAGAATAGCTATCATCAAAAACCCATTTATAAACTAAACATCAATTTTAAACTACCCCCTAAACACAATCAAAGTCACAGATACAGACATTAGTCACTGTCACAGTTGCAGTCACACAAGATCCCTATCAATTTGTCAGATCTACATTATTGGCAATTCATTTATGGCTTGTTCTTTTCTGGACGGATCTCCGTTGTTCCAGTTTTTCTTTTTTTTTCCCCCTCTAAACGAACTCCGTTAAAAAAGAACAATTTTTTGTGTAACAGGGCATATTTTGACATATATCAGAAAACATGGGGACATGAGCACTCAAAGGAACACAACACGTTAGAAGGTGGATACTCTACAATGTGTAACAGTATGTTATGTCTATTGTGCAAGGAGTTTTTTTTTTACACTCCACTGACATTGAGTAGAATAGATGTCTCTGCAATGCTTTAATATGGTACAGGCAATATTTTTTTTATAAAATTGCGCCAATTTTTTCACTCAAATGTAGAGATACAAAGATGTAGGGATTCAATTTACTATTATTTCTAAACCGTTTGAGATGCTCACTATCGAGCAACACTGAATAGATGCTCACTATCGAGCAGAGCGAGATAGTAGAGCGATACTTAGTAGCTTGTTAGATAATTGAGCAACATTGACTAGCTGCCCATTATCTCGCTCTGCTCGATAGTGGAACAACATTGACTAGCTGCTCATTATCTCGCTCTGCTCGATAGTGGAGAAACATTGACTAGCTGCACATTATCTCGCTCTGCTCGATAGAGGGCAGAGAAGGCAGAGAGAAAAGGGCACAGAGGGCAGAGAGAAACTTGTACTACACAAGTAATCTCGATAGTCTATAGAGTCGGTGGCAGCTAGTGTGCTCCACTATCTCGCTTCGCTCGATAGTGTCGCGTGTGTAGTACAAGTAATCTCGATAGTCTATAGAGTCGGTGGCAGCTAGTGTGCTCCACTATCTCGCTTCGCTCGATAGTGTCGCGTGTGTAGTACAAGTAATCTCATACACGGTGTGACAGTGTACTGCTACTTTGTACTTTTATGTTACAGTGTATACTTACATTGTACCATTAGTAATTTTCTTTTTTTTGTTGTTTTTTATTTCGTGGTTTTCGTGTTTGGTGTTTTTGTGGTGTCCACTCAAAGCTAACAAAAAACAATAAACAAAACCACGGCAAGGAGAGATCACCAAATGGAGATATGACCTTAAGGAGGTGTTTGGGATCTACAAAGACTTGAAAATTCCAAGCAGTGGTTCCAAAAAAAAAAATGTAACCTGATCACTATAAAAGTTGTCTACTTTTCCTACTCTTTTTTTGTTTAATAATCTCTTCAAGTACAAGAGTTTTATACTTTTATATCACCTCCAAGGTTTACACAACTTTCTCGCCTTGAATAAAGTCGACACCTTTTGAGTCCACAAGTCGCGCTCGTTTTAAGTCCCTCGTTTTAAGTCGTTCGTTTTAAGTCGCTCGTTTTAAGGCGCGCTCATTTTCAGTCCCTCATTTTCAGTCGTTTTTTTTCCACTCTTCAACTTACCCGGCAGGAAAACCCTCCTATTACCAATTAGATTCCAACTCATTGTCTTTCGCTTATACAACTCCCCCTATTACCAATTAGAGTCCAACTCATTGTCTTTCGCTTATACAAACCCCCCCTGGTCTTCATTTTATCCCCAATTGGTGTGGTTTTATTTCACATAACAAACTCTTTCACAATTGCACCTTTCACAAAGAAACGAAAATTTTTTTTTCTTTTTCTTGACAAATTGAAAAACTATAAAGATTGTGAAACCACAACAACACGTCTGTGGAAATATTTTACAAAAAGGGCACCCACTAGCATCTACGTTGTGGCAGAGGCAAGAATAGGAATCCAACTAGGATATAGATAAAGGAAGACTTGTTTTCTAGGAGGTTAACAACTGGCTTTTCCCCCCAATAATAATGCGGTCTTACAAATCGCATAATAATGATGAGAATCTTAATCAACAACTAAAAGGGAAATATCTGAACCCTCTAGATCCATCTTTACCTAATTCTAAGGCAACGAATATATCGAGATCTCATCTACCTTTGAGCCAGCAACATCCAAGAGAAGCATTGAGCGATGTAACGGCGCAGACAAATTACAAGTCGCGGTTTAAGAGCCTGTCTGTGTCATCATACCATCACCAGCAGCAACACCTGCTGCAGCACTCTCATCATAGCAGCGGTAGTAGTAGCGGCAGTATCAGCCATGGAATAACAAATGCCAAATTAACTCAGTCCAAGATACAGTACTATAATGAGACAATGCAGTATAATATTCATCAGTACAAGAAACCAAGATTGGAAAAAGTGCTGGGGATAGAGGATGAGGAGTCAACCGATGAAGAGAGTAAAACTCAAAGAAACTACAGTGGCGATGATGAAGACAAAGAGAATGTAAGTCAAAAATTGTCTCATGATGGACTCCTACAGTTGCAGCAGCAGCAGCAACAACAACAGGACTATTCGATGCATTTTACAGAAGAGATTTATGAAGATGAAAATGAACCTTTAGTACGAAGTAGTAAAAATATTGACAGGATAGATAATGAGAATTATGAAATAGTAGAAGAAGCAGAAGAAGAAGAGGAAGAAGAGGTCGGTGATAGTGATGATGGCGGTGACGGTGACGGTGGTCGTCGTCGTCGTCGTTGCGAAGAAGAAGAAGAAGAAGAAGAAGAAGAAGATGATGATGATGAAGATGATATCAATAATAATAATAATAATAATAATGAGGAGGATGAGTATATCGACGAAACTACCATCAAACAAGATATCCCTACTTCTTCAGGTATTACTCATCAACCACGGTTGTCCCGCGCCTCTAACAAGCACCAACCAATGAAACCTGTGTGGACACCTCAAATCATTAGTGAAATGAAATATATTATTGCCAAATACTCGAGAGACACTTTGGATCCTAATGACGAAGATACTTATGATGCAAGCATGGTTGCCGAATACGCACCTGAAATATTCAACTATATGCGTAAATTGGAAATCAAATATACACCAAATGCAAACTATATGGATATTCAAACCGAACTAAGATGGGAAATGAGAGCTGTGCTAATCGATTGGGTTGTTCAGGTACATAGTAAATTCAACTTACTAGCAGAGACTCTTTTCCTCACAGTTAACTATATTGACCGGTTTCTTTCCAAAAAAAAAGTGTCATTGTCAAGGTTTCAATTAGTTGGAGCAGTGGCATTTTTCATTGCAGCTAAATATGAAGAGATAAATTGCCCCACAATACAAGAAGTTGCATTCATGGCCGATAACGCTTACACGATTGATGAATTTTTAAAAGCCGAACGATTTATGATTGATGTACTAGAATTCGATATGGGATGGCCTGGTCCGATGTCGTTTTTAAGGAGAACTTCAAAAGCCGATGATTACGATTACCAGACTCGTACATTGGCTAAATATTTCCTTGAAATAACTATAATGGACTCGAGATTCGTAGCACTGCCTCCAAGCTGGCTAGCGGCGGGTGCTCATTATATTTCAAGATTCTTACTAAATAGAGGAGAATGGACCGAGTTGCACGTCTTCTACAGCGGATACACTGAAAAACAATTGAGACCTTTAGCAGAACAATTATTGGAAAATTGCAAGTACCCAGAAAAAAACCATAAAGCAATATTTGAAAAGTACCAAGAAAGGAGATTCAGAAGAAGTTCAATATTTGTTGAAGAGTATCTTGAAAGTTTGCGTTGATTATCAAGTGTATGTGTGAGTGAGTGTGTGTGTGTGTAAGACAGGATCATTGCATAGCATTTTAATATACGGTTTTTTGTTTTTTTTTCCAAATCAAACCATTACCAATTGGATATTATTAAATAAGTAGTGAGCTTTCTATAGGAGGAACAGTCAATAGATCTCTCATCTCTTCGAAGTCCTGCATCGAAGTAGTGGTTTAGTGTGTGTGGGAGGAGGTTAACCTTTAAACTACAAAGTGTGTATCATTTGGTAGCATACGTTCTTATCATCTGGTAGCATACGCTCTTATCATCTGGTAGCATACGTTTGTTTTTTTTTGGTTTTTTTTTTCCTTTCAATTTCCATTTCCATCCCCATCCCCCCCCCTCTTTGATTTCTTTCAACTTCTTTCAGCTCCTTCATTATTGCAATAGCCAGTAAGTTCCAAGCGAAAAGTCAATGTCAAAGTTAGTATCAGCCGCTTTACGTGCCAATTTGGCCAAGAAATTACCATCTCAAGCTCCCAAACTCAGAAGCGATGTCCTTTTCCGTTCATCATCTGTTTTGAAGCCGTTAATGATTACTGTGGCCACAAGATCATTTCATCAGTCTCCTATCAGCTATGACCAATCAGCCGAGTCCGGTTTGAATGAAGTCTTACAATCTGAAAGCAAATTGATTGAAACAGTGCCTAATACTCTTGATGCTACATATGAGAAATACTTGAAAGAAAAAGGATTTGAATTGATTTCTAAACCAGGTACGGCAAATGTCGAATTGGTTAAAACTGACCCAGAAACAGGAAACATTATCCATGTCTATTTTGATATTGACGAAGTCACCGATATTCCTACTGAAGATTTAGAAGCTTTAGAGAGCGGAGATTTAGAAGAAGAAGCAGATTCATTAGACCAAATCTTGTGTAATGTAAAGATTCTTATTGAAAATCAGTCTAAGAATACCGGGTTGTTTTTGAACCTTTTCTTACAGAATACCGAATCGTCGTTTATGATTGATTTCGTTAATGTCCAAAATGACGTAGCCCAGTTCATGAAGAACATAAATGAGAATAATGAATTTATCGACAAATTCAATTATCAAGGTCCCAAATTTGGAGAATTGGACGAAAGTTTGCAAACTGAATTTGAGAACTATTTAGTGGCAAAAGGTGTGGATAACGATTTGGCTGATTTTATCGTTGCTTACAGTGATTTCAAAGAAGAAAACGAATATAGACTTTGGGTTAAAGCTGTTTCAAAATTCTTGAATTGAAACCACCTTTGTTTGTCAAAGAAAAGAGCCTAAAAAAAAAAGAGAGAAAACAAAAAGGCTAAAAAGAATAAAAAGTAAAACGTAAAATGCCACACTTGTATATATATATATTGAACTGACTGACTCTACTGACCATTAAACAACTCTTTTTATATTGTTTTATTTAGTCCCTTTCTTTTGCTTTTCAATTATATCTCTAATCATCAACGGTAGTAAAATATTGCAGGTATTATCTTTGACATAATCAACGGCAATAAACCCACACTTCCATTCACGACTCAACTTCTTCCCGTTTTCCAACAATGTATTGGATGCCAATTGACTGTCTGCATGAGTGCACACTATCCATATAGGCGGTGCCAAAAATGGGGCTCGTTCCATAGCAGGAACCGAAGTAGAGGACGGAGACTTATTGCTCCTCCCTTTATCACTACTGTTTTTTTTACTATTACCCATTAGCTCATCGTTCCAAATTCCCTTAAATGCAGATTTGAAAGAAAACATATCTCGCTCTTTCTTCTTTTTCCAATTCTCCTTGTACAAATTATATTCACCCCATGCCTCGCTCAAAGCATTTCCTATTACCGGTAGGATATTAAATGTATGGTTTCTCGCCAACTCTTCAATACCATCACTTTCATAATCGGGTGGATTATAGCTAGGTATTGCACTATAAACCAAGAAATACCCATCGATGTTCCCATTCAATTCACTAGCTCCACTGGCTACTAATAATGGATTTGTAGAAACAGAACGACGCGGCTCATTTGCCAAATTGTATAGCACATCCCTATCCAATTTGGCATATAACGAAGCTTCAAGAAACGGAACCACTGTTTGAGGATTGAAGCTAGGAGTATCAATCAATTCGACTAAAATGGGGCTTACCTCGCCCGTGGATGATATAGAGTAATATCCATTATTCTTGATTGATGTCGAAGTCTTATTAGATAAATTCAAAGATAAATTTAAATATTTACCATTTGATAAAGTAGACCCACTTAGGATTTCTCGCGATGCTTCGCATTTAGGCTCATAATTGAAAAGAACCGGATTAATGTGATTTGTGGGATAATAAGTATCCATGAAATTGCCAAGAGTCAATTTTGAGATTATTGACGTCTTGCCTGATTTAGCACCCCCTAAAAACGCTAACCTTATTGGATTTGTGAGATTTAGCGGCTTGCTTGATCTATGAAGATGATGCACATTTTCTTGATATGATGCTTGCATGATCGACTAGCTGAAAAGAAAAGAAAAGAAAAGAAAAGAAAAGAAAACAACACTCGACTGGAAGACCTTGATTTGGGAAAAGTCTGGTTTAAGTATCAGAGAATGTCCTTTGTATATATCTATGTGTCTATGTGTCTATGTTGTTGGGATAGCGTGATACTGAGTTCCAGGGTTTTCACACCTTCGGAATCATGTTCTAAAGAAGAAAAAAGAGTATAGATTTGGCAGCTACAGCGGTGGTGGAGGTGACAATAGTGGTTAGTATTGCCATTTTGTTTCAAATATCTTCTCATCTCAATCAACTCCTTAAAAATTTCATCCACATTTCGTGCGGCGCTTCGCGATGTGGTAGCTCTTTTCTTGCTCAATGCGCCTCAACTTGTCCAAAAGAAGTAACTCTAAAATGGCTGCGAAAAAAGGACAAGTCAAGATTAGTCAAACCACCCTAGTAACTAACAAACTTCTAAAATGCACATATATATATACATATATACTATCGAAATTCTATAAATGGCCACTTGTAAAACGTTGCCGATTAGATGACGAGGTGTCAATACTGTTCAAGATGAATGATTAAACACCCAGGTGGCACGTGACTAGGGCTATAACTACAGCTACCTGACTTTTTTTTTTCTTTGTTTTCTTTTTTTTTTCATTTTGCAATTTGTGCAATTTCTGGAAAATAAGCACTGTGAGAAGAGAGGTTGGAATAATACGCATTTACATACGATATAACGGCTTGTAAACCTTCAAAATACATTCAACGATGTCTCAAGAGTCCTCAGTTTCATATGCTGCATTGATCTTAGCTGACGGTGACCAGGAAATTACCTCAGACAAATTATTAGCTATCACCAAGGCTGCTGGTGTTCAAATTGATTCAATCTGGGCCGATGTTTACGCTAAAGCTTTAGAAGGTAAGAACTTGAAAGAGTTGTTATTTTCATTTGCCGCTTCTGCGCCAGCTGGTGCTGCTGGTGCTGCTGGTGGTGCTGCTGGTGGCGATGCTGCCGCCGGTGGTGATGCTGCCGCTGCTGCTGAAGAAAAGGAAGAAGAAGAAAAGGAAGAGTCCGATGACGATATGGGTTTCGGATTATTCGATTAGAAAGAGGTACCAGAGTATAATAACAACTGCATTTTTTTCTTCATTTACCCAAGATTAGATCTCACCTTTTACACATTGGCCGTCTGTCATGTTATAGTAACTACTTTCCATTTTTTTTTTTGATTTTTTTGATTTGATTTGATTTGTCTTGTATTAAATCTACGACTCTACTTTAATTGTGCTATTCAATTTCACTTTCTTTATCGTCTTCACTGTGACTTTATCTACTTTATCTTCTATTCTCTTTCTGGATAGTTCACCGTCAACTTCCACTTTCGCTTCGACTATATTTGTTCCATTATTTAAATCACTCAAATCAGCAGCAAACAAAACCGATTGTGCCCAACCAGCATACTCTCCAAAAATATTCTTAAAAAATGACCTTATACTTTGATGCATTTCTTTGTTCAATGTTTTCAAATCTTTCTTACCCTTGTACTTGAAATCGCGAATGGCAATTTGATAAACATGCGTATCTATAGGTACAACATCCCATTTGTCCAAAGCCATTAAACAAATGCAATCAGCAACTTTTGGTCCAACACCACTAAGTTGTAATAAAAATTCATGAGCTTGTTCATAAAGCGAATCTCGTTGTTTTTCCAAGTTTTCAATTGTGATGTCAGGAAATTCAGCGCTAGTGAATTTCTTTGCTGTTTGGTATATATATTTCGCCCTATATCCAAATCCCAAATCGCGTAATTTACTCTCAACTCCTTCTTTGGATAATTGTTCAGCGGTAGGAAATGAATAATATTTATGCCCCTGATGTTCATTTATAAAATTACCAAAATGTATACATAAATTATCACACATTTTAGATATTCGCTTCACATTGTTATTAGACGAGCAAATAAAGGAAATAAGGCATTCCCAGGGATCCTGTCTCAAAATGCGAATTCCAGTGAATAAATCAAACGGCGACGCCGCTTCGGCTTGCTTCACAGTGATATATTTGGAATGGCTTTGTTTCCAACTATTGTACAACTCCTCAAGTTTAACGTCCAAGGTGAAGTAGTCGTTCAAAAACGAAAAAGTCTCCTTGTCAGTGCCCCTTTTATCAACCCTTAGTATATGCGAATAGTAAAGATTTTCATGATCTTGTTGGAGAAGAATTATTCGATCTCTAATTGCAAATGACCAAATATTATTGATATTTTTCCACCGGAATGTCTGCCCACATCGCAATACCCTACTGAGACATACCTCAGATTCGGAAATGGGGATTTTCTTCCAGATCATCTCTACGGTCATAATGCTATGGGGTTAAGTACAAGAGCTTTGCTTTTAATGTATAACACACTGTATTTGCCTGTATTGAAAAAATTATCAATACATTTGTTTGAGACACATGGTAGCATCAGTGACATCTCTTGAGCTCATTCTCAACTGATATTGAAGAAAGAATAAGAGGGAGTCAAACCCAATGGAAGATGCAAGATCCGTAGTATGAAGGCTGGTAAATACATAGTTTTGTAGGATACAATATGTATATTATCTATCTTGCTTTAAACATCTTAAATTCTATTCAAAACAGAAAGCCCATATGTTGACAATGACGTTAACAAAACCTTTTTTCAACAAAATTTTCCCAAAGTGGAAACGAAAATGGACGGGTAATTCAATAGCAAACGCCTATTTTTTAAGCCAAAAGACGGTTATAACCTCGATTCTCCTCATAACGGTTCTATTTTTCTTTTTTTTTTTTTTTTTTTTTTTTTTTTTTTTTTGGGGGGGGGGGGGCAGGTGCAAGATCCATATACTATGTTTGTATTCTTACCTGCACTGGAAGGAAGTTCAAGGGAGTATGATCATTCCTTCATTTCAATATCCTCTGAACCATCCTTTGATGGATTGTTTTCCTCTTCGGTATTACCATTTGCAGCAGAAGCTTTCTCCATCTCGACGTCTTCCTTTATCAGATCATCAGCAACTTCTTTAAGCCCTGCTTTGTTGTTGTTGTTGTTGTTGTTGTCATCAGTCTCCTCCTCTTTTTTGACAGTATTTTTGTCGTCCTCTTTGCTTTCCTTCTGTTCATCTTTTTCAACTTCATTATTCTCTGCTTCCGTTTTCATATCCACTTGTTTTTCTGCCTCTGCATTTACATCCGCTTGTTTTTCTGTTTCTGCTTTTGCATTTACATCCACTTGCTCTTCTGTTTCTGCTTCTGCTTCCGCTTCTGCTTCTTCTTCTTCCTCCTCCTCCTCTTCCTCCTCCTCTGCTTCTTCCTCCTCCTCCTCCACATGCAATGTCTTTGGTTTCCAAATTTCCAATAATTTGTCATCACCAACACTTGCAAACAAATTCTTGATTTTCGGATGGATTGCAAAATCGTTAACTCTATTAACATGTCCACCATGTATATATTTCAAACAAGGGTCTATCTTATTCGCTTGGTGATTTTTCCTCTTCAACGTTTCGCTCGCAGTGCCATTAGAATCCGGGTAGATGAAATCCTCATCTAGATTATCTAAATTCCAAAAATTGATTTTAGTATCATACCCACAAGAGACAAGAGTCGATGGTGTTGACCAGTCCCATTCTAATTGCCTGATTGGACCATTGTGTCCATAAAGTTTGCGTATAGGTTCTTTATAATTTCTCAAATCGAACAAAGAAACAATATTATCCTTGCCTGCTGTAGCATAAAGTGTTTTCACATATGGATGGAATTGAATACAGTTTTGGATATGTTTATTTTCAACCTTGATGTAAGGATTTGAAGCAGTAGTTTCCGAAGATGAGCCAGCTATTCTAATATCGTGAAACTGGGTTGTAGAGTCATCGCTAACCGATCCAAAGATATTTTCGTCATTAGAAGAAATATCATTGATTGCACCGTGATGACTTTTGAACAATTGTATTGGCGTTGAAGGTTTATTCAACTGCCACAATGCGATTTGTGAATCGTTGGACCCGGACAAAAACCGATCGTTATCTATCCATTCCAAACCATACCCGCCTTGTTTATGATATTTATAGTCCGTCACGTCATTATTCTCCAAATTGAAGCCATGTATCACTCCATCGCTGTTTAAGGATAATGCAATCTGACCGTTCCTTGATATCTTCAACTTGTTTACTTCGGTGCCTTGTTTCCATTTTGCCAACAATTTGAAATTGGACGTGTCGATATTATCATCGGGTATAGCCAATTCGTTTTTTTCAACTAGAGTTGAAGGTAATGTCACCGACCCCAATTTTAAATAATTATCTGCCTTATTCACCGAGTTACTAGCTAATAAAAATTGGGCTTCAAAACTCTCCTTATTGACACGTTTATACTCCGGCACCCATTGGACAACAGTGGAAGGAAAGTCTAAGGCAAAGGTATAGATCAAGTCATATAGTAACGGTACAGTTTTCTTCCATATCTTAAACTCTTCATTGACAATTTTCTCTTGCTGCTGCTGTTCTTGGATTATATCTCTTTCTGCTTTTTCCCACTCGTTCGATGTGGACGGAACCATCGCTACAACTGGAAAAGCTGCTTCTTTATATGCTATTTCCTGATAAAATAGCCATACAAAACCAAATGCTTCTTGTTCACTTTTGGACTTTTTTTTTTTGTTAGCGCAATCTTCAAGCCGCACGTGTTACCCGAAAGAACTGTCAAGTACGCAGCCGCACATGTTACCTAATACAGAACCACCTCAGCGAGGAGGAGGGGGATGCGCCCCAGTGAAGTCACTTTTGTTAACTAGAGATTAATAGATAATACATAGCAAGCGACACTATCGAGCATAGAAGGATAAGCATATAGATAGTAAGAGGGTGCATTCTATAAAGAGAAGCATATAGATAGTAAGAGGGTGCATTCTATAAAGAGAAGCATATAGATAGTAAGAGGGTGCATTCTATAAAGAGAAGCATATAGATAGTAAGAGGGTGCATTCTATAAAGAGAAGCATATAGATAGTAAGAGGGTGCATTCTATAAAGAGAAGCCTGGCAGGGACTAGACGAGTAAAGTCAATTTCTACTCTCTACATCCTGCTCCACTAGCTCGCTTCGCTCTCTAGTATTGCTACTTTCTATTTTGTACATACTGCTCCACCAGCTCGCTTCGCTCTCTAGTGTTGCCACTCGCTTCGCTCTCTAGTGTTGCCACTCGCTTCGCTCTCTAGTGTTGCCACTCGCTTCGCTTTCTAGTGTTGCCACTCGCTTCGCTTTCTAGTGTTGCCACTCGCTTCGCTCTCTAGTGTTGCCACTCGCTTCGCTCCCTAGTGTCGCTATCTAATGAGCTACTCACATAGTTCAAACAAATTAAGCAGATCAAACTCTTTTCCTTTTACAACCCTGCCATAATAAAAATGGCCAAAATACACGTACTTCCAAATCGCACAGAATTTTTCGTTTTTCGTTTTTCGTTTTTTTTTTTTTTTTTTTTTCCTTTCTCCAAAAAACACAAATTTTTTTTTTTTTTTTTTTTTTTTTTTTTTTTTTTTTTTTTTTTTTTTTTCAGCCATCAAAACAACTTACGTGAAAATTCAATTCTTTTTTTTCTTTTCTAAAAGGTAATCTGAAGTATACTTTCATAACACAACATTAGAACAACAATATGGTATGTTAGAATAGAAGGATTCTATTAAGTTGCAAGCTACACACTATGGAGCAGAGCGAGAGATAGTGGAGCAACACTGACCGACACTATCGTGTATAAGTGATTATTATTATTATTATTTTTTTTTGTTTTACTAACAAGTCTTTCCCAGGACTCCAAAACTCCAGTTACATTAGCCAAAGTCATCAAGGTCTTAGGAAGAACCGGTTCAAGAGGTGGTGTTACCCAAGTAAGAGTTGAATTCTTAGAAGATTCAAGTAGAACCATTGTCAGAAACGTAAAAGGTCCAGTTAGAGAAAACGATATCTTATGTTTAATGGAATCTGAAAGAGAAGCCAGAAGATTACGTTAAAGAGGAAAACTATACCAAACCCGTGTGTATATGTGTTTTCTGTTTCTTTTTTTTCCAATATCATCTACAACGAATTTAGGACTATAACAATAAATCATTTCCAATCTAGCAAAAGAAAACCATATAATTTGAGAAAGCGAGAGACAGAGTAGTCATGGCGAGAAAATGTGTGTGTGAGCGTGTGAGAGCGTGTGAGTGAGTGAGTGAGTGAGTGTATGTGCAGCAGTGAGGTAGGAGTGCATATGATGTGGTTGATAATCAATATTTGTGTTTATTAATACATGTCAATTTTTTATACAAATATCCACTAGTAAGTCTTGTGTATGAGTTTGGTAAGTGTTGTTACCATTAGTGCTTATCTTTGTAGGCTTATTCTCAATCTTATGTTGGCAACTTGTCTTTTTCAGCTTGCTCGATCACGTGTATATACTTGTTTGAGCGGCCAAAACCCTATTTTTCCCACAAGCCGCACATGTTTGATTGCCAAAATAAGAAGTGGCGCAACAAAACTGTAGTGTCGCATTGCCTATTCATATATACGACACAATTTAATTTACGACACGGTTTCCGTTTTGAGAAATGGCGTTTATGGAATTTCCATTTTCGAATAACATCAACTCATTGATTGATTGACATCAAGTATCAAGAAAATAAGGATAAAATGTCGGATTTGGAGGATGATTTGTTGGCATTAGCCGAAGGGGACGATTATGAATCAGAAGTTGAGCTATCTACTTCGAAGCGTCACGCTACGCAAGGTGATTCTGAGAGCGAAGAGGATACAGTTTTGACAAAACGTCGAAGAATGGAGTTTGATGATGAAGAAGTGGAAGGCCACGTGTATCATGATGATAGCGAGGCGGGGAAGGGAGAAATAGGAGGCTCGGGGGATTACGATTCAGATGCAGGGTATGAGCCCGAGGAGGACGCAGAGTTGGTGAATCCATATCCATTAGAAGGGAAGTATAAGGATGAAAAAGATCGAGAGGAATTGGAAGAGATGGACGAAATAAAAAGAGAAGAGATATTGTTTGAAAGATCCCAGGAGATGGATAAGTACAATGAGCGTAATTTCTTACAGCAAAGAATCAAGCAACAAGAAAAACAACAAAGAATCAAGCAACAAGGTGAAAAGTTGAGGACCTCGAGTCGTAACAAGACCGCTGGAGTCAAATTGGATAAAGAACACAAGTTGAGTGAATTGAAAAAGCAAAGAGAAAAACACTCAAGAAGGAGAAGGACGAAAAGTGAGTATGGGGAAGGATCAGAAGGAGAAGAAGAAGAACAAGAAGAAGAACAAGAAGAAGAACTGGAAGAGATCATCTCTGATGATGAAGACTATTCCGATCTCGACAAACCGGTATCTTGGGGTGGTATTTCCAAATCGAAACATGCAAAGTCAACAGAAGTGGGGAAATTTGAAGATGTTAACCGAATAAGAGTTGGAAGAAGTTTGCTAACCCAATATTGTTACCACACGGGGTTTGAAGAAGCTGTAACTGACACGTATGCCAAAATATCTGTTGGTATGGATAAAGAAACCAAGAGACCGATATACCGGATGGTGAAGATATGCGACATACGATCTAGACCCGAACGGCCCTATAGAATTGGGAATGCGAAATACGACTTGGAATTTCTAGTAAGTCAAAACAAGCATCAGAAGAAGGTGTTTCCGATGAATGTATTTTCTGACTCTCCGATAACTCGGGAGGAGTTTGAGAAATATCTACAACAATTGGAGAAAACTGGAGAAAAGTTTGATTTGTTGGACGATATCAATGAGAAATTCAATCAACTTGATAGTTTGTACAATACAGGATTGACAGATAAGGATGTTAACAACAGAATTGCTAGAAAACAGCAAATGCAGCAAGCTAAAGGTAGTTATACAGCATTTGAAGCAGTTCAAGCCAAATCAAAGTTAATGGAGGAGTTGAAAATATATAAACAAGAAGGTAATCTAAAAGAAACACAACGAATAATTCAGGAGTTGAAATCGATAGATGAGATATTGGATCAACAAACGTCATCGAGTATCCCACAATCACAAAATCAGAGTATTGCAAAAGTGAATGAACGTAACAGGAAATTGAACTCCACAAATATAAGAAAAGCGGAATTGAAAACAAAGAATAACTCTACGGTAGCAGGAGCAGCAGGAGCAGCAGGAGGAGCAGCAGGAAATTTGGGAGATTACATTAGCGGGGACCCATTCTCTAGGTTAAAGACAAATACCAGAATGTTTTACCAAGATTTAATTAATCAAGAGAATGCAAAAGCGTTAAAGAGCATTAATATGAAAGAGTTGATTGAGGAGAAGAGCAAGCAAGAAACGGAAATTGCCAAATCAACATATCGAAACTTGAGTGAAATGGACAAATTGATTAGACTGATTGATTTTGATTTTGAATTAGCTGTATAAATGAGGCAACATTAACTTATACTCATTTCAATGAATGCACCAAAACCAAGATTAGTATGGTGTAGAGAGTAGAGAGTAGCGACACTAGAGAACGAAGCGAGCTAGTGGAGCAGGATGTAGAGAGTAGAGAGTAGCGACACTAGAGAACGAAGCGAGCTAGTGGAGCAGGATGTAGAGAGTAGAGAGTAGAGAGTAGCAACACTCAGTAGCTTATTGCAACACTATCTCACTTTGCTCAATAGTGTAAAGTAATTAGTATCATATTTTCTATTCTATCGTTTATCTTTTTATGCGCTTAGAAAGAAAAACAAGAATTTAACCAGTCGGTTAAATTTGAGAAATTGAGAGCTAGCGGAAATTGCCGAAATAGGACAATATTTCCACGAAATCATAATGATTAAATTGGTTTGGTTTAGTTGAGAGCTTTAACTCAATGTTACTCTTGGTAACCAACCCAAATAAAAAACTGCACGTTTATTAACTCTTATCACCAATGTGAATGCAGAGTCTGTGTCTGTGGCAGCTAGTGTGCAAGCAGAGTCTGTGTCTGTGGTAGCTAGCGTGCTCCACTAGCTCGCTCTGCTCTGCTCGATAGTGTCGCTGAATGAAGTAAAAAAAGGAAGGGAAGAAGCAGTTATCTTGATTAGCTGAGATATAATTATTGGGAACTTCTTTGAAGAAAATCACGTGATTAAATCTTAGTTTTAGGTGAGAAGTAATTTAAAAGAGATTTGTACACTTTTTATTGATCTGGGGTTGAGATGGTTCACTAACGTGTTTTCATTTCATGTTCTTGCGAGTTTATTTTCATTATCTGTAATCAAAGTGCGACACTATAGTGCGAAGCGAGATTGTGGAGCAGGATGTAGAGAGTAGAGCTGGCTTCGCTCCCTAGTGGAGCTAGATGTAGAAAGTAGAGCTCGCTTCGCTCCCTAGTGGAGCTAGATGTAGAAAGTAGAGCTCGCTTCGCTCCCTAGTGGAGCAGGATGTAGAGAGTATCGATATCTAGTAATAAATACGGAAATACGAATTTAAGCACAAATACATTTATGCTAGAGAAACATATAAACACTAATCATGGCCATTGTATACTATCAGCAATTCTTTCATATAATGTAGATTTCCAATAAACAAAGATGAGAGTAAGACAAAGGCCGTATAAGGTGTTTGCATTGTATGAAAATGATGATACACTGTAACAACACAATCTATGTAAAGAATCTGATAGATTTAAAAACGGGTAAAGAAAAATTCACAAATATACTGAAAATTCAATCTGAAATGGTTTTAGTTTTCAAGAAAAGGGAAATACAGTTACAAAGAAAAAAAAAAAGGTAACACAGGGTGTGTGTGTGGGGGGGAAAGAAGAAAAAAAATTGTCTTTACAATTCATTGTAAAGACAATTGTTGGGTTGATATTCTTTGTAGTTGTCGCTTTCGGGTTGTTAGGTTGTTATGTTGCTCTGTAGTCTCTGCAATTGTGATTTATCTTCCTCACCCAATTTTATTTATCTTCCTCACCCAATTTTATTTATCTTCCTTACCCAATTTTATTTCGATATTGGTGCTTATTAATTAATCTACCTGGTGAAATTTATGACTAAATTGAAACAGAGTCATAGAGATGAAAAAAATTTTCATTCTACAATAAAAGAGAAAAAACAACAGCGGCGGTTATTAGAGGTGGGGGCTGAAGAGGCGGCGGCCGCAATAACAGTAGCAGTAACAGCAACGGCTTCGGTAACAAGAGGACGGAAGCAATTGTAGCAATTATGCCTTAAACAGTATTTTTTTTTCCTTTACTCCTTCTATCTTTGTAAAGTAAGCAACTTCTCAGTTCCTTTTTTTTTGACTCTTGTGGTTGGTCTTTTTTTTTTCCGTTTTTTTTTTTTTTTTTTTTTTTTCATTGATTACAGAGTTTTGGAGTTTATACCAACAAGTACGGGTACACATCACATATCACACACGACGCAGCACGCAGCACGCAGCAGGCAGCAGACACCACACACAGTTAGAGGTTCACACCTGTTATTAGTTTGCCACACTTGTTAAAAATGAAGTTTGAACCTACCGATTATCTACAGAATCTCAATTTGGATTTTGATTCGAATCCTATAAGTAATGACTTTAATAGCTTTAATAACAATGGGGAGGATGGTTATGTGTATGACAAGGACGAAGATGATGAATCCATGTCGGCCATGAATCAGCAACAATTGCAACAGGACCTAGATTTATTCAGTCAAGCGGCTAACGATTTCTTTTTATTAGATGTTTTAGGAAACGATGTTGTTGTTCCTGTTAAACCACAGCAGCAACCAAACGCTAGTGGCTATAGTCAGTTTCAGCAACGGCAACCAAATGCTAGTGGCTATAATCAGTTTCAGCAGCAGCTGTTGCAAGCTTCTATCAAGTCGCAGTCGTATTATCGTCGTTATCATCAGCAACAACAACAATCACCATCACCATCGCATCAGAGCAGTACACTGATAGCATTGTCGACTGTATACTCTCCCGTGTCAACACCTTCTTCTTCCACTTCAAGTGAAGCAGCAGCTTCTGCCACGCAAGCATCGATTCAAGAGAAGAAGAAGAGAAATACAGCTGCTAGTGCGAGATTCAGAATCAAGAAGAAATTAAAAGAACAAGAGCTTCAAAGAAAGAGCAAAGATTTGGAAGAAAAAGTAGAAAGACTACAACAAAAGCTAAAGAAGTTTGAAGTTGAAAACAAGTGTTTGAAGACGATAATTTTTAAGCAAAATGAAGATAAAAATTCCGAACTAGTTGAATCAATAAAGAAGAGAATTACTGAGGAATATGATTTTAAAACAGCTTAGATGTGTGGGGGAATGAAGCTACCCCTAGCTATGGGAGACAATTTTTCATGTTTGAATATTCAACTAACAAACCATGATTTTCTACGATTTTTACGAAGAGAAAACACAAGTAATACTATACTAACTTTAATTCAACTGGGTTACACATATTTTTGAGAATCTATCTGTCTTTTAATGGAAATCAGTTTCTCTTGGAGGTGGATTTTCACCATAAGTTATGATTTTATCTTTTTTAGAATATATATATAATACGCGATAATTTTTTGGTTTTAGTTTTTAAGATTGTTCTCTGATGAGGATGGATTTGTAATAGCAGAAAATGAAGATGAGTGGGAAGATGAGGGAAGATGAGGGAAGATGAGTGGGAAGATGAGTGGGAAGATGAGTGGGAAAATGAGTAGCAAGATGAGTAGCAAGATGAGTAGGGTGGGGATAAAGTGTGGATATGGAACAATATAGAGTGTAGAGGAACAGGTGGTGGAGCAGTAAAGACTAGTCGAAGGAAGAGAGTGTAGATAGTAGAGCAAAGCGAGATAGTTTCGAGAGTGGAGAGTGAGAATAGAGTGTAGAGAAGAGAGTAGATAGCAGAGAAAGACTAGAGAAGAGTAGAGACTATAGACTATCTCGCTCTGCTCGATAGTGTGATAGAGTGTAGGAATAGGACCTTAGTGTCGCTAATCAGTGTGCTCCACTATCTCGCTTTGCTCGATAGTGAATCAATTGTTTGCTAGTTTTATCACACTCTATACTCTACGTTCTATACTCTACTCTCTACACCCTACACACTGCTCCACTCAATAGTGTTGACATACTGCTCGATAGTGTCTAACAACAAATCAAACGATTAGCAATAATCATCAAGGCAAAAAAATTTTGCAGTACTAGAAAGAAAATGTATGCTTATTAACGCCTCTTTTCCATATTCCTATTAATCACATACTAAACTTTTTCAGAGAGGAGAAGTAGATAAGAAGGTATACAGGAAAAGGTGCAGAGAAAAGCAACACTAGGGAGAGTAGCGACACTAGGGAGCGAAGCGAGCTAGTGGAGCAGTATGTAGAGAGTAGCGACACTAGGGAGCGAAGCGAGCTAGTGGAGCAGCATGTAGAGAGTAGCGACACTAGGGAGCGAAGCGAGCTAGTGGAGCAGTATGTAGAGAGTAGCGACACTAGGGAGCGAAGCGAGCTAGTGGAGCAGCATGTAGAGAGTAGCGACACTAGGGAGCGAAGCGAGCTAGTGGAGCAGCATGTAGAGAGTAGCGACACTAGGGAGCGAAGCGAGCTAGTGGAGCAGCATGTAGAGAGTAGCGACACTAGGGAGCGAAGCGAGCTAGTGGAGCAGCATGTAGAGTGTAGTGTAGAGTGTTGAATGTAGTGTAGAGTGTAGAATGTAGACTATAGACTATAGACTACAAATGTAATATCAACCAATATAACATTGTTCAACTGTAGGTTGTGGTAACAAGTTACTGAGCGTTGCTCCATTATCTCGCTTCGCTCGATAGTGTCGCTCGATAGTGTCGCTCGATAGTGTCGCTTGATAGTGTCGCTTGATAGTATCGCCTGTAGGTTGTTAACAAGTTACTGAGCGTTGCTCCACTATCTCGCTTCGCTCGATAGTGTCGCTCGATAGTGTCGCGATTCAATTGTGGTGTAATTTTTAATATTTCTCCCCACTGATTTTTTCTGGTGTCGTTTTTTTCTTCTTCAATTTTTTTACAACCAATTGCAAAGAATTTGGTTGTAAAAAAATTGGCAACAACAATTATCAAGTGGTTTATCAAGGTCCAATACAGCAACAAAAGTATACTGGACTTGCTTGTCTAGTCAGCTTGAATTTGCCTAATCCATCTTGTTAATTTATCGACATTTTGACATCTTGACACATTGGCATTTACTCTTTTATGTTGATCTTTCAACCCTGATAATGTTCCAATAGCAGGTTACAATTTTTACCACCAATTTTTTTTCTTTCTTTGAGAGAAATGTCCATGAATAAAGACAACCCAAGGCTGAAGCAAACTGATCTTAGTCTGTCTCCTCCTCCTCCTCCTCCTCCTCCTCATCTGGCAACAATTTTTGACGAATCGGTCTTTGAGCATCCTTCCTCTTTAGATCACTATACCCTTCACCATGCACACAAAAAGGAGAGATCTATTTCCCCGCACCAAGTATCAAACAGCAACAGCAACAGCAACAGCAATAGCAATAGCAACTCGCCTGAACCACACAAACAACATGGCCAAAAACGGCTACATTCCCCCTTGAGCGAGGTCAAATCCGCCGCCGAGAATCAACCTTTAACCGAGCTGGCGCATGCCAACCACGTGGAGTCAATTTCACGCTCAAGACCACAACCTCTTCATCCTTCTCCTCTTCATCCTTCTCCTCCTCCTAATCTTTCTGTTTCCGAAGCCGGTGCTCCTGCTACTCCTGCTGCTGCTCCTGCTGCTGCTCCTGCTACTCCTGCTCATCCTGCTCATCCTGCTCATCCTGCTCATCCTGCTCATCCTGCTCATCCTGCTCATCCTGCTCATCCTGCTCATCCTGCTCATCCTGCTCCTGCCCCTTTTCCTACCATATTCAACAGCATTGAAGAGCAAATTGACCTACGGCTAGCTTCACTGAATAACCCTACAATCATTATGGAATTGGATCTAGACAGCAATATACGATATCTATCACAAAACTGGGAATACATTGTTGGTACCAATATAAAGAAAATTGTCGATAACCCCATATCCAAGATTATAATAGGCAATAATGACGAAGATTTCAAAGTGTTTAACAAAGCCATTGACTCAATGATTAGTGATGATGTTAGCTACAAAGTTAAATTCGTCACTGCTACTAGTCACACTCGTCATGATGTACACGGAGATGATGTTTTGGGTAGTATTCATGAAATCATTGGAGATAATGCCATTAATGAAAGTGGACGCTTAACCCCTCATAACTCAATAAATGATGTTTCCGGATTAGCAGCTGCATCTGTCGACGACGACCATCTACTTGAAAGAAATATATTGGATTTCGATAAAGACCTAGATGAGCACGAAAATAATGATAGTAATATCAATGAGAATGACAATGATAATGGCAATGATAATGGCAATGATAATGACAATGATAATGACAATGATAATGACAATGATAATGACAATGATAATGACTATGATAATGACAATGACAACGATAATGATAATGACAATGACAATTACAACAACAATAACAATTCCTCAAGTCCCGTATCTTCTACACTAACCACCGATGGTGGATTTTTGGAATTGGAAGCACAGGGAATATTAATACACGATGCTCAAACAAAACTACCGACTCACTCTATGTGGACAATAAGACCTTTTGTTCGTATTGATTTAGATTTGACAATACCACCTGCATTGATTGATTTGTTGGGATTTGGATCAGAAATTTTTGAAGAATACTTGATGAATTTGAAACATTCAAATATAACAGAAGAGGAAAATGTTCCGCAACCAAATACTATTTTATGTAGAATATGTGAAACAAGTATTCCTGCTTGGTTTATCGAAAAACACTCAGATTTGTGTATTATTGAGCATAGAGTTGATGAAAATTTACAGCAGTGTCATGATGCTATAGTTGAACAACGAAATTTAATTGTGAAGATTAGTGAAAGTTTGGCTCTGCAGACACCACAGCAGCAACTGCTACAACAACTGCTACAACAACTGCAACTGCAACTGATGCTGCAACTGCAACTGCAACTGCTGCTGCTGCTGCTGCTGCTGCTGCTACCGACTCGGTCACAAGGACAACTAAAATCGCCACTTCCACCACCATCACCACCACCAATAACCCATATGCAAGCCACTTTCTCATCCTCATCTCACCTGTCATCAAACTCATCGGATGATGAAGATAGTTCCAGTAATGATCCAAACACAATTGTCGAGTACAAGGGTATCCCCTTACCAACAGTGAGCTCAGAGTATTCTTCACCAAGACTAGCCAATAAAGTATTGACTAAGAACTTTAAAGCAAAGAATAAAAGTATCATCTACTCCAAGAAATTCCCTTTTGGTACATTGCAGAGGATTCGCGAATTGTGCGATGATGCTATATCAATTAATCCTCCTACAAGTAGGAATAGGGATAATAAGAATAGTAGTCAAACTGATTTAGATACTCCTAGTGATATTGCATTCTCACCCGAATCGGAAAAGTTTTTAGCTGCTGCAATGAATTCAGCAAATATTGAATCATCGGATCTCGCAATACGACAGTTGATTGAGGATACAAAAATACTCATCAATGAGAAATTGGAAACTTTATCAAGATTTGTTTCTATTTTACAATATCTGGAAAAGATTAAAAAGGAAGTTGATGAATTAGTATTGAAAGCTGTTCGTGAAACAGTGGAGAAGATAAGGTCTCAAATTGAATTTCAATTATCTAGAAGTTGTACTCCCAGCGAAGTAATAATAGAAAATTATCAAAAAAAACTACCACTACCACCATCACAATCACCACCGCTACTACTACTGCAATCACCAGCACCACAAGCAGCACCACAAACAGCACCACAAGTAGGGGCACCATCACCATCGCTGCACGAAGCGGCAATACATCTACACCCATCATCTCTGTCACAAGCATTGTTGTCCAATCATCTACATGCATCACATGTAGTTGCTCCCAAACCTTCAAGAAGCAAAAGTCCTATTGATTTCTTCTCAGAGAATTCCTTTGATAACGCAGTCACACCCCAAGACTTGCTATTGAAAGATACAAAAGATTTCTCATTTGCAACGCCTACTTCGTCGCTGTCAAGTAGACCCAGAAGTGGACTCTCCATCTCCACCACTCGAGATCATCCAACTAGCAGAAATAATTCCAAGGAACTTATTGAAACTATACAAAATAACCACGAATCATCAAGAAAATCAGCGGATAATTTCCATTTGGGATATTCAACTCCAGGACGTCACCTATCCCCAGCGCCATATGTCGAAAAGACCAACTACAATTTTAGTTCTCTCCAAAGAAATACTACTGCCAAACCTTCGCCAATGTCTCTTCCAATAGCTGAACCTGTTTCAAGTACAAGCGGAAGCTTTGTTGGAGATAAAAGAATCACCAAATTATCATTAGACACATGTGGCTCGCATAATCAATCCCATTCTCGTACCCAATCACAAGCATCGGCAACCTCGAGTCAAAGGAGTAGTGTTCATACACGGCCACCACTTTCACCATTGCTAGTTTCAACACAACAAGCACCTCCCAAGATCACCGGTATCAAGGACTACGAAGTGATTAAACCTATAAGTAAAGGTGCTTTTGGATCAGTATTTTTGGCCAAGCAGAGAATCACCGGAGACTACGTCGCTATAAAGTGTTTGCGTAAACGGGATATGATTGCAAAGAATCAAGTGTTGAATGTCAAGTCTGAAAGAGCAGTTATGATGAGACAATCTGATTCTCCTTATGTTGCTCAATTATATTGTAGTTTTCAATCAAAAAATTTCCTTTACTTGGTTATGGAATATTTGAATGGAGGTGACTGTGGTAACTTGATAAAAAGTTTAGGTGTTGTCGGTTTAGATTGGTCACCAAGATATATAGCTGAGATTATTGTTGGTGTTGATGATCTTCATAGTCGTGGTATAATTCATCGAGATTTGAAACCGGACAATATTTTGATTGACAAAGAAGGGCATTTGAAATTAACTGATTTTGGGCTTTCTAGATTAGGTGTTGTGGGAAGACAAGCACAACATAGGAAAAGTAGTATAAATGAACAAAGCGTGGAAATATTTCGAAGTTTATTTGGAAGTAGTAGTGGATCTGCTGGAGGAGGAGGAGGAAGCGATGACCAGAAAAAACATAGTTTAAGTACTCCATTCACTTTATCGCCAACGACTAACGATCATTCTAAATTGAACCAAGTACATCAAACTACAAATAATTCATTACCACTGGCTTCTTCACCTACTTTGGCATTTTTGGAAACTTTTAAACAACCAACACCATCAAGCAAACATCGACAGAGTATGCGATCTAACTCTGGGGGAATTGAATCTCCATTGTTGAAACCAATTATACCTAGAACCGCGTCTGAATCATCGTTTGCAATTGTTGATGATGACAGTAGTAGTAATAATAACACAGTTACAAATTATGTTTTGTATGATCCGAAATTAGAAACAAATAGATGGAGTGCAAGTGCAGGTGCAGGTGCAGGTGGAGGTGGTAGTCGCAGTGGCAGTGGCAGTGGCAGTGGAGGTGGTGGCCTTGGCATTGTAGGTGGTATTGGTGGAAGCAGCGGCGGCGGAAGTGAGATTAAGAAATTTGTGGGAACTCCAGATTATTTGGCACCAGAGACTATTCAAGGAGTTGGTCAAAGTGAAGCATCCGATTGGTGGTCAATTGGTTGTATTTTATTTGAATTTCTTTACGGGTACCCGCCTTTCCATGCAGAGACCCCTGAAAGGGTTTTCGATAATATTTTACGGGGTGATATCGATTGGCCTAATTTACCAGAAGAAGAGGATTCCAAATTATGTACTCCCGAAGGTAAAGACTTGATTCAACGTCTTTTGACATTGAATCCAGCAAACAGATTAGGCTCGAAAGGCGCAGATGAAATTAAAGCTCACCCTTTTTTCCAAGATATCAATTGGGATACATTGTTTACTGAACCTGGTCCATTTGTTCCTCACTTGGATGATCCAGAGCTGACTGATTATTTTGATCTCAGGGGTGCAGGATCAGTACAGTTTCCAAAAGAAGAATCATCTTCAGATGAAGAAAAAACCGGTGGTGTTAGGAGAGGACGAGGACGAGGACGAGGACAAGGACAAGGACAAGGACAAGGACAAGGACAAGGAGTAGAAGTAGAGGCAGTAGGAGAAGGACAAGGACACGTGGAATGTGAATGTGATTGTGAATGTGAAAGAGAAGCAGAAGAATTAAGAAGGAGGTCGACAAATTCATTGAATATTCCATCAAGTGTTCATTCGTTATCATCAATCAATGCCAAAAAAGAACGAAGACAAAGTAAATTAAGTGAACCAAGTGGAGAATTTGGACTGTTTCATTTTAGAAATTTATCAGTTTTAGAAAAACAGAATAAAGATGTTATCAATAGATTGAAAACTGAACATTTAGAGCATAAAAATAATTTCTCGACACCTTCACTAGAAAGTACACCCGTGCTTCGATCAAGAGGGTTTTCATTTAATAATGCAACAGCAACAACATCAACAACAGCCATTACTAATAACAATACTAATCTGAGCAGTGGGTCAATACACTCGAGTCCTTTCAAAAGACCTGTTTCACCACCAGTGGCAACATTGGGATCACCGGCGAACCCAAACATCTTAAGATCCGCCTCTCCTCACCGCCTTTTAGAATCTCATATAGCAGCCAACCAACACCATTCACGACACGAAAGGATTCCATCAACTGTGAGTACATACTCCCTGGGTGACGAATTATTAAACCAAGATTCTTTGAATACATCTAATTCATTTTACCATCAACGATCAAGCAGCTCACCTTATGTCCAAGCAGTAAGTAAACCACCAAGTTTTTCCAATCCTAGTTCCAATGCAAATTCCAATCCAAACTCCTACACCCACTCCTACACCTACTCCTACTCTAATCCCAACACAGCCATCTCATCACAATCTCACTTTCGAGATTTTTCATCGCCAAACTCCTCGGATTCTGAGGAGATCAATAGATCAAGCGCTTTATTACGAGTTCAGCGACGTCAAGGAAGCTCACGTATGTCTGACCCCATGTCATCCTCATCGCATAACGAGGTCGATGTTCTTTATTGCGAGCCTATATCAACATTGCGTCGCCAAGTTGTGAAAATGCTTGAAAAAGCAGATTGTATAACTGTTTCCGTATCGGATGGCGAAGATCTTATCAAAAGAGCAACAAGTCAAGTAAAGTTTGATTTTATAATGACGAGTTTGAGATTATCTAAAGTCGATGCTATTGATGCTATTAAATTGATTAAATATACAACGGGCAAGAACACAAATACTCCTGTGATTGCAATAACTGGGTACCCCGAAGAAGCAAGGCGAAGTGGTTGTTTTGATTATGTTATTGAAAAACCAGTGACGTTGGAACTGATTAAAAAATGTCTTTTTAAGTTTCTCAATATGGATGTTAGTGGAGTTGGGGTTGGAGTTGGAGTTGGAAGTGGTGATGTTGATGATGTTGATGATGAGGATGATGATGATGAGGATGATGGTGGTGATGATGATGAGGATGATGATGATGATGAGGATGATGAGGATGATAATAATAACAATGATGATAACATGAATAATAATAACAATAGAAGTGTTGTCATCTACTGATTAAAAGATTTGATATAGTATGTATGCGTATTTAATTAAATGTATTTATTGAGACATGATTTTGGCCCTCTAGATCTTCCCTTGCTTTTTCCCCTCAGCTTCTTAGCCTCTTAGCTCCTCAGCTCACCCTCTTCTTCTTTCTTGATGTAGAGCAGAAGCATTGTTTTCAAATTTTCCAAGTTACATTCATCAACCATCTGTATAATCTTTATTGTTTGTTCCTCATTCAAAACAGTAAAACCAGGATCTTTGAAATCCTTTAGAGGATGATTAAAGTCCTCAATTCTAATATCATTGGTAATCAAGTTTCTACAATTCTCAATCATGAGTGGTCTCTTTTCATTATCATTGTTTACCACAATGACTACTGAATCGCTCACGTTATGAAACCTAGCTTGATGACAAGATAGTACAATGATACAATTTGACATCTTCTGAATTAAAATGGGTCCATTTGAAACCACTTTTACAATTGAGTCAATCGCCTCTTGCAAATGCAATGATTTTGTGTTCAAGTTCAAAACACTCCTTCTACAGCTTTCAATATATGAATAATCCGAATTCAACTCAACGAGTTTACCGTCTAGTATAATTGAGTTACAATTCGTAGCTGAAACCCCCACCTCCTTTTCTGAGCTCTTAGTGTTATAATTAAAATGAGTTGGCGGTTGTGGATCACCAACAAACTTGAATTTGAAACGACCCAATTGATTTTGTTTCAATTCAATTAAGTTGAATATGGATTGTAACTGCTCACTCTCTAATTTCTTTGTATATGCTGGTTTTTGTATCAGGTTACTTTCATCATTAGGAATATCATTCTTGAGCGAGTTTCGAAATTGGGTCAATTCTTCTATCGAATTGCATGCTAAAAGTCTCTTTCGAAGCGCTGGTTATATCTAGTTAGAAATTTTGGTTCCTGTATTACCTCTAGACAGAAAGAGGAGATTGGTCATACTTACCGTTTACATCAACCATTCAATGAAAGATAGATCTCTAAATACTACTAATGCTATTTTTTTTATCTTACTTTTTCGCCGTGAGCAGAGATCCTACCATTGGCTTGAGATTCTCACACCAATTAAAGATATAATTTACAGACGGCGAGATTGCGCCGAAATAGAGATGGCCGTTTTCTTTTCCATAACAGAATCTTCTTCTGCAAGAGACAAGGTATATCATACAAAGAAAGAGACAGCTAGTTAACTGCAACTGAATAAAAACCACACTCTCCTTGACAAACAACTTCAAGTTTAACATCGAGTTCAATTCAACATTTGCACATAATGTCTTTTATATATTTTATATATAAACTTTCCTTTCCCTTGTCTCTGATATAATACACGAGGAACTCGTTTAGTGAGATATTTCCTCAACAGGCTTGTACCTGTTTCTACCAACCAAATCGTCTGCGATACTTCTTGTTTTACTCCAAAACACCTTCTTTGGCATCCTCTTACTCAATTCAGTTTCAAAGTTGTATAATCTGCGAATTGAAGAGAATCTCAAGTGTGAGCCTTTCAAGCACAATACGGCGGCAGTTTCAGTATACTTCTTTCCATCTTGACTAAAGTCAATGGCGTACCTTACAGGTTCCATCAAATCGCAATGATCTTCAATGAATTGAACCGCTTTGATAGCAAACCTATCAGCTCTTGTACGATCTATTGGTGAGGGTAACCCACCCTGTTGTACGTGTCCAGGAATAGCCGTTTTCACATCAAATTCTCCTTTACACTCGGCATTTATGATATCTGCCAATACTTGTGGAGTCAACACTTGAGAAGCATTGCTTGACTTGATAATCAACTTACCTGTTTTGGTTGTACTCTTCTCCAATGCAAAAGCTTCTCGAAGTGAGTCTATATCCATCTGCAACTGCGTCAAATGTATACCTTCCTCAGGAACATACGATGCTTGTGCGCCACTTACTAATGAGGCATATGTGGCAATGTATCCAGAGTTACCTCCTTGTGCTTCAATAACAAAAGCTCTGCCTCTAGTGGCAGATGCAGATTGTTTAATGATATCGCAATAATTCATTAATGCATTAAGACAAGTATCTGCACCCAATGAATACTCTGTACCTGGAATGTTATTTGAAATAGTAGCGGGAATCAAAACCATTGGAATTCTGAATGCTGGGTACATGGGTCTTGATTTTTCCAATTGATGCAAAGAAATGAAAGCTTCAAATCCTCCTACAATTATCAACCCGTCAAATTTATATTTCTCAAAGTAATGAGCAATCATACCAATATCGGTCTCCTCGGGTGTTTTTCTATTGGTACCAATATCAGAACCTCCAACGCTATTCCATCCTTCGATATCAAGCCAATTTATCGATTTCACAGACTCGTGTCTTGACAAACCAGAAAAACCATTGTGAATTGCATATGGAGTGTGTCCCCTTGACATACAATAAGTGGCCATTGCATAAGTAGCCGAGTTCATACCACCTGCTGGTGCTCCTATATTGATAATAGCAATTGTCTTTCTCTTAGTTAATGGTAGTGTTGGTTCATCGTGACAAGCACTATTCATGGCAATGAAATTCGACAAGTGTTCCTTGAATTCAGAATCTCTCAAAGACATTGCCTTTTCAAAATCTTTTTCGGCTATTGCTGCAGCTACAGACTTTGTAATCTTCACTGCCTCAACGAGCGGTCTTCTGCAAATCTTATTTTCGTCAATTGCAATTAAAGGTGAAGGGGTGTCTGGTTCCAACTCTAATACTGCTTTGACAGCTTCAACACCTTGCACCGTTGCCAATATTCTATCAAAAGCAACGGCGGTACCTCCTCTTTGCACATGACCTAAAGTGGTGATTCTAGTATCTAATCCAAGTCTATCAACCAATACGTTTTTAACATCTTCAGAACTAATTGGTGTCAAATCTAGCGTGATAGCACCTTCTGCAACAATGACAATAGTTTTCCTTTTCCCCTTGGCTCTATGGTTTTTAACAATAGTTGTCATTTGGTCTTGCCAATCTTGTGACGATGCAGGCTTTTCCGGGATCAATATGTAATCGGCACTGGTAGCAATACCAGCCATTAGTGCTAACCAACCACAGTGTCTTCCCATCACTTCAACGACAAAAGCACGACTGTGTGAATTTGCTGTAGCATCGATATAGTCCACGGCACGACAAATCCTTTCCAAAGCTGAGTAGCAGCCAATCGTCGAATCCGTTGTTGCCATATCATTATCAATTGACCCAACCATACCACAAATGTAAAGGTGTTTATGTTTCTCGTATTGTTCCTCAGAGATTTCCTTTTGTTCTTTCAACTCGGCGATTAATGAAGGCCACTCGCTTCTAAACAAGTCTGCACCAGTTAACGAGCCGTCACCACCACAGACGATGAGCGCGTCTATTCCAGCTTCAATCAAATGACGGCAACCTTTTAATCTTCCTTCGCGCTTTTTAAACTCCATACATCTTGCAGTTCCAATATTGGTACCACCATCACTTAAAAATCCACGAACATCTTGCCATTTCATTTCGGTGATATACTTTTCTCCGCCTCTAACCAACCCTTCGTAGCCTTCTTTAATAGCAAAAGCTTTGCATCCGCGGAAGATGGCGGCTCTAACAACTGCTCTTACAGAAGCATTCATACCTGGAGCATCACCACCCGAAGTCATTATGGCAATATTTCTTCTTGGTTTCAAACTGTTTGTACTTAATTGCAAACTTTCGCTCAATTTGGAAAAGCTTCCTGTAGTGGACATCATTGCTGAAGGCAAGTAGCTGGTATCCGTTTTGGGATTTGCCTTTTGCAAAGGTGGTACTACTGTTAGCGGCTCGTTACAAGCGGTGAACCCAATGATGTAACCCAAGGGATCGACACAATAAGCCTCATTTGGGTACAATTCATTAGGAGTGATCTGCAAGGTATACTTGAAGCTGTTCAAAATTTCAATAGTATCAACCAAATTGCCAACTTTGAACACAAAAGTAGTATCGAGCGATCTCCAATCAACAATGTTCAATTTCGATAAAATCTCCTTCCTCCTTTCCTTTACCTCACGTGCCGAGTTCCCCTTTTTTGGATCCAACTTGAGCTCAATGACAACTTGGTCTCTATTGGCTAAAAACACACAATTGTCTTTTTTCGAATGCTCACTAAAATCAAGCACATTTGTATAAAAAATGAGTGCATCATCAAGCAATTCCTGTGAACCTGCAATCAAGGGTACAGTAGATGACCCATTGATTATAGATGACATAATAAAAAATAACAGCTCTTTTCTACTACTGAAACACCCCAATTGAACACTATTTGTATAGCAGCCTATCTAAAACTGTTCTATCTGATACGGGTGAAACTATATACTTGTAGCCTATACTCTTTGTATATATATATAGTAATATATAATCTTTTATGAAATAAACGATTTACGGAGTTTTGTCGTTCCTTATATAAGGCGTATTTTTTATTATAGTCAGTTTTTTCGGTTGATTGAGCTGCGAAAGGGAAAAAGAAAAATCGACACACTATCGAGCGAAGCGAGATAGTGGACCAGTACTGACTGTCGACACTATCGACACTATCGAGCGAAGCGAGATAGTGAAGCAGCACTGGCCGTCACCTACTCTAGCAGCACTATCGACACTATCGACACTATCGAGCGAAGCGAGATAGTGAAGCAGCACTGGATGTCGACACTATCACTATCGAGCAATGCGAGATAGTGGAGCAGCACTGGCCGTCACCTACTCTAGCAGCACTGACAGTCACTATCGACACTATCGAGTGAAGCGAGATAGTGGAGCAATACTGACTGTCACCTACTCTAGCAGCACTGACTGTGACCGACTCTAGCAATACTGACTGTCACCTACTCTAGCAATACTGACTGTCACCTACTCTAGCAATACTGACTGTCACCTACTCTAGTAGCACTGGCTGTCACCTACTCTACCAGCACTGACTGTCACCTACTCTACCAGCACTGACCGCACCTACTCTACCAGCACTGACCGCACCTACTCTACCAGCACTGACCGCACCTACTCTACCAGCACTGACCGCACCTACTCTACCAGCACTGACCGCACCTACTCTACCAGCACTGACCGCACCTACTCTACCAGCACTGGCTGTCACCTACTCTACCAGCACTGACTGTCACTATCGACACTATCTCGCTTCGCTCGATAGTGGAGCAACATTACCTATAACCGACACTATCGACTTTAGCAATACTGACTGCAACGACACACTCGAGCGGGAAGTATAAAATGGGAATTGCACTGAGTTGCATTAAGGTGGTCTCGCTTAGCTCCACCATGCTCCAGAATTTGTACCAGAATCTGCTCTGCTCTCAATTCTGCGACCAACTCTTCTCCAAAATCTGGTCAGCTCCTAAAAGTTAACAAAGAGTGAATAAGGGGTATCTGAGGTGCATTTACAGGATGATTTTCACTAGCGAGCAAAGCGAGGTAGTGGAGCAGCACTGACTAGCGACACTCCAAACCATTACTCTGGACCATTACATCCAACTCTAGAATCTGATCTGCTCTCAATTCTGAGACTAACTCTCCTCCAGAATCAGCTCCTGACTCTGGACCTGACTTGTCAGGGCCAGAGAGAGGTGCCGCTGCCACCGACACCAGCTGCTACCGACACTATCTCGTTCTGCTCGATGGTGTTTACCGGATCTGCACTATTAGTAGTACATTCTCATAGTAACTTGCCGCCTTCTTGTAGTCTTTCAGCTTATAGGTAGGGACTTTTCACCATCTCCTCTATAGTGACTCTCAATATCAGGAGTCTGTGACTGTTCACCATATTTACACCTTCAGCTTTCTCCCTTTCCAATCTCCTACAAAACCAATTGCAGTCAACATCATTTCCTCCCTCCCTCCCTCCCTTCCTCACCCTCTCCTCCATCTCCTCCATCTCCATCTCCTCCTCTCGATTCATTTACCTTCCAATGGTTAATCCTTCAAAGGTGTAGTGTATCAACCACAAATTTTTCAGCTCTCTCTCTCTCTCAAAAAAAAGATTAAAATTTTTCAACATAATGGCAGAAACAAATGGGATTGATTTTCATTGCTTTTACAAACCAATAACTAGTATCGGTCTTTTTCCCCTCCTTCTTAGTTGAGATCCCATAGCTGGTTGCTTTGCCTTAAGAAAAAAAAAAACCAAACTCCCCCCAAGACCAATTTTAAATTTTTTTTTTTCAAGTATGTCTGTACAAGAGACGTCATCCCTACCAGGAGCAGTAGATGTCTCAAAATTGTCTGTTCCTACATTACCTGGAGTTACCCCAGCTCTTCCCAAGTCTAATTCTTTATGGTCCTCGAATCCCGTTTTTTCTTACTTGAACGATGTATATACAACCATAAGCGAACACCGTAAGAATTTGGGATTGACCAACCCCGGAACTATTGAGAATTTGAACAAGGAAGTTAGTAGAGATGTCTTTTTAAATCAATATTTTTTTACTGGCTTAAGAGCCGATTTGAACAAGGCCTTCTCAATGTCGCCAGCTTTCCAAACTTCGCACACTTTGAGCATGGGTTCTCAAGTTTTGCCTCCATATGCGTTTAGTGCCTTGTATGCTGCTGATGATTTTTTCTTACAAGGTAATATCGATAATGATATGAGCTTTAGTGGTAGAATAAATTATGGTTGGGATAAAGCTAATATCTCAAAAATCACCTTACAGTTGGCTCGGAGCCAACCATCCATGGTTCAATTGGAACAAGACTACCAGGCTAATGACTTTTCCATCAATTTAAAAACTTTGAACCCAAATTTTCTTTACGGTGGATTTTCAGGTGTGGCAGTCGCTAGTCTTTTGCAAAGTTTGACTCCAAAATTCGCCCTTGGTTTAGAAGCTATGTATTCAAAACAACCATTGAGTCCGCCAGATACTGCGGTATCCTATGTTGCTCGTTATAACAATGATGGAAAATGGATTGCCTCGGCCCAAATTCAAGCACAAGGTGCATTAATTGCTTCTTTTTGGAGAAAAGTTAGCGACAAGGTAGAGGCTGGTTTGGAAACACAAATCGCCGCTACAATGAAACAAGTTGCCGACCCTTTGATGGGTGTTGGTTTTGAACCAGTAATCGACGGCACAACAACCATTGGTGCTAAATACGAATATAGAACTGCTGTTTTTAGAGGACAATTAGATTCCAAGGGGAAAGTAAGTGCTTTTTTGGAGAAGAGAATCTTACCCACAGTTAGCGTTTTGTTTAGTGGTGAAATTGACCAATTCAAGAACACTTCAAAATTAGGTTTGGGATTACAATTTGAAGCTGCTGGTAATGAACAATTGATGTTGATGCAACAAGGTTTGATTGATGCAAATGGTAATCCAGTTCCTGGCGCTCCTTCAGCTTTATAAGTAGAACAATGAAAAGATGAGGAAAAGTAAAAGACAAAAGATTTTTGCTGATCAAATCAACTATACATCCCCTACTCCTTCTTCTACTCCTCATCCTCATCCTCATCGACCAATTTTGTACATAATAAATAATATTGATGCATTTCAAATCTGTTCATATTGCTTAACAATTATATATATATATAAACTTGGGCGAAACTACTGCTTTCTTTTTTTTTTTTCCTTTTTTCCTTCTTTCCTTTGCTTTTACTACCAGCCAAATAACCGAGACGTGAAACTTGCACTTCTAGTAGGAGACCTTGGTTGAATTTTGACTCTTTCTTGATTTGAATTTAGTGACAGCTTACTACTGAGTAAGTGGTATATTTCTCTCGAATTTAGTTTCACATCCTTTTTATCTTGGTTACTTATTTTGACATTACCAGTAACAGACATTGCTGATTTGTAACTCAGTGCTGGTTGCATAAAAGTACCACTTTGTCGTCTATTAATGAAAGTTGATGACACTTGATCTGAGATTGTTGGTAGTCGCGACATCGATTTTACTGAAGCTCTCGAGTCTAATTTATTTGAAGCGTAGCGTCCGTTTCTCATCAGTTGTGTTTGACGCTCACGACGTTGCCCAATCACAGAACTGTAAATATTCAGCAAATTATAATTTGTTGATAAACCACTGGCAATGCTTTGGCTCGAAGTAGATTTGGGCAACCTTGACAAAGTGTTGTCGCGCAATAGAGGATGCTGATGAGTATTTTGTCTTAAATTTGGCTCCATCCATCCACTTTCATTGGCATACAAGTCACTCCTTGAGGAGCGCCTGCTTATGGTCGTGGTTGTACGATGCCCATTGCCGTGACCGTTGCCCAATTGATTGATATTATGGTCCCTTAATACGGACAACTGCGCCAATTCCTCAGGATTACAATCAACTTCCTCGTCTTTACAAATCTGTCCAGGAAAATACTTGCCTCGAGAGTATGTGGGTATTTGGCTATGAATCGAGGCAAGCGATTGTTGTCTGGACATGGGTCTTGAATTGTATACTGTAGAAGGTGCTTGCATAACAGACTTGGCAATGTTTTCTTCAAACTCCTCTAGCAAAGAGTCCATTGAACTTTCTGATCTCTCGTCAATTGGACGAATATGGTTGAAGTTTTGACTACGGTGCCGACCATACATAAGTTCATGCGGTGTATAATGATGTTGCTGTTGTTGCTGTTGTTGTTGTTGTTGTTGTTGTTGCCGCTGCCGCTGCTGTTGCTGCTGTTGTTGCTGTCTTTTCTGATACGCTGTTTGAGTACGGTAAGGGCTGGTGTCGTATTTTTCAAGTTTTGCTTGATGTGTTTCTTTACTTATTTCGAGACATGCAACATTTGTTGATATCGACTGCAAAGAAGGTTGTTTTTTGATCTGATTTGTCAAATTGTTGTTTGTACGTGGAGATAAAGCAAATTGTGAAATTCGATGAGTTTGTGTTGGCGATAGTGGTGCCGATGGCGGTGAATCCGGTATGTCATCGTCTATTATGTTGGGTAAAATAGTCATGGGACTCTCAAATAATTCTTCTTGTTGATCATCAATTTGTCTTTCTTTATTGGTAAGTGTATCTATCACAAAATTTTGCTCTAGATTATGTTGTTGATGTTGATGTTGATGTTGATGCTGATGCTGATGTTGATGTTGATGGTGATGCTGCTGATGCTGATGGTGATGCTGCCGATGCTGCTGATGTTGATGATGTTGTTGATGTTGTTGATAACTAAACCCTTCTGTTTCTGTTCTTTCGCTGCTTATATTTATATATTGCACATTCCACTTTAGGGTACCTTCCAAAGTATCAAGAACACTATCCTCTTCGCTGTTAATAAAAATTTTCCAATACCTTTCTGGATTCAACAATGGCAATAAAAACTGATTGAAATTGATTCTTAGAATTTTGATTTTCGGGAATAATGGATATATAAACAGCTTTCCGCCACAAGATAAATACGTAACATCTCCATTGTGGAGCTGAAAAATTTCGAGTTCTCCATGGGCTAGCAAAGACCCGTTATTTTGGTTCTGACCAACTAGTTCAATAATCTTCAGCGATTTGCATTTGAATAGACTAACTTTCTCTTCCAGGTTCATATGCGACATTTCGTGTTGTTGCTGTGGGTTACCAAAAAAAGAAGTTTCGGATAGTGGGGAAATTTGGTCTTGTTTGGGCTTGAGATGCTCTCGAAACTCTGTGATTGGGGGTGAATGATCATGGCCGTTTTGTTTGTGGCGCAAGAGTGCCTCTTTTCTGGGAGATTTATACAGTTGGGGGTATACTGTTTGAGCGGTTGGAAGTGGCCGTTCCAATGGTGGTGGTACTGGTGTTGCTGGTTCCACTAGTGCTGGTTCCACTAGTGCTGGTTGCGCTAGTCCCATTTCTGCCGCTACTGGAGGATCCCTCGTACTCATATTCCATGGACCAGCCTCAACTGTTTGAATGCATGGACCAGCCTCAACTGTTTGAATGCATGGACCAGTCTCAACTGTTTGATTGCATGGACCAGTCTCAACTGTTTGATTACATGGACCAGTCTCAACTGTTTGAATGCATGGACCAGTCTCAACTATCTGTTCAACTGCTTTTTCAACTTGTTCGGGGGTTATGGGGTCCCCACGAGAAACTGACTTTGTCTCGTGCACCACAGACGAATTCTGGGGTGGTTTATTAGCTGCAAAATACTGACTCTTGTTCCTATACTTAAGCTTCCGTTTCCTTCGTTTTGGCTCATCGTTATGTTTCTTTGCAGATATACTTTCCAGCACTGTTGTTTCCTGGTTTTGTCTCTGTACATTTGTCTTGCGATTTTCCCCATTCAAATGAACCCCTGCAGTTTCCATATTTGTGCAATTATCGAAAATATTAATAGCCACCAATCCCGTGTTAGCCATACAAGAAAGGAATTTGATCCGTTAGATTTAGAATAATAGCAGCTGCAAATATCTCTATCGTCAATGTGACATGTACCTTCCAGAGAATACCAAGCGACTTTCTAATAGTTCCACTAATCACCTGTACTAAATTACTCCAGAAAACTCAATTCTTTTTTTTGGTTATTTAGTTTGATTTTTTTTTTCACTGACTACGCGAATAATTTTTATCCAATGGGTTATGGCATTGCATGTCATTACTTTGAAAAGGAGATGAAAAGAAGATACTTTTGTATATTAGAGTAGAATAGGATAGCTAGTGTACTGACACTATGGAGCAGAGCAAAATAGTGTGCTGACACTATCGAGATAGTGTCGATATAGTCAGTGTGCTGAAACTATCTCGATAGTGTCACTAGTCAGTGCTGTCACCAGTCAGTGCTGCTCCACTATCTCGCTTCGCTCGAGAGTGGAGTTTCGATAGTGTCACTAGTCAGTGCTGCTCCACTATCTCGCTTCGCTCGAGAGTGGAGTTTCGATAGTGTCACTAGTCAGTGCTGCTCCACTATCTCGCTTCGCTCGAGAGTGGAGTTTCGATAGTGTCACTAGTCAGTGCTGCTCCACTATCTCGCTTCGCTCGAGAGTGGAGTTTCGATAGTGTCACTAGTCAGTGCTGCTCCACTATCTCGCTTCGCTCGAGAGTGGAGTTTCGATAGTGTCACTAGTCAGTGCTGCTCCACTATCTCGCTTCGCTCGAAAGTGGAGTTTCGAGAGTGGAGTTTCGAGAGTTTCTCTAGCGTCGGTGGCAGCTGGTTTATCAAGCTTCTCCCAAGACTCTAGATTCTCTTACGTATGAAGCGGTTCGAGTTGTTGATGTTGTTGTTGTTGTTGAGTTAGTTGCCTGTGGATGATGATTTGTTGCTGAGGATAATGACTCCATATCCTCTGTGAAAAGTGGTGCATACAGTACACTTCTCATTTGTACGGCGTCTTCTTCTTTATGGTAAAATACAATTGGAGCCAATAACCTTATACCAGGTGCCAAAACTTGTTCGATTTTCAAAATGATGCTTGATGGCGGATACAACTTATTGATATATCCAAAGGCCAATAGGAATCCCGTAGAAATTCCTGCCAAGTGGCCGGGAAAGGAACTTGTTGGAAAGATAACCCAAAACACCAATGCTGCAATGAATGGTGCTGTCAAGGTATATAACTTGATCTCTAACGATCCTATATGAAAACTCTCCATTACCGGCTTGTATTGGTGTTCCTGATAAGCCATATAACTGAAAAAGGAAAAGGCAATCCCTGATAATCCAACCACACCGGTATTAGGGTACAACAAGAGTCCCACGGCGCAATACTGCAAGGCTGCAATCACCGTCAACAAATTAAGTGTTATCCCTGTATATACAGTCCCATGTCTTTTCTCAAAAATCGACAATGGTACAAATATGGAAAGCACGTTGAATAACCAATGCAAATAGCCAACATGGACTAGTGAATAAAGTGAAATGGCATTGAGGTTCAAGTCTAAAGGAGATCTCGGGTAAAGCACCAAACTCAACATTTCAACGCCAAATGTATTCTTAATTACACATAAAATAAATGTGAAAACTGTCAATCCAGCTGTTAAAGCCGGTGTTTTGTTAATGGCTCCCCATATGCTATGTAAATTGTCCATTATATGAAAAATTTCGAGTTATCTGATGAATGGTTAATTTTTTTTTCCTCTTGCTTCTCCTTTGTAGTGTATTTTTTTTTTCCATACCATAGAGGATGACTTTAGTCGAAGGATATTAAATAGAACAGAACTTGGAGTAAATAGATAGAGCAGAGTAAGAGAATGTACGATAGAGGGTAAGAGAATGTACAATAGCGGGGAAGAGAATGTACAATAGAGGGTAAGAGAATGTACGATAGAGGGTAAGAGAATGTACGATAGAGGGTAAGAGAATGTACAATAGAGGGTAATTAAAAGAATTTACAATAGAGAGTAATTAGAGATAAGAAGTCGGCGATGAAAACATATTGTGCCTAAATTATAAATAGCGACACTAGCGAGCAAAGCGAGCTAGTGGAGCAGCACTGACTAGCGACACTCTAAACCATTACTCTGGACTATTACTTTGTAAAGGGGGTATTGACTCCCTGGTAGGCGGTATCTAGCTGGTATTTCTGGAGTAGAAGCTAGTCATTGCTGCTCGATAGTGAGTAGAAGGGGTCTATATATATTTCACAAAGTAGCTGTCTCTACCTTAGACTTGAAACTTTCCAACAATTCTCTTTTCTTAACATTGTTTTCGTTTAACGTATTTATCCTTGCTTTTGTTGTTTCTGGTGGCTCAATGATTCCCTCAATCTCCTGTAAATAATTTTTCATTCTTGTCAATTTCAACCTCAAGCTTCCAGCATATTTATCAAAGTCCTTTGGCTGCTTTTTGCCATTGTTGATATCAAAGAGAAGTCCATATAGTTCCGATATAAGTTCAATATCTTTAATTTTTTCAATTGGGTCGTATTTTGATTCAAGCACCGGTGTGTTAGCTCGCGACAGGGTATTTTTCGGAGGCGGTAGTGCTGCTGCTGCTGCTGCTGCTGCTGCTGCTGCTGGTGTTGCTGCTGCTGCTGGTGTTGCTGCTGCTGCTGGTGTTGCTGCTGCCACCACGACCGACACCGGCTGATCGTCTATATCCATCATACTTGTTATTTTCTCCACATTCGATTCTCCATTGTCCTTTGTTGAGTTATCTATGCTTGACCTTGATTCATTCAACGCTGTATGAGTCCCATCTCCATTGGATATATTTGAGTCTGCTTGATTAGGTCCAGCAAGCAGGCTCTGTTCAATGAGTACATCAATTGCATCAATATTAGAAGCTACATCTAGGGATTCAGCCAAATCTATATCATCCATATTACTACTGGGGTTTGGGTAAACTTACATTCTCTAGAGAGCTTGAAGAGTTTATTTTTCGTTTTTTTTTTATCTTTTCTGAAATAGGAACTTGGATGCCGCACGTAATCAAATGAAGAGATGGGTATACAATTACTAAGAAACAACCTGTATATGTGAGGAATGAGTGAGGAGTAAGAGGTAAGAAGTAAGAGGTAAGGAGTAAGAGGTAAGGAGTAAGAGGTGAGGAGTAAGAGGTGAGGAGTAAGAAGTAAGGAATAGGCGATAAGGGTGAGCAGTCTTGTAAGTATTTTATGTTTCTTGAGATATATGATACATTTCAAGCAACTTTTCAGAATAAAATATCTGTAGACATAAGAAGATCTATTCAAGATATTAGAATGTTGAATCTTGGATAACAGTCTAGTTTAGAAAAAATAATAGCAGGTTGATTAACCATTGAAAAACATTGAGAAAAAAGATGGAGCTAATACACCTTGGAGCATTCAGAGCATAGAGAGTATACACTTACGCATATAGTATATAAAGTACACTTATGCATTCAGAGAATATAGAGTACACTTATGCATTCAGAGAATACACTTACACACGGGTTTGATTGCTATTCTTTTCCTTTAAGACCACTAGTCAGTGCTGCTCCACAATCTCGCTTTGCTTGATAGTGTCTGTTAGTGCTGCCCCACTATCGAGCAAAGAGAGACAGTGTTGCTTCGCTCGATAGTGTCTGTTAGTGCTGCCCCACTATCTCGCTCCGCTCCATAGTGTCGCTCTGATCGCTATATTAACATATGCAAAGTATATGAAATGAATATTATTTTTTTCATTAAGTCCGAAACTTGCATAACGGATTTGACCAACAATTACCCCACCAAAAATAAATGGAAAATAATATGGGATTCCTTTTTTTGTTCACCATATTAGATGATAAAAGTTTGATTGATTTAATTAAACGAAAAAGGTTTGACTTTGTTCTAATTAAGGTTTCTGAAAAAAGTGTCGCTTATTGACATTTGTCAAGTCTCTGTTTTGTATAGTTTCACTTTCCCAGCTTGATAAACTTGTCTTCTTCCTGGTTCTAACCAATTTCAAGCTTTTCTTCAACTATGAGTAAAGCTAGAAGATTCCTATCAAAATCACAAGCTCTGCCAATTGCACCTCCTCAATTAGATCCTCTCAGCTCACCTGAAACAAAACCGCAATCTAGCCACAGAATTTCAATAAAGAGAAGTAACCATATTCCAAGCTTGTTGGATGTTGCTGAAAAAAAGGATAAAAAAAGGCAGGATGCAAAGCAGGATGTAAAGCAGGACGCAAAGCTTGGTGTAAAGCAAGATGGAAAGCAGGATGGAAAGCTTGGTGTAAAGCAGGACCCAAAGCGTGATGTAAGTCATGATGCAAAATCTGTTTCATCGCTGAGATCCGTTTCATCGGTGAAATCCGTTTCATCGTTGAAATCTGCTACATCGGTAAAGACAGATGCAAAATCTGTGTCAACCTTGAAACCGACAGACAAAGATGTTGATTCAAAATTGGCAAAGGATACTAATGGTGTAGCAAGAGTCAATTCCACAAAAACATTAGTTCCTGAGGAGAAAGTGGAGGAGAAGGACAATGAGAAGGAGAAGGAGAAGGCGAAGGTGGTGGATTTCTACACTCCTTTACAGGAAATATCATCTGGAGTTCAAAGAGTAACTGATGGATTCAAATCTGGCAAAACTCATTCTCTCCAATTTAGATTGAACCAGTTGAGAAACTTGTATTTTGCCGTGAAAGCAAATGAATCAAAACTTATCGAGGCTTTGCAGAAGGATTTTTACAGAACTCCTTCTGAGACTAAAAATTATGAGTTTGGTACTGGATTAACCGAGTTGGTGTTTGTCATGTCTAATCTACACAAATGGATAAAGCCAGAAAAAGTCGAAGACAAGCCACTTAATTTGATCACAAATAACGTTTACATTGAAAGAATACCTGTTGGTGTTGTGCTCGTGATTGCAGCCTTCAATTATCCACTTTTTGTTACAATTTCTCCAATTGTAGGGGCAATTGCCGCAGGTAACGCTGTTGTATTGAAACAGTCGGAACTCACTCCAAATTTCACCAGATTGTTTTCTGGGATATTGACAAAAGCTTTGGATAAAGATATCTTTTTTGCAGTTAATGGTGCTATTCCCGAAACAAATGAACTTTTGAATCAAAAATTTGACAAAATTGTGTTTACAGGTAGTAACACCGTAGGAAAGATTGTTGCCACGAAAGCAGCGGAAACTTTAACGCCCGTTATTTTGGAATTGGGTGGTAAGTCTCCAGCAATTATTTTGGATGACGTCAATGATAAAGACTTGTACATCGTTGCACGTAGGATTGCATGGGGCCGTTTTGCTAATGCCGGTCAAACATGTATTGGAGTTGATTATGTATTGGTGCCAACCAAATTGCACTATAAGTTTACCGCTATCCTAAAGAAGGTTATTAACGAAGAATTTTACCCTGGTTTAACTAAAAATGATCCTAATTTTACTCATATTATCCATGAACGTGCTTTCAACAACTTGTCTAAAATAATTGCAGATTCCAAAGGTAAAACTGTTGTTGGAGGTGATGCGGATGCCGTTACTAGATTCATTCCACCAACGGTGATTGACGATGTTATGTGGACAGATTCAACAATGCAGCAAGAGATATTTGGTCCAATTTTGCCAATAATTGAGTATGACTCATTATCAGATGCGATTTCCAAAGTTACAGAACACCACGATACTCCATTAGCGCAGTATATTTTTACAAGCGGTCCAACTTCACCAACATGCAATAAACAAGTGAAACAAATTCTCACAAATATTAGATCTGGAGGTGCTATTATCAACGATGTATTGATGCATATCTCGTTGCACAATGCCCCTTTTGGGGGAGTGGGAAGCTCAGGATATGGTGCATACCATGGTAAAGTTTCCTTCTGCCTGTTTTCACACGAAAGAACAACAATTGAACAGCATTTGTGGAATGATTTTATGCTCAATGCAAGGTACCCACCACATTCGAATAAAAAGGATAATTTGATTGAAACTTCCCAGGTTTCTTACAACGGTAAAGTTTGGTTTGGAAGAACGGGAGATGTTAAAATCAACGGACCAACTACGACATTTGCTGTATGGAACACTGCTCTTGGCCTAGCTCGACTTGTACGTGATTTTGTTGGTGCATCTATGTAACCATTTATTTTAATTTTTTTATTTTTTATTTTTTTGCCACTGGTTGCGTTACACAGATTGCCAAATCGGATAAATTATTTTCCTCTTTTTTCAAGTTTCCCTTTTTACCTTTTTACCTTTTTCAGTCTATATATATCACCTTTGTTTTCTCATTAGATAACTTGTAATGACAGGTGTTTGATGATATTTGGGGGAACCGCTCACGAAAACGTCTATGCTATTGGATATAGCAAATACCCTCCTCTTGTCTGAAAATGTGAAATCAATTAGGTGATGGTGGTGGTGGCGGCGACGACGACGGCGACGGCAGAGACGGCTGCTGAGAAGTCCACTGATACTGCTGGTAATCTACTTTTTCTCCATTTCTCTTTTCCTAATCCACATTCATTGTTTTCTTTCGGCTGAAATATCAAGAATCGTACCCGAAGCCATACTCACATAATGTTCACGTGACATGGTCAAAAAATTGAACTAAAATTAACCATATTCCTACTAAAAAACAACCAACCAATTAGTTGCCTTTGTAAACTCCAGGTTAAATATTCATCACAAAATGAGATTTGACTATTATTTCTCTCTCTTGTGTGCTTCCGTATGTTCCTCTTTCAATAATTGCACCTTCGTTTTTTTTTTTTTGGTTTTTGGTTTTTGGTTTTTTGCAGCAATTTCATAATAACGAGAAGTTTTTTCGCAGCCACACAAGATATATATGCCACCACAGTTTCAATTGAAATTTCCTCTCCAATTAGTGTAAGCCTTAAAGATGAGCCTTCTCAAACTCTTTTATTATATTTCTTGCTAGTGGTCAACTAATAAGTCTCTTATCTAAAGAGTGTGGAAAAAGAATTTATCCCACTCTACAGTTGTAGAATCTTGAATTGAATTAATTGAGCCTTCCACTTGCAACCGTTTAAATTCTAACTTAAAAGCTTCTTTAATAGACTGTTGGAAAAAAGAGAGCAAAGAAAGAAAGAACCAAAGAGAGCAAGAAAGAAAGCAAGAAAGAAAGCAAGAAGCAAAGAAAGTAGAGAAAAAGCTTGTACCTCTTTCTAATTGCATAAATCTTTTCAAGAAAAATGACTGAGGATAGTTATTCCATTGAGAATAATAATTCAATCTCCTCTGCAAATAGTAATACCCCTTTAAAAAACGAAAAGCATCAAGAGCTCATTTTTTCAACGGTAAACTCAGACTCGTCATTTGAATCAGACCAACTAGCTAAAAACCCCTTTCTAGATCCAAATGTTGAGAGGTTTTATCGTGACCAGTATACAAACTCCAAATATGAGGCTTATATAGCTTTCGACCCCCAGTTTGAGTGGACGCAAGAAGAAGAAAACAAAGTTGTACGCAAATTGAATTTTCGTGTTGCATTAGCAGCGTGCCTTATGTTTGTCGGTCTCCAAGTTGACCGAGGAAACTTGGCACAAGCAGTAACGGATGACTTGTTATCGGATATCGGATTGAACACCAATGATTATAACACCGGAAACACCATCTTTTTGGTTTGTTTTTTGGCTGCCGAGGTACCTTCTCAGTTGATCTCTAAAGCATTGGGCCCGGATATTTTCATTCCTATACAAATCTGTGCTTGGAGTATTGTGGCAATGTCACAAGCAGCATTGAGCGGGAAAGCATCCTTTTACATAACAAGAGCACTTATAGGTGCCCTTGAAGGAGGCTTTATTGCCGACTTGGTTTTATGGTTGTCTTACTTTTTCACTAGTAAAGAGTTACCGGTGAGATTATCATGGTTCTGGACTACATTGTCCTTGGTTCAAATAGTCACGTCGTTATTGGCATTCGGTATCTTGAGACTTGATACATGGGGCTGGAGTGGGTGGAGATTCCTTTTCCTCATTGAAGGAGGATTTACTCTCGCGATAGGTATTGCTTCGTATTTCTTGATGCGTCCAAGTGCAGTGCAAACTAAAACATTTTGGAATCCCAAAGGTTGGTTTACTGATAGAGAGGAGAAGATTGTTGTTAATAGGGTTTTGAGAGATGATCCTTCTAAAGGTTCCATGCATAACCGTCAAGCCATTTCGCCAAAAATGTTATGGAAGTGTCTTGTGGATTATGATCTTTGGCCAATATACGTTATTGGGCTTGTTGCTTACATTGGCCAAACTACATTCACTTCTTATTTCGGCTTAATGAATAGACATTTGGGGTTCTCGGTATTTAATACCAATCTTTTAACCATACCGCAAGCGGCAATCCATATTATTTTTCTTCTTATAATAACATGGGTATCAGAAAGGGTTAATCAAAGAGCATTAGTTAGTTTAGCTGCACCACTCTATGCAACTCCGCTCATAGCAATTATCAGATGGTGGCTGGGCTCTGGCAAAGATGTTTGGGCAACATGGGTGTTGAACACCTTATATATGGCCCAACCATATATTCATGCAATATGTGTGTCGTGGGTTTCAAGAAATTCAAATTCGGTGCGTACTAGATCAGTTTGTTCAGCCTTGTATAATATGTTTGTCCAGTTGGGAAACATTATTGGTAACAATATTTATAGAAAAGATGATCAACCATTATATAAAAGAGGTAATATGCAATTGTTTGTCATTACTTTTATCCTTATTCCAATATTATTACTAACCAAATGGTACTATGTTTGGAAGAATAAAAGAAGAGACAAGATTTGGAACGCAATGACCGAGGATGAAAAGAATGATTATAGACAGAATACAAAAGATGAGGGTAACAAGAGATTAGACTTTAGATTCGATAGCTAAGTCTCTTCAACAAGGCATATATATATACATATATATACATATATATATATATATAGACTCTTTTCTATATTTTTTTTCAATGGTTTTGGTAGTTATTGCTCTTCTTCTTCATAAACACCTCCTCCTCGGCCAACTGTATTGCCAACTTTGCTAGCTCCTGGATCAAGGATAGAACTTTTTGAGCTTGTTCTCTTACAAATATATCATTATCAGTATCAACAATATATCGCAACAATACAACCACTTTCTCTCTATACTTTTCAGGAAACTCAACCTTATTCGTTTCAGAAGTTCCCAAAATCAAATCCTGTATAAGCATAACAGCTGCTCTCCTCATTACAGCTTTCTCAACAGTCTTTTCGAGATTTAAAATTCCAATAGCACAATCAAGAGCATCGTCCAAACTTCCAATTAAGCCAAGCGGGTTCACTTTACAGCAAACGCCTAATAAGGACATTGCCGACATTCGAACTCTATCATCATCATCGCCGTGTTTTCGGATAACAACTAATGTGGTAGCCACTACTAGATTTGCAGATTCGCCAACAAACTTCTCATTAGCCACTTGAATATATCGGAGAATAACCTCTCCAATTCGTAACCTCTCATCTAAGTCTGTTTCACTATTGGTGTATAAATCACACAAGATTTTTAGTACTGGCAACTCTTCCCATTCTATTAAACTTTCTAAACCTTTTATAACATTCAAGTATATGTATGGTTCAGGATCTTTTAGTTGAACCAAGTGCAAATTGATTGCAAAATCCAATGAAATGACTGTACTCTGTGACTCCACTAATTGCCTCAACAAGTACAATCCGTGGGCACGGATTGGCACAAGGGGATCATTCAAACTGGTGATTGCTCGGTTCAACATGAGCTTCTGTGCATCCAACTCGCTTGAGATGGAAAAATCTCCGTTGAGAATATTAGCTATCCTTTGTGCAAGCGATTCAACTGAATTTTTGACATTCACGTTTAAACTTTGGTCCTTCATATGCATCAAACAAGTTTTAATATCAGCTAGTAGTTTTGTGCATTTTTCGTCAATAACAAGATCGTCCTCTGATAATATTGCTGATAATAGCTCTAATAAAATTGGTAAAAAATCGTTGATATCCTTTGCGTCGTCTTCTTCTTCTTCATCATCAGAGTCGACTGTCTTTCCTTCCTTCTCCTCCTCCCTCTCCTCATCCTCATCCTCCTTGTTGCTAAATGATGTATTTAGAAAGCTATCAACAATGCTTAGCATCTCATAAGGAGTTCTTGCTAAACTGTCCTTAAACTTATGGCCAATACTTTCCAACAATTTTAGGTCCACGAGCTTTATAAAGGGGTTCTCATCATCTGCTAATACGAATGTTGTTCTTGTTGTTGCTGACTTTTTTGTAAACCATTGTTTGAGGATCGTAATAAACAATGCCTGTACTATTTCATCATCCACATTTTCCAAGAGCTTTACAAAATTTCTGCAGGCAAAGTCCAAATTATCAATAAACTTGGTGAGTTTCATCTCTTTGCTTTCAGAAGAAAACTCTGCTTTTCTTTGAATAATTTGAGTCAAGTTATTAGGACCAATCTCAAACATCCAATTGTCTCCTCCACTGAATAAAAGGTTCTTTGCTATAAGGTCCACTCCTGCCAAATTGCTATCATCGAAATCCTTCATCACTGTAAAATAGCTTGTCATAATGTTTGTAACAATTTCAATTGGTTTCCCATTCTGTTTGAGAAACAAGTAATATCCCCAAAGCGGAACAATCACCGGCTCCATGACTGCTTGATAAAGACTGGCTTCTAATCCCTTTTTGGACATAGACAATAAAACATTTATGACATTGTTGAGCTTTTTCTCACTCACCAACGCATACACATTTTCATTCTCATTCTCATTCTCATCCACATTCACATTCACATTTTCATCATCACTTTTTGGATTCAAAGAGTTCCAAATTCTTTGCAAAAAGAAATCTTCAACTACAAGCTTGTTTTTATTCCACAATTTTTCAATAACGTATGTAACACAAGCTGCAACAGTTGGCCTGTTAATATTCACCAAAAGATCAAAAGACTGATGTCCTATAGATGCGAAATATTCTTTTGTTGGTATATCTTTTGGTTTCAGAAGGATAACGTTTGCCACATGATCAAATTTTGTGATATCAATCTCATCCAGGTCACGTAATCCCAAAATGAACTCGATCAATGATAGTAAACCATCTTTTCTCGGGGCATCATAAGGAAGCCTTTGAATACGTTGCATAATAAACTGCTTGAAATAGCTTGGAGAAGGCGTGGTTAAAAGTAAGGAGTATGTTTGGAATAATTCATAGGAGTCGGGGATTTTTTCAACACTAGGGTAATCATTGGTAAATTTGGTATGGTCGATTCCTGGTATGGTTTGTAAAGCTAATGCTATGGTTATGAAATCAGATAGTCCGGTGCCCCTTTTCAACAAATCAGTAACATCGGAAGGTGTTTTGAATAGTATATAAAATTGATTATAAATCAAGGTTAATAGTTTGATTGCAAAAACCGAATCCAGTGGTAAATGGTCAATTACAATTGGTTTGGTGTTATTTGCAAGATCCTTCAAATTTCTCTTTTCAAATGGTATCCCTATTTTAAACCTGTTTAATGCTGGATATACTCCCAAAATTAAAATTGTATTGACTAGTTTGCTAAAAGTCTTTATATCATGCAAAGATATGGTCATTAAGGACTTGTTTGCCATAACCGATTGCAAAGACGCTTTTTGCAAATCCGATAAACAGCTCATTAAGTAGTCGACAACCTTGTACCTTGAGTCGATGCTGCTGCTGCTGCCGCTGCTGCTGATGCTGATGCCGCTGCCGCCGCCGCTACTACCGCCGCTGCTACTTTCGTCGCTACTGACAGCAACCGTGTTACCATAGATCCTCTCAAATAACAAGCCGACAGTTAATTTTTCACAAGGAGCATCTAGTATTTGGTCCAATTTTTGAAACAACTTATCGATAGGCTTATCTCCAATAAAATCTAGTTTGTTCAAACCTCTCCTTGAGGGATATACTTCCTCTGCTGTTCGCCTCACCGTAGTAGCTGTTTTCCTAGCAAACGGGTTTTTTTTAACTGGTTTACTATCTACCAGGTCCTTGCTAGAGCTGGATAACTCTTGTATCTTAAGCGACGACATTCCTTATCCTACCATGATCCCTCAACAACAATCGAATAAGGAATAAAGTACCACTAGCTTGAGCCAGTTTTAATTTTGTTCCCTCTCGATTTGATTCCCAATTTTTTTTCACTTTTTATTTCTTTCCTTTTCATTTAGAGTCCAGGGAAAGCAGAAGATGACGGCAGAGGATGTCAAGGTGATAGTAGAGGATGTTAAGGTGATAGGAGAGGATGTTAAGGTGATAGGAGAGGATGTTAAGGTGATAGGAGAGGATGTTAAGGTGATAGGAGAGGATGTTAAGGTGATAGGAGAGGATGTTAAGGTGATAGGAGAGGATGTTAAGGTGACGCCAGAGAATGTTAAGGATTTAGATGTCAAGGATCTAGATGTCAAGAATTTAGAGCCCTTGACGCAGGAGGAGATGGATGCGGTGATATATGATGCTAGGGTTGGTGATGTAGAAGTATTGAAAGAGATATTTGACGAAATACCCAAATCATACTTGTTAACAATCAAAGACGATATTAGTTTGAGTACACCTATACATATGGCGGCAGCCAATGGACATTTGGATACGATAAAGTATCTTTTATCGATCATTTCAAAAGATGACGCAGTAAGATTGGTACAAGCCAAAAACGATACAGGGAACACTGCTCTTCATTGGGCGGCATATAATGGACATCTTGAAGTTGTCAAGTACTTGGTTGAGTTTGAAGCTGATCCGTTTGCCAAGAACGAAGCAGGACACGATTCTATATACGAAGCTGAGAATAACGGGAAAACTCAAGTAGAAAACTGGTTTTTGAGCAAGTATGCGCCAGAAGAAGACTTTTCTATTGCAAGTGATGGTGATACAACAAGGGTGACGTATGCCCCAGGAACAGAAAGTAAATTGGCTGACGAGAACGCTAGAGATGCAGTCTTTGCCACAAGTATAAACACAGGAGAAAAAGGGGAGGGGAAGAACAAGGAGGAAAGGAAGGATGAGAGTCCATCCAATCCACCCAGCTTGAGCCCTGAACTCGAGGGCATCGCCAATGTATCGATTAATGATGATGATGATGATGATTAATAGATATATTTATATAGAGACGGCGGCTAATTTATAAATTTTAATTTTTTTTTTTTTTTTTCGCGATGAGCAGTGACATTTTTTCTGTGTCGCATAAATTTACGAGACACTGAAAAATTATTCCAAATCTGTACCAAAAAATTTTTCAATAGTTGAAAAATCACCTTGTAGAAGAAGAAGGAAGAATAAGAAGGATATAATAAACCTGTTTAGCTTGGTATTGGAGTGTTGAGTCGAGTCTTTTTTTAGGAATAGGTATTAATTAGGATGTCAGATTTAGGGTTTGATCCAACATTGAAGAAAAAGAAGAAGGTTAAGAAGTTAGTAGAAGATTCCTCTTCTATTGGTTTGGATGATACAGAAGGGTCAGCGCTGCAACCAACGAGTAGCTCGGTGGATGAATTATTTTCTGGAATGAAGAAAAAGAAAAAGAGTATTAAAAAACCCCAAGTTTCTCAGGAGACCTCTTTGGAAGCTGTAGAAGATGACTTGAGTGCATCGCTTGGCGATTTGTCCTTGAAAAAGAAGAAAAAAAAGAGTACAAAGAATTTGGATTTGAATGAGTTTGAGCAACAATTGGAGAAAGCTGGTGTTGAGGATGTTTTTGAGACACAAGAGGATTTTAGTGCAAGTGCAAGTGCAAATGCAAATGCAAATGCACAGGGTCTGGCACAATCACAACAAGGCTTAACGTATGAAACTTTATTGTCTCGGTTTTTTGAAATTTTGAAAGCTAATAATCCAGAATTAGCTGGTGACAGGACGGGTCCGAAATTCAGAATCCCGCCACCAGTTTGTCAAAGAGAAGGTTCGAAAAAGACCTTGTTTGCAAACGTACAAGAAATCGCCACCGTGTTACAGAGGAATCCCGAGCATTTGATACAATTTTTGTTTGCCGAATTGGGTACCTCAGGTTCGATCGATGGTGAAAAACGATTGGTTTTGAAGGGTAAGTTTCAACCTAAGCAAATGGAGAGTGTTTTGAGAAGATACATTATAGAATACGTTACATGTAAAACATGTAAGAGCATGAATACCGAATTGAAACGAGAGAGCGCGAATAGATTGCATTTCTTGAGTTGTAAAGCATGTGGTTCAACGAGATCCGTTTCTTCAATCAAAACTGGTTTCCAAGCGCAAATTGGAAAGAGAAAGAAGTTTTAATGGGATCTGGGCATATTACCAGAGGGCTGTAACTGCTTGAGGAGAAAGAGGAGAAAGAGGAGAAAGAGGAGAAAGAGGAGCAAGAGGAGCAAGAGGAGCAAGAAGAGAAAGAGGAGCAAGAGGAGCAAGAGGAGCAAGAAGAGAAAGAGGAGCAAGAAGAGAAAGAGGAGAGTTGGAGTGCTTGGGAGAAAGAAAAGTCGAGTATCTGCCAGTAGAAAATAAGTTAGGGAAATAGGTTTGAATTCTATCCATTTTTGTAATAACTTGAATGTATATACTCAAATGCAAGAGTCAGTGGAGTTGGTCTCCTTTGAGTGAAAAGAGTCAATTGAGTTGATCTCATTCAAATGCTTTGCGTTTTATTGAGTGGAGTTGGTCTCATTCAAATGCTTTGCATTTATTGAGTGGAGTTGGTCTCATTCAAATGCTTTGCATTTATTGAGTGGAGTTGGTCTCATTCAAATGCTTTGCATTTATTGAGTGGAGTTGGTCTCATTCAAATGCTTTGCATTTATTGAGTGGAGTTGGTCTCATTCAAATGCTTTGCATTTATTGAGTGGAGTTGGTCTCATTCAAATGCTTTGCATTTGATTGGGCTACCCATGAAACATGACATTATGATACATATTTTTTTCTTGCTGCTACTGCTTAACGTCTCTATTGGATATCTGTTTCCTCCCTTATCAAACACTGTTCACAATCTTCTTCAATGGTGCACACCATTTAGTTACACCTTCATAAACCATCATGTACTCAAGAACTCTATGACTAACTTTATTTTTATTGATATTGGCTTCTAAAATTTCATTAAAAATACTCTCTATAAAGTCCAAATGCTCTTCATTCATAGTTTGAATCTGGGTTTGTAATTTCGACTTATAACATGTCAATTCTCTCTCTGGTAAATCCATGGGTTTTTTAAATACCAATTCACAAAGATTCAAAATTCCTTCGCGATCTTGATTATGTCGTATCAGCTCCTTACCAAGCGATTGTTGTGAACTATTTTGCGATGACATTACCGGAGTGGGACAGTCATTCCAGCCGTCTATAGCATCGCCTCTTTGGTATTTCGTTAACGTCATGAAGAATGGTTAAAGAAAGATCCCCTGTGGTTCAAGATGACAAGTTACTTGACTTTTTCAACCTTGTTATGTCTAAGTAGTAATGCTACCAGTTGTAGAGTAGTTTCAATACAACTGACAAATGTATCGTATCACAATGTAATAGTGAGAAGTCGCTAGAGAAGGTGCTAAAAGAAGGGGAAAGTGGTTAGGGAAGGTGCTAGAAAAGGTGCTAGAAAAGTCGCTAGAGAAGGTGCTAAAAAGGAAAAAGATGATGGCATAGACGCCCCTGATAAACTTTTTACATCCAATTTTCACTCACACATCCAATTTTCTGCTAATTTCTAAAGCCCTTTGAATCAAGTCCCTGGCAGTTGGTCTGTTTTTAGCTTTGACTTGTAGACATTGCCGTATCAAGTCGATCAACTCTTTGCTATACCCGTTTCTATCCTCTGGTATATGATACTTTCCCTGACTAATAGCCAAATTCAAATTGGCACCCTGATCAATCTCTAGTTTTTCAAAAGGTGAATATCCAAAACAAGTACAATAGAGCAAACAGCCCAAAGACCAGATGTCTGTTGCTTCTGTGATGTATGCACCAGTTTCAACATCCATTAGCTCTGGGGCACGATAGGGCAACGTACAGTGCTCTTGTGCAAAATCGGTAACGGTAAGGGCTTGTTGTCGAGTTCTTACACGAATTCTCGCTCGTGAGCATGAACCCAAATCAACCAAAACGGATAAGCCTTCTGCCGAGAGCATTACATTTGGTGGTTTCAAGTCGTGATGAGCAAATGGAATTGTCTCGGCCATTTCTGTAGAGTTGTTTGTTTCTGCTTCGGTTCCTGCGTCAGTTGCCGGGTGTGGAAGATGGAGATTGTCATTTTCGTCATTTTCGTCATCCTCGGCCGTTTCATTTCGTGCAAGTAGAGCCTCATCTTCATCGTTTCCTTCACTAAACAATCTCCCCGAAGCAGATGAGTTGCTAGTATGCTTATAATTATGCATCACCTCGAGACCACGGCATATTCCAATGAAAATTTTAAGAATCTCCAGCTCTTCAAATTTTGTATTATTGAAAACGTGCTCATTGATCATATCTTGGAGCGATCTGTGAAAATACGGTAGGAGAACATACACATATTTCAGGCCATCCGGATGGCTTACGATGCTTTCATCGATGGACTGTATGATATAAGGCGTTCTAAACTTGGTGAATCGATGATAATTTCTAACTTCTCTAATGGCATTTTTGTATGTTTCGTCGCGTACTCCAAAGGGGCAATTGATCTTCTTCAAAGCATAAACTGATTGCGATGATGCTTGATGTACTAAATAAACATAAGAATACGCCCCTTCACCAAGAAGCTTACTTATCTTATAAGTGCAATTGTTTATCTTTATCGAAGGTGTAGACAAATCGGGAAAACATGGGAGACATGCAAAGCAAAAAGATAGTAGAGAGTTCATCTCAAAGGTAGAAGGAGTTATTCTACAGTTATTGCGTAACCTGCGTCCTTCTGTTCCAGGTGTATGAGTATGAGTATAAGCTCGAAACTTTGTCCACTCTAATTCTCTCCTCACAGCTTTGAAACAACGCTAGCAATAATGACGATGATGGTGATAATAATGAGAGAGAAATCTAACATATATTTGTTTCGCACTTTGCTACAATGGAAATTTCATCAAAGACATATATGAATACGAAATCAAAACTTACCAGTCAAAAGTAGCTAGTAGCTGGTAGTAGCTGGTAGCTGGTAGTAGCTGATACTAGCTGATACTAGCTGATACTAGCTGATACTAGCTGATACCAAACCCTAAGCAGCTTAGCGACTATATCTAATTATACTTGTTAATCAACTCAGTTGCATATTCGATATACTTCTTCTCAGCTTCTTCTTGAGGTGTACCCTCCAAATCTTTCCAGCTTTGCCATTTGTACTTTCCCTTAAAGTCAAAAGTACCTGGTTTATCAGTAGTGTTGTCACCAACGGTAGCTTGTTTATACAAACCGTAAAGATTTAATAATTCATCATCTGTTGGTCTTTTAGACAAATTTGAAACCGTTTTTGCCTATTGTCAAAAGGTTAGAATACAATTAGTAAACTTCTTTACTCGTTTACATACTCTTTCTTCAAATTCTGCTGAAACCATCGCTGTAACTCTTGTTGGCTATAACTATAGAGAAAATAATGTAACTAAAGAAATAATGAGGGTGGGCGGCTAACCTCTATGGTTTTTTTTTTCACCCCTTTTTTTATTTTTTAATTTCTGCCACGTTTGAAGAATGGATAAAGCCGGAACTAGTTTCATCAATTGAGATGATATAGCCCTATTTATAGTAGAAATGTAAAAGGGGAACCTAAGTGGGGGAAGGGGGTTAGGTGTGTATGTAAGGAGAGGACTGCACTTTACACTTGGAGACCTCTGACTTGGAGATCTCTGACTTGGAGACCTCTGACTTGGAGACCTCTGACTTGGAGACCTCTGACTTGGAGACCTCTGACTTGGAGACCTCTGACTTGGAGACCTCTGACTTGGAGACCTCTGACTTGGAGACCTCTGGCAATGTGTATGTAAGAGAGGACTGCACTTTACACTTGGAGACCTCAGACAATGTGTATGTAAGAGAGGGGATTTGAGAGAACTCTGGCATTATGTGTATGTAAGGGGGGATTTCCTTGATTGCACTTTACACTTAGAGACCTCTGGCAATATGTGTATGTAAGAGAGGGGATTTGAGAGAACTCTGGCATTATGTGTATGTAAGGAGAGGGGATTTTAGAAAACTCTTTGGGTGACGGTTTAGTCAGTACTGCTCCACTATCGAACAGAGCGAGATGTAGTCTGTAATGCTCCACTATCGAGCAGAGCGAGATGTAGTCTGTAATGCTCTACTATCGAGCAGAGCGAGATAGTGTCGCTTGTGTCGGTGTAGTCTGTGTTTCTCCACTATCTCGCTTCGTTCAATAGTGTCGCTAGTGTCGGTGTAGTCTGTAATGCTCCACTATCTCGCTTCGTTCAATAGTGTTGCTGGTGTCGGTGTAGTCTGTAATGCTCCACTATCTCGCTCCGCTCGATAGTGTCGCTCGTGTCGGTGTAGTCTGTGTTTCTCCACTATCTCGCTCCGCTCGATAGTGTGGATAATTAAATAACCCCTCCTCCCAAATCAGGTAAACCGTCCTCCTCCTCTGGTTGATCAAAGTAGTGACTAAATGTGTATACTGTCCCGTATATCAAAACACCGCCAACAATTGTCAAAATGCTTGCTGTTCTCGTCAAAATCATCGAGTGATGCAATAACACCGGCAAATAAAACCCAGAAACTAGTAAAAATGCCGTTAAGAATTGGCCAAACTCAACAAGCAAATTGGCATTAGACGAGCTCGATGGATCGAAATTGAAATCATAATCGGATGAGTTGGATATACTCTGAGTAATAACAATAGGTAGATGTGCCACTGCAAAAATTATCCCAATTATTATAGGGAACCAGTTCCCATATATGCCAGCTAGTATCACTAATAGAAACCCCACTGATAAGATTACCGAAAGGCCGATAATTTTATTCAAAGGATGACTTTTAAAGCTTGCAATTGAGTTCATCTGTGCGGCGCTACTGGTATAGTAAAAGAAAACTTCTCTTTCTCTTTCTCTCTCTCTCTCTCTCTTAATCAAGCTCTAACGGGTAACCAAAGTACTTTTGATGTAAATCTACAAACTTTAACGTCCAGCGTTGGATATTTTCTTCAAGCAATGAAAAACAAAGCCGAAAAATCAAAACTAGAATCAATTGAGAATAAAAATCAAATAATCAAAGAAGCCAAAAATTTAACCCGTGTAAACCATTTTGTATTGTATCAAAGAGTAAGTAACCTAACCTAACCTTGCCATATTGTGTTGTTTATACGGTCCCTTTTTTCTTTTCTGATTTAGCAAAGGCACATGACCAACAGTAAGTTTCAAGAGATTCTCCATCCTCAAGTGGTGACGTATAACAAGAAAGGAGAATCGATTTCATTACCTGCAGGTTACTCCTCTCCCAGCGTCTCCATCATTTCGTCTGCCTCCACCGTGTCCTCGGCATCATCAAAGACCTTGGGTGTTAGCAAGAATGCAACAAAAACAGATTTGGATACGTTGAAATCGAAGAAAGTTTGGGAGTCGGCAACTGCTCCAGCCAAGTCTATACCCATGAACTTGTTTATGAGCTATATGACGGGGAATTCACTTCAAATTATACCAATGACAATGACAATGATGCTACTTTGGAACCCCATAAAGGCCATTTTCAACGATACCAATATCATGTTTTCCAAATTAAAAACAAGGACAAACCAAACCGAAATTACTATTGCAAAAGTGGTGTTTGTTTTATGTCAATTGTTGAATATGGGAGTAGGAGTATACAAGCTATATAAAATGGGACTTTTACCACACCTGGAAGCAGATTGGTTGTCGTTGAAAGAGCACAAAGGGGGGAATTATCATCTATATGTATAAGCGACTATCGACACTATGCTCCACTATCGAGCGAAGCGAGATAGTGGAGCATAGTGGAGCAGTACTGACTACACCGACACTATCAACACTATCGAGCGAAGCGAGATAGTGGAGCATAGTGGAGCAGTACTGACTACACCGACACTATCAACACTATCGAGCGAAGCGAGATAGTGGAGCATAGTGGAGCAGTACTGACTACACCGACACTATCAACACTATCGAGCGAAGCGAGATAGTGGAGCATAGTGGAGCAGTACTGACTACACCGACACTACTGAGCAGCACTAGCTGTCACCAACATTATCGAGCATAAGTTTTTGCTATTGCTGTGGATTGGCTACCCTTTGAATAAAACTCGAGGTTGGTACTGCATACCGCTCCACTAGCTCGGTTTGCTTCTTAGGTTGATACTACATACTGCTCCAGCACGCTTCGCTCTTTAGTGTCGCGATTACAGCCTTTAATAATATCAATGTTTTATAGTGTTGTAACAACCTACCAAGTACAACACCACTATCTCGCTCTGCTCGATAGTGTCGAATGGTTGATACTATATACTGCTCCACTAGCTTGCTTCGCTCCCTAGTGTCGCTCTTGCTATTGATTTGTCAAATATCTGCTGTAGATTGAACTTGCTGTACTTTAAATAATCGTCAACAACACCAATGCCTATATTATTCTTATAACATTCAACGAGAATAAGCTTATCGTAATTTTTCAAATCAACAGAGTGGCCATGCTCACGACCAACACATTCTGCAATCACTTTTATCATTTCTTCCGATTCCATTGCATTGAAATTTTTCTTGCCAACTTGTATGGCAAATTTGATAGGTTTTTGGTCCTTTTCCTTATGGAAATGATCTCTTAATACTCTTTTTGCCAATTGTCGTAATTGCTCTCGAGGTTCCTCCCCTGTTGCAGTACATGAATCTGATATGGGAATGAGTTTTTGCGTGTACCGTGTAGTCTTTACTCCAGAGTCATAACAATCCCTAACCAATTTCTGCACCAAAACTTCTGGTGAAATGGGTTTTTTGGTTTTTATGAAAATGACACATTCACAATCAAGATCAATAGGTTGTAAAAGGTTATTTTTGGTATTGGTTTCGGAGTCCTTCAATTCTTGTAGCTCTCTCTCAATCTTTTCTTCTATTGACAAATCCCGTGTGTCATTGCCTCCATTACTATCAGCATCAGCATGCAAATCTTCAAGGTTAAAGTATTGCGGTAATTTATCCAAAAGAATGCTCATCAACTCTTGCCGTGCCTGTTTCTCTTTACGTCTGGCACAAGTAGCATATATCCCTGAAGAAAAGGGGTCAATCAACTTTGAAACATTGGTAAATTTCCTCTTTTTAAAGCCTGGTTTATTACAACTGTCTTTAGCCGCTCTTTTGCCCATTCTCGAATAAAGAAACCTAAAGATATCAAAAGTATAAAATGGGAGTTTATCTCATCTCATTGAATTGAATTGAATTGAATTGAAAAATTAATGAATAAAAAAAGAAATAAAAGAACCATGAGAGGAGAGAGGAGAGAGGGAGAGGAGAGAGGGAGAGGAGAGGGAGAGGAGATAGAGGAAAGAGTTGTTTGAAGAAGCAGTTTGACACGGGTTTTTGCATCTCCTTTTGACCATTGGGAACAATTGGTATAAAAGCTCTGCTAGTACCCACATTCTCCATCTCCTTCACCTCCGACACTGTTGCACCAGCGTCACGACACTAGAGAGCGAAGCGAGCTAGTGGAGCAGTACTGACTACACCGACACTAGAGAGTGAAGCGAGCTAGTGGAGCAGTACTGACTACACCGACACTAGAGAGCGAAGCGAGCTCGATCGAGATAATGTTGTAACAGTCTACTAAGCTACTAAGTGTTGGTGCACTATTGACCAGAGCGAGATAGTGGGCAGCTAGTCAATGTGCTCCACTATCGAGAGCAAGATAGAGTTGTAACAGGCTACTAAGCTACAAAGTGTTGCTCTACTAACTCAATAGTGTCATTTTTCAGTGTCACTCGATAGTGGGGCAACACTCAGTAGCTTATTACAACACTATCGAGCAGAGCGAGATAGTGTTCATAGTGGAGCGACACTCAGTAGCTTCTTTCAACACTATCTCGCTCTGCTCGATAGTGTCATTAGGCATCTACTCACAAAGTTTGTTTTACTTCCTCTCCTTCTTCTCTCTTGTGCTTTCACAACTTGGTTTGTTTGTTTGTTTGTTTGTTTGTTTGTTTGTTTTCTTTTGGTGAAAAAAAGTGATGAGATATCGCGAGGGTAAAGAAATGATAATCATTTCCCATTAGAATAATAGTGAGACGAGTTTTTACCAGCAGCTTACAGGTCTAAGACAAAAGAATAAAGGGCTATTTCTGCGGCTGGTAATCTGGTTAGTTTGTTGTTTATTGGTTGTGATTTTTGGCTAGGTGGTTGGTGGTTGAAATTTTGTTTGAGTTTTCCAATGCTGACATTGCCCTTGGATTTGATTCTTCACATTATCGATGTTGGCGATTTGAGCTTGAAGGATGTTTTTGCGCTCTACCAAACAAATAGGCTATTGCGACTAAAGCTACTGCATCCTTATTTTTGGCATCTGGTTTACAACATGTTCTTTGTTTCCTTGTATGAAAGTCTTGATTTGCCAACAAAAAAGAATAGGTCTGACTACCACTTTGAGGAATGCAAACTTCTCTATAGGAGGGAACTCGAGTTGGATGAACTGATAAAAAGTGAGTGCCTTAATCAAAAACCGAATTCAAGGCTACATTTCTCAAAAAGAATCGAATTGGAGTTTTCGTGGAACTCGGAGATGCATAAGCGATATTTGATGGACCCAACTTATCTCCCCGCGCTTTTGAAGAAATTTATGCTAGAGGAGTCAAGGCTTTTCAAGTTTGTATGTGTTGAGAAGATATCCACCACTTTCAACTTGAGAAAAGTTGCTGTGCTACAGTATCTTATTTCGAATCAGATTTATAAAATAGGTTTGGACCATTTAAAACGACTAGGTGATGTACCCATGTCGTACACATATTACGAAAGCGTTTTCTTCTACTTGAGTTTGCTTGAAAAGTCCAGTTTTCGAAATTTCCACCGCCGACGTAAATTTTTACAACACTGGGGAAGGCTTCTTCGACAAAATGTTGTTCCAGAACTTAGAAAAAAAATATATGGCACTCAACCACCTTGTTCTGATTACGAAACACGTCGAAATTTTTTTGGCATGAGTTTCAGCTTTCTTCTCAACCGGTTAAAGACTTTTGCTGTGAGTGGTCTGGGCTGTGAAGAAGAATATGATATACTCAAATTTTATAATGGTAAAAAGACTCAGGACTTTATCGTGCTAGCAGTTATTTTACTGATATGTGGGCGAGAATGGGATTCTTTGGCTAAGGAACTTGGTATTGGTAGAAACAGCAGAAACTCTCTGACCCCGATTTTAGTGATGAATATTGCTGTAACCGAAAACTTTGTTTTGACCATTGGGAAAGAAGCGGTTTCGGTAATTGATGGTACATACTCTCCTGATATTTTGAAAGTTGTGCATGAAGCATCCAGATTAAATAACCTTCAGGTGATGTTATCGACAAAATCAGTTGGAATATTGAATTTGGATATTCAACGGTTATCTCGCTTGCCGTCCATAAAAGCTTCTCAGCTGTGGTATACCGAGGTCAACTTTACGAGAAAAGTTAGACGTTATCCAGAACAATCTCCCGAATTTGGTAAAAAGTTTAGAAACATTTTTATCAAAGTATTGCAAGTGTACGACAGCGATCTTCATTCGATCGTTTTGCGTGAGGTGTGTTCTGAAAAGGAACAACTAGTAGTAGAAGAAGAAGAAACGGAAGGTACTGAGGGTGGAGAGCTTTTCGGAACGGTGGTAAATACTAGGACATGTCCAGGCATAGTCACGAGAAAAATAGAAGATGATTACTATATGGTTTACAATGTTAATGGAGAGTATGAGCAGCCAGCACGAAGGTCGCTTGCGCCATGGGTTGCTAAGAATGGACAGGAATTATGCTCTTTGATCACTTTATTAGGATTGGATCGTTTATTTGTTTTAGGGTTCAGGATGTTAATCATAGATCGCAACAATCGTCTCGTTAAATTCAGTAAATCCTAATAAAACCAAAAAAAAAAAAAAAGAAGGAGAAGAAGAAGAAGAAAAAGGGAGCAATGAACTTGAATAAGGTTTGTTTATATAGATATAGAAAGCGTTGTTATATATATAACACCCATTTCATTATTGCCAAACTTCTTCAACCTTGTAGAGGGGTCAAGGTTAGGCTTACTATAGTTTCGGCCAATTGGTAGCGATCATATTACCAGTTGATAGGAAGCGTTACGATGATCTTTAAAAGTCAGTAAACATCGATGAGTATCTTATTTCTTCCAACCTCGGTTTGCTCTCAATATTTTCCATTGACTTTCCCTTCTCCTTGCTCGATATTGTTATAACAAGCTAGTCAGTGTGCACCACTATCTCGCTTTGCTCGATAGTTATGCTTAGACGATGTTTCAACCGGTACGGCTTATTTCGAAATTCCAGGAGATTTAAACACAATGTGATAGGAATTGATCTAGGGACGACCAATTCAGCTGTTGCGATAGTAGGGCCTGATAACCAGTCGCGTATTTTGGAAGATGACGAGGGTAGAAGAACTACGCCTTCAGTAGTAGCTTTTGAAGGTAGCGACAAGAATAAGAAGCTCATTGGCGTTTCGGCAAAACGGCAAGCTGTTCTAAATCCAAAGAACACCTTCTTTGCTACTAAGAGACTAATTGGAAGGAAATTCGATGACCCAGAAGTACAAAGGGATTTACAGAATGTACCATATACTATAGTCCCCGACAAGCAAGGTGATGCCATATTGGAGTTGTCAAGTGGTGAGCAAATAAACCCATTAAAGATTGGAGGCTTTATTTTGCAGAGAATGCGTGAAATAGCAGAGGACCATTTGGGAGAGAAAATTGATCGAGCAGTGGTAACAGTACCTGCTTATTTCAACGACAACCAAAGACAAGCAACTAAAAGTTCCGGAAAATCTGTTGGACTAGATATACTTCGGGTAATTAATGAGCCGACAGCAGCAGCTTTGGCGTATGGTTGTGATAAATCGAGAGAAGATGGCATTATTGCTGTTTTTGATTTCGGTGGAGGAACCTTTGATGTATCCATATTAGACATAGAAAACGGAGTTTTTGAAGTGAGAGCAACAAACGGCAATACCCATTTGGGAGGAGAAGATTTCGATGTAGTTTTATTGAATCATATTGTCAATGATTTCAAACGCAAATATGGTGTGGACCTTTTCAGAGACCAGTTGGCTGTACAGCGTATTCGGGAAGCAGCTGAAGAGGTCAAGATTGAACTATCCAAGGTTCACGAAACGGAAATCAAAATACCATTTATTTATAAAGACAAGCACATAGACATGAAATTGAGCCGCGATGAATTTGACAAAATGACTCTTGCATTGATTGAGAAAGTGATTGAGCCCGTTAGGAGGTGTGTTAGAGATGCCGACTTGAAGATGAAGGATATTGACGAGATATTGTTAGTAGGCGGTATGACGAGGATGCCAAAGATAAGAGAAGTTGTTGCTGAACTTTTTGGCAAAGAACCAAGCACTGCTGTCAATCCCGATGAGGCGGTAGCGATTGGCGCAGCAATACAAGGTGCCGTGTTATCGGGACAGGTGAAAAATGTGGTACTACTAGACGTGACGCCGCTATCACTAGGAATTGAGACTTATGGTGGTATTTTTAGCCCATTGATTCCTCGAAATTCTGCCGTGCCTATTAAAAAGGAGCAGATTTTCTCCACAGCTGTAGATGGGCAAACTGGAGTAGAAATTCGAGTTTATCAAGGAGAGAGAATGTTGGTCAAGGACAACAAACTAATTGGACATTTCAAATTGTCGAATATACCCCCTGGACCCAAGGGAACGCCGCAAATCGCGGTTGAGTTTGAAATTGATGCGGACGGAATAATAAGCGTGAGTGCTACCGATAAAACACCATATTCCAAAGACTCGCCCCATTATGGAAAACCAAATACCGTATCAATACAAGTAACCGAAATTGGATTAACTGATTCGGAGATTGAGAAAATGATCCAGGAAAGTAAACAGAACAAAGTCAATGACGAAGAGATGCGTAAATACTTTGAGCATGCGTCGAGGGCCGAAATATTATGTACAGACACCGATCTTGCATTAATTCAATTCGGGGACCAAATGGAAGGCACCGAAAAGAACTTGATCAGAGAGGATATTAAAAGGATTAAGACAATGATTGATGATATTAGAAGTGGTCACAAATTGCACGATCCAAAATTGTTGAATCAAGCATTGAACGAAATGCAAGCAAAATGCATGGAAGCAATTAAGAAGGTGGCAATAAGGCAACAACAAGAACAAGAACAAGAACAAGAACAAGAAAAACAAAAACAAGACAGTAAATAGTTTGGTTTTTTTTTTTTTTTTAATATTTTTTATTTTTTTTATTCATCGGTTTCCATCTTATCTTCGGTAGCTGGTTTCTTTTCCTCTTTACTCTCACTAGCGTCTCCCGGGGTGGCTGTGCTGTTTCCGTCTTCATCATTATCATTGTCGTTGTCATCATCACCGCCATCCGTTCTATTTCTCTCATTGGTAACAGAATCTAGTTTGTCCAACCACTGCTGGACATTTTCGTCATCATACAAGACAAATGGTTGGTCTTTGCCAACAACACAAACACTGGTATTTTTCAAAGTAAGCTCAACATCCTGACTCAATGTGTCTCTTAATGCATACAACCCATGTACAATCAACTTCTCCACTGTATCACTCGCCTTGATCTCTTCCAAATTTCTTTCCAAGTAAGTTCGTGCAGCTTGTGATCTTGCTCCAATAGCGGCGCCGTAGTATTCAAGCACAGACCCCGAAGGTTGAAATTCCAAGAGATGTGCCCCCGTTTCGTCGTAACCAGCAATCAACAAACCCACACCATACGGTCTAGATCCGTAACTCTGAGTATTTTCTTGAGCCTTATCAGCAATTGTCAATGCTGCTTTGTAAGTTTGTATTGGACGATTGAAAATCATTTTACACTGCATGGCTTGTTTTCGCAAAAAATTGGACAACACTCTAGCATCGGGAGCCAACCCTGCTAATGCAACCCCCATATGATCATCGATTTTGATTATTTTCTTTTGATATGACCCCAATTCCTCGGCATTTCTTTTCAATGCCACCAAAACAACGTTATCCTTTGATACTAATCCCACAGCAGCACTACCTTGTTTGATAGCCTCTAACGCGTACTCAACTTGAAATAACCGTCCGGTTGGCGAGTATGTGACAGAGTCGTTATCATAGTTATTTCTGAACATTGCGTGAAGGAGTCTAATACCTTGTTTTACCTTGTTTCACCTTGTTTAAACTCGTTCAATATATATATGAAACCTTTCGCCACTTACTAAATGAGTTGAATGAAAAAAAAAAAATCAGTTCAATGCGCGCTACCAGAATCATCGTTACCTGCCCACCATTGAGCGAAGCGACCATCGAGAGAAGCGACCATCGAGAGAAGCGACCATCGAGAGAAGCGACCATCGAGCGAAGCGAGATGGTGGTGCAACACTCTGTAGACACTATCAAGCGAAGCGACCATCGAGCGAAGCGAAAAGGTAGAGCAACACTCTGTAGCTTGTTACAACACTATCTCGCTTCGCTTGATAGTATTGCTCGATAGTGTCGCTCGATAGTGGATCAACACTCTGTAGCTTGTTACAACACTATCTCGCTCTGCTCGATAGTATTGTTCGATAGTATTGTTCGATAGTATCGCTCGATAGTGCCTTTATAATTATAAAAATTGAAAGATCAGAGAGATGGAGAGATGGAGAGAGTTTTCCAATTAGATGTTTAGTAGAAGACTTGACACACGGCTTAACCAGCCTAGACTTTTTTTGTTTCCTCTATTTTTATGTATATATACATATATATATATGCGACGTTTTTCCCCCCAGACCAGGTGCAGACTTTATCCTCTAATTCATTCTTTTACAATAGATTCAAACTTCTAAGAACATCGCAATTTGGCATAGGCATATTCTCAGCCTCGTTAATCATTTCCATATCTGTGTAAAACCATCCTTGCGCATCCTCGATCATTTGGTCTCTACGGGTTTGTTCTCGTGCACATTTTGCTCTCTTATCGTGTATAAATAAGTTTTCCACTTTTGAATCATAATTCCTCAATTGTTTCCTCGTTTTCTTTTCATTCTTTTTAGCAAACCCGTCGTTTACATAAAATGGTATTTTGTATTTGGGGGTTCTCCTCTCAACTTTGTACTCCCGTGTGGGGATAAATGAGTAATCTGGTGCTGTATTGTCTGAGAAAATTGCCGATAGTATGGGAACGAGTAAAACTAACAAAATTGGTAAAAGCCCCTTTAACCCCTCAAGTAGTGTTTGTGATTCCCGATTTGCGTTTTGTGTTTGGGTATTCGATTGTGATGCAGGCCTAGCTGTCCTCCTTGCTGTCCTCCTATGTCTCATAAATGGGTCTTGACCTCCACCAAACGATTGAAATGTAAACCCGTTATTGCCAAATGTGAAAGTTGGTCCCGCGGCAAATGGACTAGGCCCGCCACCTCCACCTCCACCGAAAAACAAATTGAACAAATCATTTTCAAAAGGCATGGCACCGGATGGACCTGCAAACCCGGTTCTTCCTCCAAATGGCGAAGCGCCAGCACCACCACCACCACCACCACCAGTAGCGGCACCACCAGCAAACCTCGATGTTGGATCTGTACCAGTTTGGTCAAATATATTTTTCTTCTGTGGGTCACTCAACACTTCCCATGCCTTGTTAAGCACCTTGAACGCTTCAGAAGATCTCGGGTGTGGATTCTTGTCAGGATGGCATTTTATCGCTAATTTTCTATATGATTTTTTAATTTCGGGCTCAGTCGCTGTCCTCTTCACCTCTAAAATCTCGTAAAATTGGTGACTCTTGTATGAAAGTACTCGCAAAACCACAGTCTCTTGTTCCTTCGTATAAGACATTCTGCTGTGGGGGAGTCCTGTATAGCTTTTCCGCTCTACTACACTAATATTTGGCCTTGCCCTATATTAAGCTATAGAGTGATAAATTTCCACAAGGGGATATCGCGAGTGTTAAAGAGGAATAAAAATTGATAAACTGCGCACTACTTTGAAAGAGATTACCCTCTACCACCACCATCTCCTCCTTTGATGAAACACACACCTAGTAATGAAGAGTACCCTACTATAGAAGAGTAGTATTTTTTTTACAAGCCTTTTCTTTGTAGTTTTGTGTGGTCTGATTCATGGTTATCTTTCTTGGGCCATATTTTTTTTTTTCAATTAGTGCTAAGCGCCCCAGCCCCATCTGATGTTAAGTCATCTCTCTCATATTAAAAGTGCGACTATTGTCTCATTTGATTGAGTCTGTACTTATTATCTGAACCTTTTCCTTGCTATTAAGTCTAAGATGGGTTCAATTACAGGGTCAAGATGTGTGATCACCTCCCTTTTGGATACTGATCTTTACAAGATCTTTATGCAAGCAGCAGTATACAAGCAATTCCCCGATACCGAGGTAAAATATTGGTATAAAAACCGGACCCCAGACTTAAAGCTCAACTCTAAAGCGATTGAATGGGTGAAAGAACAAATCTCTTTAATGGGAGACCTTAGGTTCACTCCCCAAGAAATCGCATACTTGGGGAAAACTTTACCGCAATTGCTGGCTGAGTATCTTGACTATTTGAAAACGTTCAAACTCGATCCAGCTTTGCAAATTAAATATATTGCTGGTGAGGATTTTGAGTTGGAGATTGTAGGGCCTTGGAGCAGCACCATACTCTACGAAATCCCGCTATTGGCTATAATCTCGGAAGCTTATTTCAAGTTTGTTGATACTTGTTGGGATTACACGGGCCAGTACGAAAATGCTAAATCCAAAGTTATCAAATTGATTCAAAATGGGTGCGTTTTTAGCGAATTTGGAACTCGCAGAAGAAGATCGTTTGAAGCACAAGAAATTGTGATAAAAGCAATTAAAGATGTTGTTGCAGAGTCAAAAACAAAGTACATCCAAGGTACCTCCAACGTGCTCCTTGCTATGCAATATGGTTTGACTCCAACGGGAACTGTTGCTCATGAATGGTATATGGGAATCGCGGCTATTACACAGAACTACAAGGAAGCCAATAAGCTTGCCATGGACTACTGGATCGATACTTTTGGTCCAAAGTATGCCGGTTTAGCATTAACAGATACTTTTGGCACGGATAACTACCTTGAGTTTTTCACCTCGCCGTACATTGATATCTATGCTGGTGTAAGACAGGACTCGGGGGATCCGGAACTATTTGCAGAAAAGATTGCAACTCATTACGAAAAACACCATATTCCAAAAAACACCAAAGTGATTTGTTTCAGTGACTCCCTCAATATTGAGAAATGCATAAAGTATAAAGAAACTGCTACAAAGCTAGGTCTTTTATCTACTTTTGGCATAGGCACTTTTTTTACAAATGATTTTACAAACTCATCTACAGGCGAAAAGTCCTTGCCTTTGAACATTGTTATAAAATTAAAGGAAGCCAATGGGGAACCATGTATAAAAATAAGTGATAACATTGGGAAGAACATGGGAGACGAAAAAACCGTCGAGAGGGTAAAGCGAGAATTGGGATACATTGAGAGAGCTTGGGACGAAGGCGATGAGACCCATAGGTGGTAAAACTCGACACTACACTACACTATCGAGCAGAGCGAGATAGTAGAGTAGCACTGACTACACTGACACTATTAACACTATCCACACTATTAACACTATCCACACTATCCACACTATCGAGCAGCACTGACTATACCGACACTATCCACACTATCCACACTATCCACACTATTGAGCAGCACAGACTACACCGACACTATTAACATTATTGAGCAGCACTGACTACACCGACACTATTAACATTATTGAGCAGCACTGACTACACCGACACTATGCTTTACTATCTCGCTCCGCTCGATAGTAGAGCAGCACTGACTACACCGACACTATTAACAATAACTAATCTTAGCAAAGAACAAGCCACCTCTTGCTCTGGGCTCTGGACTCTTGGGTTCCACTTGACCATTTTTAATTAACCTTCTCTCACGTGACCGGACTTGTTTCTCCGCTGTTTTACCAAAATTTGGTTGCAAAAAAAGGCACACCACCACCATACACACAAGATAGCATAAGTGGTAATAACAGTAATAATAAGGGTTATTTCTTCTATTTGGGCTCATTTTGCTGCTTGGGAAGGTAATCAAGAACATCTCAAGATGAAAAGAAGTTTCAATCTTGGAGAATTTACCAAAAGTTTTCGAGTTTTCATTACTCAGCTTTTAGGAAGAAAGACTGGCGCGTTGTACAACATTAATAGGATCCACATCAATAAGCTCAATTCATGGCTCAACGAATTGACACCCGACACGGCATGTTCTGGAAAAGATATTGCCGATATCAAACTTTGTTTAGAGGAGCTATTTCAAAGAATCCATTTTGAAGAGATTTATGAAGACCGAGTTTGCTGGTTTCTTATTAACCTCAGTTTGAACTCATTTATGAGGTGTCATTTGCCCAAAACCATGAGATTGTTCTGGCCCCTATTGTTGAAGGTTTTTGTGAGGTCTGAGGATACCATTGTGTTGCACAAGTTGGTTGACGATGCATTGAACAATACTCCGTCGGTAAGCTGGTTGAGCTCTAGGTTGTTGTGTATCATTATTCGTGATAACTATTTGTTAGACACAGTTCGAGATATCATCAACACCAGAGCCAATATGGTGAAATTTAAACAACTTTTGAATCTCAATAGAGATTTTTCAACGCTTATGAATATGATTGAATTGCTTTTCCTGTTGAAGTTGGAGCCCGTGTTTTTACCAAACTTGGTTTTCCCTTATATTAGGTACATTGAATCAGTTAATCCCAATTTCGCAAATCTTATCCAATGCTGTGTAAAGACAAGTACACATACGCAAAACTCAAAACTATCTGGGTTAAACTGTTATGTACAGCCAATAGACAAAGAGGTTCTCGTCTTATGGGTGCAACATAATGAGCGAAGTTACTGTCATTATATAAATTTGATGGTTTTGGATTCCTATGAAATCTTGCCCAACCCAAACTGCATAGTAAAGCTTCATTTTGCATGTTGCAATGAGCGCAAAACACGGTCCAGCCAATACTCAATGAATGAAATTCTAAAGTCTTTCTCACTAGTAACTGCCGATGGGAAAAGCTTGTCAAATATATGTTTTGAATTGAAAATAAAAGATGTGGTACATTATAATTGGTTGATCAGTTATTTAAAGTCCTTAAGGGGCCGAAAAATTTCTGTTGATACAGTTATGCAAAATGAGATTATCGAATCCAAAGTAGTAGTAGCTCTGTTGAAAAATGGTGATATCGTTCAAGACAAAGTGTCAGTCAAGGATACTAGAGAGAACTCGCAAGAATTAAGTGATGAGAAACCAACGTTAAGACTTCAACAACATTATAAAAAACGTACTGCTAGAAAAAGAAGAAACTTTCGATACACAAAACGCAAACAACATATCAAGTCACAAAGCTTTGATAATAGTGTTTTGGATAATTGGAAAAAAGACAACTCAGTTTCTCGAATTGATACAAATCGACTCAAAAAGAATAATATTTTGCCAACTTTTGAAGACTCCCAAGTGATCAAGGCGCCGAAACAACGGTTATCTAGAGCCATTGATACTCAAATGTTAAGCATGCAAGAAATTCCACAATCACAAGATTTCCGAACGTCTACTCCAGTTGGTGCTGATTTTACTGAATACCCAACAACAACAACGGATAAAACTTCCCTAATGGTGGAAGAATCTGCAACATCCAAGTCTTTATATTCCAGTGAACCGATAAATGTCATAAACGAGAGTCTCAGATTGTTTTCTTCCAATGTGTTAAACAAATTGAAAATGGTTGAGTTTACAATGCTTCAAAAAAGAAATGAATTGCAAAGTGAAGTGGAGAGAGAGTTTAAACAGATTGAAACTAAACAGAGAGCTAAATTGAAAGAGATCCAAGAGTATTGTAATGATCAATTAAATAAGATACTTTGATTGATATATATATATATATATATACGTCATTTTCTTTCTACTTGCTCTGAGTTTGCCTTGTCTAGTTTATAAAATATACGCCCAACTACTTCTTCTCAACAAAACCCAAAAAGTTAAATACAATTTTAGCGAAATCCGGAGGATTGTCAAGGTATAAATGGTGACCAGCATTTTTAACAATTGCAAATTCTGCTAATCGTTTTGAATATTGTTGCATGGACAACTTATTGATTTCGTCTGTAATCTCTTCACCTGCTTTTTCATTCATCCAGTCCTTGTCACCGTATAACCACAATGTAGGTAGCTTCATATCAACAAATTTCTGAGGACATCTATCTAACAATGGCAATTTAGCCAATGCTCCAACTGCCAAGACTCTCGTTATGGCATATTCTCCTGATCCGTACCCATTGAAAACTCTATATATATAATCATGCATATTTTGAAAGCTTTCTTGATTTTGATAATAGGTATGAGCAAATCTATGAGTTGTCCATTGTGATATCCACTTTGACTTTAATGGCCCTGCATTCCGAATGAGGAAGAATGGAGAGAAATTGTGTTGCCACAAGTAGTTGAACAATCTTTTCTGTCTACTTGTTTGTGACTTTTCTTCTTCTACTGCTTCTGCTGTTGTTGTTGTTGTTGCTGCTGCTGCTGCTGCTGCTGTCCTTCCTCCCCTTCCTCCTGCTCCTACCTGTACTCCTTTTTCTGCTCCCTTTTCCTCTTCAATGGTTGAGGTTGCAATTGTTGTAGAATCCAGCTGACTCCCATGTACTATGTCTTCTTGATCTGCTAGTATTTCTTGCTCTATAGAAATCTGTGGTATCGTTGTCTGATTGTCTAGTAAAGAAAACTTATTTCTTTCCACACCAACAGGGCTTATCAAGACTAATTTATCAATCAAGCTTGACGATTTTTGAGTCGTTGTCGTCGTCTCATTTTTACTCTTGGGTTTATTGTACTTCATAGCATAAGCACAGCTCAAATATCCACCAAATGAATGGCCCATTAACACAAAGTTCTCAATACCTCTTTTCTTACGCCATACTTCCAACAGATCAATAAACCAATCCTCTACTTTATAAATGTCTTGTTTCGTAGAGGATGGTAAATGGGGGAATTTTGGTCTTGAGCTCATTCCAAAGCCTAACAAGTCAATTGCATGGATCTTGATACCAGGTATTGAACTTAGCAGATCGAAATTGTCAATAAATAAGCCAAGCGATGCAGCATAGCCATGTATTAGAACTATTTCTTTACATGTATTAGGCAATATCGATACAGCGTTGTTATTGTTATTGCTATTGTTTGTGTTGGTGTCGGTGTCGGCCAATTCGTTATTTTCAATATAAAATTCATGGATATACTGTCCATTTCCAATATCCGTGTTGATTATTTCGCCTCTTCTCTTATCCGTAGCAAGAGTTGGTTTTGGGTAAAATGATAACTGAGATAATAGTCTATGTTCGACTTTGAGGTCATTGTATTCTGAACTCCAACTTTGTTTGAACCAATCTGCCCAGCTCTGTTTCCATGAATATTCGGGTCTTTTTCTACCATCTTGGAATTCATTAACTTTCTTTTTATGGGCCACTGATGTACTTTCTTGAGTATGAGTACTTTCTGAAGTCGAAGAGACAGACATGGCCTACAAAGCTCTCAGCACCATCTAGGTAAAAATCACCAATTTTTATTTATGAAAATATGTCACCTTGTCCCAGCTATTCGAGACTTTGGCGGAATTAAGGGTTATTTAGGAAAACTAGCAAGAACTCAAGATAAGCATTATTATCATTGCTCTGGGCGGAGTTAAAAGAACAATCAATAATAGAGAGGATCAAGTGCGAGAGGCTATGTTGGGACTAGTTCTTCGTGTTCGGTGGAGATAAGACCGAATAAATTTGTTACCCAACTTTGTTACTCAACATGTTTATCATCGTTCCGTATTATTGAGCAGAGAATTATATATTTATATATATATATATATATATATATTCGTTGGGTTCATCTTCTCGTAAACCAATAGAGTGCACTACTAAAAAAAGTGTTGAGGGAGATGCAATGAAAAATGTAATCAAACCCGTGTTTGATGTATTGAAATTTACAGGAAGAAAACAGACGTGAATGGATAGAGATTAGAACGGGAACGGACAGAATCTAGAACTGCAAATGGACAGAAACTAGACTGGGAATGAGAATGAGAGACTGTTTTGGACTTGCGTAGTTCAATTCATCTCTTATACCAACATAGATCGGATTAATATTTATCCGTGCTACCATCTCTGATTATATTTTTCATCTCATCTCATCTCATCTTTTTTGAGAAGAGATGGTAGCGTAGACTAGTAATTGATTTAATCAGGTACACTATCGAGCGACACTATAGAGCGGAGCGAGATAGTGCAGCAGCACTTGATAGCAACACTATAGACACTATCGAGCGACACTATAGAGCGGAGCGAGATAGTGGAGCAGCACTTGATGGCAACACTATAGACACTATCGAGCGGAGCGAGATAGTGGAGCAGCACTTGATAGCAACACTATAGACACTATCGAGCGGAGCGAGATAGTGGAACAGCACTAGATAGCAACACTATAGACACTATTTGACACTGGATAGTGGAGCACACTGACCAATTGCGCATTACGGAACGAGAAGCGAGATAAACGACACTATCTCTCTCTGCTCGATAGTGGAGCAACACTGACTAGTGACAATGACTAGTTACTTTTCTTCTGCTTGCTTTTCTTCTTTTCTTCTGCTTGCTTCTTCTGGTTTTCTTTTCTTCTTTTGTTAATTGTAATACTCGGCCCTCTCGGTTGTATTTCAAGTTAGCGGCAAAAAGGTGTGGGGAATTTCCCTTTCCCGCTTGGAGATACCTTTTTTTTCGTATCCCCCCTCTCTCTTTCTCCCTTCCTCCTTCTACTACTGCCACGAGTTTCGGCTCTAAAAAAAAAACGAGTAAAACTAGTCACCCTCTTTCAAGCTAATTCAAGTTTTGTAGTGGTTATCACTACCGTTACTTCCACCCCAGTAACAAGTAAAAAAAAAAAAATGTCGGTGTAGTCTGTGCTCAATAGTGTCGAATGCTGGAAGAAAAGTTACACCCCCACACTTTTTTAAGAACAGGATTTTTACCGGTACTGTAATACAATTCTCCAAATTAGATGCGTTTTGTAGCTTAATCTAGAATGTTTTGTAAAGTTATGCTATGTAATTCGATATTATGGGACACGGTTCCAATAAGTACACTACTATTTTCTTTTGTGTTAAACAACCCCCCATCTATTATGTATGTATATTTTTTTTTGTTTTTTGCACTCAATCAAGCCAAATGAAATAGATCAACAAGTCAACCAATGAATGAACCATAACCACTTTCCTAGTACTGCATAGTGGAACAGTCTCCACTTAATACTGGATTATATTTGTGACTAATTCATATATATATATATGTATATATATTCAAGATGTTTGCCGCCAATCCTTGATCTAGTCTGGTCTACTCTTTTCTTTACTAAGCCAACACTTTCAACTCACTTTTCATTTTTTTTTCCATTTTTTTTTCCATTTTTTTTTCCATTTTTTTTTCCATTTTTTTTATTTATTTTCATGTCTGTTAAATTACCCTCGATTTCTGATCTAGACTCAAACTATGCCTCTGACGAAAAGGACTACATTTTTGAAAACCCAGAAGGTCTCTCAGTCGAGACTTTAATCAACCATATTTTGCCTGTTCCTGAGGAACTTAGTGGTGTATCAGTTAAGATACCTGGTACTGCGAAACCAGGGTTTTCGGAAATCTACAGAAACGGTGCATTCCCCAATGGCTTGAAATCATGTATTCTACCAGAACTAGACACCTACCATGCTATCTTCAACTCCGGGGTATCAAGGCATCCCAATTCTCCTTGCTTGGCTTATCATGAATTCGATTACGAAAATGATTTGCATTTGGAGAGGTACGCTACCATCTCCTATACCGAAGTTCAAGAGCGCAAGAAGAATTTAGTTGGTGGTTTATTCTTCTTGTTGGAGTCAAACAACTATAAGGACTTGTCTCTAGAAGCTCATCAGAAGATTGTTAACCACAGTAGGGATTATAAGCTGTATGATAAGGATAATTTCTCCTTTGTTGTTACTTTTTACTCGGGGAACAGACCAGAATGGATTATTGCTGATTTAGCATGCTCGTCCAGTACAATCACTTCTACTGCATTATATGATACTCTAGGACCAAAGTCTTCCAAGTTTATCTTGGAAGTAACTGAATCGCCGGTTATAATAGCTTCGAAAAGCAAAATCAGCAATCTTATCAACTTGAAGAAGAAAAATCCCCAAGATTTAAAAGCATTGATAATGATGGTTTCAATGGACCCTCTTACTAAGCACGATGCAGCATTGATAAAGGAAGCAGATGCAAATAAAATAAAGGTTTTTGATATTCACCAAGTTGAAAAGATTGGAGCAATTTTTCCTCGTGAAGAAACCCCTCCGCATGCTGAATCCATCTTCACCATTACGTTCACTTCAGGAACAACTGGCGCTAACCCAAAGGGGGTTGTTTTAGCTCAAAAAGCTGCTGCCGCGGCAATTTCGTCAATCTCGATATTGTTACCACACCATAGTAATTTTAAAGAATTTTCATTTTTGCCGCTAGCCCACATCTTTGAAAGACACATGTCAGCAAGTGTGTTTTTGTTTGGAGGGTCGGTTGCCTTTCCAAGATTGGGAGGAACTCCATTGACATTGTTTGAGGACTTGAAGTTATGGAAACCTACATTTATGGCTAATGTACCAAGGATTTTTTCCAAAATTGAGGCTAGTATAAAAGCAGCAACAGTCGACTCTACCTCGAAATTGAATAGAGCTTTATATTCACAAGCTTTTGAAAAAAAGCGTCAAAAGCAATTGGAGAATGGCAACAAAGGTGAACATTTTATCTATGATCAAACATTAATTAAAAAATTGAGAAAGAATATTGGCTTTGATAACATTGAATATTGCTTTACCGGTGGTGCACCTATATCCCCTGACACAATCAAGTTTTTAAAATCTAGTTTGGGGATTGGATTTTCACAAGGGTATGGGTCGAGTGAATCTTTTGCTGGTGTATTGATGGCTTTACCATTGCACTCCTCTAGTACAGGGACGTGTGGTGCTATATCCCCTTGTGTCGAAGCCAGATTACGCGATCTTCCCGAAATGGGGTACAGGCTTACAGACAAAGGTGGTCCAAGAGGGGAAATGCTCTTGCGTGGACCTCAAATGTTTGCCCAATATTTCAAAAACATTGAGGAGACAGAAAAAGCAACAGATAAAGAAGGTTGGTTTTCTACTGGCGATGTTGTGCAAATCACCGAGGCCGGTTATTTTGTCGTCATTGATCGAGTCAAAAATTTTTTCAAATTGGCTCAGGGAGAATATGTTACTCCTGAAAAAATTGAAAACACGTATCTTACATCAAATTCCATCTTGACCCAGGTTTATGCTCACGGCAACTCAATGCAATCTTATCTAGTTGGAATTGTTGGGATTGATCCAGTTACAATTGTGCCGTTTTTACGGAAACAGTGCAATGTTACCGCCGATCTTTCAAACCGTGAGACATTGCTTGAAATATGCAACAAACGTGATATCAGGACCCATATTTTACTATATATCAATACAAATGTTGGTTCAAAGTTGAATGGATTTGAAAAACTACACAATGTTTTTTTTGATATTGAACCTTTGAGATTGGAAAGAGACGTAATTACTCCTACTTCCAAATTAAAAAGACCAGTTGCTTCAAAGTTTTTCAAACCCCAAATCAATGCGATGTATGAGGAAGGCTCTATCTTGAAAAACTTGAAACTTTAGTATAGTAAGACTTGATAATATACATTTATTCATATACATATATTCATATACATATATTCATATACATATATTCATATACATATATTCATGTACATATATTCATATACATATAATCATTTGGTAGCTCGTCTTTCTCTACTGCACCAAAATTTTGAAAAAAAAAAAAAAAAAAAAACTTAACCCCCATCAGCACCACCACCACCACCACTACCACCACCATCATTACTAGAAGAAAGGTATTGCTTTCACCAAATCTTAGAAAACACCGGCGTTCGCTCTTTCTCTTTCCTTTTTCATTTTCTTTTTTTTCACATCAATGACCACTTCAATAAATACTCAGGTGACAACAAGAGATGTCAGTGGACTCTCGTTAATAGCGGCGCACTCGCATATTACGGGACTTGGTTTAGAGGATAATTTACAGCCCAAAGAGAATGCGCAGGGACTAGTTGGCCAATTGCAAGCCAGGAAAGCGGCTGGTATAGTTTTAAAGATGGTTCAAGCAGGAAAGATAGCAGGAAGGGCAGTTTTGATTGCGGGACCGCCTTCTACTGGTAAGACGGCCATTGCAATGGGACTATCGCAAAGTCTAGGCTCTGAAGTTCCTTTCACAGCACTAGCAGCTTCAGAGGTGTATAGTTTAGAGGTATCCAAAACCGAAGCACTAACACAAGCCTTTCGAAAATCAATAGGAATCAGGATCAAAGAGGAGACTGAGATTATTGAAGGTGAAGTTGTTGAGATTCAGATAGATAGGTCTATAACTGGTGGTCATAAACAAGGTAAGCTTACAATAAAGACTACAGATATGGAAACAGTTTACGAATTGGGAAGCAAGATGATTGAAGGATTAACTAAGGAGAAAGTACTTGCAGGTGATGTTATATCAATTGATAAAGCTTCAGGCAAAATCACCAAATTAGGTAAATCTTTTACGAGAGCTAGGGATTATGATGCTATGGGACCAGAAACCAAATTTGTTCAATGTCCTGAAGGTGAATTGCAAAAGAGGAAAGAAGTTGTGCATACGATTTCGCTACATGAAATTGATGTGATAAACTCGAGACAGCAAGGGTTTTTGGCATTGTTTTCTGGTGATACTGGTGAAATTAGTTCGGAAGTTCGTGATCAAATAAATACCAAAGTTGCTGAGTGGAAAGAGGAAGGTAAAGCAAAAATTGTGCCAGGAGTTTTGTTTATTGACGAAGTACATATGTTGGATATTGAATGCTTTTCATTTATCAACAGAGCATTAGAAGATGATTTCTCCCCTATTGTTATAATGGCTACCAATCGTGGAATCAGCAAGACAAGAGGCACCGATTACAAGTCACCACATGGAATGCCTTTGGACTTGTTGGATAGATCTATAATTATTCATACAACTAGTTATTCAGGAGATGAGATAAGGACCATATTATCAATAAGAGCCACAGAAGAAGAAGTTGAATTGAGTGGAGACGCATTAGCTCTATTGACCAAAATTGGACAAGAGACAAGCTTACGGTATGCAAGTAACTTGATTTCTGTAGCACAACAAATTGCATTGAAAAAGAGGAGTAGCCAGGTTGAATTGCAGGATATTAAAAGAGCCTATATGTTGTTCTTGGACTCTGATAGATCGGTTCAATATTTGGAAAAACACTCATCACAATATATTGATGATTCAGGCAGGGTGACTATTGGTGACAAAAATTTCAAACGTGAGGAGTCAAAGGCAGAAGCTGGAGTAACAGAAAAGGACAACGAAACCAAAGCAGAAGCACCAGAAGCAAAAGCAGCAAAAGATGAAAACGAAGAAAGAAAGATGGCAGCACAAGAACCCAAAGATGATGATAAAATGGAAACAGATTAGACGTAATTTCCCATGTAAAACTTACTTGTATATTTCAAAAAAAAAAAAAAAAAATTACAAAACCCCAATACTTTAATCGTTTTAACCTCCTGTTTTCTTTTTTTTTTTAATTGCTTCCCTTTGTATTTAAAATCAATGCTATAATCATTCCATATAATCCCAAAACTTCAGCAAAAATCAATATCAATACGATCCCCACAAACAATCGAGGCTGGTGCATAAACTGCCGGACACCTTCATCGCCAACTATACCTATAGCATAGCCGGAAGCCAAGCAAGCAAAACCTACAGCTAGCCCGCAAGCCAAATGCATAAACCCATTAAATAATGAATAATTTTCTGTAGGTGACAAGCCACCGGCAATTAATACTGCTACAACCAACCCATAAACTGACAAGATCCCTGACATGACCACTGGTATTAACGATTTCATAATCAATTCTGGTTTAAATGTACCTATACCTGAAATACCTATTCCCGACTTTGCTGTCCCTATAGCTGCACCAGCACAGGATAATATCATTGCTGCGGCACATCCACCAAACCCCAAAAACGGTGCAAACGCAGGATAAAATTCGTCTCCTAGTGTATCTGACATACCAATCGTTAAATTAAAGCAGAATGGGGGCGCTGTATTGTTTTGCGACCTCCAAAAGGACAATTCTTTCCAAGAAAGTAAAGGTTTAGTTTTTAAAGTATTATTTTTTTTTTGGTAATAATTCATATTGGTGATTTTTCAACAAAAGAAAAAAAAAGGCAAAGAGAGAAAAGAACATTTCTTTTTTCGCCTGACGACTACACGACTATTTACTATTGAGTAGAGCGAGAGTGTGAGAGTGTAGCAGCACCTCTTCATCTCTTCATTCCTACACCTCTTCATCTCTACATCGTTAAATCTCTACATCGCGGTACTGCAGCAGCACTGACTGTCACCTCTACATCTCTTCTTTCCTACATCGCGGTACTGCAGCAGCACTGACTGTCACCTCTACATCTCTTCTTTCCTACATCGCGGTACTGCAGCAGCACTGACTGTCACCTCTACATCTCTTCTTTCCTACATCGCGGCACTGTCGAGCACAGTGAGATAGTGGAGCCACTACGTAGATTGGTACAGTATCCAGCCCCGTATGGGGAGGAGGGTACAGCTTGTGTGATCACTTTGATGTTAGATAGGTAGAATACTACTGACGATTTTTTTTAGATTAGTATATCCTAATCTACGTTTCTACATTGCGACACTGTTGAGCAGCACTGACTGTCATCTCTCTACATCTCTATAATTTCCATTTTTCCTTTCTTCATTCTTCATCTCTATATCTCTATATCTCTACATCTCTATATTTCTACATCTCTGCATCTCTGCATCTCTACGTTTCTTCATATCTTCACCTCTACGTTTCTTCACCTCTACATCTCTTCATCTCTACGTTCCTCATCTCTTCGTTCCTCATACTTTTTTACAATCTTAATTTTGTTTTTGAAAGACCAAGCTACAAAGAGTTGCTTTACTATCGGGCAGTGCGAGATAGTGTCGTTACAAGGTACAAAAAGTTTCTCGATAGTCTTGTTACAAGGTACAGAGAGCTGCTCGATAGTCTCGTTACAAGGTACAGAGAGTTGCTCCACTATCTCGCTCTGCTCGAAAGTGTCGCTCGACAGTGTCGCTCGATACTTTTGTTTTCTTTTTGGTAAACGCGTAAATGTATACATTTCATTTTGTTTATACAATCATAGGCATAGGTCTACTCCCCCCCCCCCCCCCCCTCCCCC